CGTCACTCCTGCGCAAGACTGTCTTCACAGCCTTTCCCTCTTACCTTGTGGCTGTCTCTGCTTTCACTTCCTTCCTGTGAATTCTCGGTCGTTTTTCCTGTGTAAAGGAAACAGAAACTATAATTTAAAAAGAAAGCAAATACCCAACCATGCATCGCACTTATTCTATGCGCCAGACGCGCGCTCCAACCGCTTCGCAGATCGAGAACCCTCCGCCGCCGGTCTCGTCTACCAAGAGCAATCGATGGCTGGGTAAGGGAGGACTAGGTAAGTAACTTGCGTGTTGAGCCGGTGTGGCGTGTGATCGATCCATGGAGACAGGACCGCGATTAATTCAAATTTGTGTTTTGTCAGGCCATGCCTTCCGGAAGAACGCCGCGGGGGCCTTCGGGCCCGACCTGTCGAAGAAGTTGTCGCAGCTCGTCAAGATGGAAAAGAACGTGATGCGCAGCATGGAGCTGGTGGCCCGGGAGCGGATGGAAGTGGCGGTGAGTTCGAGAGGATTCGAACGCAGAGACGAAGACAAACCAGGCAACAACAACAGCAGCTGACGGGTGTGTGATCTCCATAGCAACAACTCTCCATCTGGGGCGAGGCTTGTGATGAAGACGTTTCGGATGTCACCGACAAGCTTGGCGTACTGATCTACGAGATCGGTGAGCTGGAAGACCTGTTTGTCGACCGCTACGACCAGTACAGAGTTACCATCAAGAGCATCCGGAACATCGAGGCGTCGGTGCAGCCCAGCCGAGACCGTAAGTTGAAGACTGAAAAGAGACTTGAAAAAAGAAACGAAAAAAAAAGTCTAACTCGTTATCAGGCAAGCAAAAAATCACCGATGAGATCGCCAAGCTCAAGTACAAGGACCCGAATTCGCCTCGCATCGTGGTGCTGGAGCAGGAGCTGGTGCGCGCGGAGGCCGAGTCGCTCGTTGCCGAGGCGCAGCTGTCGAACATCACGCGCGAGAAGCTAAAAGCGGCGTTCCAGTATCAGTTTGACGCGCTGCGCGAGCACTGCGAAAAGGTAGCCATCGTGGCGGGATACGGCAAGCACCTGCTCGACCTGATCGATGACACGCCCGTGACGCCCGGCGAAACGCGCCAGGCTTACGACGGCTACGAGGCCAGCAAGGCCATCATCCAGGACTGCGAGGAAGCCCTGACCAACTGGGTCTCGTCCAAGGCGGTGGTCAAGTCCAGCCTGTCGACGCGCTCGCGCACCCTGTCCCTGCGTCACCGCGAGAACCGCTCCAAGACTCGCGGCGAGGGCGTCGACCTCTCCGCCCAGGACCAGCCCCTCAAGGGCGACCGCGATTCCTGGCTCCCCGCCGACCAGCACCCGTCCTACCAGCGTGACAGTGACGTCGAGGATCTCGAGAGCACCGCCGACGGCGAACCGAGAGGTAGAGAAGAAGAGCGCGAGCCGGTGCCTGTATAGGGGAAGGGGATCCTTGGCTAAATCATAATATAATATATGCCTTTACTCTTTTTTTTTTTTTTTTGTTTTTTGTTTTTTGTTTTTTAAAAAGGCTCCGCTTTCTCCTCAAAGTTGGATTTGACAAGGCTGTCTTGTTTGGGTCTCCTATTCTCGGCTGCTCTTTGTATAATTCTCGCCATACGGCTTAATGATACCTAATATACCGATGGCATAATGATCTACAGACTACATCAAGACTCAAGCAGTATACTGATATAGTTATATAGTGTTTTTTTTTAAATCTTTATGGTGTTATATCCACTGGTAATGCCCAAAGTACAATCCTGTTCACGTATATACCTAGGTACATAAAACTATACCTAGAATGTAGAGTCCACCCAGTAAGTGGTTTACCTTCCACACACACACACACACACACACATACACTCCGCAAACGCCAAAGAACATTGATACCGGCGAAAATGCAGCAGATAAGCTGATGTACCGAGTATATCCCAAAGGGAGGAAATAAGTAAAGGCCGTCATTACATCGTCATGTGTTCCGTCCAGCAGTGCCACGACACGAGGAAAGTGAACAGACAGGATAGAGCAGAGGGGGGAAAAATAAACAGAAAAGACAGTATATAGAAAAGGAGAGAAGACAGTATATAGAAAGAAAGGAAGAGGTAAAAAGAAAAATGCAATTCTACTGGTCGGTACCGACACCCTTCTTTTTCGGTTGGATATGTTTTTGGCCAGAGCCAGCAAGGCTGGTTGTCCTTGAGACGAGGGCAGCGGGGTCATCTGGCGGGGGTGCCATGGTGCGTACCGAGGAGGCTTCGTGCTTCTCCGTCAGGAGGTTTTTGAGCCAGCGGTTCTCCATCTCGAGCTGGGCGACGCGGGCCTCGAGGGTGGCGTTCTTCTCTGTGGTCTCGCGAACGGTGCGTTCGAGCGTCTGCTCGCGCTGCTTCTTCTTCATACGGAACCGGGCGCTGGCCGCTGTGTTGCGGCGGCGGCGGTCCTCTTCCGCCGCGAGGCGGGTGTGCTCTTCTTGGTTGAGGGCCGAGGCGATGCGGTCGCCCGAGATGGCGGTGCTGTACTTGGTGTTGCCGATGATGCCGTTGGGCGGCGAGATGGATGACGAGACGTCTGAGGGCGTCGACATGCCTGGCGCGTGACCCAGCTCGTCACCAAAGGGTACGGGCGGGTAGTGTGCTGAATATGAGAGCATCTGGTCTGGAATGGAATAGTTGATCGATTTATCCCCTGTTCGACGACGCATGAGTACGGTGGAAATCTTGTATTAAGAGCTGGCTGGGACTTTCTTTTCCCCTTTCTTCAAGACAAGAGGGAAGAGGGTTCTGGGGAAGAAGAACATGGTAAAAGTATAAAAGAATAGAATAGTTCCACCTCGTCATCAAGACAATATAGGGCAAGTAGGTTGACGGGTAAGCGACGGTCAGCCGCAGGAATGGGGGATGGGGGATGCCCCCGGGGGATGGGTGTCATTGTGGTTCGGGATGGCGTGCTCGTTTGTCCACAGGATGGACGCACAAGACCAGCAACATAAATAACAGGGATTGGGGGGGGAAACAGCAGGAAGAGATGAACTGGCAGAACGGCTTCATCGGTACTCTGGAGGCAGATCCTCTCTCGACCTCGCCAATAGATGGCGGCGGTCATTTTTCCCCCCGGGGGGGATGGAAATGATGGCCGTGCCAAAAGCTTCTTCCAAGCACAACTCAAAATTAAGACGCCGCAGGGCAAATCACAAGGCCAAAAAAGGGGAAATTAAACCGCATCTAGGTCGCTGCAACGCTATGTGCAGGCGAGGAATGTGGGAACGAACCGGGACACGAGAAAATGGCGTTTTGATGCATTGCCTGGGGGAGAGAAAGAAGCTGGCTTACCATGATACGGGTACCCTCGCAGATCAATCGAGCCGCGCTCATCCTCGATACTATCATAGGAGCTGACGGAGAGGCCACCGAGGCCCTCAGTTTGGTCGTAGTCCATGCCGAGACTTGCAGCGGTCGCAGCAGTAAAGGGGGCCAGGCCGCTGGCGTCGGCGTCGAACGAGTAGTGTCGACTACGCGCGATCGCTGGTTCGTGACGAGCCAGAAAGTTGTAATTCTCAAGAGCGTCCAAGCTCCGATTTGGCTGGCGAGCAAGATTATCGTCGGCCATTCTCATAAAGAGAAGGGGGGGGGGGAGGGGAAGGAAAAGAGAGAGACAAGAAGAGGCGGGGGGAAGGAAAGAAGAGTAGTTACACCAGCGTAGACTTTTTGATTCTAGCCTTTCCTGGATCAGCTGCACACACGACGGCCCGTCCGACTGAGAGTCAGTCAGTCAATCACCCCAGAATCACGGCACAGCCAGAATGCGAAACGGAGCAGGAGGAGAGGGGGGGGCGGAGGGGGGGGGCCTGAGGAGAAAGGTCGGACAAGACCAGTAACGACCAGCAGAGGATTACTGGAGTATTTTGGAGCCACGTTCAAGCAGAGACGAAGAAGGAGAGCGTGGCAGATTCGGCCGGTCGCATGGCGCGGGAAAGCAAGAGTAGGTTTGGTGCGTTTTGCGACGCAGATCACCGCATCAAGCTTGGTTGTGCCTATACTTGTCCACTCGGTAGTATGTGGTACTCCGTAATGTATTCCGTAATGAACCGTGTCGTTGATTGATCCCCTCTTCTTCGGACGTTTGGCAGTCGACGGCCGTGAATCGAGGATGTGTCGTTGGTGTGGAAGACGGTTCGGGCTAGTCGATGATCTGATGGAATGGGGAAATGTCGTGATCGCTTCGTCTGGTTGGCTGCAGAGACAGGCACGTTGTGGCTCTCACCGCCTTGGGTTTGTGCGGACTGTCGAAGGAGGAAACCGCAGCGGACGAGGGAGGGAGGAGAGACGGTGAGGATAGAGGATGTCTGGGAAGGAGAAGAAGATGGTGAGGATGAGAAACTGAAGAAGATGAGGTAGGTTCTGGATTGACGGTTGTCACTGGTTGACGCGTTTTGCCTACTGCTCTTCTTCTCCAACTTATGGGGGTGAAAGGGGCAGGGGGATCGAGATCCACCGCCACGGCGTGGGAACGCGTTGCCCATGACGCGGAACCCCCGTTGGTCCTGGTTTGGAGACGGTGATGTTGCAGATGCTCTCTCTTGGCCCCCCGCAAGAGTCCAGGGTTGAAGCCAATTGTGAGGTGGTGAAGCTTGATCCGCATACCATACGGTGTCCAGAGTATTAAGGTTTATCTCATCCTATGGCAAAAAAATGCTCCTACAGGTAACAGTAGTCCAATAACTGGTTACTAGTTGGTTAGTAGGTAACCAACTATTATTACGGAGTTCTCCGTTGGTCGTAGAACAGTACGGAGCACTTACTCCGTAGTACTAAGTAACTATGTAGTACTTAACTAACAGGAGGTAGTTAGTAACTAAGTACTTAGTACACTCGGTAAATAGAGACACCAAAGGGGAAGGAATACTCGATCACTGGTCCCGACCGCTCTGACGGAGTTTGTCTGCCAGGATCTGGGCCACGTCGTCTGCCGAGGTTCCTCGTTGCCGGCTGCCCACCCTCTCCTGCCCCAGAATCGTCTCCTCCGCGATGGTACGGTAGACCTCCGCAAAGCTGTTATAGACGCTGCCTCCCAGACCGCCCCAGTGGCCTTCAGCATCGAGGGCCTCGCCGATGCCTCGCATCTCCTCGACCCAGCGGTATGCCTTGGGGGCCATCGAGCTCACTCCACGGGTCGCTAGCGCCGCGGTGTGCGGCGAGTACTCCCGTAGGTGCTCGAGCAGCTCCGGCAGCAGCTCCTCCTGCTGGGCGGTCGCAAAGGAGAGCAGCGAGAGCGCCGTCAGGCCCTTGGTCAGGGCGGCAAAGGAGAGCTTGAGTGTCGAGGCTGCCCCAACGCGGGGCGAGACCAGCTTCATGTTCAACGTCTCGCACAACGGGGTGAATGTTGCCGGCAGTAGTGCGACCGCGCCCGAGACCACTACACTGGGCTTCTTCCACAGCCCGTTCTGCGGGTCTTGAGACGGTGGGCCGCCGATAATCCCCCCGTCGAGAAAAGAACATAGTGGCTCTGACGTGGTGTCCTTTGTGTCGTCGTCGTCGCTGTGGCTCGTCGTGAACAGAGCCTCGACTTCGCTCGCTGACCGGGCTGGAGTGGCATTCAGGTCCAGGTAAACCAGTCTCCCTCTCGTCTGGAGGCCGTCGACATCCTCAAGCTCCTCCCGTCGGGTCACAGTGTCCGGTAATCTGTACGCCTCGGCCACCCGGCGGGCGGTCGCCAGTGCATCTCGAGGCGGCACGATCGATAAAATGTAGTCGGACTGGATGACGAGTTCTTGGTCTGAAGCGAGCGACTCAATAGCTGCAGCCCGGATCCGAGCGAGTGTCTCCTCGCTAGCAGTAGAAACCAGAAATGTCAGATTGGACAACGTAGCCGAGAGAAAAAGAACTACCTGGGACGTGGTAGTACTACCTTCGGCCCTCCCCCACGGTAAGCACACGATACCCATGGGCCTTGAGGAGCTTGGCGACTCCCATGCCCATGTCGCCGATGCTCAGAATGCCAACAGAAACTTGCCGCATGATGGACTACTTGGTTAGAGCGAATGGTAATCGGTTGACTCGTCAGTGGATTGGTTCAGAATTGAATAAACACAGGCCGTCTATGAAACAATCACTACTTATATATATGTAAGCTGGAGTACTCGCAGCCTGGTAAGATAAGGAGACTGAAGCGGGGTCACTCGCCATTGTTTGCATTTCTTAGCAAACATGGGCTTCTCTCGCCTTCTACAAATAACTACGCTCAGTAGTCCTCGACACTTAGCAACTGACATCTGACGGATAACCACAAGTTCAGTACCTAGGTAAGCAGGAATCTTGATCATCCTACTTACCATATCTCATGCAATTCCATCGCCGCACTTCTCCTGGTTGACAATAATCGAAGCTGACAACGACAGTGACGGTGACAGTGACAGTGAACGGTCATCCTCGGTCAATCCTGACTGCATCAAACCCTCGTCGTGTCATCTTACCTGTTAACTACACCGTATAACCGCTGCCTTGGATACGGCATACAATGATTGATGTCATGGCTTGGTCGATGAACAGCTCTGTTTACTGGTAACTACTGGTGACTGACTAGTAGTAACTAGTTAGTCAACTAGCAGACAGTCATACTATCTGGAGCAGACGGAGGACAGCTCTTACTTGCTAGAGCAAAGCAGACCTCGGCATTCACGGGATTCTCCAACTCCTGCGCGATTTTCCTCAACATTGAAGATTATCGGTCCGGCTCGGCATCTGAGTAGTCCGAGTATCCTCTTTATCTCTGTATAAGAGTCGGATACTAACTGCAGAGTACGATTAGATAATACCACGCTGTGATACTCCTGAGTACTCTGTTTCAGGATGTCAGTCGGTCGGTTCTAGCCAGCCATGTGTGCACTCTGTGCATGGCATTGGAAGAGTGAATACTACCGATCTAAAGAATTTCAAGATCGGTGAGCGTTCATATCCACGATCGGATATCGGCTCTGGAGTCTGCCGTGCCCCGGTCAGCATTAATAATAAGACTAAAAAGCAACTGGGTCCTGGACAGTTTCTAGAACCATCATTCTAGACCTTTTTTTTCTATTTTCTCTCGTCTTCTTTTTTACAGAGTATAACACGGCAGACCTACTACATAGGAGGGGTACTTACATGGGTTGGCTACTACTAAGTGCTTTTTTGGAGAGAAAAAAATCTTTCGATATTTCTGCCTCAGGCAATAAAAGAGGCAACTTCTGACCGCCTCCGACTGTCAGCCTAAAACGTCCAGTGGCAATCCCAGGCGAAAGTACCGGTACTTCTCAAGTGAGGGGGACCCGTCGGGATTCTTATCCTTTCTCTTTCAGGATCTTGGGGTCCGTTTAGTAGCTAACTAATCTATTGATTCATTCATCCCACCACCCCTCCTCCCTTTTCTGGGCAATCCTTGTCCGGCGTGGCGGGTGTCAGTCACACTCGTGGGGGGCAGAATGGCTGATCTCCCTTCCCACGAGCCTGCAAGGCGGTATCCGGTAAGCAATGCCAACTACCTAAACTAGGTAGGACTGCCTACCTACTAGTAACTACCTAGATAGTAGAATACCAGCTGACTCACTCTCTAGGGATGTGAGATGTGCTCGCGGAGGAAAACCAAGTGTGAGTTTGATCGTCCGGGTTTGCCATGTGTGCAGTGTATCCGGCGCAAGACGAGATGCGTTTCCGGGGTTCCTTCGAGAAGGGAGCGAATGACGAGGCGAGAGTCTCTCAAACGGTATTTTCCTCTTATATATATATATATATATATAATTTGCAGATCTTTGATGTTAATTCTTTCAGATCCCAATATGTGAGAGCTCTAGAGGAGCGTTTGAGACAGACGGAATCGTTGCTCAGGGCAGCTGGGATCATTGCCGACGAAGATGGCAGTGAAATGGCTGACCTGGCGTATGACGATGAAGGAGAGGATCAAGAGGAGGATAGCGAGGAAGGGGATGACGACGACGACGATGATGACGAAATGGATGATGCCAGTCATACTATCGAGTACCCTGAGAGCTTGGCCAGCACGGGGCTGTCAACTCGTTCGTCCACGGCACCAGAGTCTACAGACAGGCGCCCGTCCGAAACAGACGAAATGTCTATCTCTATCTTCAAGATGGATGGGAGGAAGTCGGAGGAAGACCGATATATCGGTATGTCATTTTTTAAATCCCGGCCTCCTGATTTCCGTTCACTCACCGTCCCAGGCCGAGCATCTTCCCTGTCCATTTTATCGCAGAGAGGCATCGAATGGATCAAATCCAAAACCGGAGACACTAGCTTCCTTAAGCTGCTCCATACCGAATCCTCCCATGATAGTCCCTGGGATTACTGGCGTCCAGACGTTTTCCACGACCTCTTCGCCTCCAAGGTGTTCAAACCCCTGCCCCCACGGGCAGAAGTGTTTGCCCTCTTGAGCGATTACTTTCGGACCGTCAACCGCCTGTTTCCCCTCTATCACGAGGCCTCGTTCATGCGCTTGGTCGAGTGGCAGTACACTCAACAGACGTGCGACGACGCCGCTCGCTGGGCCAGCATCAATATCATCATCTCGCTGGCTTACGAGTACCGTTTTTCCAACAGTCTCAAGCCGGAACGAGATAAGGAGAGAGCATGGATGTACTTCAAGAACTCTCTGTCGGTCTTTTCAGAACTTGCCTTACGAAGGACCGATCTGTTGAGTATCCAGGCTCTTCTAGGAATGGTACTCTCCCTTTCTTTTGGCCCAATCATAGAACCATTTACTCATCCTGTTCACAGGCTCTCTTTCTACGAGGAAATTCGGGCACACAATCCGTCCTACCCCTTGTGACGGCAGCTATGCGATCCTGCCAGAGATTAGGCCTGCACCGGAATGTTCCACGGTCAAACTTGTCTGCCGCAGAGCGAGAACAGAGGAAGAGGGTGTTTTGGATTGCTTACATTCTGGACCAAGGGTAGCTCCAACTCTTTCCATGTCTTGGGTTACTTCTTCTAACTCTTGAACAGCACGTGCATTCGTTCAGGAAGTGCCCCGTCTCAACACGCCGACGACATCGATATCGGTTTTCCTGAAAGCATCGAAGACGATACCACAAGCCCCCATCCCTGCAATATCTCCTTCTTCAGTCAGCTTTCCCATCTGTCCTGGATTAGGAGCCGGATTTACGGTCGGCTCTACTCCACCAGATCGCTGGACCAAATGCCAGAAGAAGCCTGCGCGACGGTTGTTGAACTGAGCCGTGAGCTGGAAGAATGGCGGCGTGACCACCCGTTCGAAATGCACGTCAAGCAGCGACCATCAGGAAAGGACTTTCTCCTGGGATTCGCCTCCATTGGCATCCAACTGGTGTACTACAATGCCCTGATCATGGTCAACCGCTTCCCGTCGCTCTTATGTTTGTGTTACCGCTCCGATCCGATGAACGCCAGCTCGATGAGACATATCACTCCTCAGCTCGCAAAGCAGACGTCCACCTCGACTGCCATCTGCATGCAGGCCGCTCGAGATACCCTGGCCCTCGTGAACAGCATGCCATGGGGGGACATTGCGTGGATTTGGTAAGTCCTTCTTCTATATCTCCCGGCGGTCTCTTTTTTTTTCGGAAACTAATCAACCAGGTCTCTCCTCTACTATGTCTTCCACGCCGTGATGACTTTATTCATCAACTTGTTGCGTGACAGTAAACACCCCAAGGCGTGGGACGACCTCCAACTCCTCAACATGGCGGCAACCTTCTTTTCCACCCTCATGCCCGCCGATGGCCCTCATAACCATGTCAGGTTCATGACCAAGATGAGCTTGAACTTCGAACGGATCGCCAGGTCCATCGTCGAGAAGGAGGGCAAAGAGATCAAGAGTCGGGACCACGAATCCGTCCCTGTTGCATCCGCCAAGCGATCGCCTACCACCACCATTGCTACACACCCGCCGCCTCTCTCAAAAACCATCTCACCCTCGCCACCTCTTCATCCTCCACAGACCGCAATACCAGCCCGTCCCGCCGATACCACTACCCCCCCAGACCACATCCAAATCCCCCCGCACATAGAGGGACTCCCTCGCATCAACTCCGTCGGCTACGTCGTGCCCGAAAGTCCCATCAGCTCCGAAGGCCATCCATCGCCTATTTCTCACCCACCATCCAACAACAACAACAACAACAACAACAACAACAACGCCTTCATGCTCGGCGCGCCCCATATCCTCCCGACCACAAACACAGGCAATAATAATATCAACAACAGCAGGATTCCCATTTCCGCTCCTCCCCTCGAGTACGGCCTCCCCTTCTTCGCGGATAACGTCGTTCCAGACTTCTGGGCCATCCCCGCTCCAGCCGACGACTTCCTCAACATATCCTCCTCCTCTTCCTCCTCCTATCATCCACACTCGCACGGCTTACACGGAACCCCTATCAATACCAATGAACATATGCAACCATCCTTCCACCACCAGCCGAATATCAATAACATCCCCCTTCACAACCCTGCCGCCCCATCGACATCTTATACAGATATGCCCATGGATCCAAACCCAGGCGCTGGTCCGTTCTGGGCTCAGGGGTTTTTGAATTTCTTCTAGCGTTTGGTTTGGTTTCGACACCTGTACGAATCTGGATAATTATTTAACTATATATTGTATACTTGCATACCTTTCTTTTTGCATTTGTCGGTGTAAGGGCTTGGTTGGATATATATTAGTTATCAGTTACCTAGTTATATGAATTAATGATTAGTTATGCTAGTTATTTATATATATATTATTAATGAAATAAGTTTTATATAACATAACTACCCCCAAACCCCCCTATTAACTAACCATAACCCTATGATTACTTGAATTCATGCATGTACTACATAGGTATGTGTGTATGTGTATGTATGTGTGAATAAAAAACCTCGAATCATATCAGACCCTTGCAAGTAAATTCTTGGCCTTCCACCAGTCCTCCGAAAGCAACCTTGCAACACCATAACCAGCCAGACGCTAAACAGAAGACAATAAGACAGTCATAAAAACAAAAAACAAGAGCAAGCATCAGAATGCCTTAGCTGTAAGCATCTTCACGCTATTGCTCCAAACGCCATTCCCAAACCGCCGTCCCGCCTTGTTCGCCGCTCCCAGCCCCTGGCGCAGAATCTGCTGCATTTCTTTCTCCGATAGGCCGACTTCGTTGCCTGTTCCAAATCCATAGACTTTACTGGCAATAACGTCCGTCTTGACTTCCAGCACTGCAATTGCGTGTTCTCCACCACGCTGTTCCTTGATGCACATGGTGACGGCAAAGTCGATGTCGATTCTCTGTTTATTTGGTTTGGCACCAAGCACCGAGCACCTTGCCCTCAGAGAAGGGGACTCGCTGGCATCTAGGAGTTTCAGCTTCGTGACGCCACAGAACTCGAGCATGCGCGCCTCTTCTTCCAAGGTCGCCACCTGATCCCATGCCTGAGAGATACAGCGGAGAACATGTCTGGCCTGGGTCGCAGTTTGGTCAACGGTAGCGAGATGCCTCTGAAGGGATCTCAAGACGAGAGACGATACTAGTGAGAGCTGACCAATCGATTTTGTCGACATGCTCCCACTCCCAGTGGTGTACTTCAGTTCAAGCGGCGCATTCAGTTTTGTTCCAGGGTCAGTAGCCTGGAAGGCTTTGGGGTGCAACGTCAACTCGAGTTGATCGCGGTAACGCATAGTCAACGAGGGTCCAAGTGAGGATTCCTTCGAGGAGGAAGTCGAAGCAGCCACGATGCACCACCCTGTCTGGTGCTCCAGGTTGTGAACAGATACTATTGAGTTTGTTAGTCTCGACCTCATCATTAATACCCATCATTACTTCTCACGGAAGGAAAAGGACATACCCTTCAACCCATTGATTTCCTTGGCGCTCCAGCCACGGCACTCTTCCTTGACCTTTTCTGCTCGCTCTATCTGCCCCAGCGCCTCTGCCTTGAGCTCTGCCCCAGCCTCAATGGTATCCACTTTGTCTTGGATTTCTTCCTGCATTTCAGCAAGCTGCCGCTTCTTCAGCACAATCTCGGCTTCTACACTGAGTAGCTTCTCTCGTGCACTGCGAAGCTCGTCCTGGTCGCAGTTTTCGATCTCATCAGCCAGCTGCTGCAACGTACTGGCTTCTTGCTCCAGTGAAGCATGCTTCTCGATAAGTTCAGGAACCACGTCCTTGAGAAGCTCTTCATGTTTCGAAAGGTATTCATCATCTGTCTTCATTTCTTCCACGTGACGATCGAGCCCTTCTTTCAGGCCTTCGAGCAGTTTCATCCGCCACTCGTACCAGGTAGCTTTGCTGAGCAATCGTGCATGTGTCTTCACGTTCCGGAACTGATTGTCCATCAGAAGGCGAATGTCAGGCGCTGCAGTCACGTATTCACGGAAAAGAGGAGGATTCTCGGCGTAGGTCTCGGCCTCGATAGACCGGATGACCTGTCGACCCTCGGAGATATACGACTTCAACTCGCGGCAGGACTGTTTGATTAGTTGGTGGGTAATTCATCATCTTGAGAGGTTGGCAAGCCTTACGTGTTGATAGAGCTCCAGCATTGGAACGGTACAGAATCCGGCAGCAACACAATCTTCGAAGTTTGCAATCGCAAACCTGGCCGCATCTCCAGACAGTCTAAGCGACCTCCTTGTGCTGCCTGGTGCCGTCGTATGTCGCCTCTTAGTTGTAGTCAGCTCCATGAAATGGATATTTGTCATGTTCAAGAATTCTTGTAATTGAATGGGCTCCATTGTATCTGAGCCCTCAGGACCAGTCTCGTCTTGCTCCGGAAGTGACTCGACAGCTGCATCAACGGGCCCTTCATGTGCATCTGATACATCTTTGATAGGGCTTGACGAATTGATGCTGAGGTTTTTCAGTCCGAAGGTGGGAGTGGTGCTTTGTTTTGCTGGAGAAGAACCGAAGGGCTTATGAGTAGACGATCGGATCACTCTGCCAACCGTCTCTTCCTTGGTGGGCGGAGCAGGGAGTCTGATGCTTTTCACCGGGCTAGATTCGGGGCCTCTGAGACGCTTTGGGGTACTCTCTGCTTCCTCTTCCTCGTCTTGGTCGAGTTCGACGGGACGTTTTCCCAGCAAGCCTCTGGCTGCACCGACATGTAGGCTTTTCCTCCCTCGTAATTTGTTCTTCTTGGGGGTCAAGCTCGATATCATGTCCTTCAAGGTCGACGTTATGTCTCGTTTTGGCGGCTGAATATGGCCGTCCTCACGTTTCTCCTCTTCCTCACGTTCCCGATCTACCTCCTCTTGGAGTTGGATAGGGTCCTCAAAACGCACACCTTGGAATGGCTTTTCCTGAGGAACGAACTGTGATGCTTCTTCACCAATGGACTTGCGTTTGTCAAGCATAGCTGCAACACGAGGAGATCCAAGGCCTTCCCTGTCAATACCGAGGCCTGAAGAGCGCCTTTCAGCAGGACGTAGAACGACAAGAGGAGTCGACTGCCCTGTTGCTGCATTATGCTCGAACAGGCTCTTGCGCCTGGGTGACTTTTGCTTACTTGCCGATTTTTGTAGCTCGGCTTGGAAGAGCTTCTTTGGCGAGGCGCTTCGAAAAGAGACGTTACTGGACGGCGGGGTTTTCGACGGAGTGGTTGGACGTTGCAGCTGAGGAGTTGTTTGTTTTGGAGGAGTAGATGACTTCTTGGCTGGAGAAGTTTGTGACGGATTCGATGTCGGTGTACTCGAGCTTCGTCGGAGCGAACTTCGCCGAGATGGCCGAGATCTGACGCTGGCGAGGCTAGGGCTACCATCCTCAGAGGCAACAGTAGCGACATGGAAGGAGAGAGGTGACTTGACAGGTGACCTTGTCGGTGACTTGGCAAGAAGCTTAGAAGGTGAATGTTGAACCGACTCCTGGAATGGAGAACTGGCTAACTGTCCAGCGTCAGTTTCAAGCTCCATCAGTTTTTTCGCTTGGGCTTTATCGCCAGCTCCAAATGCAGAAGGCAGAATTCGGCCAATAGCTGCTGTGACTTCCATGCCCATAGTCTGATCCTCTTCCTCCTGGGTAGACGGAAGAATGCCACCAACTGCTCTGGTGATTTCCATATCCACGTCATCCGTCTCTTCTTGCCCTTCGTTATCGAAGTCGAGGTCACCATTGATTTCAGAAGCAGACTGGCCACGCTGCAGGTTATTGTTCGCACCAGCAGAGCTCTTGCCCAAGAGACCCCCGACAACAGAGGTAAATTCCATGGTCATCTCTTCATCCTCATTGGTGTCACTGTCAATAGCCATTGAATGCGCTGGCGAAATCGGCGGCGCAATACCCCCAACCACATTTGTGAACTCCATGGTTTGGTCCTCATGTATAGTTTCTTCGCTCAATGACTTGCGACGCATGACACTCTGGCGCCGTTCCGTATTGTTTGAGAGAATACCGCCGATTGCGTTGGTGACATCCATACTCATATCCTCATCGTCGTTATCGCCGGTTGTTGAGGTGTGATAGCTTCGGTCTTGAGTCGACAAGCGGGATGGATTGATATTCTCCTGGTCATGCATGGAACTGATGTCTTCCCAGTCAAAGCTCTTCCGTTCCCCTTTCTTAATCCACGGCTGGAATGCGCCGGTGATTTCTTGGTCAGCAATCTCCATGGATACATCGTCATTCTCGTCGTAGTCAATGCCTCTGGTCCCAGCTTCTCGTGCTGCCTGGCGAAGAGCTTCATTTAAACGCGCACTAGAACTCGTAGACTCCTCAGACTGTGCTGTAGCAGTCGATCTCATGGTCACGTCATCCATGCTCATAGCAGTACTTTCTCCATCTAGCCCAGAATCAGAACCATCTGAGTGATCATCCTCGTCATCATCCTTGCTGAAACCCTGTACTTCCGTATCTTCACTGCCGTCAGCAGAGCTACCGCTGAAAGGGCTAGAAGACAGATCAGGATTTTGCGCGGATGAATTGCGGTCTTGGAGCTGTCGTAGATCTTCTTGGCGTACAGGAGAGAAAGCGGAATCGGAGTCGACTTCAGCATCGGGGCTGGATGGTGGCTCTAATATGGAAGCGGGGTGCGCTGGATTGGAAGCTTCTGTGTGTGTCAAGGACGATGCCCGCCTTGTTGAATTTGAGGCGGAGGATGAGGTTGAGTCGTCAGGTATCTCGACAACATTCCATGTATGCAGCGTCGCCTCTGGCGCAAAGGATACCCGGCGATTTGCTAAAGAATCGGTTTAGCAACCTGCTGAACAAGTGCCAAGGAAAAAAAAGTATTTTGACCAACCCATTGATTTCCGACGCGCTTCTCGCTTTTCAAGGATCATCTTTCTTTCACGCTCTCTCTTCTCCTTCTCTTCCCGTTCCTTTGCATCTCTGATCGCAGAAGAGGCGTTGAATGTGTCAAAGGGATTGGTTTGGTCATCATGGCTGGTCGTGAGAAATTCCTTTGCATCTTGAACATCAATCAATGGACCTTCTTTATTCTGTTCTGAGTCCCCTTCGTCGCCTGCCGTAGTGCTCTCTGATGCAATACCTCTGCGCGGACTGCGCCGGCGTGTTTCTTCGAACGTCGGGATACTCCGTACCGGAGAGACAGGAATTGTAGGTTTCAGTATGGATTTCAAAGGCAAGGCCATCGTTGACTGTCAAAGACATGGTCAATATACCGGCGTTTCACTGCACCCGCCTGCGCATTCAGGGCAATCTACCTTTCGACGGTTACCGTGGGAGTCCTGCAGCGCATCCAAGCCACCAGGACCCAAACTTTTGCTTCGCGATTTCCTTTCCTTCCCCAGTTCCTTTGCAGCATTTCTCGCAGCGCCGAGATCAGTCGTAGCGTTTTCCTTATCGACTCCCGATGCCATCTTCGACCGTGGGACATGGGCGATCGAGCGACGAGATCGCGGACGCAGCGATCCGGAAGTCTCCTTCGACGCCATAATCGCAGAACATGAACCCGGATCACAAATCGTAGGACTAGCGATGGATGAAGTGGGATGGTGATAGCTCGACACAAGTCATAATCCGGAGGGGGGCCGGCGAGCGCAACGGAGGCCGCCTGAGGTTGTCAATAATCATGCCAACGCGTGGATCCGCACTTGCCCGATTCGGCGCCACCGCCCGCGATGTAAACAAACCCAGGAAAGCCCTAGCCGAATAACCGCTAGTCCGCATCTGGACTAGCGAGCCGTCGCACACTCCCACACTGAATTATCACCGACTCTCGTTTAAGGGCTCCGCACAAATTCTTCCCATCTCGAACAGTCGACCAGCCCCGACCGGTATCCATCCTTCACGCAGCTCGACCACTCCGTTCGACTGAAATATCGACAACATGGCCACCGAGTTGACCGTCCAGTCGGAACGCGCGTTCCAGAAGCAGCCTCACATCTTCCTCAACACCAAGACCAAGGCCAAGAGCAAGAAGGCTGGCAAGGACCGGAGATGGTACAAGGATGTTGGTCTGGGATTCCGCACTCCCAAGACTGCCATTGAGGGCAGCTACATCGGTATGCACGATCTACGCTGGGATTAATCCGACGCGGAAATCATGGCAAAAGGCGTTCCCGCAAACGAAGATTGGATGATGGAAGGAGACTACGACGTGGCGGAACAAGCGATCACGCATCTTGACGAGAATGCCGAGAAGAAAAAAAATTCATGGCGAGGAAAAAACGCAGAAGATCCAAATTATTGGTCTACGGGCAGAAGATGTTTTGGTCGCTTGTGATGCTTTCGATCGCAGATGCATCTTCCCCTTTGAAAATCTTCAAATGCCTGATTTGCCATGTTTTCTGCGCCTGAATCCAGCACTTTCCTACACAAATTGGCAAGCGCACTAATTTTTTGAACAGACAAGAAGTGCCCCTTCACCGGTATGGTCTCTATCCGTGGCCGTATCCTGACCGGTCGCGTCGTTTCCACCAAGATGCACCGTACCATCATCATCCGCCGTGAATACCTCCACTACGTCCCCAAGTACAACCGTTACGAGAAGCGCCACAAGAACCTCGCCGCCCACGTCTCCCCCGCTTTCCGTGTCGAGGAAGGTGACTGGGTTACCGTTGGCCAGTGCCGCCCCCTGAGCAAGACTGTACGTGATCTGATTCTTTGAGGCGCGGAATGTGCATATTGCACATAAGATGGCGAATGCTGCAAAATTCACCGCGATTAATTTACGTGCCATATCTAACTTGCAAATAGGTCCGCTTCAACACCCTCCGTGTCCTGCCCCGCACCGGCAAGGCCGTCAAGGCTTTCAGCAAGTTCTAAGCGTCGAACGACGGACGAACGGGAGGCTTGCATGGGATTATTAAAAGTGGAGGGAAGGGCAGCGACATGGAATGGAATGGATATAGGCGAATTTCTTTGATGGGGTTTGGGATTATTTAACGAATCCATTTGTCCCAAGAAGCACCCTTTTCGAAGAAAACATCCAAATCAAAAAAAGAAATTTCATTGTTTCCCCATGCCATAGATACCGTACGCGCATATCATTAAGGAAGGGACAGGTTTTAGCTTCAGGAGCTTTACAATGTTATCTTGGTTCTGCTTTAAGACTACTACAGCAATGATCCATTAAACAACCACAGCTGATTGCTTACAATGTCTCATCTCAGGTGAAGTTTGAAGGCAGAATCCGTCGGATCTGAGCACGTTCCTCTTCAAACCGTCGCCTTGGGATCAAGACTTGAATGTTATCCATGTTTCTAGGGTTGGTGGGCTCGTGACGAGAAGACTCGAGGTTGCCGACCCTGTCAATTGTTTGGCCGTTATTGCCATCGTCATCGATATCATCGATAACAATCACTTCCGGTGATGTTAGTGGTGTTGATGTTTGTTGAAGCCCCCACCGGGACCATTCTTCGGTGCGAGGGTTGTACAGAACAAGGTTCCTCGACGGAGATGTAGCAGTGACGGAGCTAATCGTCGTTCGTTCGATCGAGACTTTATTTGAAAGAGAATGTTTCGTACCGACAGGACAAGGAGTCTCTGGTGCAGACGTGGGGGAGTCCAGGAAATCAGTCTCCAAGAAGTTCAAATCGATATCCAGAAGATCTTCGCCGGATGTGACCACTGACGTCGTTTCACTGGGGGCGTCTTGGATAACCGTTTTGCGAGTATCTTCGGGTTCCTGTACGTTGTCGTCGCGGTTGTCGTCGTCGTCGTCGCCACCGTCTTCGAAGTCGTGATCATCGGCCTCATCGTCATCAATATCCTCGGTTAGATCAAAAGTAACGAGCGGTGCCTGGGGCGTAGGCGAAAGCATTGACCACTCCCCGTATACACCGTTGAAGAACTCTTTGTGGCCTCCAGGAATCTTTCGGAACTGCCAATTTAGAGCGACCTTCCTTGCGACACTGCCTACCATCTCTCTCGGAATGCCTAGAAGGCTCAAAAGCTTTCCGACAGAAGTTCCAGATGCCCGATCATAGGATCCAGAAGTCGTGTCACGGAGCTGTCGGCGAGTATAACTCCGACAAAGAAGTTGCGACTTGAGGACATCCAGTTGAAGAAGACTGTTGATATCAGGGTGCTCGTTTGTGATTTTCATTAGGTCGCTAATCTTAAAGACGCATTTGATGGCATCAGTCGGAATTACTCTCCAGACAAGGTACTCTCCAAATCCCTTATAGGATCTGATTTGGAGTGAGGTCTCGCGAACAAGATGCTCTGCTGAAAAGATCTGGGTATGGTCCATCTCCGACGTGTCGATAACTGCCACGGCGGCTGCTTCAGCCCGGAGGCCTCTATGGACGGGGGCAAGGAGCGATCTGAATACTGATATGAATGGGGACGGTGCGTGGTTTATGCTAGCATGATTGACGAACATCTCTCGAAACTGTGCATCTGAGAAATCTTGAGGACTTTTTGATCTCGTAGTCGTGTCTGCGAACATCCCAGCTAGCATCATCGACCTGCTGTTCACTCCTTGGCTCTCGAGGTTAAACCACCGATATAGAGTACGAGGCACTCCCCCTGATGAATGCTGGACATGAACAGGACTAGAGGGGCTAATATTCCACGCTGCCTCCAGATCCTCGACCATATCATCCTCTGGTGATAGCAATCCCTCCTTAAAACACCAAAAGCAGCCGCTTTTGGTGCAAAGAAGTGATTTTTCTTCTTCAGTGTGAGCTTCGATATCCATATCATTAGGGGCGACTGAGATCTCAGGTTCTGGTGAAAGTACTGTTGCTGTTGTAGCTAGGTCTGATACTCGCCTTGATCTTGATGAGGATGGTTGCTCTCTGACAGAGACTCGAGTATGTATCAGCAAAGGCCCCTGTACAAGAAGAATAGTCAGAATTGCGCAAAATATGCAGACTAATGGCCTTAGATAACTAACGTGTGCTGTGCGCAGAGACTCTGGTGTTCTTAGATAGATATCAGGGATGGAATCGTCAGTCTCGCGCTTGATAAGAGTGATCCCAAGTCGAGCTACTGCATTCCTGATGCCCTTCTTCACGCTGTCCCAGTGGTCTGAAGATAAAGGATGGCTGAATACAGATCTAAATTCATCGCGGTCCTTGACTCGTAGGTCGTGCCATTGGCTCTGGACCGACCTGACACCAAAGGTTCCAGGTGTGAACCCCTGCTTCTGTAGATGACTCTCAAAAACAAAGTTGAAAATTTTTGTGTAGTCCGCAGGTGTTGCCTTAAAAAACCTATACATACAACAAAGGAATATCCTTTGATCTCTCGTCCAGGAATTAGTAGGTCGTGTTTCTCTCGGGTCAAGAGCCACGAGTTCTTCTTCTGACTCCATCGAGACTTCCGTAGTAATCTCTAAGACGAAGGCACTCTTAGCAGTGTCACAACCTTATCTTTAGCAGACATTAGGGTATCTTTCCGACAAATAATCAGATATCACCACCAAGACACTTCGCGCGGACAATAAGGCTAGAGATTTCAAACATGGAAAGACAGAACAAGAGCAGAGTGGGAGGTGATCAAACAGCGTCGTCAATCTAAATTCGGCGTCAGAGTCATGAAAGATAGAGCAGAGATGATCTTTCTCTGTAGTAATACGAACTGTAGTAAAAAGAGGTCTGTTGAACGATATCCCTTCCAGGTGAGTGGCCAGAATCGACTTCGCTCAAGATAAACACGATCCCAAGGGCGTGGTAGAAAGAAGAGTCTGCTGCTCAGGCTCAAGGAGGGATGAAGTCTGAGACTTGCTCGCGACGGATGGGTAGGGTAATGGGCAAACATTCTGCATTTGTCTGAAAAAAACTGGCCCATAGCCTCTGCCCGGGGATCCTTTGGTCGCCGGAGCTGCTGGAGTGAAGACTGACTTGAAATAACATAAAATTTCTTAGTGGCTGGGAAGGAGTGAAGAGATGAGTGAGGTTGCAAGCTCCCCGGTCAACTTCTAGATAGCAGCTATCAAGATATATAGTTTGATTCGCCCACACACTTCTCTCACTTGATTTTTTGTTTCAACGCCATCTCCTAAAGGGAGCAACTCCTCGAATAAGGCTTCAATTTGTAAACAAAGCAAAAAACTTTATTAATACCTATCACAGCATTCACTTGTTGATATTCCAATTAGCTAAGCCAATGACGTCGTAGAGCGTCAACCTAGAATGATAAGCTTGTTTTCAGCTTGAGATAGAACTCCCAATTCAATATTTAGAGAAGTGGCATTCAATTTGGAGAGTGAATTCCCCCATAATTTGATAAAAAATGGACAAAAAATACAGACTGAAAGTCACAGCAGGACCAACATGGGACCCGTCAACCCACCAGGTTGTCCCAGTCAACGCAGATGAGACCCTCCGCATTGAAAACGAACACTGCGTCGTGGATCTTTGTGTTCGAATCCAAGACTATGCCGGTACAGATTCTTCTCCCTCAAAAATGCTAGTTAGAAGTGTATGTATACTGACAAAGCTTGACAGGATACCCCCATGGCTCACCCAAGACCAACGCCTACTTCTCACACCCCGAGCATGTTTCTGATCAGTACTCGATTGCGACCTCCGTGGTATTCAAACAGCCGACAAACAGCGACGAGGTTGTCTTCGGAAACTACTTCGGTCATCCGATCCGCGACAAGCTCCCACCGGGATTCACGAGTGCCCTGCGTCTTGTGAAATGGATGCTCGATCCAGCTCTAGATGGCGATCCGTACGCCGACAAGCCGTACCTTTGTAGCCCAGCAGTGGCTACCTGGAACAAATTCTGCATCGGCGATGTCGTGAATAAGATAGACAAGGCTCCCCCTTTGCATAATCTCGTCATCGAAGAAGTAGATGAGGGTTCCGGTGCGCAGGTCCGGAAGAAACATGATATTCCTTCCGACGTGGATGGGAGGCGAAAGCACTTTCATAACGAGGAGAACCGGAAGAGCTTCAATTTTGAGAAGGGGAGGGTCTATTTCTCGGATTTCGGGAACCCGTACCTAGGGTTTAGCGGTATGGAATACACTCGGATGCATGATTGAACCTCTGTACAGATTGTTAATTACATGCTGCTAGACTTTACACTTCGTTTGCCTGGTTTCCATCTGCATGTGACGAACTACATTGACGAAAAAAACCACAAGTTGCGGTATATACTGAAGAACAGGGCGACGGATGACATTTACTTCGTGGTAGTGTTTGAGCTGGTCCACCGTTCCAAGGAGGACGAGGCGTTGAGTTTTGGCCAAGGTGAACAGGCCGATAGAATGAAGAATGGTGGGAAATCAAACAATCTCGAAAGAGGAGCGGAGGCTTCGACGTCCGACATTGAATAATGTCCTGAAGGATAACTTATATATTTGAATAGAACTAAACTGTGGAGCTCAAAAAAGTATATATTTATCCAGTAAAGACTGACTTTTATTGACACTTTACCCTCAATTGACATAATGCACAACTATACTATTTACAGTCTCTTAAGAACATCGTCGAGAACTTGCTGGGTGGTAGCCTTGCCACCAAGGTCGGGGGACAGGAAACGCGCCTCATCGAGGTTGGCATCGACCGCGGTGTAGATCTTGGCAGCGGCCTGCTCCTCGCCGAGGAACTCCAGCATGAGAGCAACGCTGCGGAGGGTAGCGATGGGGTTGGCAATGCCCTTGCCCTCAATGTCGGGGGCAGAGCCGTGGCAAGGCTCACCGATGGCAAATCCGTCACCGACGTTGGCGCTGGGGACGAGACCCAAGCTTCCGACCAGGGCAGCAGCACCGTCGGAGAGAATGTCACCGTAAAGGTTGGGAGCGACAATCACGTCGTAGTATTCAGGCTGACGGAAAAGCTTGTACACCATCGAGTCGACAATCTGCTCCTCAACCTCGACGGACGAGAAGCGCTCAGCGGCCAGAGCCTTGCGAGCGGTCTCGCGGAACAATCCGTCTGTCTGGGAGAGAACGTTGGACTTGTGGGTGATGGTGACCATGGGCGAGGTCCGGAAGCTGGAGCCAGGAGCGACATCACGGATCTTCTGGCGACGCAGAGCAATCTCACCGGCAATAGTGGAAATGCGAGAAGAGGCCTTCTCAGAAATGCGCTTAATCGCCTCGGCGACCTTGCCATTGGGAGTTTCCTCGGTGCGCTCCTCCTTGACGTAGAGATCTTCAGTGTTCTCACGCACAATAACCATGTCAATGGGCTTGCCCGTGCTGTGTCCGGCAGTGGTCTTCACAGGACGAACGTTGGCGTAGAGGTCGAGCTTCTTGCGCAGAGCGACAATCGGAGAGGAGTAGCCGGCGACCTTGGTGCTAGGGGAGCTACATAGAGACAATAAAATTCAGGATCCAAGACGCAAACATATTTAGATATGAAAATTTGGGAGTGCGACAAACCTGACAGCCCCAAAGAGAGCACCATCACACTCCTTCTTGAGGATCTCGACGGTCTTGTCAGGAAGAGCGCTACCGGTGCGCTTGAAGGTCTCAAAGCCGGCATCAAGGTCCACAAAGCTGAACTTGAGGTTCAACGAGGCAGGCAGAGCCTCAAGAACTCGGCGACCGGCCTGAATTACAGCGAAATTGTTAGTGCATAGCCCGTTGTGTAAGTCTTTGCCAACATTGCGGGCATAAACATACCGGAATGACCTCCCGTCCAATGCCATCTCCGGGAATGAGACCTGTAGACAAGCACAGTCAGCTATAATTCCTCAAGAACTCACACGAGATGGGCAATTGACCTATGCGAAGCGTTCTAGCAGCAGCCATGATTCTGTTTGAGTTGTTGAATGTTCTAAGAGTCAAGTCCGCTTTCCGGAGTCCGCAATCGGAGGAGCGTCGCTGGCCGTTTTGTATGCGGCGGGAAGAACATTAGTCCGTTCATCACTCGGGCCGGAGGTATGGAAATAGTTATATGTGATGGTTGATCTAGTATATAAGGCTGTTAAGGGTAGGATAGATTTATACTGTAGACAACTTTGTGATATGTATATTAAATATATTCATTGATACCTTCAGGTTGAATAGTTAGTCTGCAATTCGCCGAGCTTCAAACCCCTGGTGCATGCAGTAGGATCTATGCCATTGCAAATAGTGCAATAGGACAACACCAAGCTAGTTAACTACTACCTAACCTACCTATTGGTCTGCAGTTGACTATACCTGTTAACTATGAGAAAAGCAACCAGTTAACTGCTGGCTAACTAGTTAACTAGTTAGCTACTTACCTAACTACGAGGCAGTAGGTAACTAGGTACTAATGTCCCGGTACTCCTGAGCCCGTACTTCCCTGTACCCGAGGTTAACTTAGTACCTAAGGAGGTGCCTACGGAGTAGGTACTTCGTAGGACTTGATAATTGCCCACTCAGAAAAAAGCCAATACCTGTGTCTGGGGTGTCGAATACTATTGCCTGTTAGTACTCCGTTAGACAGGTAACTACCAGGTAACTATTCACTAGTAGATACTAGGTACTCTGTATGGACAGCACGGTGGTGGGTCTACAGAAATATTCCAGAACATCATGCCCTACGGAAGAAGGAATGTCTCTGACGTAGCTATTCCCTTCTGGCTTAGTTGTCCGTATGGTCTATCGAGCTAGCGACATGGTGAAGGGCTAGGGAAGCGATAGGTAGCCAGGGTAGAGGACTGCAGGTCCTCCTGAGGAGCCTTGCTTTGAGGCTGGAGACGTATCGCGAGGGGTCATAAGAAGCGAGCAAACGAACCGTCCGCTTTCTTCGGATAGAACACGCGCAAGACCACCAGATGCCAGCCTCCTGAACCAGACAGTTTGGAATAAAGACGAGACCTTTCCATGGTGGAAGAGCGGGGGAGTCATTAAGATTAAGGCCAAACCGCGGATCCAGCCCCTGAAATTAGTGCCTGAGGCATCACTCCAGGGCAACATCAAAACGCCCACCTCTTTTCTTCAAGGTGTCCAGGGTGGATCAAACGACACAGGACGGTGGCTGCTGGGTGATGGTTCTTTGCTGATTCACTTATAGGACCCTGTTCTTTTAGACTGCCGACTTCTTCCATTCTTTTTTCTCACCTCCTTCTACATTCTCCCTCCTCCCCAAGAAACTTGGGTCTGTTTATATCACGTCACTCCCACCAGCGCGCGTCTCCACGTCCCGCCATCCCTCAAGAGCCAGCCGAACGGCCATCTGGCAGTTTCGACTCTTCTTGAACTATCGAGGAACGCCCTTTCCTATCTTCTCCTACTGCATGAGAACAGCAGAACACTTTCTCGGATTTCTGCTGGCCGCAGTATCTGTCTGATTGTGTCCTGCTCCGATTCGTTGTCCAGTCTCAACACCCCCCGCTCCTTCGCTTCTGAATAAGACGCCGCCATGACGGACACAGGTGCTCACCCTGGCGTGCGGAGCCTGTTGGCCCGATTTGAGAACAACAGCCAGAACAATACCCCTTCTCCTCCTTCTCGCGGGAGATCTCCCGTCGATTCAGATAATCCGGACTCGAGGCCACTCTCTAAGGTCCGGGCCAGCTTCGTTGCGGTGGAGAGGATCACTAGTAGTCCCTCGGCTCTGAAAAAGATAGTACCTCATATCGGCGGTACTGGTGGTCTTCAGAGTCCGTTGAGCCCGACCGGTAATAATTTTGGCGGAAGTCGGAAACCCTGGGATTTCCCTCCAACAAGCAATCAAGAAGCAATCGGCGGAGCGAAAAAAGATACTACCCAAGAAAACTTGCCAGGCAGCGAGAGTGTGAGCAAGCCGCAGGAGAGCTTTGAGTTGCCTATCAGGTCTGCAGCTGTCGCTACGCCCAAGATGGAAGAACCTACACAAGGGAAAACCTTGTCCGTTGATCAAGAGGTGAAGGAACTGCCCTCTGCTGCTACACAGGCTCCATTGCAGACCTCTATAGCGGCGAAGACACTAAATAAAAAGCCTTCAACCCTTCATGCCGCCAAAAACGATTCGACACACAAGCCAAGCTCCAGATTGTCCACTGCCAACCACAAGTCGCCTCCACCGTCTCGTCACCCCGTTTCATCAGCTAAGCCGAGCAGTGAGGTCCCACAAAAGTCTGCGCATACAAGCAAACCTGTTGCATCTAAGGACAGCAATAAAGATGCGGCAAAGACCGTCAATCACAAGTCTAGCCGAGCGGTTCTAAACACCACGACAAAACCCACTTCTCGTTCCGTGAGATCTTCAACTCCTTCCCACGATGCCTCGAAGTCTGCGACAGCCCACCATTCGCCAAAGACTACAACTCGTGAAAAGGGAACTCATTCTTCTCGTTCACCGACTCGAGGCACCGCGAGCCCTGGCCTGACGCGGAAACCATCGACCCTGAAGAACTCAACTTCCGCACCTGCACCACGGCCTAGCAACCAAACTACTGCTAGTCTCCGTAAACAGGCATCTCGTGTCTCGCTTCCTCACCAAACTAGCACAGAACGGCCTCATTCTCGGGCGAGCGCTGTTGGCACCAGGCCAGTCGATGAAAGCTTTCTTGCCAGAATGATGCGCCCAACTGCAAGCTCCGCGAGCAAAACCCATGAAAAGGTCGAGGCTAAAAGCCCCCCCAAACCAAAAGTGGCAAGACTGGCAAAGCCAGTCCAGAAGGCCGATGAAAAACCCGGCCATCACAATGCTGCCACAGCAAAGGCGAAGTCAGCCAAGAATGATGAGCAACAACCACGAACCAATGAGACGAAAGAGGAAGTTAAGACCGTGGCATTAACAGAAGCCAGCATGGATGATAAGCCAATGGAAGTGCTTGAACAGTCCGTGGAAGAGGCGGCCGACCCAATTGCGGAAACCTCTACAGAACATTCTTCAGTCGAACACGCTACCATACCGAGTATCGATGAAGCTATCATTGACTCCCCGGCCCCCATTGCCGAATCTACAGAGGAGCAGGCTGCCGCCGAGGCGCCCATTGAGGTTGTTCCCAACGACATTTCCACTCAACAACCCGAGAAACCCTCGGAGTCTTCTCCAGTCGCAGAGGATGCCGAGGTTGAGGAGGTCATTGCTTCTTCTGTCGATGACATCAAAAACGATGAAGCAACCGAAATTCCCGAAGCCTCACCTAATACCACTGCTGAGGAAGTTCAAGCCGACGCCGAAACTCCTGTTGTGTCATCAACTGAAACCGCTGAACCATCCATCATGCTCCCTGAAGAGTCTGCAAATGCAACTGAGAGCACAGATAAAATGATTGAAGAAACCAAGCCGGGTGATGGTGATATTACCACTGATAAACCATCTTCATAGTGACAATAAAGTGAAAAAAAAAATATAAAAAAGGGAGAAACAAAGATAAAGAAGACTGCATATTTGGTTGTTAGGTGCCTTGAGACTTTGGGATTTATCTCTCCATTTTGATGATATCTTCTGGTATTGTTATAGTAGAACCCTCTTGTTTATTCAACTGGCTTTTTTGGGTTCACTTCAATACCAGATGGAATCGCCTCTCTGTCCTTTCTACATCGATTCATCTTTTGCTTATTTCGGGACTGCATTTCCATGCTGACTTCTTTCCATCAGCTTGCATATTTTGTTTCTGCACTTTGGTTTCTACCTGTTAGATGTTAGCTTAGCGTTGCCAGCCACCTTATCTCCTCCCTGCTACCTGCATGTGCCGGCTTTGGTTCATTCATTTACTTCTTTGTAATTCGCCTTATTGAACTCTATCTTCTCACAGATAAGCAAACAGGTTTTTATATTCTTACTTCATATTTATTCAAATGAACCATTATAATTATCTTTCGGAAAATAACATCGAGTAGGGTATTTTAGTAAATCAACTTGGGAGAAGGCTTTCGATTGATAACACAGATTGAACCAAGATTGTAGAGATAGGGATGCATGCATTGAAATAAACATGAAGAAAAATAGAAAGAAACTGACACGCTACAAGTCATAAATCCCTCAACTAGATTCTCTTCTCCAGCTTCTTTAGGAACTTATTGACACTATTCTCCAGCCGCGAGGCACTGTCCTCTAGCTTATGTGGTCGCTGCCCAGGATTTTTCATGGCTTTCTGCGCGTACTTCTGGTAATGCGAATGCGCTTCTGCCTCAGTAGGGCGATAGGCAAGGCCGTGGATATCGTACTCATTTGACGAGGCTGGGGACGGCTGCGCGGGGGCTTGGTCATAGGAGAAATTTGAATATCCGCCCATGGGAGTTTGGTGTTGCTGGTATTGCTGGTGCTGGTATTGCTGGTGCTGGTGCTGCTGTTGTTGCTGTTGTTGCTGTTGCTGCTGCTGTTGTTGTTGTTGCTGTTGTTGCTGTTGCTGTTGCTGAGCGAGTTGGTAATTATACATCTGTTGGCCGTAAAGATGGGCATTGGGGTCTTGAGGTGGTGGAGCGAAGCTCATCATGCTAGGTGGAAGTTGGGGTTGCTGCTGGTGCTGTGGTTGTTGCTGCTGGTGCTGTGGTTGTTGTTGCTGGTGCTGCGGTTGTCCGCCAACGTTCCCCGCGTAGGTGGAATGATAGGATGTAGTGCGAGAAGGACTAGGGTTGGACATCTGGGAGGAAAACGAGTTGGTATGGACGAGACCAGCGCTGGGAGGAGGAGAGGCATAGACGCCCGCGAGAGTGGAGCTATGCCCGGAATATGACACTGGGCGATTCGATGCCAAGTCGGTCCCAGGAGGAGGGCCAAAACTAGGGACCCTGCCTCCTGTTTGCGAAGGAGGAGTGTAGGGGACACTGTTGTCGGCCGCAATGGCTGCCGCTAGTCCGGTTCCATCCTCAGAATCAGGAGGCGGAGGAGTCTTCTCGCGATGCTTGATCGGCTCTGGTGCTGCTGGCGCGGCGGGGTTGTATGGTAGAGGAGTGAAGTCTGCCTGCTCTTTGTGTCCCTCCACAGGAGTCTGGGACACAGCAGCAAGAGCTTGCACAGAAGGGGGAGGCGGCAGCGGCTGCAAAGCCGTGTTAATATTTTGAGGAGCCGCGCTAGGTTCTGACATCGGCTCCGATCGGGAGTTTCGAGTCTTCCCATTCTGATACTCAGGATCGGTGATGGCCACGTTCTCTAGCTGTTGAACAACTGAGCTGATTGCATTAGCTGCCGGAGCCGCTGCGAAACCATGCCGATCGCTCTCGACCTGCGGAGCGGGCAGAATATGCTCGACACAGTCCATGAATTGGTTGGCATCCTCGAGCGTCCAGAAGTAGATGTCTAGCGTATGGAGTCGGAGATACTCATCCGTCTCCTGACGAGGGTCTCTGTAAGGTAGACGCCACTCGTAGAAGTTCGGGTTTGAGGGCTGAGGAATGGCTGAAGCCGTTGGCAGGTGGCCATCGACTACGAGGGTAGACAGCGTGGGGAACTTGTTCGAGTGTCGGATATGAACATATTCCAGGGCTGAACAATCAGTCAACGCACATTAAAGCAAGAAAAACTTCGGCGTCGTTCTCCCCGACAGACCTCCATTGAAAGCATCTTGATCGCTTGTTCCCGGGTTATTGGCAACTTCGATCCTGGCCTTGTGCTTCGACGAATCGTGGTAGATATAGAGATACGAGCCTTTGACAAAGCGATGCTGCAGAGGATTAAGCGTGGGCAAAGCAAAGTAGTAGTGGACATCCGCAAAGCTGCCGAGTAAAGACCATTTTTGTTAGACCTGCTGATCTTTATCTTTCACCTCGAATCGTGTCATGTGCGGGGTTGTTACTCACACTGTCAGCACACGCTCTTCGCCAGGTAATAAAGGCATACTGGCCACTGTTCAAGGTACGAGGGAAGTTGTTAATAAGATGGATTTAACATGAGGCGCCGAGGAGGGAGCATCAAGGTTAAATAATCCCGTCGGCTGGCCAGGTAGGAACCTGGAGACATGCTGCAGCCCCCGGCGGCTACAGGGTGTCTCTTCGCCATACTGCATTGAGGGGTGGGCGTTGCGACTGCTGATTGCTCAAGAAGATACAGTAGAAGAGCTGTAATAGGTACTTATTTAGTTAGTATAAAGTTACCTACCTAAGAATAGGTCCTAGACAATATTCAAGTCAAACGTCTGAATAATACTTGGTTAGTATCTTCGATTAATCTATAAAAAATAAGAGGAATAGTATATTAATGAAATATAGTTACAAAATAACTATACCACCTTGGTACTACCTACCTACCAAGGTACGGAGTACTTATATGAGTACTGGTCTTAGCATGTATTAATATTACAGTAAATTACACCACATAGGGTTAGTCCGAAGACACGGAGCAGAGTTTCTCCGATATTTTTCACGGCGCTCTGCGGTCGAATGTAGCAGACAGCGCGGTCAAGCAGATACAGACACGGACGGGGAGCTTCCAAAGCAGAACTGCGGTACAATAATTGAGTGATTCAAAGACGGTGTCCTCTGTCTGGTTCAGTAGGTTTTTTTCTGTCCCCCATGGTTGCCAAGTTGCCTTGGCTGATCTCCGGCCTCCGCAGGTTCAATCTACCACGCGAATCGAAATAGCCGCCGACGGACCCTGACCAGGAATTCAGAGAGTTATACTCATTAATTACCATCAGAGAAGCCCACAATGTCTCTCGTCCATCTCGCCAACGTTTGTTCACACCTGAACAATGCCACCAGGGCTCGTCTATCCCTAACCTCCATCCCGAGCACGAAGCTGCATCTCAATCTCTGTCTCGCCCTCCAGAACGCTGGATTGATCTCCTCGATCGTCCGCGCCGGTCCGGAGCCCCCCCAGTCCCATGTCCTGCTCGGTACTCCCTTGGTGGAGGAAATCGAGCCCGTGACGCAGGGGAATGTTGCGTCGCGGCGCCTGTGGGTTGGACTGAAGTACTGGCAAAATGAGTCTGTTCTGGGCAAGATAACTCTGATCAGTAAACCCAAGCGAAGAGTCATCATCGGCGTGGAGGGTCTTCGGGATGTGATCCGCGGTCATCGCAGTGAATCAGTTGCCGGGTTGCGGTCACCGGGAGAAAATTTGTTCCTCTCGACGGACCGCGGCATCATGGAGGCGCGGGAATGCGTGGAGAAGAAGATCGGAGGACTGGTTCTCTGCCGCGTGGAATAAGTGTACACAAGTTCTAGCGGGAAGGTGATGTTTGTGGTATTGGGTTTGCATTTTGTTCGGAGTTCTGTCCGTCGCTACGTTTTTCATGGTTGGCGACGTTGAGATACCTAGGTCACACGGGTCTGTACAGTACCATTGCGTTCGCTTCATGTACTATTTTGCGTGCCTGCTTAGCTCTTCTCTTCGCTTGTAGGCTGAGATTTCGAGATATTGGAGCCTAGGTTTTTTAAATACTCAACTCGAAGTTTCTTTACTCTACAGGTAAATTGTACCATCGGCAAAAAGGAAAGATTGATTGCTTGGTCTTATCAGGGAACAAATTCCGATGATTATGTTAATGATGATGGTGTCGGGGGTGGCCAGGGTCGACCCCTGGCTTGTTGTGCCTTCGTGGTCCATGATTTGTTGTGCTTCTCCGCACCGACAAGCGAACGAACGAACCTGAATCATCTATCTGCATCACCTCCTTCCTCTGCACCATGGATGGGGACACGACAGTCCTTCGCAAAGTCTTGATCACAGGCGGGAGTGGGTTTGTGGGCTCTGCTATCGCTCGAGCTTTCGCAGAACATCCAGCATGTGCGATCACCGTGGTAGACTTGACGCCGCCGGGGCCAACACACGTTGTACCAGAGCAGGCTTCATTCATCAAAGCCGACATCACAGTACAAGATGAAATCTGCAGAGCTGTTTGCCAGGTCGAGCCTGAAGTCCTTATCCACACGGCTGGATTCATCCCTCCTCTCAGTGAGCGGTTTGGACGGAAGCTACAGGCGCTCGTGTGGAAGGTCAACGTCCAAGGAACCAAGAACGTCTTGGAGGCTGCAAAACGGGCTGGTGTACAGGCGTTGATCTACACCAGCAGTTGCTGTGTCATCACTGATGATCTGGGTATTCCGCATCCAAATATCGATGAGCAGTGGCCAGTGTCGCCATCGTCGCTCATATACGGAGAGTCTAAAGTTGGGCTTGCATATTCCGTAAATAGACATGCACTCTTGGGAACAATTGTGTACATGGTGCTGGGAACAAATCAATATAGCTGACTGCGAGTGATATGGTCCATAGGCAGCCGCGGAAGCATCGGTTCTTAAGGCATCGGCCGATACGCTCGTCACCTGCGCTCTCCGGCCATCGGTCCTCTGCGGGCCTGGAGATCATCAATTGGTCCCGGCTATTCATGCGTGCATTGCAAAATTTGAGACCCCGTTTGTTATTGGCGATGGATTCAATCTATGGGACGTCACGTACGTGACTAATGTAGCGGATGCCCATGTTCTCGCGGCCGAAAACCTGCTGTCTTCCAAGACAGCAGCTGGCGAGGTCTTCTTCATCCAGAACAATGAGCCCGTCCCTTTCCGTGATTTCTGCCTGGCGATATGGGCTCATTTCGGGCACTACCCGCCCATTGAGCTCCACATCCCTCAAACCCTCGCGTACATTGCTGGATTCCTGTCCGAGTGTTTCACCTGGCTTCGCGGGACGACGACGCTGAGCCGCGGCAGCGCCCGGGACGCGTGTTCAGTCAGGTACGCAAGCGGAGAAAAGGCAAAAAGGATCTTGGGGTATGAGGCTCGGGTTGGGTTCGACGATGCTGTCCGTTTGAGTTGTGAGGTAAGTCATATTTGTTACCCAAATATCCCTTTCTCTGCCGTGCTCTTGCTCATCATAGGCCCCCCTAGGATTATGCCCGTCGGCTGGGCATCGAGCTACCTGCCCAAAAGACAAAGTATTGAGGAGAACCCCTTTCTTTTTTTTTTCTCATCTGGAAGATTCGATCATCAAAGAGGGAGGCTGATACAACGGCCCCCATCGTCTCAACTTGAGGTGGGCTCCTGTAAGCAATAGTATGCGAGTGGCGAGACTTCAAATCCTTGTTCCTTGTTGCCTTCCTGTTTCTAGAGGAGCGCCGCAGATGTCACCGGGTATCAGATCGTCCTCTCCGATCAATCTTGAAATGTCATTCCTGCCCTAGAAATCGACCTATAGCCCGTGATAGCCGATTGGGTCTTCCTTTGATAGCTCATCGTGCTGTCAGCGTGTATTGTCTCTGGGACTCACTCGGTCACTCAAGTTCCTCCCCTAGAAAACTGAGTTATTTCATAGACAGGGGGAAGTGGACAATAAGATGCTTTCCGCAGATCCGGAGGTCAACCTTAGTAGTATACTCAGAGGCTTCGGATCGAGAGACCGGGGCTCCTCCACCAGACGCTAATGTATTTACCACCTTCTTCACGGGAGCGCTTCGCCTTCACTACCTCTAAGCCCCATATCATATCGACTGTCTACCGCTCAGTAGTGTCCGCCTAGCTCTCGCTGTCCATTGTGGGCGACGAAAAGGATCAACACTTTGGCCCATAATTGGCCCATGCGCTCACTGAGAATTTGGGCGTCAAGGCCTGCAGATGAAATGTCTGCCCAATTTGTACGAGATGAAGGCCCAGTCTCTCTCCACATCCTGCACTCCGATTGTCAGCCTACACACGCTCTCTGAGAGAACCCTGTGTAGCGTGGGCCGCGCACTTCCCCCTCCTCTGCCTAGCTGCCCACAAGCGCTTTAACGAGTATCAGACTGTCATCACCCCGTTGGATCTATCAATTTCGATTCGTCACTAAATGATGCCGACTGGATCACATACTCGACGTCTGGTAAAACACCACAAGGTATCTCGGGAGCAGCTGAGAAGTCCTGGTATGAAGTAGCATGTACGGAGTAGTCTCGAGCAACGCAGCCATATCACGATGTGACGCTAGACGGGATTCAGCCTAGGGCCGAATCTCATCTCATTTCACCTCCAGCTTTCTCTTCGTCCGTCTCGATTGAAACAGAGGAATGCTGTTAGCACCCAATGACCCATTCCACAGGCCTGGCGCTGTCAGAAAAAGCAAAAAGGGTGAAGGGTAACTAATTAGTTAGGGCCGGCTTGGTATCTGGAAGGCTTCTGAATGGGTGCATTGTGCCCTGGTGTCCAGACGTACCGGTTGCTGCCCAAGCCCACCCCCCCCCTCTCTTCCGGCATCGAATCCTCCTCTACGAAAGGTACGTCTTGCCTGCGATCGATTGTCACGCGGAGGTGGCGTCATTCATGCCTTGAATCATCTTTCCAGCCCCCCCCTCCCTCTCCCTTCCGGGTCCATCCATGAAGGCTTTTTGTTGGTAACCATGCCGGAGGAGAGGGAACCCGCCCTCGGCATTCCTAATCGAGAGGAAGACGGCTCGGTTGTTGACCGTGAGACACACATGGTTGGCTTGTTCTTCGGCCGTTTTTGGGGGCTTGAGCTATTATCGTTCCGTCAACTGTTTTCCGACATGTTGCCAGCAAGGCATTGTGGGGGTCGTCGATTGGCGGTGAGGTATTGGTGACGCTGACTTTGATCTTGGATTTGTCGCATGGGAGCATGGGATGTCTGGAGGGAGAAAGAGAAATGGAGGGAGGGTGCGAAAGGAGGAGGGGGGTTCTATCCCCTCCCCAGGCCGTGTGGTGGTGATGATGATCTCTAGAGCCCACCCATCGCCACTAGTGCCTCGCCGTTCAAAACTGCTGGTGTTTGTTTATCTGGACCATGTTGCACAACTGGGCAGAGCTTGTCTTGCTCAGTTGAGACCCTCTCTCCCCAGAAAGCCCTAAACTTCTCGGCAAAAAAGCTATATTAGACCTTGTCTTTTGACCAGTACCCAGCATCTTCCAATTATCTTTTTGCGTCGCTTAGTCCATCCAGCCGTCTCGCCCGGTGCTGTGCATTGAACTGTATATAATTGACCCTGTTCCTGCCGTTGTGTTTGGCTACTTTCTATTTTTCCATTCTCCATGCCTCCTGTCCTCCCTCCTCCATTAATGGCGCTGCCACCCAACTTCAACCCATTTGCGGGCACAACAACACCTAGCATCGGCTCACGGACTTACTCAGGCAGCAGTGATTCTGATTCGTGGTCTCGTCACAGGTCAGTGGGAAAGAGTGACCCGGCGTCTGGCTTCTTGACAAGCTCATGTCTGGCTAGCAGTGCTATGTCTCAACAGTCGTCGATCTACAGTTCCTCCTCAGGAGGTCACCCTGTCATTTATCAGCCAAGGTAGAATCTTTACTTCATGTCTCTGCGCTTGTTCGAGTTTCAAAATTGGCGTCACATACTGAGACAGTCTTTACGGGTCGCTTAGCACTAAGAGGGCGTTCCCCCCCCCTCGGGACTTTGGCGCAAGAGAAATTCACCAGATACCGGCTAGAGCCCCTGGAAAGTCAACCGACATTGGATACCCTGGCATTCCTGTTACTGCGGATAGCTTTGCTCGTTTCCCAGACAGTTGCGCGCACATGTCATTCCCCCGAGTTGGACCCCCTCCACACCCGGCATCCGCCTACCGGGAATGGGAGCATCCAGCTCATATGTCATCTGAATATCTCCAGCATGATCTTGATATGAACTCCATGGACTCGCCCGAGTATCTTGTGGAAAGGACCAACAAACGAGGTGCCGATAAAGCCAAAGGCACCGTCAAGTATCATTCATCCAGGCGGCCCTCCAACAGAGACGAGTTTGATGGCCCCCATCAGCTTTTGGAAATGCCAACTCCACGGACTATTGCTTCCCAGGAAAGGGAACTCCCCCATCTACCTACTAATCTTGATGTATCAGAGCAAGACCAAATCTTGACCGCAGTCAATGACCGGCTGTCGCAGTGCGCCTTTGACTTTGTGGCGAAATACCAGTTCCCGATTCCTCTTGAAGCGGACAAGAGACAGGTGAGGGTCCCCTCGGATCGTGAATGGACCGAGTGGGTCTATCTTCTTAAACGGCTGGCGACCAAGCGTCGCATTCCTGCCCGAGTTCTCTATAACGGCCAGATCAAACAGTTGGTAACGGTGCTGGAGAACTCTCTTGAAATGAGACACGCCGCCAAACATCAATCCAGACCAGTCAAGGATGATCGAAACGTGCTGCAATTGATCTCCGCCGGTACCCAGGTCGCAAAAATCTTGAAAGATGCCGGCGCTATGGAGGTCCTAGATCGCCTTTACGTCGATACGGAAAAGCGCATTCAGGATCGCCGCAGCCGCCGAGTAAAGTTCGCAACACCTTGAAGAACCTACCCGGAAAGTCATAATGCTGACGATTATACGTTCTCCATGATGTTGTGTTTTGAGGCCGTCCACTTCCAGCTCCAGGGACCAAGCCCGGATTGATCTTTATACTGCCTACTGAGTTGGCTCATCATAGAAACGGAACCTGCATCTCCCCTCCCCCTGGAGGAGACCTACTGAACCCCAAGGAATGGATAAACCTCCCGGCCTCTGTTTGGTCTTTGGAATAAATTGACAACAGCAACCTCAACCAACTACTCCCGGTTGGACGGAGGCGGACACCTGGCCCTCTTTGGGGCGACAAAATGCAAACAAGAAAGCGAAAAAAAAAAATCCAAAGTTCCCGGATCCAACAGACCCTGTTGCCATGGACTCTATCTCCCTATTTTAAGGCCACACCAACTACGGAGTTCAGTGAGAGAAGAACCTATGCTGCCTATTAGATGCTAGTCATGAGTATACGCTTGTTTAATTGCCACATTAACGCACACTCTTGTCAGTCATATGCTTTGATGCAAAGGTTATTGATATTTACTTGAGCATTCGCCTTGGGGGGGTCATGTTGCCTGCTGTTTTTTTTTCCCTTCTGATTCTTATGCCTTTCTCCTGTTATTTGAGCTTTGTTTCCTGTCCATTCATCACTGAGACTCCGCATACACGAGTTCCATTTGGAGCATCAGTAATGATTGACGGATGGATGATACCGTGTTCAACTTACTTCTTCTCATCTACTCGGCCCGGTTCTTTCTTGTTACGGAGGGGATTGTTTGATATTTAATGTTCCTGCGTACCGCTCATTCTAGCCCTATCCTCGATTCCGTGCTTCTTATTTCAAGGAGGGTCGCTTTTCTCCTGGTCGAATTTCACACACTACCGCTTTCTCCCACAAACTAGGTACCTACTGATCAAGAATCTACGAGCACCCTGACGCCTGCGCTTTCTTTTATTTAGTAGGTGAGCATCACCTTAACGGGTGCTGGAGTCAATAATGAAAGTGATTCATTGCGCAACTTGCAATGTTGATATACCCTCCTGAGACCTATAGCAATTGATTCACGATACAAACTCCAGCAGCCCTATGACCAACAATAGGGCCAGCTATGGCAAGTTTTGGCAGTCAGCTTGCTGTCAAAATGCTAAGTCATAGGCCGACTCATTTGAAGGAGATGGATGGAGTAGGCAAATGACCTTCCAAGTACCCAATGCCCAGGCAGCTGCTTGTAATCGGCAAGATGTTCTTTCACACTTGACCTTGAACTTGCTAGAGCTGCTTCACGGAATGTGTGAATGAGAAGCTGAACCAGGTGGTAAGGGAACAGTGGATAGGACAAGTGTGTATGAATATAATCACATCTACTCGAGATCTAAGGGTTTTGTATGAAGCTCCCTACCGTCTTGAACCACTGCTCTGAGGAAACTGACAGAAGATAACTCACGTCGAAGTCGAATACATGCAAATATATTGATCTGACTGACGAGATAACTTATCAGCCATGGGCTAATATGGGACATAGTGATAACTACTAAATGTGCGTCCATCAATCAAGTAAAAATGAATAGATAGCCGAGTGGCAAGTGGGCAACTCGACGATGTGGTTATCCGTATCTCCACCGTAGTTGGCAATTGTTTACTTCCAGTTCTCAACAGCCGACAGTGTTCAAGGCACTTGCAGGCTTTTGGATATTCTCAAGAAGGATTAAAAAAGTATTAACCTACCTTTCTTTTCATCTGAATCCGTCGGACTCTACCACCATCACACATAAATTACCCCTCGGGATGGCTCTGCACCGTCTTTCCCCTGAAATACTGTCACTCATTTTAGAGAGCCTCAACTCTCCTATCGACCTCTATCATCTCGCGTCCGCATCATGTGCATGCTGGCGGGTTTTTGTCTCATTCCGAAGGCTGGTGCTGTCGTCGGTCCTCAAAAATGCCATTCATCTAGATGCTCTGCCTCACGCACTCGCTGTGATCAACGCACCTGCTGCTGTGCCCGGGTCGCCAACACCCAAAGAGAAGGAAGTTATCGTGTTTCTAAATAAATATCGCAATGGCTGGCGTCTCGTTCCCTTTCCAACTGCATGGGATGATATCGTCTGCCTCAGTCGGCTCTACATGCGCGTCACTCGACTTGTGGATGATTATGCCACCCATGCCCTCCAAGCACTTCGGACAATTGACAGGCCCAAGCGCGACCTCAGCGTCTGGCCAACTGAGCTGGCGTCAGCTGTCTCACTTTCGCAAACAGAGCGAGCCCGGTTCCTGCGAGCGTTTTTTCGCTTTGAGCTCTATTGCAAGCTGTTTCCGGTGGCGTTTAGGAAGGAAAGCTGGTCTTTGTTCGACAAGAGGGCGCAATTTGAGCTTTTCCTTGCCCGACTCCAGGGCTGGGAGATCGAGGAGTTGGCCTGTGTCCATCAGTATCTGGCCCTTCTAGTGGATGATCTCATCAAAGAACTGGAGGACCAGCTTGTGTCGACGGTCCTATCCTGTAAACTTTTGTCTAGCGAACTGAATTCGAACCAGGAAGACAGCGAACTGGTCAGCTTCAATCCTTTGGCATTGCGCGGTATGGACTTGTTTTCTGAGGAAAGGAGGCTTCACTTAGAACAGTGCATCAACTTTCTCAGTTCGCTCGGTCTAGACTTTATCTACAATCTTCTCATTGCCGACAGAGGAGTCCGGAAGCAAACTATCCTCGCGCATGTCGGTGTTCGGCGGGAGTTCCTTCCACAGGCTCTCTCCTCCGCAGACAATATCGAGCTAATGAAGGAGCCCACTTGGCTATTCGAATCGTCGGCTCGCTGCAATCTGGGGTGGGTGGAATTTAGACGCTTCAAGTTCGACCGCTACCCTGACAGTTATGGGAGCCCGCCTCTCCGGGCGCAAGGATATGTCTTTTGGGATGAGCGCCGAATACATTCGCCAGGGGTCGCGGAGAAGCTCGATGAAGCTCAAGCCATGGATCAGTTCGAGGCAGAAAGAATTTTCGACTGTAAAAGACGTAAGCGTCCGCGGGAAATATTGGCAGGCGTTAAGATCCCCAGGGCTGAAATGGAGCGCATCGAGAAAGAGTTCGTGTTCACTTTTTGATCTCTTGCCTGCAGAACCTATGCCATGTAGGTAGCGCAAGGTCAGCTTGAACCTACCGTCATGAGAACTTCAAAGGAATTCATAAATTTCTGTTCCCAATGTTACGACTGGGCTCTGAGAGCATAGTCAGATGGGCACTTGCAATGGCTGATTAACAGAGCAGGGCCGATAGAAGATAGATACATATTGAAAGCATCATGCTATATACAAAACCTATGTTTCAATTCAATCGTAGGCTTGAAATCATCACCACGGTTTTAGGCATACCCAGTCAGATGCGAAAGAACGCGCCTGGTAAAGGGATCCCACGATATGACCAGGTCAGAGAGATCTAGATAACACGCCAGCTGCGCGGTGGAGTGTATTTTTGACAATCTCCAACGGTGAGAGAACATGTCTGGGGTGTTTCCATGCCAGAACCGCTAGGACACTGGCCGTTGAGACTAGGACAGAACCCATCCAGACGCTCAACAGAAATCCTTGTCTTTCCCTGGCTTTGATGACCTCGGAGTACCGCTGAGTGCTGAAGCTGACGCGCGAGTACTGTGTTTTCCAGCCTAAGCTGGGGATGTAGTGGTCCAAGGTCTCTTCGATGAACTTGCGTAGTCGGTAGAGAGGTGACTTGACACCCCATCGCATTTCAAGGTAGTTCTCCTTGGATAGATCGTTGATGGCGTGAGTGTCGACGGAGCGCTGGTTGGTGTAAGCTTGGAATGCAGCGGCGCGGGCTGCATCTCGTGCCTCTACATCTACCTGGGAATCGTAGACACCATGGTTGTCGAGGATTTCGAAGAGAACTCGGACATCCTCCAGCCCGGCGTTAAGACCCTGGCCGTAGAAGGGGAGTACAGCGTGTGCGGCATCGCCCACAATGACCACGCTGTCTCCGAAATGATGGGGTTTGCACTTGATGCTGATCAAGGGAAGGTGCGGGCTTGTAGCAAATTGCTGCTGGAGAGCATCGGGATGGATCAACTCAGGCGACACACCTGGGAAATGGTCATTGAAAAACCCCACAAGGTTCTCTGGTGACTTCTCCAGCATCGAATATTGAGAGGATGGGGCGAACAGCGTGCAGGTAAAGGTCTTGTCCGATGAAGGAAGTGCAATAAACATGAATTCCCGGCCAGGCCAGATGTGCAAATGGTTCGGTGAGATGAGAAAGTCGCCAGTCGGCGATGGTGGGATCCGAAATTCACACCAAAGAGCGTCGATATACTCTTGCTGGTAGTCGACCCGGGCATATTTCATCATGTGGAATCTTGTGGCCGAATGGGCGCCATCAGCCCCAACTAGATAGTCAAAGGATACCTCAATCTCCGGTGCACGGTCAGATTCACTCTGGCGATCGCGCCGCTCGAACCATGCCTTCTTGTTGCGAAAGTCGGCCCCAGTCAGCTTATGATTGAAGAAGAGCTTCACGTTCGGGGTCCTCTCCAGCTCATCAAGTAGAGCATTGTTTAGCACTCCTCTGTCAATGGCGTTGATGGCCTGTATGTTCTGTCAGCTATTGGTAGGTTGGATCGCTGATCTTCAGGAGTACACAAACTCTTCCGTGGACATCATAGGCTTGAGCAGCTTCCCAGAGCTCCCCGCCATCTTTGCCATGAATCATCCGGCCATGCATTGGAATTGCTTCGGACATGACATTCTCAACGAGGTCCTTGCACCTCGACTGTAACATCGACGTGATGCCACGCTCCGAGAGAGCCAGGTTGATGGACTTTGTAAAGTTCAGAGGAATAGTGGCAGCATCCCGAAGATCTGTGGAGACATGGAAGCAATAAGCATTTGTAGACGTCACATTGCATAAATGGTGTCTAGGATGCGTTCGTTGTATACATGAAGGTGGGGAATCGGTTAGACGCGGGGAGTAAAACCAATATTCCGCCAGCAAAAGGTTGGAGAAAGGGGAGGAGCAGAACAACTTGGGAGGGAAACGAGAGACGTGCAGACTGTCTTGAGGCTCAAAAATAAGGGGCAAAGCTCACGTCTTGAGCAATACCAGCAAAGAAAACGACCAACCTACCTCCTCGTAGCTCATATATTTCCACTTCATCGCCTCTTGACGCGGCATATATGGCGGCCAGCGAGCCTACAGGGCCAGCGCCAGCGATAACTACCTTCTGTCTTCTGGGTGTCTCCGTCATCAGGGCGGCTGGGAAGCGTGGAGGTTCTTTCGGTCCTGGAGCTGGAAAGTAAGAATGATTCATACTTTAAAACTCACGAGTCACGTTGCTATGGTCACGTGGGGTGGCATAAGACGATCCGAGGCCTGAGGCTCCAAGGCATTAAGGTATCCACGTTCCGTCGGCTTTCCAGGCTGCGGGGGAAGATTTCTTCATTTGCCAATCCGCTGCTTTGGGTGCACAACCTCTTTAATTTCGATAAATTATTTGGTCATAGATCCCTTTCCCTGAATTCCCCCTCGCTCTTCACCATGGCAGAGGTCGCGACTCGTAAGTGTATCGGGGTGGATTGTGAGAAGGACGCAGGAAGCTTGCAATGCCCGACATGTTTGAAGATGGGTACAGACAGCTTCTTCTGTTCGCAGGATTGTTTCAAGCGAAGCTGGGTAGGATTTCTTGTGCTACCATGAGGTGCACATGCGAGACTTGCGGCTGTGTTTCTAGTTTTACTGATCCTTGAATTGCAGAGCGAACACAAGGCCATCCACAAAACGAAGAGTAACATCCTTTCCAATCTGTTTCCTCCCAAGGTGGTTTCTGAACCAGATCCAGCTACCGGTCTCTATAACCCGTTTCCGACCTTTCAGTACACAGGCTCCCTGAGACCTGTGTATCCGCTGTCCACGCGGAGGCCCGTCCCCAAGACGATTCCCCATCCCGACTACGCCAAGGACGGCATTCCCCGGTCAGAGCAGAAGTATTTCGGCCGCAATAACATCAAGATTCTCAACAAGGAGGAGCAGGAGGGAATGCGCAAGGTCTGCCGTCTTGCGCGCGAAGTTCTGGATATTGCCGCACGGGAAGCGAAGCCAGGCGTCACGACAGATTATATCGATGAGGTGGTTCATAAAGCTTGTCTGGAGCGCGACGTAAGTGAAGGGATCTACCGGGAGGACGTTTCTCCCCGGGGACTCTTTTTTTCTCTCAATATTTTTTATTGACAAGCAATAGTCGTACCCATCGCCTCTCAACTACATGCACTTCCCCAAGTCCGTCTGCACTTCCGTTAACGAGACCATTTGCCACGGAATCCCCGACCAGCGCCCTCTTGAAGATGGCGACATCATCAATATCGATGTCACGCTGTACCACAACGGATTTCATGGCGATATCAACGAGACCTACTACGTCGGAGATAATGCCAAGGCGAACCCGGATGCCGTTCGGGTCGTTGAAACGTCCAGAGAGTGTCTTGACAAGTCGATCGAGCTGGTGAAGCCAGGGATGCTGTTCAGAGATCCGGGCAATGTGATTGAGAAGCACGCCAAGAGCCGCAACTGCAGTGTGGTGAAGTCCTACTGTGGCCACGGCATCAACCAGCTGTTCCACACCGACCCCAATATCCCTCACTACGGCAAGAACAAGGCCGTGGGGACTGCGAAACCCGGGATGTGCTTTACCATCGAGCCCATGATCAACCTTGGCACGCACCGTGACCGAACCTGGCCGGATGACTGGACCAGCACGACTGCGGATGGTGCTCTTTCGGCCCAATTCGAACACACCCTCCTAGTGACGGAAGACGGTGTTGAAGTCCTCACGGCGCGGTTGCCGGATTCTCCTGGCGGACCCATCCCTATGCCGGTGGCAACCCAGAACTAAACGTCTCTTTGTCGACACATACCTGCCTAAGTATATTGTGATTCATTCCCGACAAAAGTACTTCTCCAGCGAAGAACAGATTCCATGACTCCACCGACGCATTTCCCACGCCTATCTCGGCTTATCTTGTCCAATACCATCACCCCTCTTCAGTAGGGTCCTGCATTCAGACAACTTGAATATATAACGTGAATAACCAAACTAGTAGAGCGTTCTTTGATTGATCGGTAGCTTCGACCCCTATCCTGTAACTCTATACCGTCCTTCTGCTCTCCTCCAATTTTTTACTCACTCCTCCTCACTCTTCCGTTTTAGGCAATCACCGCAACCGCTCGCCGGTGGCCCGGCGTGGAAGCAGCTTAGGGCACCGGGACGGGGCCGATACGGAAGAAGAGGCCAATCATAGATTGTATCCAACAAGCGAGCTTGCCCGGTTGGATGGCGTGCTATCAGCACGTGATGTTTCACTAAGCCTGTAAAGGCTAGGCGGGCCCGGTGGACTCTCATGGCGGGCTTACTTGTAGTATTTAGTATTTACTACTGCAGCGACTCCTGAATCTGTTCATATCTCTGCTTCTCCTGATTCCTTCTAAGGAAGTCTGTCTAGATCTTTCAGCCGAGATGTCTGCGCAGGGCAATGCAACCGAGACGTCGCCGCTGCTCGGAGACCGAAGCAACGGCGGTGCAGCTGGGCCGTCGATTGCCACTGTTGTGAACAGCGGTGTCGATGAGTCGGGATACAATGGTAGCTCGCAACTAGGCCCCGATGCCGAGAGGGCACAGGCGAAGGATGTAACGGATTCAGCCGCTCGGCTAAGGTATATCGTTCCGGCGGTTTCGGTTGGTGTAAGGATTTTGTCTGGGAGTTGGGAGTTGTCGTCTGTCGAGAGCAGATACTGATTTGCTCTTTAGATCTTTCTGGCTGCTGCGGATCAGACGATTATCGTGGCCAGCTACGGGCAGATTGGAAGCGATCTCAGGGCCTTGAATTTGACCAGCTGGATTGCGACTTCATACTTCCTCACGCTTACCTCTTTCCAGCCCCTATATGGAAAGCTCAGTGACATATTTGGACGCAAAGCGTGCCTTTTGTTCTCATACGCCATATTCGGCACTGGTTGCCTGCTTTGCGGCCTGGCACGCGATATAAATGAGCTCATAGCTGCCCGGGTATGTTCGATGTCTCTGTGCTGCCAAGTCGAACAAAACCTTGCTCATAGATATGCTAGGTCTTTCAAGGTATTGGAGGCGGTGGAATGACCACCGTTGTTAGCATCCTTATGAGTGACATTGTCCCTCTCCGGGATCGCGGTCTCTGGCAAGGCATTATCAATATTATCTATGCTACAGGCTCTGGAGTCGGAGCTCCTCTAGGTTGGTTGAATGGACGAGGCTTTGAAAATTATTGAGGCTAATATCCCGCTTGATAGGTGGTATTCTGGCTGATTATATTGGCTGGCGCTGGTAAGACTAGAATTTCAGTATGTGTGATGGAACGGCACTAATCTTGCAACAGGTCGTTCATTATTCAGTTCCCCCTTTGCATCATTGCCTTTTTGTCTGTCCTGATCATCCTGAAGCTGCCCGCTCCGGAGCATGGCGACTGGAAAACAAAACTGCGCCGGATCGATTTCCTTGGAGCTATTGTCCTCGTTGGGGCTGTTTTCGGCTTGCTCCTCGGCCTGGATCGAGGCAGTAATGTATCCTGGACGATGCCGTTGACCATCATTTCATTGACTGCCTCGGCTGTCCTTTTTGTCGTCTTTGTCCTAGTTGAAATGTATCTTGCCGCGGAACCATTTGCTCCGGGACACATCATCTTTGACCGGACATTTTTCGCTTGTTACAGCTGCAACTTCTTCAGTTTTGGAGGCTGGCTCGCGGGTCTCTTTTACATCCCTCTGTACTTCCAGGCCGTTGATGGGGTTTCGGCAACCGGGGCTGGCCTTCGGCTCTTGCCAACTATCCTGGCTGGTGTCTCCGGCTCGCTCTTCGCAGGTGCTTTCATGAAATGGACAGGAAAATACCACTGGCTAACCATCGCTGCTTACGCGGGGTTGACTATCGGACTGACTACCATCTTTCTCGCCTCTGGACCGCTCGGCGAGAGCTCTCTCTTTATCATCGTCGGAACCGTCCTTTGTGGTTTTGGGAATGGAAACGGTGTCACCACGACATTGATAGGATTAAGTGAGTTTCCCCCCCCCCCTTCTTTTTGGTCATCAAGGTACCATTAGGGATGTTCCAGACAGTCACTGACTCCCCCACTAGTCTCTAATAGTACCCCCGAAGACCAAGCTGTAGTAACCGCCTGCTCATATTTATTCCGGTCTCTCGGCTCGGTGATTGGCCTCTCTCTCTCGTCTACAGTGGTGCAGCAGTTGCTCCGTACTCGACTGGGGTCTGAACTGCGTAACAGCAAAGACATCGACCGCATCGTCGAGGAAGTCAGACAGAGTCTGGACTATATCCGAACCCTAGACCCTGATGTTGCCAAGATTGTGCGCAGCTGCTACGGATGGTCGATCAACAAAGGGTTTGGTTTTATGATTGCTATTGTGTCTTTTGCTTTCTTCAGCTCGCTCTTCATCCGAGAGAAGAGTCTCAATCGATAATCAGGTTTATCAAGCAGACAGAGGCTCGACAACCTACGATAAATTTGATATACTAGTATTGTCGAGACTCATCACGCTCTAAAAAGCTAAAGAAGATCTGGAGGTCTGGAGAATTGGATGATCTCTTGAAACACGAATTATTAGTTATTTACTACGACTCTTAAACAGTTACAAAAATGCAGAGAGATCAATAAATTGAGAAATTTCGATATTCATGATCCGCTTTAAAAGCTAACAATAGAGGAACTACTAAAGAATTCCTCTGTTGTAGTAGTATTTAGTAACTATCCCTAAAGCATGGGCCAAGTGCCACGAGCCTTAAGTTATTCTTGCCGCTGAGAAGTTCCCCGGATCACCTCAACTTTTTCGACCACGACCACTCTTTTTGACTCTCAAGCCGGCCTGTTGGTGCGCTCTTTTTTCCTCTCCCTTCTTCTTACCAAGCTCGGTAGCTTTTGCATCCCTTGATTCCACTGTGCCTTGCTCCTAGTTCCCCTCAAAGATGACTCTCCCTCAATAAAACCTGCTGCCCAGTCCCTAACACTCTGCGTCATGTCCGAACCGCATGCGGGCCCGGTTTCCTTGTCACGATACCGGCCCATCCTTTACTTGTTCACTGGTGTCGCCGCTGCCTATGCAGTGTTATACATTCATAGTAGCTTCGTTTCTTCCCCTCCATCGCCGAACGCTGCCCTCCGACGTCGCAACGCTGTTCGCCGCCACCGACGCAATGAATCAGACGAGGTTAATATCGAGGACACCCCATCATACCGTGCCATAACCCATCTCGAACAGCTGGAGAGCCAAAATGGCGTGTACGGGACGTTTCGAATCGAGACGGAGGATGGGAGACGGGTTGAAAGTGGCCTTCTGCCGTCTTTGCTCGCCACTCGCGACCAGCTGATGGAGGAGGTGGGAGTCCCACAAGCTCACGCCGAACGGATGCGGGAGATGATGGAGGACACCTTCCTGGAATCGTTCCTTGCATTGGACTTTCCACCGTCGCACTCGATCCCAGAGGGGAGCGCCGAACGGCATTATCTGATGGAACAGCTGCAGCGACGTGGTATCTCTCGAGCAGGTATCGAGAGGGCGCTTGTACGGTTCAATGAAGATAGCAATTTCGGAGAGGAGCTGCGTCGCCGACGACAGAACGGCGAACGGGTGACTCTGTCTGCCTCTACTCTGCCTGATATCTCCGCGCCCCTACAAAACCAGGACGGAGGCGAAACGGTGGTCGATGACCAGAGCGTGTTCTCCTGGCGTGATAGGAACAACGACTCGTCGCCGACTCGCGAGGGCCAGAATCTGTTGAATTTGCTCTACCACATCGCGGAGGATCAAGCGAGGCGAGACGGGTACATCCACAGAGGAGTGACCTGCAACAGCTGCGGCGCGATGCCCATCCAGGGGATCCGGTACCGCTGTGCAAACTGTATCGACTACGATCTCTGTGAGACTTGCGAGGCGATGCAAGTGCACATCAAGACACATCTTTTCTACAAGGTCCGCATCCCTGCTCCGTTCCTGGGCAATCCGCGTCAATCACAACCTGTCTGGTATCCGGGCAAGCCGGCCATGCTTCCTCGTAGTCTTCCGCGGCCTCTAGCCAAACGGTTGACGAAGGACACCAATTTTGAAAACACTGAACTAGATGCCCTTTGGGATCAATTCAGGTGCCTGGCCAACCATGAATGGGCCGAGGATCCCAACAAACTCTGTATGGCGATTGATCGGAAGACCTTCGACCGCTGTTTCGTCCCCAACACATCTATTCGGCCGCCTCCTCCCAGCCTGATCTACGACCGCATGTTTGCATTTTATGATACTAATGGCGACAATCTGATTGGTTTTGAGGAGTTCCTCAGGGGTTTAGCTAGTTTCAATAACAAGAGTGCAGACGAAAGGTTGCGACGCGTCTTCCGTGGTTATGATATCGACGGTGACGGCTATGTGGAGCGCAAGGACTTTTTACGCATGTTCCGGGCCTACTACGCGCTAAGCCGAGAACTCACCAGAGACATGGTCGCCGGAATGGAGGATGATTTCTTGGAAGGCGGCGCACGAGACGTGATCCTTGGAAGTCAACCGATCAGTTCTGCCTTTCCTGGAAATATCCCGTCAGGTGAGGTTTCGAGACTGGGTGAAGGCAAGCGCATGAACCGGGAAGGCGACATGGAGATCACAGATAATGAAGGCGTGTTACGACCGGACGGCCTAGATACTGGCGATCGACACGTCGTGATTGGCGATGCTGCAATCAGAGAACAGTTTGGCCGGGTGCGCCCGGTGTTTCCGTCGACGGTGCGTCTGTCGAGTGCTGCTGTCGCGTCCGGTCTCCGACCGATAACTATGAACGGAAACGTAGAGGCCGTCCGTCATGGCGGTGGTGATGATGGCGATGAAGACTCAGAGGACGCGAGTGATTCCGAAGACCAGTCCAGCTCCTCCGTTGCCAGCGACCATTGGCCCCCGGCAGAACATATCCTCGAGGAGGATATTGTTAATGCCCTTGGCGCGCCGGTGCCTCTCCATGAAGTGACTGACCCCGTCGATCGAGCCCGCATTGGTACGGCTGTCTATCACAGGATGCAAGACGACGATCAGAGACGAATGGACGATGCACGGAGACGGGGTATCGATGATCGCTGGCGGAGAAGAGGCTTCTATGTTGATGAAGAGGATGGTGCAACAGCCCCCGAGGGTTATGAAAGGGATTCCGCCATCGATGATCTCAGCGATGAAGACGATCTAAACGACGAGCCGGCCGTTGAATCGCATCCTCCAACCCCTCGTTCCCGGTCTTCGTCCAAGGTTCGATTCCAGGACGATATCACGGATGATTACGATGTGAGATCCAATCCCTCTACTTCTTCCCGCAGCATACCTGTCGGCGAAAGATGGGGAGGCTTTGAGATTCCGGAAGTTGAGCGGGATGTGGGTAAGGAGATATTATACCAAGTCACGCAACAGGGTTTGAACGAACTGCTTGACATTCTCTTCAAACCCAAGGAGGATCTTCTCATGGAGGTGTACCGAACACGGGCGGAGCGAACGAAATGGGCTCGCGAAATCGAACTGTTCGAGCAGTTGGAGCCTGAAAAACGGCAGCGGGGGGAGAAAGGCCGGGCAGCCGATGGAGAAGTAAGCCAACATCGCCAATCATTTCTGGACCTCCTCGATGTGGAACTGGACGTGGAGAACAAATCGCTTGACGAGCTCTTGCAACGGTCTGGCTATTCCGTGACTGGGCCGGCAGCTGAGCCCACCAGTGATGAACATGAACCCGTCGTCACTCCATCATTGGATTTACCTGTCCAGGATGATGATGATGATGATGATGATGATGATGATGATGATGCCCAGGCCGCGGCCCCTCCATCCGAACATGACAATGCACTTTTCGAGGAAGAGCCAGCGTTCGACCCGACACTTCCCCAGTTCCGACCCGACGAGGAGGAACCATTTTCTGTTGCAGCCAGCCCGGTAGAGACAAGTGACTCTCCCATCCACCACGAGCGAACCCTCCCCGAACCACTCCGCCTACACCCCACGACGTCTTTCCCAGCTCCTGTTCCCTCTTCATGCATGGAGGGAGCCGAAACCGAAGCCGAAGCCACGGCACCCAAACCGAGCCCTTCATCCATGCATCCGCTGCCTCCGGCCCATGTCGCACCGCCCCTCCAACCGCATGAATCCCCCTTGCGGCCCCCTTCATCACGTACGCTCGCCCGATGGGCCTTCCTGAACCAGGTTGAGCGCGAAGCCAAGGAACGCGGGGGCCACGGGGCGAAGCTGAACTTTGAAGAATTCTCCCGCCGGATGAATGCGGACCGAGGCAGGAGGTTGGCCTTTGTAGGTAGTTGGATTGAGATGGCGAGTTTCTAGGCTCTACGTATACCTTGTGACATTGTACATTAAGAAACATATAAAATACATCTATCAGTAGATATGCCTTGTAGGCTTAAGATGAGAGGACCGGACTAGTGAGTGCCATATAGCTAAAAACTGAACGTGGGGGTATAACTATCCGATTAATCCCAGTATTTGATGACACCCTCCAAGCCACCGGTGACGACCTTGCTGGTCTCCTGGGGATGCCAGTCGAGACAGGTGATGGCACCGCCCTCTTTCCCCCCCGCGAGGATCTTATGGTACATCTTGCCGGTCTTCCAGTCCCAGAAGCAGACGTAGCCGCCCGAGTCACCCGAGGCGACGAACTGGCCGTCCGGGGAGATCTTGACGTCGATGGCATACCCTGCATTGTTGTGGCCACGGTAGCTCTTCTTGCGGTTCTGGCGGAACTTGTCCGTCGCGCCGTAGACGACGATCTGGTTGTCGCCTGACTGGAAGGCGACATACTTGCCGTTCGGGTGCAGCGAAGCGCGGTTCAGCGCGAACATGTACGGCTCCGCGATGAACTTGATCGGCACGGGGATCCCGTACTCCCATGCACGGAGCGACTTGTCGTCCGAGGTCGAGATGAAGCGCCGGTTGTTATCCACAAAGGTGAGAGTGTTGACTGCCGCCAGGTGGTGGTCGTACTCCTGGACGAGCTCGCCCGTGCGCGTGTCGAACTGCACGATCTTCTTGTCCGACATGCCCGCCAGGAACTCATGTCCGTTCTCCGCGCCCGGGTTGAAGCGCACGACGTGCGGGGTCTTGCCCGTTGTGAAGCGGGCAATGCATTTCCCGTACTCGGTATCCCACAGCTTCATCTGTCGGTCGTACGAAGCCGTCAGGAACGTCGTGCCCGAGCGGTGGAAGTCAGTGTCCGTAATAGCCTTGGAGTGGCCCGAAAACGTCCGCAGCAGCTCGCGGGAGTGGTACACATCCCAAATCTTGGCCTTGCCGTCCGCAGCCGACGAGAGCAGCAGGTGACCCGACTTCGGCAAGAACCGCAGCGAGGTGATGGGTTTGGTGTGCGACTTCCACGTTTGCACCAGCTTCTTGGGCACGTAGTTCTTGGTGCTGCCCGGTTCCTTGCGCAGGTCGATGTCCAGATCCTGAGGCACATGCATGTACGTCCGGCCCAGGTAATCGAACTGCTCTGATCCGTGGAACTCGGTCGTCTCTGCATGAGTCGAGTCGTCCTGGTAGTCTGTCGCCGCCTTGTTCATGGCCGGCATTACCTCGGCGGGAACGGCCGCCTGCTGTTCCTCCTCATCCTCCTCAACGTATTCCTCGTCACTTGCCAGCTCGTGGTCGTCAGCGGCAGCCTCCTTCTCATAGACGTAGTCATCGTCCACGTATTTTGCCCACGGACCCCGATACGCGCCGTCGCCCTCGACGATGCTCGCGTCACCCTTCTTCTGCCTTTTGGCGCGCAGCGCAGCAGATACCTCCTTGGACGGCTTCATTTGCACAATATCCCGCCCACCCATTTGCGCGGCGCGGTCCAGGTCGCCGATGAATGCGTCCGGGGCCCCTGGGTTGCGCGTGTATCCCAGACTCTGGAACGTGCGGTGATGTGTGGCAAACGTCGCCTCGCTGAAGGCAGCCTCCTCGGCGAACCCCGAGGGCACATTCTTACGCTTCAACCCATTTCCTACATCGGAAGAGCGGAAAGGGTTCGACGGGCCTTGTGACGGTCGTGACAGATCATCGTATGTGGCGTTGTAGGTGAGGGCGCCCGAGGAGGTGTTGGCGAGCATCATCTGCATATGTGCTTGATCCTACAAGATGTTAGACAGGTTTCATACAGATACAGATGGCCATTTTGAAAAATATTATAGAATTCAGAAAGAAGACAAGAAAGACAAGGAACAGAAGGAAAATCCAAGACCAAACCTCTGTATTCACATCTGGTGCTGCTACAATGGTGGTAGCGCTTGTCGCATGAGCCTTGGGCAATGTATTCGTGTCGTCGTCGCTGGAATCATAGCCAGCGCCTAATAAGGATGCCATCTCGAGACCCTAGTTTTGAGCCGAGTGTGAAGTTAAACTTGAAGGAGTCGATCAAAACCCAGGACAGAGGGTGTGAAGAAGGCGCGGGATCCCAGCTGCGAGCTTGAATTTTACGGGTGCCGGGAGAACCACATTGCGTACACGGTCCTGCGTCAGATTTCCGGGATAGATAGAACGAACGGGGTATACTGTGTCTATTTCTACTATTTATGCCATACAGCCTCCTGTCCTTTCTTTTTTTTTGATCATAGGAATTAGAATGTTCTGATTTGTAGAAGGGTAGGTTGATGTCATCATGCCAGTTCAATCGTGGGATATATACAACTCGCACCAAAGACTAAGTAATAATAAATGAAGAAAATCACACCGGTACTACACAAAAAAGAAGAGGAAATTCGTAGCAACTCCTCAGCCACTGTCTCCAAGTACAAGCCAAGGCCATCTTCACCTCTCCCAATGCCCGTTTCATCAGCCGTTAAGGGGCATTTCTCCAACACACCGTCTATCGCGTATATTCCCCCACCCGTTATCATTGACCATTCGAATCGTCCACACGTCACGGAGTCCAAGTTGCACCGGAAGACTGCTTATGGGTAGGCGGAGGTCCACCACAGGAACCGTGTTGATGCCCAAACCACAACACACACAAGGGGGGAGGGGGGAGGGAAAGATGCGAGTCTGGTTTGCAACCGGCATCTTCCCTAAAGAGAGAGACGATCCCGGTTTCCTTTTTCCTTTTTTCCTGTATTTTTTTTTCTCCCACGCAGCTCGTGATCCAACAGAGGTACTTGTGCGACACGTGGTCGATCTCAGCCGAGACCACCGTTGCGCATTGCGTGTTCCGTTTTCGAGCGAAGTCAATTGGACTCGTCACGGATCAGAGCCACAATCATGCTGTAGAGGTAGAAGAAGAACATCAGAAGGTGGAAGCCGAGCTTGATGAAGGATTCCTATTTTCCGGTCAGTCTCCTTCCAATGCCATCACTGCCGACTCTAGAAAGATCAAGGCATACCTTCTTGTGCACGTTCAGCTTGCGGAAGATCTCGGTCGCATCCAACAGGTGTTGGTTATCGTAGATCCTTCGAACATTAGCTACTCCATCCACGATCAAGAGTCATAAAACATGGGTATTCTTTTTTTTCTCCCACAGCAGACGTACTTCTTAGCGTTGAATGCGAGGAGAGGCAGATTAAGCACAATGGCCAGCCAGTATCCGTTGATGACGAAAAGGAAGGTCAGGAAAGCGTGAACGGCGGCTTCGGGGATGATGTAGGCGTTGAGGCGGTTGCACAGGTCGATAGGGTTGATGTAGTCACTTGATCCGTCAGCAATTGTGTCCCCTTTTTTCCCCCTTCTTTCTGCCTTTTACCAATCCCGAGGCAGTAGAGACATAACTCACCATTCCAGATCACTGTACATGATCGTGAAGAAAACCTGGAGGAACAGGTTGACGGCGTTGATCAACACCGCCAGCAGATAGAGCCACGCTTCACCGGACATCTTGAGCTGTGATCGAGCAATGTACGACGGATCCTCGGAAACAAGAAAATAAACCACAACGGTAGACGAGAGGAGGCGATAAACGGCGCTGATACAATCGAACTGGACTCGATGACTGTCTGAGGGGTTCGAGAGAAGCGGAGCTTCGGTGGAAGTTGGGGGAGAATCGCGAGGACGGAAATGGAGTTTGGCTGTGGTGGGTCGAGCTTGTGTGTGGGTAGCAGGCAGTTAAGCTAGGTGGACTATTGACAGCAACCTATTAGCAAGAACGCAGACAGTGTGGTTGCCGATAACTCAAACCCACAAACACCCTGGTAAATAGCACGCTGAAAAGAAAAAGACTCTATCGAAATACGTGGTTGTTGGCGTAGGCAAAGAGGAAAACTCGAGAGGCTGGGCTGATTGTGCGATAGTGAGATTTGCGGGTTTGGGTCGAGGACGATAGCGAGGGCAGTCCGTGCTTTCGAGCAACAATGAACCACCGCAAACGGATATAACGAGGCGGAGGACAGGTCGAGAGGATATATATTCCTTCTATTCTGTGGAATATCCGCCGGGAAAGCAGGGTAGCCTGTGCTGGGAGTCTGTGTTGGCCAGCCACAGAGATGAGGAACGTGGAGCACCGCTCAGCATGACGTCTGTTGGGCGGTTTACACGTGCGTCCGGCCTTCCGGTGTCTTCCATTGCGAAGCTCTCGATAGATTCCAGGAGAAGAGACTGGGTTTGAAGCAATTCTACGCTGTGTGTCCTAGTAAATACAAATATGCATATTGTGGCCAAGTCATATGCCATCGAACATTCATTTTATATGCACGCTTGGCTGATCAGACAGCTTGTCAACTCAAAATGATACAGCTATACGTAGAGGGAGAAATATGGAGGATGATGGAGGAAAAACAAAAAAGAAACAAGCAGAGTGGGAAGCAACGACGAAACAGTGGCGGTACAGAACAAGAAGGATGAAAAAAAAAAAAAAAAAAAAAAAAAAAACAATGGAACACGCCCAAGGATAGTCATGACACATTACCTCTTCTCCACGAGAAGGATATGCATAGCCCCGTAGGCAATCACAATGAAAGCCCCCGAGATGATGGCAAGCCCGGCGACATCATTCCACAGAGCCAGCGTATCGAAACCAAAGGCACTGAGGATTGATGCACCCGGTACTTCGATATCCAAGCCATATTTATGATCGATCAGGGTCAGATAGGTGACCTCGTTGACGATGAGAGCCTCAAAACCATAATGGAAGATTGAGAGCTGGATGTACTGTTAGACGGCAACTTTATAATTTTAAAAGAGAAAGACTTACCGTTTGCAGCCAGAGAGCAGACTGGGGAATCGCATCGTGGTTGAGAAGGAGACCGGCGAACAGCAGACTGAACAGCATGACAAGGCTGCCAATCAGATTGGCCACCCCGGCATCCCGGAAGACAATGCCGATGAAGAGACAGATGTTTGCGGCAGCAAGATTGAAAAGGACGAGGATCAGGATGAACCGTAAGAACCACGGCCACGCGGGGGTCAGTCCGGTCATCGGGTAGACGATCGTCCCCATGATGATAGGTGGGATCAACCGTAACGGGATCACATCGAAAGCGACCTTAGCAGCGAAATAGGTGATGGGGTGGTAGTAGCCATTGGCGCGTTCTCGCACAAACAGGAGCCGCTCGGTTGAGAAGACAGTCAGACTGGTCAGCGTGCTGAACCCGAACAGGGCGAGGATGAAGAAGAAAAGACCAAGTCGATTCTGGAAGCCCTTGATGTCGTCCGTCAGCCCGTAGAACAGGTAGCCGCACAAGACGGCAAGAAGAATCGAGATGGCGTAGTGGGTGAGCATGAGCATCGGATTGCGATACAAGTTGCGCCAGGTCCGTTGGGAGAGAATAATGAACTGCCGGAGGTATCCGACTCGTGCGTAGCTTTTTTGCTGGACAAGTGACGAGCCAGACATGACTTCGCCGTTCGGTGAGCCGTTGGCCTCCTGCGCCTTGCGCACCGCAGCGGAGATCTCATCCTGGACCGAGCGAGCGACGTCAGAGGCGTGATACTGAGAGACGAGAATGTCGAGATCCGTCTGGATGCTGGGAGCAATCGGTGGGAGCTGGTCTGGATCATCCAGGATCTGGGGCGGAACTGCGCCGCCGTCTTGCCGCGAGAGCCGAAGCCATTGCTGGGAATTCTCCGCGGGCGCAATGAGCCCAACATCCTCCTCGTCGGTCCTGGGGGTCAAAGACGTCTCGTAGTCCTTTCTTCTGGAGTACAGTTGCCTGTCTTGCCGCTGCTTTAGTGAGACCCGTCTCTTGTTCTTGGGCCGTGAAAATGGCTCAGCAGCTGGGGTGGGAAGGTCTCCCAGGCTGGCAATCGATGCACTTGCAATGGATTTGACGGCTTGCAGGCTACTCGATGAGGTCTTTGGGGGATCGACATCAAGGAGAGAGGAGTCCTCTCCCATGTATGATCGGGCCCTGCTGGCATGCATGGTTAGATCCACAAGGTAGTCGGCGATGTTGAACCCAGGAGGGCAGGAGTATCCCAAGTGGTCAAAGTAAGATTGACAGCTGGAGAGGGGGCCAGAGTAGACGGTTTGGCCTTGAGCCAAAAGGATGAGACGGTCAAAGAGGGCAACAATGTTGGAACGCGGCTGATGGATGGTGAAAATAACGGTCCGGTTGTACGTCTTGGCCAAGGTGACCAGACACTCCACTACGTTGAAGGCATTGAAAGCATCCTATGTAGCATGTTAGTCTTACTTTCCACAGAACTTCTCATCTTGCTTGCTTCGTTGATTCTTACCAATCCGCTAGTCGGCTCGTCCAAGAAGAGAATGCTAGGGCTTGTTACAAGCTCGCAGGCAATTCCGACCCGACGTTTCTCTCCGCCAGAGATACCACGTCCTTTACCTTCTTCGGAACCGATGAGTTGATCCTTGATGTGATAGATGCCGAGCTGCTTCTCCACCTCCAAGACTTTCTGCTCCTTGGCGGCACGGCTCATATCCCTTGGGAGTCGCAGTAAGGCACTGGTCAAGATGGTCTCGTGAACTGTCAAGGTAGGAAGCATGGTATCTTCCTGGTCGACAAAACCGATCAAGTTCTTAAAGTCATGGTCGCTGATCTTTTCACCGTTGACGTAAAAATTTCCCCGAACAGCGCCTCGCTTGTTCTTGCGCGCAAGAATATCCAGGAAAGATGTCTTTCCAGCACCGGACGCACCCATGATGGCCGTAATCTGGCCCGGTTGGGCGGCACCCTGGATGTCAGAGAGGATTTCCCTGCCGTTTAGGTAATACGACACGTTGGTGAAGTGCAAAGCGGCTGGCCTCTGCTCCTCCAAGAGTCTGGCAGCCTCATCGTCAGAGTCATCTGAGAGGGGCAAATGGATGTAACCCTGATACGCCGCGCGGCGAGAGAGGTACCAGATGGACAGAATGACGGCGACGATGAAGAGTGCACAGCCAGCGATCACACCGGCAATCAGTGGGGTGTTGATCTTCTTCACCGGGCGTTCGTATCCTGGTACATCGGTCTTGTACAAACACTCTCCAGAGTAGCAGTCCAACGTGATACTGCTGTCTCCGAAAACCTGCTTGATCAAATCGTCCATTGCGGGTTCCATAAACCTGCTACCATCCCGACTGCTTCCACCAAGGGTCGAGAGCGTCGAGAAGCTTGCCGGACCTTGGATCGACTGCTCCAGAAATACGCCAATGTCAATTGAGCCGTCTTCGCCGCACAGGAACCGCCCTGGAATGCATTTGCACTGGATCTTATCACAGTTATAACGTGTGGCGTTGTGGTCATAATCGGCCTCCAGCGACCAGTCGCACGTATCCAGCGCACAGTAAAACGATTCTCGCTGGTCGACCCAGACTGCACACGCCGACAAATAAGCCCAAGTCAAATGCGGGAGGCAAAGGTATACATACACTGAAAGTTACACGTGTGGTCATCGTCTTCGCAGGAAAAGGTCACCTGTGGCTTGCGATCCTTCAACTCCTTCAGAATCATCTTGTTGGTCACATCGCACATCTGGAAGTTCTCCTTGACGGTGACGCCCTGCTTGTAGCAAACGCCGCCTTCGCCTTCCGGCATCATGGCATTGCAAGCATTATCCGTCTGGCAGACATTGCAGTTGATTCCACCCCACCCCTCTTCACAGTCGCAGTATTTTCCCTTCCGCGGCGCTCGGTTGCCTCCATCTGCCAGGGAGCCGCACAGCGGCTCCGAGCAATCATCGCCGCCGAAGCCCGGTGGACACGTACACTTCCCATTGTATTTGTTACACTGAGAAAATTGAGCACATTGGAAAGCGTCCAGCTGGCAATTGAAGCACGGCGGACACTCAGCCGGCCGATCGTCGAAAGTCGAGTACAGCGGCTGAACCACCTCTGCGCGGGTGTAGTTACTCCGAGCGATCGCCGTCGGCGCAGCCGCGAGCAGAGCCGTCAGAACAAACGGCAGCGTTGACCAAGATCGCATCTTGACAAACGATAAAAGGGCCCTCGGGTCAACCCTAAGCACTCATACAGATCCGGCTGTTCGCTAGCTCGTCTGTCTTCCTCGACCGTAACGTGTTGTTTTGCTCCGACCGCAGGCAAGAGCGGAGTGAATGCGGAGACACGCAACCCTCCACCGGGGGAGTCCGGCACTCCAGTAGGGCACCCCTACTCGAGACCCTGGCGTTGTCCGTCGGAATATGCTCCTAGAAAGGCCTGTCAGATACACAGAGCGGAAACCAAAGCATGGAAGCCAGTATTAGCGGTGGGTGATGGAAGGTAGCAATTGTTCGATGCGGTCTGTTGGTGGTTGGGGATGACGATAGCAGCTGCTGACTGTACCTGAGATGACGCTACTCCCGATGGGGGTTAGCACGCGAATCCTGCGGGGAGACACACGTGATCATTTATATGCCTGAGGCATGAATTGAAGGCAGGGAAGAGGAAAGAGGGGCACTGGGCACAACTGTGGGCAGTGTAGAGCCTGCTTTGAACACAGACCGGGAGATAGGCTGCAGGATGGTCAAACTCGAGACTTTCGCCGTCGAGCAAGTACGTGAGCGACCCTTTTGATTCCCTGTTCCCGACGGAGTGTGAGCTCTAACTCGCAGGCTTAGTGGATGGACGAATATGAGACAACGGCGACGTACAACATTGCAGAGACATGCAGTGCGTCGGTCTCGCTGGACCAGCTGCAGGAGCTTTCCGAGGACCAGTCGGGGCACCCATTGACGTTCACCGAGAAGCTTACCTATGGCCCTATCCGCGGCTCTGACCGGCTACGAGAGACGATCGCCAGGCTCTACTCCGTCCGAACCCCCTCCCCGCTACCCCGAGACAACGTGTTGATTTGCAGCGGTGCGATCCAAGCAAATTTTCTTCTCTACTATGCGCTGCTAGGGCCTGGAGACCACGTTATCTGCCACTACCCCACCTACCAGCAGCTCTACGCGGTGCCGGCATCGTTAGGGGCAGAGGTCAGCTTGTGGAAGGCCAAGGAGACAGATGGATGGAAGCTCGATGTGAAGGAACTGGAGTCGCTGATTCGACCCAATACCAAGCTCATTATTCTGAAGCAGGTAGCCCTGGATTCCGATGCGATAGCGAGCTTATGACTAACAGACAGCAGCAATCCCCAAAACCCGACGGGGGCGATCATTCCCGCCGGGACACTGGATGAGATTGTTGAAGTTGCGAGAAAGTCATCGATCTATATACACGCTGACGAGGTGTACCGGCCACTGTTTCACTCCATCGGCCCAATGGACAAGGACTTCCCGCTCTCTATCCTGTCACTGGGCTACGAGCGAACCATTGCGACCTGCTCCATGTCCAAAGCATATAGTCTGGCGGGGATTCGAGTCGGATGGGTTGCATCTCGCGACAGGGAGGTGATTGAAATCTGTGCCTCTGCCCGCCACTATACGACCATCTCGGTGGGCCAGATCGACGACGCGATCGCCAGCTACGCGCTGGCCCCAACTTGCATCCATAATTTGCTGAAACGAAACATCGAGCTCGCCAAGAAAAACCTGGCCATCCTGGAAAGCTTTATCGAGGCTCACCGGTGGGCCTGTAGCTGGACCAGGCCTCGAGCCGGCACGACCGCGTTTGTGCGCTTCACCAAGATGGGCAAGCCCGTGGACGATGTCGCCTTTTGCCAGATGCTACTCGAGCGGGCGGGGGTCATGTTTGTGCCCGGCAGTTCGTGTTTCGGTGGCGGACAGGAGTTCAAGGGCTACGTCCGGGTCGGCTTTGTCCAGGAGACGGAAGTCCTGGAGAAGGGACTGGACGCCCTGCGCTCATTCATGGAGGACAGCTATGAGGATGTTCCTGTAGTAAAAAGGACATAATTAACCACATCACCATATGAATGTATATATTATATTAGCATATCAACTCATGCTATTACATTAAACCAACGTCTGGTCAGTATTAGATTACTGAGATATCACCGAATTAGCCTGCTCTACTAATCATCCTTCCACAGTGCAAGAATTTAGGCATAATACAGCCGAAGTCTAAGCCGGGCAGCATGTGAAGATACTGAGAGTACACCTCCTCTCCCATTAATATATATTTCACCAATTATTATCTCTTAATGAGAAATAACTCCATGTAATATAATATTTACCTATCTAATTATTGTGTCAGCCATATTTCATTCTTATACTATACAGCCTTATGTTTATTTATGTCCCTGAATGTCCCACACTTCTAGATCGACTCCTCTTCCCCACACAATTCAGGGTGCCAGACAACAACCAACCGAGGCTTATCTCATGCCATCCCTGACGGATAGCCGGAGTTGCTTGCTTTTGGATGCTGCTGTCTCACTCCCATTTCTTTTTCTTCTGACTGTCCCCCCCCCAGGTTCTTAAGAGTCTGACAGACGCTGAATGCTTGAGTATGTCATCTGGTTTATAACCGTCGATCGCACGACAAAAATAGAGTACACGAATACCAGATCGAAGAGCTAGCCATGGCGCCACTTTCCGCTCTCAATGCTTTGTCTGCTCTGTCTGCTCTGGCGGGTTGGTCTTTCCTGGTCCATATGGTTTCGTGAGATTCTTCTTGAAGACTGATGATGTTTGGTAGACGTCCCCCTGGGGGTATCCGTGCCTGCCGCCGCCGCCACCCTGGCGTACCTAAACGCAAGATGGTCGCTGTTCTACGACGTGACGTTGATGAAGTCGATTATCAAGATGAACCTCAAGTCCCGCCTAGCCCAGCGTGGAGACCGGCTGAATCTCTTCTACATTCTCGAGGGGCAAGCCCTGGCCGCTAGTTCCGCCGACCGACCGTTTATCGTATACCACGGTCAAACATGGACCTACCATGAGACGTACCTCATGGCCATGCGTTATGGATCGTTCCTGAAGAACACATACGGGGTGAAGCCGAAAGATATCGTGGCCATAGATTTTATGAATTCGTCCACCTTCGTCTTCCTGGTTTTAGGTCTGTGGAGCATCGGCGCCTCTCCTGCGTTCATCAACTACAACCTCACGGGCAAACCGTTGACGCACTCGGTCAAATCGTCGACTGCCAGACTCCTGCTTGTTGATGAAGAGCTCAGGAAGGCCTTTTCGCCTGAGATCTTGGAGACCTTTGCGTCGCAAGATTTCCTCGATGACGGCAAGGGACCTGTGAATGTTGTCTTCTTTACCAGCGATATCGAGGCCCAGATCCTGCAGACTGACCCAGTCAGAGAGCCTGACAGTGCTCGCGGGGGCCAGATCCTCCGGGATATGGCTGTGCTGATCTACACTAGTGGCACCACTGGCATGCCCAAGCCGGCGATCGTCAGCTGGAAGAAATCCTGGACCGGTGCTATCTTTGTCCTCAACTGGATGGGCGTAAAATCGACGGATCGGTTCTTTACGGTAGCTTTTTGGTTTTTCCAAACACTTGTGTACTTTCACTGACCTTTGCAGTCCATGCCCTTGTACCATTCTTCCGCGTCGATCCTCGGCTTCATGACCTGTCTGATGGCCGGATGTACGTTCATCATTGGGAGGAAATTCTCGGCCCGGGGCTTTATGAAAGAGGCCCGTGATACCGACGCCACGATTATCCAGTACGTCGGGGAGACGATGCGTTATCTCCTTGCCGTTCCACCGGAAATTGACCCTATCACCGGGGAGAATCTCGATAAGAAACACAAGGTGCGGATTGCCTTCGGCAATGGATTGCGGCCGGATATCTGGAACCGGGTCAAAGACCGCTTCAACATCCCGACCATTGCCGAATTCTACTCGGCCACGGAGGCCACTTCCGGGGCCTGGAACTACTCGTCCAATGACTTCGCGGCTGGTGCCATCGGGCGCAACGGCTCCCTGGCCTACCTTGTTCTGTCTCGTGGAGTCACCGTTGTCGAGGTAGATTATGAGTTGCAGGCGCCGTGGCGCGACCCCAAGACGGGCCTGTGCAAGAAGGTGGCGCGGGGTGAGCCCGGCGAGCTGCTATATCTAATCGACGCGGCCGACACGGGCGAGGCCTTCCAGGGCTACTATGGCAACAAGTCTGCGACGGAGAGCAAGATCGTGCGGGACGTGCACAAAAAGGGCGACGCGTACTTCCGCTCCGGGGACGTGATCCGCTGGGACTCGGAGGGTCGCTGGTACTTCTCCGACCGGCTCGGCGACACCTTCCGCTGGAAGGGCGAGAATGTCTCCACGAACGAGGTCGCCGAGGCTCTGGGCGCCCATCCTGGCATCCATGAGGCCAACGTATACGGGGTGGCACTGCCAAACCACGACGGCCGGGCTGGCTGCTCGGCCATCGTACTCAAAGACCAGGTGCAGTCTTCCACTGGAGAATCTTCCGGCGACGATGAACGCGCCATCTTGGTGCCTTCCAGCGAGGTGATGAGCTCGATCGCCACACATACCCTCGAGAACCTGCCCAAGTTCGCAGTCCCGCTGTTCCTACGCGTCACCTCGGAGATGCAATCCACTGGCAACAATAAACAGCAGAAGCATGTCCTGCGCACAGAGGGGGTCAACCCGAAGCTCGTGGGCCCGCGTGATAAACTGTACTGGCTGCAGGGGTCGGTGTACGTACCGTTTGAGCAGAAGGACTGGGACCGGCTGGAGGGCGGACACGTGAAGCTCTAGCGAGTACCAAGTCGCATAGGTGAGTTTTCAATTCATGTTTGGCGTTTTCTTGGAGGCTTGTTTTCGGTGTAAAGAGTTCGATCAGTGTACTTACTACCTAGTACCTACCTACCTACCTAGCTAATCGATACCCTGCTCTCATTTAATACTGTAATATCCGATGAATGATTTAAGAGAATAACCCCGACAATTAATAGTGGTTGTCATATCTTTCCAAGCCAAGTAGTTTTCATCTCTAAATTCCTCGGCAATTGATAAGGCTGAAGCTCTCCGCCGCTGAGCGAATAAACACGACTTATTCTTACAATCATTCAAATAACGGTTGAAATAATATACCTCTCCCGATTAAAGCAATGGTTCACTCTCGAGGCACTCTCACTCGTCTGCCTCGCCCTCTCTCCTTCTCGCGATGTTACACACACCGCACATCCGCCTCGGCGATTGCAGCCTCCTTCCTCTCCCGCACAGCGTCGGCTGGTCCCCAAGTCCAAACTCAGACTCTAGACGCCAACCAGCTCCATCAACTGTATCTGACTCTCGGGCGACCGTGTCCCTGGGAGCCATCCAGGGGACCCCCCGAAGGCACTCCCATCCCGCCAGGCTACCACCTCGTCTACTTCACGCCCCGGTCCGTCGAGGCCGCCCTCGGGCCCGATGGCAGCGATGCCTCGTATAACACCGACCATCCTTTTACGCGGCGGATGTGGGCGGGCGGCGAGGTGGTCTGGGCCCGCGACGAGGCGGGCAAGACCAATCCTTTGCGTGTCGGACAGGAGGTGCGCGAGACGACGCGCGTGCTCTCTGCGGAGGGGAAGGTGGTGCGCCGCACAGGCGAGGAGATGATTGTCGTGGGTGTTGAGAAGGAATTTAGCAATGAAGATGGTCTTGCTGTGGTGGATCGACGGTAAGCATGATACTTGCTCTTGATGAGTTCCTGTTAACCGGTCTTTGGTGGTAGGAATTGGGTATTTCGCAAGGCGTTGACTGGCCCTCCTGCACCATCACAATCATCACAATCACCATCTACGTCGTCTACATCTACGTCTAAGTCTACGTCTACTTCTCCATCAGCCTCGTCGACTGGTTCGATTACAAGAACTCTCACACAAACAGACGTGACGCTCTTCCGGTTCTCCGCTCTGACCTTCAACGCGCACAAAATCCACTACTCTATTCCCTGGGCCCGAGAGGTCGAGGGACACCCCAACATTGTCGTTCATGGACCGTTGAACCTCATCTGCATCCTGGATTTGTGGAGAGATAGCCGTGACGACAGTCACGGCCCACAGGATCTCGTTTTGCCTCAGGGTATCTCGTACCGCGCCACGAGCCCATTATACGCCGGGGAGACATACACCATTGCCCTTGACGACGAGACGGGAAGAGTGGAGATTTTGGCACCGTCCGGGACAGCCGCAATGAGGGCAGACATAAGATAGTATACATTGAGAGCGGTTCATACCAACTCAAAAGTGGTGAGCGCATCGAAAGAGTGCGGAGATAGCGGGGCAACTAACTCCGAATAACTCCATCTCACTTCCACCAAGCACGAGCTGGTCTTTGTGACGAATATCTTATTAGAGACATCTTGCTCGATTATTCTGCCATGGCAGACGTGAATGCAACTGGCCATGGCCTCTTGAAAGAAGGTAATCCAAAGAAGAGAACCCGAGTACAGTTCTCCTGCACATCGTGCCGATACCGCAAGTAAGGCAAACAGAACAGCAGAAGAATCCAGAAAGAAGAAATGGGAATATGGCAGCAGAGCTGATGGTATTAGACTTAAATGTGATCGCATCTATCCATGTACACCATGCCAACGACGTGGCGAACCATCGGGTTGCGCGTACGTCGGTCGCGGACCTCGCGGTCGCCCGTTGCACTCGCCGAGCAGCAATACCTCTCATGTTCAGGATCGGTTACAGCATCTGGAGAATCTAGTTCTCTCGCTGACGCAGCAGAAGGTGACGACAGAGCAGTCTGCTTCAATAACTGACGGGTCCATCTCGGGGTCCGGGGTACAGGGCAAGCAGTCGCAGTCGCAGTCACAGTCACCCGCCGAGTCGGTGCCGCAGGTTACGCCGCCTTCTTCGAGTGGCGAGGCGCCGGAGGCACAGGACAAGATACCATCTGATGCGCCGGGGAAGCTTGTGGTTCGTGAAGAGGGGACGAGTTATATCGATAGTGCGCACTGGCGGGCGATCCTGGAAGAGGTAATGCTCTTTTTGATTGATATGTTATAGACGATTCATCTCCGCGATATACTGATTTGATAGATTAATGAAGTTAAAGAGTCTCTGCAAGAAAACTCCGATTTCGATGACGACGAGGACGATGATACAGGACCCTGCGGAAAGTCAGGCCCATCTCTGCTTTTTGGAATGGGGAAGGCCGTGACCCTCGATGAACTGCTGGCGGACCTTCCCCCTCGACCAGTGGCAGATCTGCTGGTCTCACAGTTCCTCAACTCGATGGAACCCGCAGTAGGTATATACGCCCAGCATGATTCTATATCCTGTGATTATTGATTTTTTCACATGGCTGATTGATCAGTGGTTCTCCATTTCCCGACGTTTCGTAAACAGGTGAGTTCCTCAGTCGGATACTTGTTTAAGGTAGTATTCATACAGCCTGCTAATACTGCTCCAGTATAATCAATTCTGGGAGAATTCCTCTCAAGTCTCGCTGTCCTGGCTGGCGCTTTTAAACGCCATCTTTACTCTGGCTGTGATCCTCCTTCGTCGAAAGAGCATACCCCTGCCGAACGCCCTGGGATCCCATGCCGAGGCGCTATGTCTGTTCCGCAAATGCGCCGTGCAGTGTCTGTACCAATGCCGGTATACCGCCCCGGGGAAACACAAGGTTGAGGCTCTGCTGTTCTACACCCTGGGCGTGTTCCTGGGCAGCAACGACGCCAAGGCAAACGTCTTGTATCTGCTGCGGATCACCATCCAACTGGCCATGCGCATGGGTTACCACCGTGACCCGGAATATTACCCGGGTATCTCGGCGCTAGACGGCGAGGTCCGCCGGCGTATGTGGGCGGTGCTCTCGCAGCTGGACTCGCTCATCTCCTACACTGCGGGCCTCCCCAAGATGGTTCAGAGCTGGCAGTGCGACACACGCCCGCCCTCGAACCTCTTCGACGAGGACATTGATGAGAGTATGGCGCGACTGCCGCTCCCCCGGCCGTGGAATACGTGCACGCCCTTGAGCTATACGATCGCCAAATCACGCATTATGGCGGTTTTCGGGCGCATCTCCGACCTGGCCTTCTCACGACAACCCGTCGCATACGAAGAAACGTTGGAGATTGACCGCAGCCTCGAGGAGAGCCATGACCTGGTGCCGGCGTTTTTCCAAATCCGACCGATAGCCGAGTGTATCGGCGAGAAGCCGGAGGCCATCTTGCGGCGTTGCACACTCGAGTTTCTCTATCAAAAGGCCCGCTGCGTCCTGCACCGCCGCTATATGACTGAAGACAGATCTAACCCGCGTTATGCTTACTCGCGCCACGTCTGCACGGCTGCCGCAATGGAGATCCTCCGCCACCAGGCCGACATATTCCAGCAGTCTCAGCTGGGGGGCCCGCTCCACTTCGAAAGGCTTTTCAGCAACTCGATCCAGAACCACGACTTCCTTCTTGCTGCCATGATAATCTGCCTGGAGGTTTCGTTCACCCCACCGGGTAGCGTCCAGGAGCGCGCTGACCTGCTCGCTGCCCTGGAAATGTCGCACCGGGTCTTCAACGACGCGCGGCAGCTCTCTGTGGACTCGCAGAAGGCATACGACGCATTGACAGTCATGTTGCGCCGCACGAGAAAAGCGTTTACTGCGGAGACTAGTAAAGATGGGACTGTGAAAACCTTGCCGAGTAAGCTCTCCCCTCCTTTCGACTTCGAGAACTATTTGTTGTTAACCCTATAGCAGCTGATCTGACACTCCTTGAACCACTCAACCCTACCGAATACACACAGATGCTGGAAGACCCGGTCTCGTGGGGGTTGATTGAGGGCATGCTCGATGCTCCATCCAATATCAACTGGGTAAGGTGTTCCTCCCTTTGTTTGATTTAGGCTGCTAATATATCCGTACAGCATCTATGGGATTACGAAATGCAAGGACTCCAAGATGAAGTAGGCGTGGAATTTCCCGGCTTTGAACAGAGTATATAGCTATAGTGGGACTGTACTATGTAGTCACTATGAAAAAAGTTGTATTGGCAGAGTTGATCGTGGACGTTGTCTTGAATTTCCAAGGCACCTCCGCTCCGCTTCGGCAGAATTCCGCATCATCAATAAACTGTTTGATAAGAGCTTAATAAATTTGATCAAAGACTCTTTTCCCGCCGAGAAAGATAATCTAAACTCACAATGAAACCCTTATTACCACGCCCTCTTCACTGCAAGGCTTTTCAGCAGTCCTTCCAAACATGCACACCATGGCGATCCCCGCAACCTCGAGCATACACCACCACCGCAGTCCGCCCCTTCCTCTCCTCTCTCCTCGGAGGCGGAGGAGATAACAACGATTCGTCTCGCAAAAGACATCTCACAGCCTCCCGGGTACTCCCCTACGCGCCCGCTCCGCTCTTCCGCACCATCTCCGCCGTCGAGTCGTACTCTTCCTTCCTTCCCTTCCTCACCGCGTCGACGGTGACGGCCCGCGACGAGCGCACGGGATTACCCTCCGAAGCCTTCCTAACGGTCGGGTACGGCCCGCTCAGCGAGACGTTTACATCCAAGGTTGATTGTGATGAGAGGGCTTGGGTGGTTGAGGCGAGGAGCGGAGGAATCGCTCCTCATGGGACTCGGACCGGCCACCCCCCCCCGTCAGGTTTTAGCTTGGATAAAGCCATTCCGGGCGCCAACGAAGGTATCTTCGAGTATATGAGTACGCGGTGGGAATTGGTGCCGCTCTCTACTTCTCCGGTTTCTACAAAGGTGCAGCTGGAGATCCGGTTCGAGCTGCGGAGCCAGCTGCATGCTGCAATGATGGGGGCGGTCGAGGGGCAAATGGCTTCGTTGATGATCGAGGCGTTTGAGAGGAGGATACGAGACACGTATTAGAATCATATTTAGTGTATATGGATAGATGGATGGATTGTAACTAGTAGGTTATTATACATAGAACCCTTTTTTTTAATAGTGCAGAGTTGTATATTACAATTGATAGACTACATAATGCAAGGCTTAAAAGTTGTTCTAAACTATAGCATGCTCACGCTGCGGTTGCGGCCAGCAGCAGCGCGGGCGCCCTTGAGCGAGCTGACGGCGTTGTAGTTGTCGAAGACGACCTGCCAGTTGATCCGGTCCCACCAGCGCTCCAGGTACTCGGCCTTGCCGCCGATGCCGTAGTCCATCATCCACACGTGCTCCCATGTGTTGACACACAGGATGGGCTGGATGTCCAGCGCCCCCGGCGCCAGCGTCTTCTGATTCTGGGCGTGCGCCCCCATCGACCCCGCGTACTGGTTCCCCAGCGCCGTGTTGGGCGAGTGTGTCGCCAGGTCCACCGCTTGCCGTCGTGCGTGCGCGGCCGGGTACGGCGAGCCCGCGTTGTACGTGCAGAAGATGTGCATCAGTCCCTCACGCTCCAGGTTCTTCGCCAGCCACACGAATCCGGGACCGAACATTGCGTTGGCCGTTGCCAGAAAGTCCAACTTCAGCGATTCCACGGACGAACAGGTGTCCACGATATCTTTGGCAAATTTTTCAGGGATTTGTGTCGGTGTGGGGGACTGTCAGTCAGTTTACCTATAAATAGCCCCTGTCAATACGGAGCAACATACCAAGCAGTTGAAGAAGAAATGGTTGTTGTGCGCCATCGAGGCGTAGTTGAAGACGGAGGCCATCTCCGCGCGTTTCGAGTACTTGATCAGCAGGTCTCCGGGCTTAGCGTCGGCGTCCACAGTATCTAGCAAAGCACTCTCATATTAGACAAATCCAATTGACCCTTTATTTGCACCTTTGGTCTCTCACCCTGCGTGAGAAGATTGAGCTTGTCAATCAGAAGCGTCTGGTACTGAGTCCATGCAAAATCAAACGCCTCCGGCGAAAGAAGCTCCGGAATTCCATTCTCCTTGAACTGAGTATCATGGGTCAATTTAGGCACATTGTGCAGCCCTCGAGTCTGGGAGGGTAACAACGCCGACGCGGGTCTCTGCGAGGAAAGAAATCACGGTTAGTTCAACGACTGTGGCACCAGCCAACACCGACCTAGAAGCCAATAGGAGACTCACCTTTGACAGGGCAGAAACGGCCCGCAGAGAGCTCTGCGGACGGAGGAATCGTTGGAACATGGCGCGTGTGTAATCAGTGAGCAGAGAAACTGCGTGGTTGCAGCTCTCCGCTTCAGAATTTCTGGCCCGGTCCCGACCCGATCGGGATTAGTGTTGCTGAGGTAATACTCACTGCACGTGCAGCCAATCACATCGCCCCCAACTGCATCTACTTCATGATTCTGATACACCACGGCGCTTCCACCACCCTCTCTATGCCTTGCTCTGCGTGTGGAGACGACACCTTGAATTCTGTCTATTATTAACCTGCGACGATGTTGCATTGCTTTGGGCTGCTCATTAGCGCCCTCCTGCTCATCATGCTACCCGCCCGGATATTAGACAATTGTCTTGTGTCTCTATTTAGGGAGTCAGGCGCTTGCTGCCAGGATGATATTAGGCGATTGCCTGGGGGAAAGCACGCGAGCTATCCATTGTGGGTGTGAAATAAAGCGGGAGATGTCCTTAATATGCCTTTTGTCTCTTTGTTGACTTGTCTTCAGCTTACGTTGTCTAGTCCTTTGGGCTTCTTTGTTTACTAGAGTGATTCATCTTTGTTCATACAACTACTGCTTTCCGGACGGACTGTTTGAATATATTTTACTATATTGCCTTGACATCCTCTCGGCTTTCGACTTACAATAATTCCTGGACCGCGTTGCAATGGCGCGGTCAACCTGGCCTTGCATGATGCTGTTGATAACTCTCATCGCAGCGACAATCTTGCCCGTCAGTTCCTTGGCGACAATCTTTGACCGGAGGTCAGACACCTGTCCGTCGGGATACGATCAGTGTGAGGCGTCGGGATTGCCCTCGGACTTTTGCTGTTCGTCTTCAACAACATGTATCAGTCTTGACGATGCTACCTCGGCCATTTGCTGTCCCTCCGGGGATAGCTGCCGATATATTGAGCCCATCACCTGCAATATTACCCTGCAGAATGCTACGGCATACCCGGAAAATCCTGTGAAAACCACCAAACTCAACGATACGCTCCCTACATGCGGCAGCGCGTGCTGTCCATTTGGATACACGTGCCAGAACAACAGCACATGCGCCATGGACACGTCCACTGCGACCACCGCCACGGCGGCAACATCATCCTCAACAGCAACAGCTACAGAGACATCGACAGGGACAGCGACAGGGGGATCAACAGAGACAGCGACTGCGTCTTCAGATAGTTTGGCTTCCATGACCATCGCGATAGCCTCTTCTACTTCTTCCTCCAACTCGAGCGCAGACACGCTTTCCGTACAGGAAAAGGACACAAAATGTGCCCAGTTCCCCAGTAAGGCGGTCGTCGCAGGCTTCTTCCCAGGCGCCCTAGCAGGAGCCTTGTCCACGCTCCTGGCTCTCTTCTGTCTCAACAGACGGCGGGCCGCGCAACAACCCGAGATCAAAGTTCCGCACCATGCACAGCGGTCTTCAAGCGGTGCCGTCCTGGGTATCTCGAGCCCCATCCCCTCCGACGATGCTTCGTACCGTACCGATTTCCTCCTGAGACGGACAAGCGACAGCACCACACGTTCCATGCTCCAGCGCACCAGCACGCGCGTCAAGAGTCTCTTCGGCGGCTCCCCGAAAACCCCGCCGGATATGGAGAAACTGCCCCCTGTCCCGGTGCGACAGCCTAGCACACACAGCATCAAGGTCTACTCCCCCGCGGGCGTGTTCACAAACACAGATTTCCTCAAACCATCCGCATATCCAGAGCCACGGCCTAATACAAGCTTCACGGAACTAATGGAGCGGGTGGGGTGTCAGGATAGACTCGGGGCGAGCAAATCGGTGCGCAGGACAGAGTCGACTCGATGGAATGAATCGATGCGGAGGAATGAATCGATGCGGAGGAACGAATCTACGAGGAGGAATGAATCCATGCGAAGGAATGAATCTATGCGAAGGAATGAGCCGATACAAGAGACCGAACCAGAACCACAACAGGGATGACTCCTTTGATTTGCATTATCCTGTGATTTTTGAAGTTTTAATATCCAGCGCAAATAATCCATAGATGTAGAGCTACTTATTACAATCAAGCCGATTTTTTCTTTTCAAACAAGGGAAAAAAAGGAAAAGAAAACAAAGAAAACAAAAATACTCTATGACCTCCGACTAGCTACAACCCTCTTGATCTCCTTGATCAGCGCGACTAGAAGCGGCACACCAATCGGGCCCAACAGGGGGAGATAAACGGCAATCTTGTGTTCGTCTGGGAAATAGACCTGTCCGACCATTGACTTTTCAAAGAAGCTGCGCTCGGCCTCTCCCTCTGCGACACGCGCGGCGGCAAGCGCAGCGGCGAAGCGGCCCTCGCGGAGGTGCGAACACGCCGAGGAGAGATGTGCCAACGTAGTAGATACGGAGGCTGCGACAGTGGCGGGGATGGGGATCGAGGGCAGTGACTCAGTGAGGCGAGCGAGCGAGCCCATTGTCGACGACGCGGAGAGGAGTAACGTCGCGGCGCGGACGCGCATCAGCGTCTGCAGGCGGAAGGGGAGGGATGCGGGCGTCGTCGGGGTGCCCAGCAGGGTGAGCAACTGGTGCGAAAACGTCAAGAAGGCGGGCCGCAGGGATTCCCGGGACAGATGCTTGGGGTTCCGAGGCGAGGGGTCTGACAAAGCCAGCGGCGGGTTCAGGAGAACCACGCCACCCCATTGAGGGACGATCCAGCTGGTAGCCTGGTGACTACCCTGAATGACCAGGGGCGCCTGCGAGGGCGAGGGGACGTAGAGGATGAAGTTTATGGTCGGGCCTGCCCCAATGCTGGGGCTCAGGGGCCACTCGGCCGCGTTGATGAACGCGCTGAGATCCTCCTTCTTCAGCGTCCATGCGGCCTGAGTTTCGTCGAAGGTCGGCAAGGGCGCGGTTGGTGCAAAGGCCGCATGAATCTGGACCTGGGTATCAACGGAGAAATTGCTGATGGGCGAGAAGGCCTCCAGGAGCGGTGTCAGGTATTCCTGTACCGCGCCTTCGATGTCCCACGAAGATGGCTCTGCGCCGGGCGTAAACAGTGAAAAGGCCAGGTGGTAAGTGTCGGCATATTTCAGTGTCCGTCTTAGTCGTCGGCCGATGTCTTCTGCCAGCTCCGGCGAGGGTGAGGAAGAGGAACTCGAAATGATATGGGATATTGTCGTCTTCTCTTCGGCGAACAATTTTTGCAGCTCCTCGGCGATGAACGATGAGAGGGGAGAGTTAGATGACGAAAAAGTAGGCACTTGACTGGGTGGATAGAACACATCCAGTTGGCTGGTGTCTGCGTGTAGCTCTGATCTGGGTCCGGCCAGATTGTCTTCCGGGAGCAGCTTCACGACGAGGGTTGTATCGGCTTTCTCCTCTACCCCAGTCTCTGATTCTCCATCTATATATGGTTCCTCGCCTCGTGAGCCCTCGGCCAGTTTGAGTCTCAGGTGGTGAGCCGAAAATTCGTTCAGATCGTCAAGCGCATGTTGCGTTGTCCGGATCAAATGTTGCGCTTCCGAAGGAGGGAGCGACGGGGTCTCAACGTGAATATCAAGAGGGAAAACCGGACGGCATGCCTGGACCACATAGAAGTAAACAGTCAGTCTCTATGTTTCGATAAATGCAGCGCATGTTGATCTACCTTGCCATCCGCCCAATCGATCATCTCCTGAATGGGTAGTCGAGCCCGGTAAATAGACGTGGTCTTCCACCATATTGGGAATCCAAACAAGATAATCACCAGCCAGAAAGCAGCAATCACTCCTGTCCGAGTCCGAACAGCTTCGGCCTTCTCTGGTGGTGGAAGGCGCTGCGCGCTGGCCTTCGTTGAGCTCATGGTGGTAGTGACGTCGTCGGCGGCTGGAGAAGATGTCTGCGAAGACGCCAGCTCTCCATTTCTCCCAGTCATGGCCGGAACATTGCTTGCACAGTGGTGTCAAGCAAATGAATAGAAAAGGAGGTGGGAGCTCAGAGCATGGAGCCGAGCGTGCTGGAACCTGAAGAATGGGAGCAGGGACTCGCTTTCACCCACGCGGAGAAGTGAAGTGGCTTCACCGCGGGCGGGACTGATTTCAACATTCCGATTCTTCAGACTGGGGGATAAATTATTTTTCTGAGTTTTCTATTATTTATATAGACTGGGAAACGGCTACAATTATTTCAAGCTAGAAAGTAATAGTTGAAAAAATTCGGTTCTTGTGATTCCATGAAATCAAACACATCAGGGTATCTAATCCTCCAACGCCGTTCAAACACCAAGCAGACAATTATGACGAATATAGTATCTTATCGGGATAACGGAAGAAGAGATGTGACTAGTACTCCTTTTCAAAGATTTTCTGGATCGGTTTGGCGGCCTGGTATTCGCCGTTAGCAATAGTACAGAGTAATGGGTCGCGAGATAGGCTTACATCGATGAACCGTTCCAGATCCTGGTCGAGATTGGCCAAATCATCTTTTCTTTTCTTGTTCTCTGCAATCAGTGCTTGCTTGCGTTTCAGCAACTCCTGCCGAGCCTGTTCGAGCTTCTCTCGCTCCGCATGTTCGTGATTGATTCGCGCGACCATCAGATCGTGGTCACTGGACTCCCGATGTTCTGGATGGATGGCCAGGAACTCCTCGATGGGTATTAAGGGCAAGGACAAGTACTTATGACTACACGAAGGCTTTCAGTCAGTACATTTCTTTTCAACATCAAGGATGTCCATTCCCAGTGCGGGACTCACTCATAAGACTCGCAGGCCGTAATCTCGCCGTTCAGGTGTCTTTGCTCATAATACAGGTTCTGGAGCTGTAGATGTAGCCGGTCGATCTCCTGGCGTGCCTCTGCTGTCGCCTGTTTCGTCTCCCGTACGCGAAGAGTGGCATCGCGGTTCTGCCCACGCAGCCGAGCCAGCAGCGCAAACAGCACCTTCTGCTGTCGGGACACCGCCAGGGAAACCTCCTGAACCTCGGGCGACGACCCTGGCGCCGTCGCTGGGTCCAGCAGCGCCAGCAGCTGCTGGCACTGAGCGAGGGTTTCGGCGCTGGTCTGCAGAATGGGCAGCAGCGAGGGGTCCTGCACGATTTCGCTGATCGCCATTGGTGGAAGATGAGCAGAGGAGAATAAGAGGAGCACTAAGTTCTAACAATGGGCGAGAGCTGAATGAAAGCGTCTGTGTGTTAAGAATCTGGTTGAGATGATAAGATTGTGGCAAACAAAGAGGCAATCACCGCATCCACCGCTATCGGCCAGACGCACCGCGTGGATCATAATTGATCGCTGATGGGCCCAAGCAGACCCGGTGGAGAGACCAGAAAAAGACTCTCTAGGACCTACTATCAATTACAACTTCGTCAGGCCGTTTTTCAGACTCTTCACCTGCCCTGGTCGAGCGCTTCTTCTGGAGTACTTTTGCTCGTTAAACCCATCCAACGGTTGTTGGGGAAAAGACCAGCCGCCAAGTTGCCCCTCCCAACTGGCTGGTCTCCACCAGTTGCTGCCCAGGCTGGCGTCTCGTCTCTCTGACCCTGATCGACAATTGCAGTCCCTGTGCTCTGTGAGAGGGTGGTCTGCAGAGTCTTGCCGTGGACGCAGGGCTCCTGTACATATTAAAATTGGGTGGTGGTCGCCTCGTTGTGCTGCAGCCAGACTTCCCTCTCGCTCTCGAGTCTCCCCGGCTCTACATCCGGTTTTCCGACCCACTGTTATATAACAACAACCACCGTCCCCCGGGCCAGTAGCCCTCTCTTCGGGAACTCCTGTGAGACTTTGGCATGAAAGAAGGCCCTTCGCTTGCAAGAAGAGTGTGACTGGAAGGATTCTGAAACCATGGCCTGTACAGCACCGTCGATGACTATCGAGTCGTACCCCGAGGGCGTTGCAACAGGAACCTCAACCCCCGGAGAACAGACAGGTCTGCTTCGTGGTCGGAGAAGACGACACTCGTTTCATTCAGCAAGGAGATTGTCATGTGACTATGACGCCGATGCCGTCTTTCTGAGGGTGAGCAAAGATTCTCTGGATATTTGTTATCTATAGTGGTAGACTGACGGAGCATTACGGGAAGGTCGAGCTCTTCCTGGCAGAGCTGGAACGACGAATGCACTGGATCGAGGAATATCGCAAATCGCACATGATGCAGGTCGATGCGAGTCTTAAGAGAGCATATGCCACGCTGGAGGCTGTGAGGGACTCGTGTTCGCACGCATCGGGAGAGCTCATGGGCGGGGGCAAGAAACGGGCCAAAATCCTGGTGGAAACGCTCGAGGACCGGTACAATGACGCCCTGGCAACAAAGGAGACCCTGGAGCAGAAGGCCCAGGCCGGGGTTCGCTTGATGGAATCTTTTCTGAGCGAGCTCGAGTCGAGAGCTCATGCGGTCCGTGGCCGTGGAGTCTACGGAGCGCTGGATGATGGCTGGAAGGCAGTTGACTCGACACTCGTGCATGCTCGCGAGGTGGTGGATGAGGGCATGGAGCGTGCTCGGCGGGCCAAGGAGGCTCTGCGTGAGAGTATTGACCACGCCATTCAACAGGCGCAGAAGCACCGTCTAATCGCCTATGCCGACTTACCCCATCCGTGGCGGGTCAATCCGCACATCCTGCACGGATACCGGTTCCATTCCTCCAAGATTGAGTGTATGACCTCTGTCTTCACCTTCTCCAATGAACTGGTAAACATCTGGTCCCATTTAATCGGCCTGTTCATCGTGCTGTCCATCGCCTTCTACTTCTACCCGCTCCACACCAACTTCCACGTCAGCACTAATGCTGACGTGATGATTGCGGCCGTCTTCTTCTTCGCCGCCTGCAAGTGTCTGGTCTGCAGCACCCTCTGGCACACCATGAACAGTATTGCATCCCAAACCCTCATGGAGCGGTTTGCCTGCGTCGACTACACGGGCATCTCTATGCTCGTCGCGGCCTCGATCGTGACCACCGAATACACTGCCTTCTACTGCGAGCCGCGGTCCCGCTGGATCTACATTTTGCTCACCATGTCTCTCGGTATCGGTGGCGTCATTCTTCCCTGGCACCCGACCTTCAACCGACACGATATGGCCTGGGCCCGGGTCGCCTTCTACGTCTCTCTTGCGCTGACCGGGTTCGCACCCATCGCCCAGCTAACCTATACGCGCGGCTTCGCCTGGTGCATCTACTTCTACGCCCCCGTCATGAAGAGCATTCTGGTCTACTTCATCGGCGCCCTGATCTACGCCTCCCAAGTGCCCGAGCGGTGGCGGCCAGGCCTTTTCGACTACGTCGGTGGGAGCCACAACATCTGGCATTTCGCTGTCCTGGGCGGCATCCTCTTCCACTACTGTGCGATGCAGGATCTGTTCGCCGGCGCCTTCCAGCGGGCTCAAGGGGAATGCCCGAATCTCTCTGCGTGAGCTTTTCCCGCCAAACTCAAAAAAGTGAACCTTCATCTGGCCATATTAGGAAGAGAAAATGTCCAAGCTTTTTCATATTTTATTTCCATGTCAAGTTAATACCTAGATCCTTTTCTTACCTTACCTCTGCACAGTTATTGTACACTGAGCCGTGTGTGTTTCAAGTATTAGATTTCATTTATTCTGTAAGTTTTATTTTTTTTTCAGTTTCTGCATGGTTGGAGTATATTAAGGCTGTCGATATAGCATTGAATTTTGTTTAATATGAATTACTAGAAAAGTTATTGTCTAGACTCGAATAGACTGTTGCCGGATCTCGATCCTAAATTGTATTCTCAAGATAGGTGTCATTCCATTTATTATTTCACTGTGGATATTGTATCTATGTAAATCATGCTTGTCGTCACGTCTATATGTATAAGTGCAGGTCTTCTCTTCGTTATCCATTGCGAGAAATCATTGGTTCGTTGGCTCGTCAAGGTCTGCAGTTGCACTATCACCTCGATACCCTCGACGGAAGTCGTTAGCCAACCTCATGATAGAAGCCGACTGGCGTTACTTTGTAAGAGGCGCTGGAGCCGCTGTAGAGGATAACAAAGTACCCGGCTGCGGTGAGGGTGACACGTAATATACATCAATGTGCCTGTGAGTCGTCTGCTTTTTCCGTCGTCAGGAGAGAGTTTATGATTCAGCCTCAGCATCAATGCGCTTCCTGAAATGCCCCTGCATCCAGCAGCGGTACATCTTGATCCGACGCTGGCGGTTGACGATCAGTCTTCGGTCGATCCCAAGATCAACAATCTCAAAGGCACCATTTGCATCTTGCGTCTGCCCTGCAGCATCCGAGGGACCACCCGACGATCCTTCAGGGGTTCCTTCATCAGGGGCAGGGGTCGAGGCCTCGCTGCTGCCGCCGCCGCCGATCTCGATGCCCTTCTCCAGGGTCCACTTGTTGAACATGTAGACTAGCTCCTCCTTGTCAAAGAAGTAAACGCGCGTCCCATCACCCCGGACGTAGAAATTATCGGCCATCAGCCGGTTCTTCTTGAAGCGCACCTGCGCGAGATCTCCCCGTCCGTAGTCGCGGAAGAGAATCTTCCCGCCCGGCTTGAGCAAACGATAGATATTGCGCAGCGCGGTGTTCCACTGATTCGGCGCCAGGGCGGAGAAAATGAAAATCAGCACCACGACATCCACAGTACCCTCGGTGAGACCCGGCGGCATCCAATCGTCCCCCTCGGCCGCCACATCCCACACATCCGCCGTCATGATTTCAGAGCCGTAGTGTTTGCTCGCGCGCATCACCTTCACTGCCTCCTTGGAGAAATCGCAGGCATGCAGGCGTAGCTCGGGGTTCTCATTGTTGGCCAGCAAGGGGAACGCCGTGTTGCCCGCGCCGGCGCCAACCTCCAGCACGACCTTAGGCCCTGCTCCCCGGTTCGTGACCTCGGCCAGCACTGGGAACTCCTGCTGCAGCCACTTGCGGTTCTTGAAGAAATTGGCCGTGTTGTTTTTGTAGAACAGGTTCCACCACTTGGCTGGGTCATTGTTGAAGCGCTGCCGGTCGAAGTCGTTGACGGGGAACTCGCGCTGGCGGGCGTACTGCACCTCTGCAAACGCTAGGTACTCGTCGTCCGGTTCGACATGGTCCCATGCATTGTACTCGAACACGTCGTCGCCTTGTTCTAGATAGCGAGAGCCAAACTGGAACGGGTCCACGCGCTTCAGGTTGTTGGTCGGGTCGTTTGGCCGTGTTGGGGGCACCGTCAACGGCTCTGACCGTTGCAAGACAGCAATGATGTCGCTGTCCGGAGCAGCAGAGGGGAGGTCTGTCGAAGCCATGGTTCAAATGTTGTAGAGAATAGAAGAGAGTGAATAATGAACGAAAAAAAAAAGATACAGTGAACGACAATGTCCAGACTCAAAAGCGGGGGAGAAAAAAAATTGGCGTAATGATCTGGTAATACTGATACAATACGTAGCCTAAGGCATGAACTGCACCCATGAGAGATTAGTCAGCACTTCCATTTCGCCTTTGTATATCCTTTTCTCTGGTCTATTTACGCTGCAAATGAATATGTCACTGTGGGAGATATGATAGTTGCAATATATAAGCAGGAGGCTGGCACTTTCTACTTCAACATTATATACCATAGGTGTATGGTATACTGTGTATTCGTGATACCTACTTTGATAACAGGGGTTTTATCTTATCAGCAATCGGCGGGGCGGCTGACTAAGCTAACTGAGATAATTTAACCAGTAGTTACTGCCTCAGGCCACAACAATACGAGCATACGATACTCTGTACAGGAATGTGGGTGCCTGAGGGGCCGAAGAGCCGCTTGGCCTGTCCATCTTCTGTCTGACGTTCTCTCCAGCCTTCCCCCGCTCTTTCAATCCTCAATTCTCTCTTTGCTCTTGCTCGCTCTAGTCAATGAGCGGTTTCTTTGTTCAGCAGGTGAGACACGAGCGATTATGGCCCTTTAGACGAGACTGGTGTTTTCTAGTTTGCGATTGAGCCATCTACGTGAGGCTGAGTCAAGCCAAGGATACGAGGTGATCAAGACTTTATGAACACTTGTCTCCTTTTCAGTCGAATTCTCGGAGAGAAAGAAAAACCATTTAAATCTATACCGTCTGCTGCTGTCTGCTCTGCCGCCGTTGCTATCCACTATAATCAGCATGTCTTTCCTGGCCGGGCTCTGTGGCTGCTTCACCAGCTCCACCCCCAAACCCCCGCAACCTACTCCGGGGATGATTCAAACCCCCAATGCCTCCGTGCTGGTAGGATATGCCGGTTCTCCTGAAGGGATGATCAGACGTATAGCCACGTTTGATAATGGCGGGAGTGACGTCTCATCTTCTTCTCCCGGCGACGGTGACGACGACGGCTACGCACCCGTTGTCCCGTTACCCCGATACACGCCTCGCCCCGTGAGCATCCACGAGAAGACGCTGGCTGCACACATGCGCGACCCGCCGGTCTCATCCGAGGACTATCCCGCCGACGAGAAGGGCGGAAATGAGTATAACTACCAAGAACATCTCTCGCGGGCCCGCGAAGACACGACCTCGGACGTCTCCTCGGCCATCTCCTTCCCCAGCAGCTATGGCAATACCTCGACGGCCACCCGCGACACGCCGCCGCCGCCGTACTCGCCGCGGGGGGCATCGCCTGTCCCCTCACGGTCCATGTCCATCTCCTCTGTTGTGGGGGGAGTAATTCCCCCGCCGCCGATGGCACATCTTGCGCAGCCATGCCCGCTGGCTCGTCGAGCAGGTCTGCTGGACCGGGACTCCCGGCGGAGCATTGACAGCCGGCATTCCTGGGAGGGAACATAATAGACAGGAGCATACCTCATATCTCCTGGAAGTTTCCTTTAATCATCTGATTATTCACTTACTTTGGCCTCTGGAAGGAGTACCTTGGCGTTTGGTCATCTGGCTTATATCTGCTTGGAGTTGGCGCATGATCTATCTGGCCGGCGTATGGCTGGCCCATAAACTAATGAGCAATACATGCATGCATTATTATAATATAACTACGTTGACTGTTACTCTATACCATGTGGAGAAGATGGAATTTTATGGCTTTATTATTTCCGACTACCCGATCTTCGCATTCGAAAAGTCCATCTCTGCAGGAGTTAGTATATTTCATTGTAAAGATAAAGAGAGAGAGAGGGGGGGGGAGGAAAGAGGATACCAGGATGATCCTTTTGAAACTTCTTGAGAATGTCCAACTTCTTCTGCTCATCGCTCGTGGGGGCCCCCATCTCCTTCTGCCGCTGATCATACATCATCTTCTCGACCATTGCCCTCGTCTCGCCGTCGAGATCGCCCAGACTCGAGTTCTCGGGCGTCATCTTCGACACATCCCGCTTCGGCGCGGTGGTCACCACATGCGCCCACCATTCCATCTGATTGACTTTGTCCAGGTGTACGCTCACTTCTTTACCCGGGGGGTTGGTGGTTGTTTCGAGGGTCCAGCTCGACTCGTCGACGTGGATTGCGTGGGGGAAGTCGCCCTAGAAGAACATATTAACAATTACAATCGAACAAAAAAAATGGAAATCCTGAAAAGGAGGTAAAGTACCTCGATGATTGCAGGCTGTCCCTTCACGGCAACCTTGATTTTGGTTTTGGTGAGGGTGACGTCCAGATCTCTTCCCCTCAGGTTCCCCGCGACGGGGATCGTCACGTCCAGATCACGGATGGTTTGCGTCCATTTGTAGGGCAGCTGGGCCTGTTCGGCGTCTTCGCGTGCGAGGCGTTCTTTCTCTTCCGCTTCGGACATTGTAGAGGTGTCGTGAAGGTAGGTTGGGAGCTGGTTCCTCGGAGGGGTTGAAAATCGTAGCTTGGTGGGGCGTCTGGTACATATGGCCTACATACAGAGTACTACATAAGAGTCTACCTGTGTACTAGGTGATCCTAGGAATTGCTTACTTTACGATAGTACAAAGTATACACACACATTAAATTAGAATCAAACATCTATCATCTCCTCCCCGATTACACAGACATCCCAACCACACACAGAGAGAAGATGTGACCACCACACACAGTATATCCCGAACCATCAGACTTGCTGAATGTTACACGAACAATTGGTACCAGCCAATATCAACGAAAAAAAAGAAAGAGAAACAGAAGAAAAACTCCGGCCGATAAATGCAAACGCAAGGTATTTTTTTACCCGAACAATGTTGGCGCCGAACTAGCAGATAACCACCGAGAGAGAGCTAAAATGAGTCATTAAAAGGTGTCGATGAAGAAGAGTCAAGGGTGAGGATGGAATAGAGGTAAAGGGTAGAGAAATAGACGAGAAATAGGTGAGGGTAGCGAGGTGGGAAGTTTTTAGTGGGATAACCCTCCGAAGAAGTCACCAGCAAACTCGGCGATCTCATTGGCAAGCTTCTGGTCGAGCAGACGCTCAAGAACCGCCATGTCACGTTTCCACTTGCGTTGCTGGCGCGTCTCGGCCGAGGTCAACGTACCCTGGCAGCTTCCATCGCGCTGGCGGACGTGCCGGCAGTTTGGACACAAGTAGTTGACCTGGCAGTAGGAGCAAGTGCACGGCGGGTTCTCGGCGACACACTCCTGGCACACGTAAACGGAGCAGGTGGTGCACTCGCGCAGCACCGAGTCGCAACGGGAACGCTGGTCGCCCACCACCCGGTACTGAGGGCAGTAGAACGACTGGCACCCTTGCCAGCGGGGGGTTTCGAACGTCGAGTCCAAGTACACTGAGGACGGGGACGAGCCGCGCGAGTGGTTCGAATAGGTGATTGACTGGCTGCGAGAGCGGTGTTCCATCTCGTCCTGTGCGGGGGAGGTAGAGTCATGAGTGGTGTTTTGAGCGGGCGTGGCTGGAACGGTAGCCGCATTCGCTGCCGCTGCCGCTGCCGCTGCCGCCGCTGCTGCAGCTACAGGCACAGCCATAACAGGAGGTGGGGTGGGTATGGCAGGCGCGCCATCAGTCTCAGTATGTTCTTCGGTGAAACTACTGGCGGCAGAATCGACCAGACGAGGGCCGGTGAATGGCACCGAGAAGGGGGCTAGGATGGTTCCCGTAGCGCGACCGGCGACGATGTTCCCTGTGCGAGACTCGATGGCGATCTTCTCAAGAGCGAGGTCTTTGTAGCCGCAGATACGGAGCCGCAGGCCGCGCAGATCGTGCTCGATGCACAGCGGGCGGGTGCAATGCTTACAGAATAGTTTCCACTGCGGGTTTTCATAACAGTCGGTGCACAAGTTGCGCGGGCACGAAGACGTACGGCGGGCGGGCGGAGTCAGCAGCCAGCGCATGATGGCTGCGTGGCCGGTGGCGAGCGAGAAATCGGGCTCCGGGGTCCAGTGGCTCACAGCAGTGCTGGAGTCCAACTCCTCCCATCCCTGGCCGCGGGGTAGAGGCACGGCGCGGATCTGATCGACATCGCGGTTGGCCGTGCCGATGCTGATCCCACCACCACCGGAGAAGATGGGCTCGGTGCAGCACCAATGGAACTTGAGGCTTGGGTACGGACTGTTCGGGATTGGAGTGTAGGGGTTCAGCTCGAGCATAATACGGGCAGGGTCCTGCATGAGGCACGGGTTGATGTTTGCACCGGGGGCCCACCAGAAACTTTCGAGCTTGATGTTCGAGGATGGGCTGGGACGCAGCCAGGTGCGGTCGTAGGCGCAGCTACCACAGAGAGTTTTGCGGCATCCGGAGCAGTGCATGAGGATGCTGCATTGCTCGCAGCGCTCGGGGATCACATCGGCACAGACGTCACAGCGGATATTCTCGAGAAAACGCCGATGGCTGAGCCGTAGATGGGTGGGGACCATTTTGCCTTCGCCGTGGTCATAGCCCTCGCCGATACCCAGTGGTTCGCCGCCACAGCCGGTCTCCTGGCACTCCCAGAAACGACCGTCGGGAGGGGTAGTAGATGTTGCAGACGAAGAAGTCGAAGAGGATGAACCACCACGCCCGGTGTGATCTGTCGGCCCAATCCAGTTCTTGGACCGCCACAGGCGATCGTAAACGACCCAGACCTCCGGCGAGCCCTGCGGGGTACGCATGGCGACGTAGCCACGGCGGCGGAAACAGCGGCCGGCAGGAGTGGTGCACCAAGCGGTATCGGTCCAGATGCCGAGCTTGTGGCACAGCGTGACCAGCTCGTGGGTAGGCTCTGAGTCGGAATCCTTACGGTGCAAGGAAGAGGTGAGGTAGGGCCGGCGACGATGGTGGCGACACCGGTAAGCATAGAGGCTCTTGAGAGCGAGATGCTGTTTTTGGGGCGGGGTCCGGTGCTTGGTCTTCTTGGTCGCCTCCATCTGGACGTCTTGCTGCAGACCGAACATGGTCAGATACGGGATGATATGGTACTTGAGCGAGACATTCTTGCACCCGCGGACGGAGAGATGCTCGAGGGTCTCCCGGCGGGCATGAAGCACGGTGGAGACGAGGATCTGTCCCGAAACCGCAGTGTTGTCCAGCTCGAGGCTCTTCAGACACGGACTAAACGGGACGGCGACGTGCATTAACAACTGGTCCAGGGCATAGGGACGAGACTGGCGTGCGGTAAACCCATCGTTCACCCCCGGCAGCACGATACGAGGCTGGGTGCCCGACGGATAGGCGAGACGAAAGGACAATGACCGCCATGCGGTAGGAGACGACCGGATGAAGTTCCGCAGGGTGGACGAGGTGTGATACAGGCTCAGGATCGATTCGGTCGGGATCTGGAGGAGCAGCGACTCGAACAGCGGGGCATGGGTGAGGAAGACCGTTTCAAACATCGACAACTGGTTGACCACTGTTTCCAGCATGGCATCCGATCCTGAACCTGCCGAGTTGGACGTGTTTGCCATCCCGGCGGCCCCAACGGCCGTGTCAGCCATCCCGACACGGTTCTGTCCCAACGCGAGCCCGATCGCGCGAGACGACTCGGACGAGTCCATAGCACGCGACCGACGAGAAAATATCGAGCAAGAAGACGAGATCGGTTATTTCGGATCAGCTAGAATAGCTAGAGGACCAACAGAGGAACAGAGACACCGGGGTTGTAGAGCAAAGGGGGCTGGTGGTAGAGCAGAGACAAAGGGAGGTGGGTGAGAAGGACATGGTAGAGGAGAAGAAGGAGAGAGAGAAAAAAGAATTCATAAAGTCTGAGATAGAGTCACACCCTAGGCCACCTGTCAGGCCATCGCAACGTTGCGCTCCCTAGATTGAGCGGCTGGGGGAGAGGGGGGGGGGGGGGGGGGGGGGGGGGTAAAACTGCCAACTCACACAATATGATCGTTAAAAGGTGAGGATAAAAATTGGCATGCCCACCATCATGTGATAGGTTGCCCTGTTGGGGTGATTATGTCATGGGCAAGCAAGGACGGCCAGGAGAATAGGAAATAATACGCATTGACCATAGAGATATGTAGGAGAGGGAACTATAGGCAATAGTTTGGAAGTCTAGCTAATGTAGAGTGGCAGCTGTAGTAGACAAAAAAGGCGTCTAGTGTCGGTCGGAGTCTCCCACGGTGTATCCCCTTGCAATGCCCTTGCGCCCCTCGACTACCAGGGTGCTGTCGCGGTCCTCCTCGTACTGCACGTCGCTGCCTAGCCCTGTCCAGGTCCGTTGGGTGTGCAGGAATTCGGCTCCGGGGGAGAGGGTGCCTGCGACCAGGGCCAGGTCGCCTCGGGCTCGCCGTGTCAAGGCCGACGCGCCGGTCGCGCGCGGGGCGGGATCCCGCATCGGCCGGGAATTGGAGACGTAGCGACCGGTCCGGAGGTCAAACTCGGGGGGTGCAGACTCGAAGTCGTCGTCGTTGTCGTCGTTGGTGGTGGTGGTGGTGGTGGTGGTGGTTTCTCCGTTAGCGGCGGTCGGTGGAGGGCCGGGATTTTTGGAGTCGAGAACGGACTGAAAGTCGCTTTGCCAGGCCCCCGTCCAGACCCGCTCGTCATCACTCTGCAGGGCCATCTCCAGCTCGAACGGGGTGATGACAGGCTTCCAGAAGTCCTTGCTGTCGACGAGCGAGCTCTCCCAGCACCCGATGACAATCCAGCCGCCGACTTCACTAAAGTTGGCTACCTTGGCCGCGTTCAGCTTGCCGACCACGAAGAGATAGCTCTTCTTGCCCGCCGCGGCGATCCGCTCGCGCACGTGGTCCACGATGTGCAGGTAATTCTTCACGCTGAGCGTGTTGACCAAGATGCCAAAGACGGGAGCGGTGCTCAGCCGCGTCAGGATGGCGTACCGCCTGCGAAGCGTCGCCGCCGCCGACGCACTCACCACCGAGCCACTGCTGTCCGTCGGGTAGATGTGGATGGCCGCCACTCGCGATGCGAGCGTCAGGAGCAGCGCAGTGGGCGGTTCGGCGATGTGGAAGAGCTGCCAGTCCGCCAGGGACTCTGGCTTCTCCCGCACAGACTGCGGCACGGTGCGATTGGGGATCGCCGAGGCCGGGTCGTGCACCAGCTCCGTCGCAAACACATGCGTGTATCCGTCCTGGACCAGTCGGGCGTGCACGGCAGGGATATGGTCGGCGTAGGGCGCATCGGCGGCCAGGACCACCATGGTCCCCCGATCTGGATAGGTGGACTGGAACGCCGCAACCAGCGGATCCAGAGCCAGTTCGCGATGCGTAAAGACGTAGATCACCGGCAGTCGAGCCGTGGGCGACAGACACGACCGGCCGTAATGCACCACGACGTCGGCGTTCACATGTTCGGCAGCCACCTCATCCACGCAGCAGGTCCCGTACGAGGTGTCGGCCAGGATGTAGAACTGGGCCGGACCGTCCCTGTCACTGACGTCCAGACGGTCTGCAGAGCGTACCAGCTCAGCTGCTGCCGCATCCCCGGCATCCCCCTCTCCAGACCCATTCTCTGCAGTATTGTTCCTGTCCTCGCTCCTCCCTCCTCCCTCCTGGACCCCGCGACTGAGCAGTTGGAACACCCGCGGGGCGTCCGGCAGCATCTCATCCGGAAACTGCAGGGCAATCCGCTTATACCGCTCCCGTCGGATCTCCTGCAGCGTACGCTCGATGTCGTAGGTGATGCAGAGCTCGTCGTCCGACAAGCGTGGACTGCCGCTGGAGGTTGTCTCGCGGGCAACCACCGGGTCGGTGGCCTCGAGAAGACGGGTGTCCGGTGTGGAAAGCACCGGTGCTGTTTCTAAAGACATGGCGGAGAGTCAGCAGTTAGTGATCAGTACTAGGCAATCTGTGTCAGATCAATGCTTATTGTGGATTGTGTAGGAGGAGAAATTTTTGTAGATAAAAAATATCACCCCACCACCCCGCTCTGGTAGAGACGGAGGACATTACAGAGTAGATTACGGAGATGATTTGATCTGATATCGACGGACATTTAATTATATATTATGAGAATCTACAGACCCTTGATGGATATGGTTTATTGAATGGTGCAATGGTTTGAATGTGAAATGGGTTATTGAATGGTTTGTTCTAATGTCGATTGTCAATCCCGACCATCTTATAGGACCAAGCATCTCGAGTATAAGAGACATCTTGTCTATCAACACCCATATGTGTAATTCTTTATATACTATCCCACTGTGGAATACTATTTACTATTCCCTACAAGTCCGCTCTCGCCGGCTCTCCCGCCCAAATCCTGCGGATCAACTCCCGGACAGGCGCTCGCTCGATGGGTCGAGGATTCCAGTAGGGATTGCTGACAGCGATATCTGCGGCGCGATCAATGTCCTCTTCCTTCATGCCAAACGCCTTCAGTCCGCGCTGGACCTGTAGTTTGTCCAGAAGCACATTCAGCCCTGTGATGGCGTCCCCTTCGCTTCCCGGGAGCACGGCAGCTAGCTTCTGCAAGGTCTCCGGGATATACGGCGCGTTGTACGCAATGGCATGCGGCAGGACGGCCGTGTGTGTCTCTGCGTGTGGCAGGTTGAAGCTGCCCCCGAGGGTATGGCAGAGCTTATGGTGCAGCGACATGCCCACGCTGCCGAGACAGGTGCCACACAGCCAGGCCCCATACAGAGCATTGGAGCGGGCGGATTGTGAGCTCGAATCTACCACGATCTCAGGTAGAGATGCCGCCAGAGCCCGGGTGCCTTCGACGGCCATCAGATTGATGATCGGGTTCGTGTTGCGGGCGTACAACGCCTCCACTGGAAACTGTTAGCATATGGCACTTTCATTTCATACAAAACTCGAAGAGATAAAGAGAAATACCGGCATGAGCGATCGCGTTGACCCCGCTGGTCGCGCTCATCGCAGGAGGTAAAGTCATAGTCAAGTCGACATCGTAAATGACTGTCCCCGGCAGGATGGCCGGGTCCGAGCGTGTCTTTTTCACCCCCTCCGCCGTCTCGCCCAGGATAGGAGTCATCTCGCTGCCGGCGTATGTCGTCGGGATGCACACATGCGGCAGGCCTGTCCGGACGCTGATCGCCTTCCCCAGGCCGATAGTGCTCCCCCCGCCGATGGAGACGACGGCATCCGCATTGTGAGCCGTGGCAAAGGCCAGAGCCTTGTCCGTGACGTGCGTCGGCGTGTGCATCGTCGCCTCGCTGAAAATCCCCGCCACTTTGCCGCCCAGAACGCTCTTCACCCGCTCGGCCTGCTCGACCTGCTGCGGCGTCGAGAGCACCAGCGGCGCCGTCACGCCCAGCCGGGCGATCTCCTCGGGCAGTTTCTGCAGGGTGCCGCTGCCAAAGACCACGCGGCCGGTGTTGGGAGTGTACTCGAAGGCGTCCATGGTGGGCAAATAACCCCGTGTGGATGGATGGGAATGGGACAAGATGGTCAACCGAAGAGGAGAGACAATATAATATGGAAGGGTTTCGTGAAGCTACCCCACGTCATCCCATCGTGTGGGCAAAACTCTTTGCCGTCGACGGGTTTGTTTTCGGCAATATCTTCTCTCTCTCTATACGGAGTCGAGCATTAATCTATGAAAGGTTTATTATAATTGATCGGAGACTACTAGATGTAGATGTATTTTGGGCGGTATCTCATCTGGTGTTGGTTCCTAGACGGGATAAAGCGGACGTTCATGTTTTATGGAATATTTATTTGATATTAGACATCAAGATCAAACACCATGCCATGCGACTTTTCGTGGATCTAGTCAAGGCCGTGAAAGGCCATGACGTGCTGGCCGCCGCTGCGGTCCTTGCCCTTGTTCCGCTTGCGCTTCTTGCGGTTCTTCGAGCTCCGGCGCTCGCGGTCACTGTCGTCCGAATCCTGCTCATCGCTGTCGTCGTCGCTGTCGCTGCCCAACATGTGTTTGCCTCCAACAGCAGCGTCGTCCTCGTCCTCGTCGCCCTCGCCCACAGAGGCAGCCTCGTGCCAGACCTTGACGATCTGCCCGCCGCCGCTGACCATACGGCCCTCGACATCAAACCCGAGACCAATGACCCCCTCGGTTTCGTCGTGCATGACTTGGGAGACGGGCTTGTTGGCGCCGATCCGCACAAACTTCACCGTTCCGTTGCCGAGGCCGACGGCCACCATCTTGCCCTTACCGAGCTCGTCGGGTACGGCCGTCAGCGTCTCCAGCGTCTCGCCGCCACCGGACTCACGGTGCACGTAGACCCGCTCGTCCTGGTCATCCCACGCCCCCCTTTCCCAAAGCGTCAACACCCCGTTCGCACCGCCTACCACCACCTTCTCGCCCCGGCTGGTCCCGCTAGACGGCAGCCCGCCAATGTATGCCGAGCTGATCAGCTCTTCCTCTTGATCCTCGCTACGGACCAGCACCCCGCGGCGGAGATCCGTCACGGCTAGCGTGGTGCCTCCCGTCGTCACCCATTGCTTGCTGAACCCGGACGTGCTGGTGTCCGAGGCCGGCAAAGGGGTCAGCGACGAGACGTAGTCGTCATGTGGGTGATGGGTCTGTTGCGGCTTGGCAGACACGCGGGAGAAGGGAGTCCGCAGGTCGTATAGGTGTAAAGCACTCGAGTCGGTCGCGAGAAGGAGAGTCTGCGGGGAAAGTGCATGGATGACTGTAGGAGCGTCGATAGATCTGAAGAATCAGCAAAAGGCAAACCCACACCCACAGTACACCCATGAAAATAACATATAGGGGGAAAGACATACCCGTTCTTGGCTAATGGAATGGCAAGCTTGTTTTCAACCACGCCCGTCTCCGCCTTTGCAGCTTTGACCAACCCGTCCGTACCAGCAGAATACAGCGTCTCGCCGTCGAGTCCAAACGCCAGCGTTCGACAGCTGCCCTTGTGCCGCCGTGTCCGCCACATGGTATCAATGTGGCCTGTCCCATTCCTCGACGACGAAGTCGACGCCCCGTCGTCGTCACTGGCCTCCTCTTCGGACGGCAGGCGGAAGGTCTGGACGTGGCCCGAGGCCAGCCCGACAGAGACGACGGGCGCCTTTGGGTGGATGGCCTGCGCGAACAGGTCCGCGGAGAGCGGGAGACTACACACCGTGTCGAACATGGCGAACAGCTATGCAGGGTCTGTCTCAATGGGTGGATGCAGCAATCGATGCCAGACGTTTCTTTTCTCTTTTTTATAATCGTCTTCCGTCCAATCAAGTGGGCGCGCCAGAGCTGAGCTTGGCCTTGCCGACACGGGCCGAAGATCTTCCGGACACATTATTATGTAATCATGTGCATAATCCATGCACGCCGCATACGGACTAGTGCTGCACGTGCTCCTTCCTATCCGATAGTTATACGGCTATCGGCTTCTTATCAGCCGCGCTTCCCATCTCAGCTCAGGCTGCAGCCCAACACAAGGTCGTCGGGACCTGATCGCTCGTTATATTGATTTGATTTGAATACTGTAGGAAAAGACTATATATCCAGTTGTTTCTCTCGTCAATTCGTCATGGCGTGGATCAGCCAAACGGCAGGGCTGCTGTCCGATTCGGTCGCCCACCACCGCCCTCATTTTCCCCTGGTCGCCGTGACGGGCATCTCGTTCACCCTGGGCTTCGTGCTCAGCTCGCTGCTTCAGAAACGTGTGGCCGAACGGGGTGTTTTTTCTTCTCCGCGGGACCGGGTCTTGTTGCAGTCGGACTCCGAGACGAGTACTCTCCCCTTACCCCCCGACGTGCTACCTGGTGCTCGTGATGTCCCATCGCCTTACGGGTCGATACGAGTGTACGAATGGGGCCCGGAGGATGGCCACAAGGTTCTGTTTGTCCATGGGATTACCACGCCTTGCATTGCTCTGGGAGGGGTTGCACACGCGCTTGCGGACCGTGGATGCCGCGTTATGTTGTTCGATCTGTACGTTAAACGGCTTCTTCCGTACCATGGATGCTTATAGCTGAACGGTGTATAGGTTCGGAAGAGGGTATTCGGACTGTCCGACCGACCTTCCCCAGGATGACCGCCTCTTTTCAACCCAGATTCTACTCGCTCTCAACTCGTCGCCCATTGCCTGGACCGGCCAAGGGTCCGGCAATTTCAGTCTGGTCGGGTACTCGCTGGGCGGGGGCATCGCGGCAGCATTTGCCTCGGCTTTCCCGCATCTGCTCTCGTCTCTGGTGCTGCTGGCCCCGGCCGGCTTGATCAGAGACTCACAGATCAGCTTCTCGTCTCGCCTCCTCTATTCCAACGGGCTGGTCCCCGAGAGCGTGCTGGGCTACCTGGTCGGCCGGCGGCTGCGCGCAGGTCCACTCATCAAGCCCAAGCACACCAAGCTCAGCGCCTCTGACGCCCTGGCCGAGGAACTGCCCTCGCAGCCTGCCGCAAACACCACAAACACCCAGATCCTCTCCCGCGCGTACCCGCACATCACCGTTCCGGAAACCGTGCGGTGGCAGGTCAACAATCACGCGGGCTTCGTCCACGCCTTCATGTCCAGCATGCGGCATGGCCCCATCCTGCAGCAACGCCAGTGGGCCAGTTGGTCGCGGCTCGGCGAGTTCCTTTCCTCGCAGCGCACCCTGCCGCCCGCTGAGCAGCGCGCTCGCGGTCTCCCCAGCGACAAGGTCCTCATTCTCTGCGGCTCCAACGACGTCTTGATCCTCAAAGACGAGTTGTGCGAGGATGCTGCCACCGCCCTCAAGGGTAATGTGCAGTTCGAGTACATTGACGCCGGGCATGAGTTCCCCAGCACCAAGTACGAAGAAGTCGCTCAGTACGTGTGGGACTTGCTGCAGTGAAACATTCTTTCATCATTTTTTTTCCCTATTCTGTCTGTTTCCTCCATTGAGTACTTTCCATCCTTATTCCTTCAATGCCAATTTCTCTTAGTTCACCGGATACATGCCCGCTCGATACAGTGAGAAACCCTGATAGACATTAATTGATAGAAATCTATTTATTGTTCTTCTCTTCTTTAAAAGATATCCCTTTCTTGCCCACCCCAACCCCCCCATGACCGATCGACCAGCCTTACTTCTTCAGCATTGCGTCCACGTCACGCAGCTGACTGCTCAGCCGCGACGCATGCGCAGACCGGTCCTGCATCCGCGCGCGCGCAAAGTACGGCTCATCCGCGGCGCCGGACTGCGCGAACCGCTCAACGCCGTTCTGGTGATTCTCGCCGGGGAGATGGCGAAGGTTACCGGCGTTTAGGTTGTTGTTGGTGCCACTGACCGCGCTGGATTTGTCAGATGGAGGATCCCCTCTGGAGGAGGATAAGATACTTACTTGGTAGTTTTCTTGGTGGAGGACATATTCGAGATTAAAAAGGGCTTTTCTTGGAGAGATCTAGGTAGAAAGGGGCAAGGATCAAGTCGAATAGATCTCAAGATGGTGATGATGATGATGATGATGATGATGATAATGATCAACCCTACCGGCGTTATAGGTCTTTATATACACTCAAGGATTCGCAAGTGACCACCAAAGCAGAACGACTGCTCTGCTCATGACGTCTGTGACGAAAATCAGATCCAAGAATGGAGCAGCGATCAGGAAGAGCCTTGCGAAACGAGACAAGCCAGGCACGGTGCAACGATCTTCATTTCTGCGTTGTTTAGCACCGAGGGCTCGGTTTTACCAGGTGCGTTTCCATTCCCTCCTACCGGCTGGATTTTCTTTTTCCGCTTGTTCTTTCCCCGGATGGGCAAGCCCATAATGACGCCCATCTCTTAGCGAGGCGTGAGGCCCAAGTTCGGGGGAAGTAGATCAGGCACCGGCCGAGTCAACCTCGAGATGGGTAGAGGGCCCACAACGTGAGATGCAGACCACCGCATGGCTGCAGGGATGCAACTCTTCGGTGGACACTGCACAATCCCGCAACACTGCTCTGAGGGGGGGGGACGGTTCGCGCAGGGGGGTAGACCCGGATTTGCAGAGCCATGCTGTGCCACACGAACGCCAGTCGGCATGTGTTTCAAAGGACCCATGTGGAGGCCATCCATCCGATCGAAGGTTCGCGGCCATGGCTGAGCCCAAGCAACAGAAGCAGGGGTCGAAAAAGCTGAAACGTTGATTCTGTGGGACACCAGCCCTACATAGTACATACTACATAGCACATAACTAGTACATAGTACATAGTACATAGTACTAGTCATAGTAAACTAGTAGGTATGATAGTTAGTGGTTGTTAGTAAAGCTAGCACTGCATGCTCATTAGTTACCAGTCCGTCAAAGCTCCAGGGAATCGGAACAGTCTGGACCAGGGCCTCGAGCCTCGTCCTTTCCGGGCAGTACGAGAATAGTACCTAACCTTCCCAGGCATCGTATTTGTGTCGCTGCTCGAGCGAAATGACGACAATCAGGGGACGTTACGCTCGTTCGCACGTTGAGATTGAGCGAGAGCGAGAGCAAGAGCGACAGGACAGGAGTCACGTCTTCGGACTCACAGGACAGGGTCACATGATAGAGCAGCGTTCTTTCCCCCCCCCCTGACGGTCTTGGCATCTCTTCTTCTGCAACTCCTTTCCATGGCGATATTTGCTTTTTCTTCTCGGATCCGGGCATTGATCAGCAGCAATTTCTAGAGGGTTTGCGTCCGCGTGCCTTTGCTTCTTCCCAACGCATTCTCTTACTGATGCTTTTTGTCGGGCAGGGGTCCTCCTCGTCGATGGTTGCAACAGACGTCCTGTCAGAGCATACCCGCATTCCTCGGAGATTTCACGGGCCCTGCCTTCTCTACGCCTACCACCCGGCTGTTCAAGCCAGGTACCTAGGTAGATAGAGCCATTGCCGGGTTGAAAAACCAGGGTGGGTCTCTCCATATGCATGCAGCATGACCTCAACGTTGCTACTCCGTATCCAAGGCCGTGAAGAGCCGGAGGGGTGGAGAGGGCTGGTTCGGGGATGAGTGAATTTGCTGGGGTGGTTCCTGAAGGCGAAGATCTTCGTTCACGCGAAAGGCAGTTTTGTTTCAAGATGCCCTGCATGGATAATCTTCCCCTTTCCCTTCCTTCCCCCCTTCTAACACTGTCAACTGTCACACAGACAACGCTGCACGTGCGGAAACTGGATGTGTTTCAGGATGGGAGAAGACTGGCATGCGCTCGCCTCGACATCACGGCCAGGATTCGTAGGATGTCCATGCACATTGGCGTAAAGTTTACCAGGACACTGGATAACGGTGGCTTGCTTGGCACACAGCACTACGTGCAATATACGAACCGCGCTGGGCCATGGAATAAAAAAAGAAAAGAAAGAAAAAAGCAGCACTGCTACCTTTGTCCAAGAGGACCGTGTCGGCTCTAGCCAAGTACGTACTATGTACTCCAGGCTAAGCGTTCTCTTCATCTCGGTTACTGGAATTGGTTACACAAACGCCTTGCGCCTGACAATCCTTTTACCCAAGTTACACATGGCCCATGTGTTGGGCCGCAAATATACATGACGATATAATTGGCAACAGAGTCTCCTGTCATCCCACGGGATAAGGGTGCAGGCTGGTCAGAGCTCCCATAACCCAGGGACTGCGCGCATCTTGGGAAAATTCGCCTGATTAGCAGGATCTGAACTTGAACTGGTCTCCGCGGACCGCGCCCTCCGTACGAACTACCAAAGTACTTGTGACCTGGCAGTGAACAGATTCGATCAGTTTGCAGGTCATATGATATCCCTAACTTAGATCCCACTGGAAGCGCCAGCAAGGGATTTTGCAATGGGTATTTTGAGATGGTGAATGAATACGAACCTATGGCGGACTAGTACCTCACGCGCTCGTTTCTCTCTACCAACATTGGGACTTGCAGGCAGAACCAACAATGGGATTATTGACTTCTGCAACGCTCCCATTGCTCGCAGCAGCTCACTGCTTCGAGTTCCAGGCTACCGGTGCAACATATTCTGATAGGTGCCCCCCCCCCCCCCCCTGGACAGGACAGGACATACACTTCCAATTGGTCTTGTTGTATACAGCTAGAATATAGGTTATTCACTGAACCTAGGCCAGCCGCAAGAAATGATACCATGGTCCAGACAGACGGACAAGTCCCTGAACTTTGTGCAGCTAACGAATTGACTAGTACCTACTACCCAGTACCTAGCACCTAATCCCTAGTCGTCGGTACCCAACTCATTTGATCCGGCGCTAAAAAAGAACTAGATTGACGGCGACTCCGTGGAAACTGCTTCAAGATCTGCCGTATTTGAGTTTTACTCTTCGACTTTCTCACAGTTGGCCATGAAGCACTCATGTGAGATACGCTTTTGCACTACATGCGACGGTGACTTGTCCAGAATGGAAATGCATACTTTGCCACGCAAAGCTTATCTGAATAGCTATGGATTATCGAGAAGAAAGGATACCCTGCGCCTCTGCCGTCTATGCAGGCATGCCGAACCCGGGTTATACTCTATAGAGCCACCTAAAAAAATATATATCCATCAATGACGCGCGTTCAGCTATTTCCCAGCGATCTGGTGCAAGTGAGATCCACTGTTCCATGAACGTTGCTTTTGAATCGTCTAGTTTAGTGTCGGCCGTAGCATAACAGTCCTGCTTGTTTATGCCGCAGAAAAGGAGAGAAAAAAAATAGGCTTTCAGGAGTAGTGGCGAAGCACAGCATAACTCATGCAGATGTCTACTACATAGACCTACATAGTAGTAGTACTGCGACATAGTCCTTCGTACTATACTACTAGGAAGATAGGGTATCCCTGTCAACCAAAGGCCGAACCACTATCCCGTAGCCGACGACCTTGCAAGAGCCGGCAGAACAAAGACATGGCTTACAATGGCATTCATTAACGCCTCGGCTATTTGGGTTGTTTGCGATATGATAGTAGAGGTAGTAACTATGTAGTATGTACAAGTTAGTATGTACTATTGACCGACATGCAGCAGAATAATACCTAGTTGAGTAGTCACTGAATTGAAGAAATAATCCCTACAGCAAAGACTTACCAACCGACGCAGCCGGACAAGATGATCCAATCTAACCGATGGCAAGATACGGAGAAAATCTCAGAGAAGCAGGGAGAAGAGCCGACTCGATCGGGAAAGCCGATCTCGCCCTGCGCCACCATCCATGCCGGTCGGAAGTAGTGAGTGTGGCGTGTGTGGCAGGGGAGCTGGAGCTGGAGCTTGAGATGAGATGAGATGAGATGGGATTGCGCGATATTTCCCTTTCCGGGTGAGGCGGTTGCGCTGGATACCCGCCGGGGTTATTCGGTTAGGAGCAGAGGATGAGGAGGAAACTGTCTCGGTGTACGTCGAGTGGCGACCTTCCTGGGTGGGATGTGGCTTGGTTTTTTTTTTTTTTTTTTTTTTTTTTTTTTTTTTTTTTTTTTTTTTTTCCCGATAGATAGAACTGACAGAGCGTGCTTCAGCTACACCAGCGCCGGGGAAGAGGGAAGGAGAGGCGATTTGGTTCAGGGGGGGGGTGTTTAGGCAGTAAGTGGCTGGTGAGAGGAGAGCGAGGAGGAATAGGAGTCATATGCCGGTGTATATGACAAGCAATTATAGCAGGTTGACCTTGAGCTTAGAAGGAAGCCTGGTTGAGATGGGAGTGCCTGGAAATGGGTGCCTCAGGCGCTGTTATACTTCGGACGGAGGACAGTACTCTACCCTTATTTTAGAGGTATGCACTCGAACCAGCAGTTAACTGGTAGATGACGGATCGATGTGTATGGTCTAGTAATCATATAGACAATAGAAGTATTCAATATAAGGAAACAGCGTCTAGATGGTCCAGAGGATAAGCATGGATGAGCATATATATATAATCCGAGCGAGTCGACCGTCCAGGTCACGTGAAGCCGCCATCTTTCCGCGGCCAAAAGACAACCACGTCCTTTTCTCCTCAGCACCACCAACAGACCATTAGACAGCCTGCGAGATAGGCTCCATCACGTTTAGTTTCATCCAGTCGCCCTTTCTTTTGATACCAATGGATGTCCGACGCTTCTAAACAAGCTGGCCACCACGGAATATCGAGGCGGGGCAGTGCCAACGCAGATAGATAGGCACTGTAGAACAGTACTCAAGTACGAGTGCTTCTAACGTTATTGGCTCTTTGCTGGAGTATACCATTTAATATCTCTGCCGTACCATATAGCTTGGCTAACTTGTTCAGAATCCCATATATGCATGAAATGCCCACCAAGATGGATCAAGCATCAACAAGTAGCATCCAACAAGCTATCTGGGAAGGACGACTTCCCTTGGAAATTGTCCTCGCTCCTTCGGAAAGCCGAGTGTATGATAAGACAGATCCATATTTGGTGGGCATCCCCTAGAATCAAGAGAGAGAGAGAGAGAGAGGCCAGAAACATATCTAAACATGTCAGATCTCCTATCACCGCATATCATATCTCCCCTCGCTACTACCGCGACTGCACGCCTTCTTCTCATCCTCACTGATCGACCCCTCGTCGCAGCCGCACGAGGGATGGTTTTCGTTCGAAAACGTGCCTCTGAAATGGCACTATCCCGTCGGTCTCCTGTACGACCTGTACGCCGGGGCCGAGCCGGCCTCCAAGGGAGGTGGTGGTCTCGATGAATCCGACGCCCAAGCAACCCTCCCGTGGCGGCTAACCGTCCATTTTTGCGACTGGCCGCATGAGGATCTCGTCCAGCTAGACGCCGCGGGGATGGTCATGAACGACGCCTTTATCAATAGCGTCAAAGAGGCGGATTTCCTCCGTAACGGCACCGCAAAGGGGATCATGAGTCTTTCCAAGGAAGATTCGTCAGGATTATGGGAGGCTGTTCAGGGAGGTACTACGCTCTTTACTCACAATAAATACAAAAAAAAAAAAAAAACATCAAAAGGATGAATGATTCAAGGCTAATATTTCAGTGGATCTACCCTCCTTCCGACGAATCTCAAACATCCTCCTCCCACCCACAAACCAACCGTTCCGCAACGTCCCCATCCGCATCTTCCTCCCCTTACCACCAGACACAGGCGCCCCCTCGTTGAAAGTCTTCCAATCGCCCTTGTCGCCCTCCATCGCCGTCTCAAACATGACAGCCAGCCATCTCGGCCTCAGCCTCACCCTCTCCATGGCCCGTCACAATAGCAATAACAGCCCCTCCACCCAGTCGCAGACGGTAGGCACCGCCTTGCACGCCTTGCTCCCCAATCTCTTCCCGAGTCGTCGCACCCCAGTCCTCGCCAACCCGGTCCTTCACGGGGCTGTCCTGCCCATGTCCGCGCCGGTCGAGGAGGTCGTCCGGTGCTCTGCGTATGGAGACGGGTGGGCATATATTGTTGTCCGCATGGTGGGGTAGTACTACTTCTGTTCACTGTCTAGCCTAGTATCTACAAATTCAAATCATTAAGCTTACTACACTACTTCCAAATACGAGGTTAAGTAAAGGTTAAGGTAAGTAAGGTAGTATGTATATTCGACCCGAGTCGCTAATGTAACTAATGTAAAACAGAAGGCGCGAGCCTTCACCTGGAACAGGAAACCCATTCTAGCACATGCCATTTTTGGACGGAAAAAAGTAGATGCAATCGCCCAGGGGGAATCATCTGAATAGAAAGAAAAAGGACAGGTCATTTCAACACATGAAGATTAGTAGTAGCCGTATATCCGGCACCGGAACCGTAAAGTATGTCATGAAGATTCATCATGTCGTCAACGTCGTAGCTGGTGAAGCTGTTTTGATATAAGAAAAATGCAGATACAAAGAAAAATGCCTTGGTCATGATCATAAATGGAGTGGAGAGTAGAGAGTATTCCACTGATTGAATGGAGAGGAGAGGAGAAGAGAAGAGAAGAAGATAAAAAAAAAAAAAAAAAAAGGCTAAACAGGACTGCCGTTCATGTTAATCTCGGCACCGCTGTCCCGGGCTCTCTTAATGGTCTTGGCGAGCATCAACTCGCGCATCCATTCGAATCGTTCCTCTTTGGAGAGGACGGAGAAATGGTGCGACTTTCCGTTACTGAAGAGAGACTTCAAGTCGGAGCCCGAGGACAAAGGGGAGGAAGAGGAGGAGGAAGAAGAAGAAGAAGAAGAGGAAGGACTGGCCGATGGGATGAGAGAAAAGGCAAAGGCGGATTCGCCCGGGATCATCTCCTTGCGCTTGAGAACCGTCTTCTTGAATGCGGCTGTCAGCTTGGAGCTCGAGGGCTGCGACGAGCATGCCACCGCGTAGTCATCGATGTCGATGTACTCGAGGGCTTTGGAGTCGCGTCGGAAGGCTTGCTCGTCCGAGTACATGGCCAGCTGTGTTCCCTTGAGCGCAAAGTGACGTTCGGCCCATTCATGACGCAGGAGACGGGTGGTCTTGCGCTTCTTCATGGGGCCGTTGATGGCCACCTCAGTGCCACTTTTGGTGTCGACGACCAGCTTGGGTCGGCAAGAGGTGGCAACAACAGCAGTAGCCACGCGTGGGTTCTGGTCAAGGTCGTCCAGGGAGAGAACCTGGCCTTCATCGAGACGCTCGAGGGATCGGAAATGCTGGCTCTGGTGGGAGACGTTGCGATGATGACGGTCCGTCTTGGTCGAGGCCGGGCGCGAAATGGGATCGGGCCCGTTCAACTTGTGTCCTCCAAAGCGCATGTGGGGGGGCACCGACTGAGCAGCGTCGCGAGCGATCGGGGTGACCGGCGCGGTTGTGACTGGCATCTGCACATCGGTTTCTGAGAACTGGGTATGGAGGTAGAGTGGATCGGGTCGGTAATACTCAGACGGGGAGCAGAAGGGGCTGGACATCGCGGGCGACGGCCCTTCAGTTTCGGCGATTGTTGCTGCTGCCACCGATGACGACCGCATGAAGGCAGACTTCCTGATGGCCGACGAGGGAGTGGCTGATCGGTGGGTAGAAGAAGGGCAAGGGGAGCAGGTCACATTGAACGCCGCAGACTGGGTGTTTGGGATCTGGAGTTTGGGCAGATGGCCCAGATTGGCCGCGAGATGCGTGCCCGTCTTGGCTGGGACGACTGGCTCAAAGCTGGCAGCAGACACCAAGGGTTGCGCCACTGGTTGGAGCTGACTGACATGCTGGAAGCTCAGGAAGTGACGGACATTCTCTTGGGGGTCACGGGGGGCGGGCATTCCGTTCAGCTTCTCTTCCGAGAGGCGGAAGTCGGGCGTTTGCCCTGGCCCCATCACATCCGAGGAGGCGACAACGGACAAGGTTCCATCGGTCTTGAGCGTGGAAGGAATGCCACGAGCCATGTCGGACGACAGGTCAAGGGGAGCAGGCTTATCGACGAAGGTGACCGATCCATTGAAAGGCTCGATGGGTAGTCCGCCGGTCATGCGAGCCAGTCTCGCCTGTTGCTTCTGCCACTTGCGGCATCTTTCACCCTTGGAGCACTTGTGGATCTTTGGCAAGTACTGTTCGATAGCAACAATTGACGCTGAGTCGTCAGGAAGGATTTGCTCTTCCTGCCTAGACTCGCGCCGAAGAACCTCGGGCCGGGTCACCGGGGCCGGGGTTGCGTTGGTGCTGGCGTTGTTGTAGTCATCGTCAATGATGTCGATCTCATATGGGGGCAAGTCATTCGGCAAGACCATGATATGGTCACGGAGCTGACTGATCTCATTTAGCAAACGATGACGCTTGCCAAAGGACCGGATGTCCAGTTCTTTGAGGTCCTCGGATTGCAGCTCGAGGAGGATGGCACCGGAAATGTCGTTGATGAAGAATCGCTCGACGACCGAGGAGTCAAAGCCAAGGCTCTGAACCCACCGGACAACCTGTGCCGGGGTCCAGTTGGCAACGTCCGATCCAATCTCCTCGATGGAGGTACGCTTCTGCTTGGGTGCCTTTCGATCAGACTGAGGGAAGGTGGGGAAGGTCGGGGTACGCTGGAGCATGATATCAACGTCCAGAAAAGACTGCATATCCGAAAAACCAGCCGAATGCCGGAAAAGGTGCGGGCCCTCGGGTCCTTTGATCTGCTTCCCATCGAAGCCGAAGTGGAAGGGATCCAGCTCTGCCAGACGTGGAGTCTTGATGTCCGGCGATGATGCCGACGAGACACTACCACTTGCAAGCTGGAGGGGGTAATGTTAGCCAGGACGTTTTACAGTATCAGGAAGAAAGAGAAAAACCTACCATTTGGGGGCTTTTCTCCAGATCACCGACGTCGGACTCGGCATCGGAGTCGAAGATCTCAGTAGCATTGGACGAGGGGCGGGGAAGGGTAGTGCGAGGGAAGAGGAAAGCGGACTTCTTAGAGGTCTCAATCATGGAGATTGCTTGTCTATCCTTTGAATTGGCCTCTTCCCGGAGGAATAGGACCATTGGGTCCACGGAGGGGAGGCGAGTGTCAATCATTGTGTGTGGGGGGGGGGGAGGCACTGAAGGGAGCCACCCAAGCTCTCTTTGCCTAATGCAGGATGATTGACGAGCTTAAATATATAACCTTGAGAGAGGAAAGGTTATATATATTCCTATATAACTATCATATGGTTCAATTGACCATATACTAGTATAAAGGAAAAAAAGGTAGGGAGAGAGAGAGAGAGCAAGAAGAGGTAAATCCCCCGGGGGGGGGGGTTTTATGTATCGGACAAAAAGAGCTCTGGGATATTTTTGGATATGGCCTGCAGACTCGAATGTGACGAATTGACAGTTCGAGTGCATCGTATGTCTGTGACTTGCACGACCCGACGGTCCTGCAGGGCGGTTGGGGTGCATCTCTCGGCGAGGCGGCGATCGAGGGCTCTGATCCACCAAAGAGAAGAGCGTTGAGGTTGGAGCGGAAAGTGTGTGTGAATTTCCAGCCACTGCTGGCATGACGAGGCAGGTTCGGCCGGTGATTCGACGAGGGGGAAGATTGTCAGACAAATTGGGCCGGGATGAGGTTGAGCAGGTCGAGGCAGTTGAGGAAGGTGAGTGGCCGGCGGAAGGAAGAAGGGCGGCAGTCACATTGGCACTAATGCAGAAGGAAGAATTAGGGGCGATAAATATAGCTCTTTTGGGGGGGAATTAGCCTGTTTTGCCATTAATACGCGATTAATTAGGGGTGTTTATATGACACTCGGTAAATGAGGGGTAGCCATGTTACTGTGGTACACTTGTCGTTAACTAATTACCTAGTAACTAACTACTAGGTAGTTACTAGATCACTCAGATTTACCGTTAATAATGCTGGAATAGGAAAAAGCTCAATCGAGTCACATGCATTGAAAAAAGAATTGAAGAAACCCCGGCCAATTGGACTCGAGGGACGGAGTACGAGGGAAGGTTAGTAGTGAGGTACTACCCAATCCATATACGAGTACTAGGTCAGGTAGGTACCTCTCACCGTGCCCGTATGTAGTACCTACGGAGTAGACTACCTGGTAGGTTAGGTAGGTACACTGGAAATGATTTCTTACGTACCAGTAAAGTAGCTTACGTAGCTACTAGGTAGTATCTTTTTCGACGAGTGTACTCCGTAACTATGGAAATCATATCCATCATTCCTGGGTATGAATATATCCCGCGTGCACGGGCTACATACACGATCATCACATCACATGCATAATCTAATTTCAGTATTTATACAAGCAATATCAATTAGATTTTTAATCATTATTATTATTTATCAACATTAATTGTGCCAAGTGAGAGATCTTATAGTTACTACTAGTACTTGACTAGTTATACGAATCCATTCTACGGAGTATAATATAGTCAAGTAGGCAGATCAAAATAGTCTGTAATAATCTGTAATAATCTGATCTAGAATAAGATAAAAGCCCTCACATGATCATTGCTTATGGCGTCACAAACCCCGAACGGTTCGGCTCCGGAGCATGTCGGTCTATCACTGTCACACCGTCTTTGCAGATGAGGACCTGTCAGGATTAGAGTATAGATAAATAATCATATGAGAGATCTATTCCATAGCTACGGAGTATATTTATGATAGATAATGATTAATGATACTAGTATTGTGCTACAACAAGAGATGACTAGGATCTGGCATAATAGACATGTAGATGTGGAAGACAAGTATATGTATAAGAGATACGGAGTAGTTATAACTTGGGTATACTATATAGTATAGTTATAGCTCAAGTGGCTGGTAGCTGAGCTGAGCCTGGCAGGTGACAGTAAAAATCAACCTTGGAACACTAAACTAGTTGGTATTAGCAGTAGATACTATGGAATAACTAGTGGACTATGTACCTAGTACAAATACTCCGCAAGAGAGGTATAGTATGCAAGATGAGCAGAAAATCTCCCTGTAGGTACTAGTATATATCACTAAGAGACTCATATATTCTATTCTATAGAGATTATACTATAATCATTGTCTAGATTCTACTCAACCAAGTGAGGTTTACTATGGTTCTCTCCCCTCATCGACCGAGTACCCCATACTACCAATTAACCAATTAACTAGTTACTACCTATCTACTGGCGTTAATTGTTGCTAATTATGTCTGGTATCAATTTCTAACCGCCAGCATGGAGTGAGTAACACTATTAATAGAAAAACAGACTACATCCAAATGAGGGAAATTAAGGTGGTTAATGGCGGCTAATTTCCCTTCTTAATGTTGCTAATTAGGGGTACATCTTATCTGTATACGATTTATTGGCTGTCGTCGTCTGTCTCTTCCGAACTTCATCTTCTCGACCATCCATTGACATCCACAGATTCAAAGCTTGGCATGCACATCGACCTGCTCCCATCACATCACGAAAAACAGACCCCCGTCTACGCTCTCTGGTTGGCCGCCATGACTCATTTCCATCTCTGCACTCTCTGCACCTGTCCGCCAATCGTCACCCGCGTCAACATCCTCGCCTATCACCGTCGAAATTCTTCTCTCTCACGTCTCTCCCCCCCCCTGTCACGACGTGCAACCATGGCTGGTCGTTCGTTAGCCTGTCACTCTCCACCCGGACCGGACCATCTCCAGGGATGCTTTTACCCCCTCTGCAAGCCTAAATTTGGAGCCAAACAGGGTAGAGAATGAGGGGGGCCGGGAAACGAGACGATGGCTAAGAAACGAGCTGCACCGATCGCCGCGTTCGCATGGGGACAAAAAATAGAAGCAGAGCAATCCTCCGGCTTGATTCATCTAAAAGCCTCGATCTACCTCTTTTAAAACACCTATCTCTTGTACCTATCTCTTGTACCTATCTAGAACCCTACCTCTACAGCCTACTTACACTCACAGGCATACACTATCACAGGATACACACCATGCCAACAAAACCCCCCGTGCAGACCAAAAAGGTCGCAGTCACGGCTGGCGCGAAGACGGTCGACGTCAAGACGGGCGCGCAGGCGCAAGCCAAGTCGGAACCGGCCGAAAAGTCAGGCAAGATGCACAAACGCTCGCGATCTGGTATGACACTCTGGTAATGAATAAATCTGGTTTCCCTCTCTGATTCCCAGGCTGCTTCACATGTCGTCTGCGCCGCAAGAAATGCGACGAAGGTCATCCAGCCTGTCGGGCGTGTACCAACCTCTGCGTCAAATGCGAATACAAGCGTCCGATGTGGTGGGGGAATGCAGAGCAGCGCAGGATCCAAAAGGAACGCATCAAGAATAAGATCCGCCAGACCAAGATGTTGGAAAAGAGTAACTCGTTGCAGAGTAGGTCATACCTACCTTCCACTCTTGAAATCTTGTTTTCTGACAAAACAGACCAAATGAACTCGGCTCGCGCCCTCTCCCTCGATCATCATGAGCACAGTCTCCATCGCCCGCCGATCTTCAATGAGCCGTATGATCCGTTCGCCTCTCACTTGCCTACCCCATCGTTCCAGCCGCATTATGCCCCGTACGAGGTGGATGTGCGGACGGAACGCCAGATGTTTGTCAACGATGTGCCCTTGTGTCATGACTCGTCGGTTTCCTCCTTCAGCGCCTACGGTCCGCCGCAATTGCATGCGACGCTGCCGAGTTTCCCTGGGGACGAATGGCTTCATGAAGAACTCTTTGGTGGTAACAGCAGCAGCAACAACAACAACAACAACAACAACAACGCCGCCACCACCGCCGCCACCACCGCCGCCGCCGCCGGCGCGACGTTCATCGATCCCACCCTGCAGGATAACTCACAATTGTCCTTCTCGTCGCTGCAGACCACCATCCCCGTCGACGACCACGACCGGCCGTTACTCGACCACTTCATCGACAACGTGCTGCGTCTCATCTTCCCCATCCTGGAGGTCCACCAGCAGGGACCCGCGCGGGCGCGGGCGATCCTCAGCTCGCTGGAAACCAACCGGTCGTACCTGCACTGCTGTCTGAGCGTGTCGGCCATCCATCTCAAGACCACCGCCGGGTTGAGTGCCGACCAGATCGATCACGACATCATGCGCCACCGCTACGAGGCGGTCGCCCAGCTCTGCCAGGCCCTCAACCGCGACACAGACCACGAACACATCCTCGACGCCACCCTGGCCATGATCTTCTTCCATTGCTCCGTCGGCGCCCCGGACGACTACCTCCCTGATATCCCGTGGAACGAGCACTTCCAAGCCGCCTCCAACCTGGTCACCAAGCTCGACCTGCCCAACGCGCTAGTGCAGTGCGGGGGTGTCAACAACAAGACCGCCAGCAGCAATGGCAGCAGCAGCAGCAGCAGCAGCAATGGCCTTGTGACGGCCCCCTTTAGCATGTCGCTGACCTCGTGGATCGACATCCTGGGCGCGACGATGATCGGCCAGACCCCGCAGTTCGCCCACACCTACCGCGCCAAACACCTTAGCGGCACCTCGTCCGGCCTGCGCGAGCTGATGGGCTGCGACGACCGCGTGATGTACCTCATCTCGGAGATTGCGTGTCTCGACTCGCTCAAGGCCGCCCACGCCGTCGACGACATGGCCGTCTGCTCCCATGTCTCCGCCCTAGGTCAACAACTAGAGTACACCGAGCCCGCGGACCCAACGCTCGAAAGCCCCTTTTGCGCCTCGAGCGGTGCCATCCGGCCCGAAGCACTGACAAAGACCATGAGTGCCGTGTTTCGCCTCGCCGCCCGCATCTACCTGTGCAGTCTTGTCCCCGGGTTTGACCGCTCCCAGCCCTCAGTGTGTAACCTGGTGCATGCCCTCGCGGACATCATGACCCATATCCCCGCGGGGCCCTATGGCTTCGACCGTTCGCTCGTCTGGCCTTTGCTCATTGCGGGCGCTTACTCCGTCCCTTCGAGTCCCTTTCGTTCTTTGCTTGCCGATCGTGTCGCCGCTCTAGGCGACCTTGCAGACTTTGGTAGCTTCGGCCGTATGTACATGCTTCTCCAGGAGGTGTGGCGCCTCACAGACGACCCGGAAGAAACGGCAGTTTCTTCTTCTTCTTCTTCTTCTTCTTCTTCTTCTTCTTCTTCTTCCTCCCCTCAGAGGGTCAAGGAAGAATCTCCCGCCTCGGACGCCTCGAGCATGCGCGAGCTCAAGAAACAACATGTTCATTGGCGGGAGGTGATGGGCCGCAACGGATGGAGATACCTGCTCATCTAGATTCCTCTCTTCTTCTTCTCTTCTTCTCTTGTTGATGATAAAAAGCGCATGATGCATGATTTATGGATGGCGTTGATTCTCATCTTTATTATACCATTGAGCATTCGGTTGTTTTCTTTTCTTTTTTTTCTCTCTCTTCTTAGCTGGGAGTCTATTACTGCTAGACAGTAGTCATCTGGAATGTACAAGACACAGTTCAAGCTTTTATCGTTAGATCACTTACATTATTAAAGTATGTCTGTAGTCTTGGCCATCCAAGTACTCTTGATATATTCCTGGGTGAGTGGTCTAACTCAACTACAGTCAGATATATACGACACGTCTATTCTAATTACTTTCTAATTACCGCCAGCCACATCCTGACCCTCGAGCATTGCTTCATTTCATCTCGGCGCTAGGAACTCGTCCATGGCGCAAAGGATTCAACCACCCTCTCAGGCATACTGTCTGGGATTGATGCAACACCTGGCGACTCTTGGTTACCGCTGGCGATGAAAATACGTTGACGCCAGCCTAGATGAGCTGTCTCATGTTGCGTTGTATACTGCTGGAGATTATATGTTGATCCTCGTAGCATACGGTACTGTCACTAAGGACACATCTGAATCGGGCGGCTGCAAGATCAAAATAGATTCAACAAGACACTGCCTCCAGCATCCGTAATTGCGGCGCCTGCTCGATCAGATACATTGTGCATAGATACCTATTGATCCCGCCCAATTGCTTTTTTCAGAGTCAGGGTATGCGCTTCTCGTGAAAATAGACGACAGGTATCATATTGACGCCATCAAGTACGTTCTGAATATTGTATATCTGGCAACGATCTGGCGGCTGCTCTCGACGAGTAGGACGCAATAACATCGCTGCCAAGATATCCGAATGCACTTTCAGCGCTTAAGACTGGCCACGGCGGCACATGGGCGGCGGGTGACTAGGACCCTGAGGTTTCCCATCCTGTCTATATCCATACCAGGCGCCGACAATAGAAGCAAGCGATCGGTTATCATGTACAGCATCACTGTCGGCATGACAACCAGACCGCAAGCAACCACAATTCATGGATTACAGCGCCATGGTGAAGTAAATAGAGGGTATTGATTGGCGATAAGATGATTCCCAGACTTCTCTCCCCCCCCCACCAGCCCCCGGCGCTTTGCGCAGTCTGCAGTACTCGATACGGAGTCAAGCGCGCTTCTACTCCAGACGGTGGGAATGACATGCATAGCAACGACATCTGTTGGATCGACACGGGGTCCGATAACCCTAAATCAATCATCGAAACTCGTGACCTTGTACTCCGTAGGGTATACTGGGATCATGGATGTGGGCCACCTTCCATGGGCGAACCGCCGATGGATCTTCAGGGATACCGCGCGCCTTTCGATCCGAGCGAACCACATGGGCTCTTCAGCAACCCCTGGCCACACAACCACTGGCGGTAAATCACCTGAAACGTTTCTGCGAAGATAGCTAGGGATCGGTTCCCCCCTCCCCTTTTTTTTTTCCTGCTCCTGCCACGGAGATGGTGATGTGATGAAATGGCTGAGGAATCCTGACGCAAATATCGCCCACAATCTGATACAAACTGGCCCCTTCCACCCCCTTTCTGCGACAAGACACTAGTCGCGGGACCTTTGCGGCAGACAAAAGAGCATATAATCAACGGTCAGTCCCCGCTGGCTGACTGACTCGACATCCAACAAACACAGAGCTGGCCGGTCCATTGCTATTGACTGTGTATACCCCCCCCCCGCCCCCCGATTCAGTCGTTTCTCTCGCCGAGGATTTAATTGGAAGATCGCCTGGTGAGGATTGATCGAACCACTGCCAACAGTCAGCCTTTCAAGCCCAACAACCAGCCAAAACGTCAATCGTCGCCGCAGGCCATCCCATCTCCTGGAAACCTTCCAGAACTTTGTCATTCTGTGTTGGGCAAGTGCAGGCAAGCAACCACCTGACCCGGAGGCACATGACTTTTGTTGCTTGTTGGCCTGCTAACCCCAACTGGGTATAGAACGAAATACCGCCGATCAGGTCTTGTACAGTTCCGTATAATACAGCGCATTACCATACCGAGCCGCCGCTCCCTGCGCCGCCCCATATAGATAGGAAGCCACTGCCACTGCCACTCTCCTTTCGTTTGCTCTTTTCATCTCCCCTGCGGCTGGCGTCCTCTCATTGAATTCTTCTTTTCATCCTCATCCTCGTCGTTGCGGGAGAGAAAATATAAGGCAACGAATATTTCCTCTTGCAACCTTTGAATCCGGATTTTTTTGACCATTCTCTGGTCTCTCTTCTCCGTCCCCCCCCAGTCACCATGGCGCCGAACAAGCCAGTGCTCCATCCGCTCAAAACGCCCAAGTCGATGACTTTTCCGTCGGAGCTGAAGGACAAGACCAAGAGCGAGGATAGCAGTGCGACTCCAATCTCGCCGCCGCTGGCGTATACCGAGTTTCTAAAAGCCCTCACGCCCATCTTCACCAGCCCTGTCAGTGCAGGCGGCGCCTTCCCCGCCTTTGCCTGTTCGCCCACCTCGACCCCGTCCAGTGCAACCAGCCTGTCCTTCTCGGCCACAGGCAGCGCAAAACCCTCTTCCTCCTCCTTTTCATCGACCTCTCCTCACTCCTCATCTTCCTCATCATCTGCCACCTTGTCGGGGAAAAATCTCCCCCCGGCGTCACCTGCAACTGCACCCAAGTCGGCCCACTCGGCGAGGCCGGGCCCTCTACGGCGCCTGCGCATTCCACTGTCGGCAGGCTATCCATACTCGCCCACGCTCGAGTCGCCAAGGTCAGCCAGCACACTACGATCACCGTATTCGGCAATCGAGTGGAAGACGCGGTATCTGGAGTCGCAGTCGCCGCGTAGCGCCACCGGCAGTAGGCATGTCAGCGTGCGGCAGGTTGTTACTCGCACCGTGACCTACAAGCGCACGCCGCTTGAGCCGCCACCCAAGGGGAAACGCAGGAAAACGTCAAACGAAGTTGAGGCAGAGAAATAGCCAGATCCAATCCCTCATTATTTATCGCGGGGGAAGGGGAAGGGTTGCGGTCCTAAAATCGGGTTCCTTTGGTCTACTCCATTCGCCATTTCATATCCTTCTTTTTTTTTCTTTCCCTTTTTCAACCCACTCTCATATCTCAGCGATTTGCTCTATCTTTGTTAATGGAGTTCTATTGGGTTTGACCATCGCATGCTTCAGAGCTACAAATGATCTCGAAAAAAAAAAAGACTTGTCCGCGACCTCGCTAGGTACCTACGGTGTGCTCCAGACTGGCTAGAGTCATGAAGGAGGGAATCAAAAGGCTCCTAGGAGGGTCCAAGCGGCATGAATGTTGGGACATCCGTTATTTGGTGAGCGCTTTTGCTACGATTGGTCTGTCTGGATGCTATTTTGGGCGGGTCGGGGGAAGGGACTGGAGTTTATCTTTGGGGGCTTCCATCATATTGGTCGGCTTAGGGACTTAATCTTACCTAGGATAAGCACGGAGTCACAATATAAGTTATACCTGGGTGGTATACCTGGGTAGAATGAAATCTGTCTTGGATACACTTGGCTACCGTCCACTTCCACGAGTCATAGACCTCGACTAGACCCCAATGCTGCCACTGTTGGTTTTTTTTTTTCATTCCTTCTAGCTCCTTTGCTAATAGAATGATCCCGACAGGGTGGTTCCCACGTGTGAGGCACCACGCTGTAACTAATGAGAGGCTTCGTGGAGCCGACGAGCAGCCCATAGCTATAGAATAGTTAGAGACTAACTACTAGGTGTAGACAACACTAAGCCACCGACATGACAAAGGGTAGCTGCTATATATAGATATATATCCTCCACTCAATGGATTCCAACACTAACAATGCTTAATATAGATCTATTTATCAAATATAGAGAGCACTCGGTACTCTAACGAGGCTGTTCAGGTACTGCTAGATGTCTGTAAGAATCGCAGATACCGTATCGTCAGTACGGTACCATACACCCATCCAGACTCCCCCAGCTGTGATTTCATCACACCCTACCTCGGTACCTAAGGTTTTAGGGCCCTCTACTACATACCGCAGTACAGCAGGCCAAATGTGATGGGAGGAGACTGATATTCAGTGGGGCGTAAAGATCAATCTAGTACCAGATTAGAAGCCGGACTATTACCATCTTCTCTGGTATACAGAGGAGGTGACTACTAGGTACGCCAGGGCTCCGTACAGTAAGGCAGAACAACCATCCCACCTAACATTATCATTTGCCAGAGAGAAGCGTCAGCACTAGAATAACTTTTGTACTACTGCAAGAGGGCGATGTATAGATATCATCCTTCACATTTGACGGAATCAGCTTCCCTTGTCCTGTATGCTCGTTCATTTTCATCACACGCCACCCAGGGCCTGTCCAGCCAGACAAAACGGTAGGAAGAAGCCTCAGATGTACCCCGAAGGAACAAGACAGCCAATCCCATCGCCTAGATCTTGTAATAAGGAAAACCTACTAGGGGAGGTTCCTTCTCAGTGCACAACAAGACATGAATATAAGCGCCGGCGCCTTTCCCGATCAGGCGCTTAGCGCCTTGGCAAGCCGTGGCACCTTCGAATCTTCCAGTGACAGGCGCGCGGGGAGCTGGAAATAGTGCGCCCGGCGGTTTCATTGGCTGGAGGTGAGCTTGCGGGCGGGGGGGGATCAATAAATAAATAAATAAATAAATCGGGGGAGGGCCGTCGGGTCTATTTTTGGATCTCTGCCGGCGCTTACATACATACATGTGCATATTGTGAAGAACAGATTTAAAAATAGTCTATTGTTCTACTGCATACTACATGGTTGTTTAGTATCCTGTACAGAGTACTCTGTACAGAATAAGTAGGACTGTTATTACATTGAGGCTTCTGTACGGAGTATAGTATCTTAAGAACACTGTCTGATCAAGGACTATTGTTACAGAGTACGGCATGAATAGAACACCAACGTCATCGTAGATTGTAGTACGGAGTAGAGTCGTTCTATATTCAGCCCGCAGACAGGGGATCAAGTAGCTGGCCGGCGTTATTTCTATCCAATCAGAAGAGGATAACTGCATCTGGATGATCTGTTGAGAGAATCTTGCAAGGGACTAAGAGTAGGTATCCCCTGTGACTGGAAGAAGGCGGAATCCTGCGAGCTCAAAAGCGCTGAACTACTAACAAGTAAAGGCGGGCTGGGAATTCCAAGTCGACTACAGTAGGCCCTTCGAAACTCATTGGTTCTCTGGAAAGTTTCGAGGCAGTGATGGTAAAGTTTCCTCGATGGTTATAACATGTCATTACCGTCCATGGATACACTGGACCAAAATAGAAACTCACACCTGGTAGACTGGTAGGCTTCTATCTTTAGCTTAGCAACTGCATGATAGAGATGGCTTTGTCTAGGGATGACAGGCACACCGAAGCTCGAAGATACTCTGCTGGCGAGACCGGATCTGACATCCACTCTCAACGGCATCTCGATTGACGGGTTGTAGGTATATTCTTTGAATTCGTTCATCGGACGACCGAGGCATACTTGAATCGGTGTGGTCCCTGCTTATAAAGACATAATTGCGTGTGCCATCGGACAACTCTACGCTCAGGTCAGCGAATGCAGCAGCCTGTCTCGGATGCAACCACATCAAAGCAGCCCTTCGGGCTGCGAAATATCTCTGTACAGTCAGTGGTGGTAGTTATTCCCCCTTCTTGGCATGTCTTTTTTGAACAACTCCTCTCGACAAGGCCATACCACGCAGTGTCGGATTGCCAGTTCTCACTATCATGTTGGCTCCAATGCATATCCGATATGAGTGATGATGATCATGCCAAGGACAGCAAATAGGCACAAAGATGCAAGCCCCGAAAATGCCTAGTTTCCGTGCTGCATCTAGTATTTCGAGTTCTTATCTCCCTGGTCGGCGAGGAAAAGATGAGGGACTGGCTCAAAATGAGTTGGCAACGATATCACTTGAAGATAAAGGAATAGATATCACGAACACATTAGCCATTCAGTCAGTCTGGTCTCAGAAATGACTGACTATCAGAGACGGACTTCTATGAGCAATAGGATAGATAGCAGGCTCGTGGAAAGTCGGTGTACAGAGTACGTCATATGTCGTACGGAGTATCCTTCACGGTGCTGTAGGCTATCTATAGCCTCAACCTGCGCATTAGCAGAAGCATCAATCAATCCAAATTAATCAACTTCTACTCTGTACTTCAGGGATATTCTTATGTTGTCCTGCAAGCTCCTTTCAGGTCGGATCTCAACGTCGTAGACTAGAACAGGATAAACAAAGGCTAGGGATTTGAAAGTCTAGCGAGATAGCCACAGTCAGCACTCTCCACGAATAATACTTTATTCTCAAGTGTCAGCAGGCCAGAGGAATCCCGTTGGTTGCTTGTGGTGGAGTCTCACTGTGATCGACGTGCAGCTCGACGAATGCCTTTTGCCAACGACCGCCTGTTCTATATTTGGAGCCAGCGAGGGGAAGACTGCTATTTGCGGCTTTGCCTGCCACTGGACCAGCCGACCAAGACTTGATTAATGGCCGTTTCTCGTCCCCTAGAGACAAATCAAGAAGAAGCAGAGACGGCACCAGCGTGTTTTGCTGTGTGGTGCCGGGAAGGCTTCTCTTCTTATCACCTGCCAGACGATCCCGTGATCCGCCCCTCCATCTCGCTGCTGCTTTTCCACTCTCTCTCCTCCCCGTCTTCCCCCCAACCAGGCTGGATGATGGCGCCGATGTGTTGCTATCCCTGAGTTTTGCCAGTCTTCTTTTGGTTCTTTCCTGCGTCCCGATCACCAAGAAGTACGGCCGCCATGGCGCACCCTTTCACTCCCGATAGTGCCTTCGATAGGGCCCAACCCCCCCATTTTCCGGATATCACCACGCTCACGAATAAGGGCACGTCCTCGCTATCAATCACGGCGCTTGCTCGCTTCGAATTTGAGGCCGGAAAGGGTAACGATGGCACCAAGATCCTCATGGTCGAGTGGGAGGACGATCACCAGAGCCGGTCGAGAGCGTCCGGCGAAGGCGGCGGCTCGTGGCATGTCTTTTGGGATGGCAAGACGACTGTTCTCCCTGCCGACGAGCAGACGAGCGAAAATACACGCCGGTTCTATTTCCTGCTACCACCGAACGTGACTATTCCTCCCGTAGTGACCCTGTCGTTTGAACCGGCGAACCAGTCCGCACACAAAACAGACGAGGCGACAACAACAACAACAACAAACGCCATCCAGCTTAACCCATTACCAGCGATCTTCCCTCCGGAACTAGGCGTCACCGGCCGCTCGGCGGGCAAGAAGGGCGTTCTACACACAATCTGGGCGAAGAAGCGGTTGCGGGTTTTGGAGAAGGAGATCCGCGAGGAATGTCTTAAAAACGCCGAGGGGATCGCACTGCATATGGCCCTGCAGGAAAAGGAATGGATCGAGTCCAATTTCGGGGTCACCTCGCGAAGTCACTCGTCCACCGCGGTCTATCCCACAGGGCCCGTGACGCCAGTGTCGCCTGTGTCTCCTGTGAGCGGCCGGAGACTGGCAGATAAGCTAATGGGATTGAAACTGCAAACTGGCGAGAAGGACCTGGCTTCCCGCAGCGACTGTAAGACAGACAAACTCCCCTCTCCCTCTCTCTCTTTGTTTTTCAATCTTATTCTTTCGTTTCAATCTCATACTAACGCCTCCCAGCTCCTGCTGCCCACCTTCTCTCGCCACAATCTCCCGATGTCGCCGTCTCTTCATTCAGTTCATTCCGACCCATTCCACAGTCACAACTACAACCGCAGAAGTTGCAGACTGCAGCTGCACCGGCTACTTCTACTGCTGTATGGGCCAGTGATGTATCGATAGTGGCCCAGTATCCGCCCGAATCACTCCAACGCGCGCAGATCGCGAGCGGCAGTGGGTTCGCGTCCATGGCACCACCGCCCACAGAGAGCCCCGAGTCCAGCGACGACCTGTTCGCCAAAGCCCTCAGCCCCCGATCGCCGGATCTGCCGCAGAGTCCGTTCTCTTTTGCTCCGCCTGCGTCAACGGCGAATGCTGCCGTCAGTGACTATGGTAGCTAATGCGTGCTCTGTTGACTACTTTAATTCCCACCTAGTCTTAGCATGACTTTTTTTGTTCTAGGATTGATACGGCAGGCCATATTGGCATACATATATAGTAAAAAAAAAACAATGCTAGCGTACAAAACAGTATGTATATAGATAGTGAGTTGGAAATGGAATCTGTAGGACGATCATGGAATAATTGCAAGGGAAACTCCCCATCACTGATGCAAATTTTAGACTGGTGACATTCTTTTTTTTTTAAAAAAAAAAAAGAGAAAAAAAAAAGAAAGGAGAAAAAGAACAAATAACTCCGCGGTGTCGGGGACTCTCGAAACCGACCTAGTTGCTCTTCTTCTTGCCACTCCGAGTCACGCGCTGCGTAGCTTCCTGTTGATGCTCCTTGGGGGAAGAAGAAGAGTCGACGCCCGTGGCCTCAGCAGCCTTGTCAGTAGCCTCAGCAGCGGCTTTATCCTGGAAGCTCTGGACCTCCTGGGCCTCCTTGCGGTCGGCATACCACTGCCCAGCCTGCAGGACGAGCACGCCGACCAGCACAAGGGCGAGAATGGTATTGCTAGCCGCGAGAACCTTCAAGCTATCTTCGCGGTCGAGGATCTGGCCCTCCTCCTCGGTGGACTGGACGAGCTCAGCGCCGTATTTACCCGCCGAGACGAGGCGGAGCCCCTTGACGATGTTTGCAATGTAAACGGTCACGCCGCACATGTAGAGGACCAGCGAGGCGCCATCGAACAGCATGTTCGACTCGGTGGGCTTGTACAGTTTCATGATCAGACCCGCTAGACCGAGGAATATCACAATGTGCAGAATGCGTGGGATGAGCGGCGGCGACGCGTGCAGGAACCGCAGATGTGCCTCGAGGTAGTCATAGTGAGATGGCGGGGTGGGAACCGTCGACCACAGAATCGGATAGTCGTAGGGGAAGAGCGAGAAGATGATTCCCAGGAAGAAAGCGGTCGCTGTTCATTTCAAGTCATTACCTGCTCTTCGGAGTGTTTCGAAGATCGAAGACCTTTCCCCTCTCCAGGGTCGCGTGTGGGGGGGGAGTCGAAGAGCAAAACCACTTACGGCAGACAATCAGAAAGGTCGCAAAGGACCCGTTGGCAACGGCCATGGTGACGGTGGATGGGCTTGAGGAGTGCTGGTGATGAGATTTGGGGGATTGGAGAAGCAACAGAGTTGAGGAAGAACTCTGTCCTCTTGTCAGGGGACGGGGCGCCAAGACTCGTGGAGGGAGATAAGTAGGTGAGATAGGCAACAAATGGAGAGATTGTCATTAGTGGAGAGATTACTCTTTCGTAAGGAAATACGAAGATAGTAGATAGTTAGTAGATAGTTAGTTATAATATGGTTTAGTTATTATATACAGCAATAGCCAGATAATATACCCCTTCCCCAACGCCTTCTAATGAAAATGCTACAGCCCAATCTCTTCCGGTTTTGAGCGCCTGCTTGCCCGTGGGAACATGTAGCAAAACTGTGTCGATAACAGAGGTGGTATCTTCCAACATGGTCGTCAATGCAATATAGTGAAAAAAAAAATAAAAATAAAAAAATAAAAAATAAGGAGGGGGGGGAAAAGGGAATAAGGTGAGGAATGTAGAATTGATCATCGCTGGTAGCGAGGCAGCGTTTCGTCGGCAGGCGCAACAGCCCCAGCGATGTCGTCCTCATCCTCGTAAAAAACCGGCGCACTCGGTGTCTCGGGGGTTTCCAGAGTCGGAGCATCAATCGCAGGTTCTGTGTCTGGAGCGCTGGCTTCCATCATCAGTCGTTGCCGCTCGAGTTCCTCCTTGTCATCGCTCACCCGGGGACCATGACGATCATCCGCAGGGAGATTGTGGGTATGTCTGGGCTCTGCAGCGACGGTCTGTGGTGGTCCAACGTTCGGGACTGGGCCTAGCAATGCGGTGGACCGCAGATCACTGCTCGGTGGTGGGAAACATAGATGATGGTAGTCGTGCAGATGGTCATCTTCCAGAAGTACCGGTGCCGTCGGTAGGGGATTGACAGCGGCCTGGGTGGTCATCGACATCGCTGCCGTTGGCAGAGATGGGCCCGGAGCCGTATCGTCCGGTGGGCGGCTGGGAAGCAGCATCTCTTCGGCGCGTCGCAGTCGACTTTTCTCGTCCTCCGGTTCTTCCAACTCCGGGGTGGGAATCATAGAGCCGGGTTCAGGATAGTGCTGCTCGGAATATTCGGTCGGATATTCGCCCCAATACGGATCCGGGGTAAAGTCGTACTCCTCCTGGCCGGGGTATTCGTCGTCCGTCGACGCCGACGGCATCGGACTTGGGTCCGCCGCCAGGTCTTCGTAGAGGTTCTGAGAAGTCGGGGGTTCGCTGTGCGTCGTTGGTTGTGACGTGGTGGTGATAGATCCGCCCGCGACGGATGGAACGCTCTCCTTCTTGCTGCTGTTGTTGTTCCCCCGGCGCGAGTCGCTCGTGCCAACGACAACCTCAAAAGCCACGGCAATGACCCCCTTCTCCCGTCGGATCTGATCTGTGTCCAGGATATTGCCACCCCAGTTGGCGGTGATGGAGCTACCGCCGGGATCAAGGCTATTTAGCACCTGGCCGCTTGGCGAGAATGTGCTGCCGCCACTGACCATGTGGAAACGCGGGAGATATCGGTCGGAGGAGTTCAATTTGCCCCGGAGATCGGCCACAACCTCCACGTAGTAGCGGAAGCTAAGCATAGCTCCCGGTACGCGGGTAATGGTTGGAAATGTGTCTTCAGGGATGCGGATGGAAGTCTTGATATCCGCGGTCATGTTGGCGGGATTGACAATGAGCGGCGCAAAGGTCTGGGAGAGATCTTTGCGGAAGACACTATGAGTGCGGCTGGTGCCCAGCGTTAGTCCGCCAAGGCCCGTCCGTGACCGTGGATAGACGTCTTCAAAGATGGGTTTCTTGCCGTCCTGGGCGGAGCCAACCGGTATCGACGGATGCACGTCGATCCGGCCTTGGCGATAGAGGGTCACGATGATACCGTGAGGGCTTAATACTTGCTTGCAGTGGTTAATGGTGATCTTGACCGGCAGAGTGTCCCCAGCCAAGACACCAGAGCGGAGCACTTCGATCTTGGCCGTAATGACCTTATCGGAGATAGAAGGGGCAATGCTGCGCGCCTCGCCGTTCCGGGAGGCGGTGGGTGTCGCTCCGTTTACGTCGCTGGCGATCTGGAAACTCTGACTACTGTTGCTCAGACGATCCGACGAACTGACGTCGTCGCTCGGGGCCGGACTGAGCGGAGGCCGATGGTCGCTGGCAGCCATTCCGTTTACAGACGGGCTGAGCGAGAGTGTATCGGCCGTCAGCTCCGGCCCCGGTAATTTGCCCTTGCCTTTCGATTTGGCGCGTTTTGTGACAGGTTCGAGGGTGACGATGCGGGCCTTGGGGGCAGGGAAGGGGGCAATATCGATGTTTTCGAGTAGATTGACCCGTCGTCGGCAGGATAGGATGGGGTTCATCGTCGTGGGCTTCGTCAAAGTGGATGTGACCATATACGTGATAGCACCTCGTTCAAACTGCGCCCGGCCTGTCAGTCATGTTTGAGAGAGAAAGGGGACTGTGTACTCATCGATAATTGAGCACACAACACACAAGCACACACACACACACAGAGAGAGAGAGAGAGAGAACGTACATTGATACTGCTGGGCAGGGCATAAGGGGGGAAGAGCATCTCAAAGCGGAACTTGTAAATCCCCTCTTTGAGACGTCCTTCGCCACACAGTACAATCTCATCTTCGAATAGAGTCGCTAGCCCATTGCCCAAATATTCGGAGCCACGCCTCCCGCGCCCGGTCCCCACGAAACCCATGTCCGGGGCCGCTTCACCGGAGGGGATAGCGTTCTTGAACACCTTGACATAGCCATGCAGACAAACCACCAGATGGGTGATGCGGATCGGACGTACCACTGTCAGCACGACGGTGCCTTTGTAGACATCGCCGGGCGAGTACGATCTCCATGGGTTATCCGGTTCGATATAAAAGTCTGGAACGTTGCGGCTCCGCTGGCCGAACTGAACGCGAAATCTGGACAACAGGGAGCGATTCCGACCGAGCGGCGAGGCAGAAGGGCGGGCGGAAGACTCGACTGACATGACATGCAGCCGCTTTCTGTGGAATCCATACAAGATAGACGGTGGCACGCGAGGGGCAGAAGTAACAGGATGCTTGTTTTTTTATACAAAAAAACAAGCACTGGTAAGCGATGAGGGGTCGTCAGAGTCCCGCCACTGTTTGCGAGCGAAGGTCCCCCCCCCTTGCAGCCCGGTGGAAAGTCGCGCGAGCGGGCGCGAAAGGAATCAAACGAACAGTATCTAGGCTCTGATTAATCGACAGCTAGTATTCGAACAATGTGATAGCCGATGGAGACGCTTTCAAAGGACACGGCGGGCGAGGGGGAAGAGGGTAATGAGGTCGTTCTTCGATGTCACGTCTGCACACGACCGGACTGCATTGTTCCACACGAAAGAACAGCAGTAGCAGTAGCTAGAAATCCAGGGCTACCCCTCCACCTTTCGACTAGGGTGGTTTCAAGAGGCAGGAAAACGTTCGACCGGCGATAATGACGAAGATGTGGCCGTCGTCGTCGACAGAGAGGGTCGGGTTAACGGGCGCAGAAGCGACCGCAGGGCTCGAGAAACGCGCACCGATACAACGCGAGTCAGAAGCCGGGGTAGGTCGGAGCCAAGGGTGACAGGACTGGGGGAATCGACAGTTTAAGAAAAAGGTTGACGCGTTCGAGCCAAGTCTGTTTAAGAGTCTCGGAGAAGCGCTTCGGCAGTCAGTGCAGGGTTAATTACTCCGTAGTTCCTGGCTGGGGCTAGAGGACGGATCGCGACGTGTTGAGGGGAGAGGCACAGTCACGCCAGCAGGCAGCAGCGAGAGAGAACAAGATCAAGAAGAGAAGAAAATATATATATATATATATGTATATAATAATAATCTGGCAAGAAGAAAACAAAAAAAAGAACGAAGATGGTCAATAACACAGAGGATTGAAGACTGAGGCGCTGAGGCGCTGAGGCGAACGAGCGGTGCCAGCAGGGGCGAGCTTTGCTCCAGGAGAGAGGCAGGTCTGGTCTGGCTGGGCGAGGAGGGGAAGCGCTTATCGGGCTGAAGCTTAGCAGCCGGATTTTATTACTGTGTATTATGTCTCTTAGGCCCGCTGATTGTTATTATTATTATTGATTGAGCTGATTGATTATTCCCCAGAACTGCTGGTAGTCCGTACGGCGTATTCTCTTCAGACATACGTAACTCACGCTCAGATGGGCTCTCCGACTCCTCAATAATAGGTGTCTCAGGATACTCCGTCCAGAACAATTTGTCGGGCTGTATCCACCGGCTCCACCTCGCCCACGTCGTTGACTGCCTGGAGACGAGCGAAAAAGCTTGACCTGCGAGAGAGAAATGCACCTGCCCGCCAACGAGAGGCCGGCGGATGGTTCTAGCGACCAGCCAAATGGAATCGGCTGCGCGGCTAGCAGATCTGATGTGATATGTCGACTGACGTATATAGGTAGGACGCTAATCCAAAAGACTCACCAGCGACAGATGACGCGCAATGCTTTGAGGAGTTACGTATGTAGTATGATTTGTGGTGAGCTACTAGTTAACCAACTAGTAGTTATGTACTCCATAGTAACCATCGAAGTAAGCTCTTGCTACAAGTGTCAGTTAGATGGAGTTCTGGTTTGGGGGGGAGATGAAGCCGAACCTGCATTCCTTCTTCGCCGATCATCATGAAGACTCGATCAGAAAATCTCCCTCAATCCCTCTCCCTCAACATACTCCACCCCGTAGCACTCTCTCTTGAGAGCATCGACCACCTCGCGATCCCCGCCGGCGACCTTGAGAACGTACTCCTCCAAGATGTAGATGTTATCCGTCCACGTCTGCGCCGCCTCCTTCCATCGCCGAATGTCGGCTCTCTTTGCATCCACCCCTTTGCCCCCTTCATCCTCGGCCAAGGCCTTCTCCGCACTGCGCAGCTGACCGATTTCCATTTCCAGCCGCGCCCTGAGTTCGATCAACTCATCAATCTCCCTCTCTTCTTTTCCCTCTTGGTCGGCCTCGGTCGGCCCAGAACCCTTCCGCTTCTTCCGCTCCTTCTCCAGCTCCGAGCTCACCTCCTCCCAGCCCCGTTTGACCTTATCCACCTCCTTGGTCAGCTCGGCCTTGCGTTTCTCGCGTTGCTTCTTCTCCTCGCTCGCAAAGCTCCAGTACCAGTTGCCAGATCCGATCTTCTCCACATGAAGAAGGTTCTCGTCCGTCAGCGCCTGGATATACTCTTTCACATGCATGGCGTTGATGGATGCCACCGAGGGGAGACTCTTCTCTAGGTCCTTGAGGGTGTGGCACGTTCGGCTGTCGCGTAGGTACGAGAGGATCAAAGATTGTTTCGCTTCCTTGGAGGTCGGTTTGGAGGGCTCTTGCAGTCAGCTGGCATGGTAAGATTTGGGGGTGCTACAGGCAAAATACCATTGTAAAACAAGTTGAATAACTTGATTCCTATAGTTGCAAGTTTTGAATCACCAGAAGGTAAGTAGGCAGCTAATAGATCACAGAATGCCGATGTGTCAAGAGTCGAAATAATGGTGTGAAGCTGAAGTCAAGTCACGAAGCCGTCTATCCCAATCTGGTCGAACACCTGACCTCGTCTCGTTTTATAACAGAATTTAGATTCAACGTGCTGGATCTTCTTGAATCTTTGTCCCTGCCTATCACTAATGAGACCAAAACATACCTATGCTATTGCAAATAGACTGCCTATCCTATATGACGAAATTAAATTTATACCTGCTAGAAGAATGGCCATCACGAGGAATCCTCCTCGACTGTCGATTGATATGTTCCAGCTATGCCCTGCATATATGCGTAGCCATAGAGAAACCGTATATAATATCGGAATAGATACTAGGCCATCTCTGTATCGAGATCAGTCATCGACGCCTTGGGCGTCAATCTGCGCTTCTTGATCTTCTTCCTCACACCAGCTAGATCATCGCCCGAAGTGGTCGTTACCCCGCTCAGCCCAGTGTTCGCTCTTTTCCTACCACCTTTGGGGGCTATTCTCCTTCTGCTTGGGATACCGTCGGAAGCATCTTCTTCTTCCTCCTCCTCCCCCTCCACCAAGACCAGATCGCCCGTTTTGCCGAGGGATTCCTTAGCCAGTTCCTCAAGCAAGATGCCCGTCGCAATCAAGGCTGTCTCGTCCATGCTGTGATGATCATCACGCCCATGGTCAATAGTGGCGTATTCGTAGAAATCGGCCGCGTACGCATGGACAGCCTCGAGAAGGTCGGAACTGGGCAGCGTCTTCTCAGACGGTAGGGACTCATGTGCGAAATAAAAATCGTTCTCCTCATAGCGAGTGGGAGCCTGGTGTCGTCGAAAGAGAACTTCTTCAGGACGCACCGCCAGACTGGTCGAGGAAAAGGTGTCTCGGTATTTCGAGGCGTGGGGGGTGGACCCTAGGAAACCATGGAAACTGACGCGTCCTGAAGTTTTGCCGTTATTTAATGCCAAAAAAGAAAGGTTCTTCTTCCTCTCGCTCACCAGAAACAGCATCGTACACATTAGCCTGCCGCCGTTTCGACGAAGGCGACCGGTTGTCATCCTCCACATCGGTCTCCTCCGGGGGCTGAACAAAGGCATTCTGGCTCAAAGCAAGCGACTTGCCGTAGGACATGACAGTCCGCAGGTATATAGCTCATCAAGAGCCTAGGCTAGATCGCCTTGAGCATCGGTCCATCTGTATAAAGTGATGACCATCGCACTGTTTCGTGGTTATCTTGTTTTTTTGATAGCTTAGTAATCGACCTAATTCTGCCCGCCATTTCTTACCGTCGGATTCACCGCCCTCCTTGAACCTCCTGCCTTCTCATGCTTCATATCTTGAGACGAGACATCCAACCTTGAATGGGTCGCCTCGTCGTTCTCCCATGCTTCTCACGCCGAAGAGTCGGTCTAGTTCTTCCCAGGGCTCCAGAAACCCCCTGTACTATCTGTACCAGCATTCAAATGAATGAATTCGTATCTTCTTAATAGGACGCTTGGGTCTATCCCTCCGTCTACCTTTCATGTGGCCCAGACATCTCGCTTGGTGCAGCTTCTGGAACCAGCGCCTGGGATCCGCTTCGTGAGTAGGCCAGCGACAGGGGCAAGTCCGCCAGAGGACCAAAATATCCACCAAAATACCCTCGACGATGGAGACGGGATAGCTGCCCACCAAGCTGGCGTCAAGGTGTTGGCCATTGACCAGTTTGAAGGGCGATAGTACGTTCTTATGTCTAGCGGTTAGAGTGGATTCAGGCTAACTGGACCAGTATGGTGTCGGGGGGCGCGGATCCATCCATTCATCTCTGGGACTTGGAGAGCCGAGGGTCCGACTTGCATCATGTTCACAGGTCTATCGCATCAGTGACCAAGGCCTCGCATCGCGAGGCCCACACGCATGCAATCACTTCGGTTTCCATCTACCCCTTTGATCCAACGCCGTCAACGATCTTGACCACCTCGCACGATCGGACGCTCAAGCTGTCCGCCCTCGAGCCAACGTGCATCACACCCGTTCATACGTTTTCATTTGACTTCACGCCATACTCACACTCCTTTTCATCGCACCCGGCGTCCTCTTTACTGATTGCTGTCGGGACCTCGGAAAAAACAGTGCGGCTCCTGGATCTGCGATCTGGTCTGGCGACGCACGCCTTGCCGGGCCACAGCTCAGGCGTGTTGTCGGTGTCATGGGCGCCTCACCGGCCACACATTCTTGCCTCAGGCTCCACCGATCATCAAGTGATTATGTTTGATGTTCGTCGCGCCGGACGCAACGCTGCCATCGCGACGCTGGATATGGACGACCCAACCGGGGTAGTCCCCGTGTCTGGGCCTGGCCGATCACCTTTCGCCCCGCACGCCCGTGCGCACACGGGTGCGGTGACAGGCGTGCGGTGGACGTCGAGCGGCTCGCATCTTATCACCGCAGGGCAAGATGCTCGCATCCGTGTCTGGGACGCAGCCACGGGGGCCAACACCCTAGTCCACTTCGGCCCACGCGTCCGCAATAGCGTCTCGTCACATCTGGCTGAGCGGGCGCCCCTGGTGCTGCCCGGGGGTATCATGGCAACCGGCCACGAAACCCTGCTGTGGCCAAATTTCCATGAGCACGATGACCGTGGTGAGATTTTCGTCTTCGAGATGCGGGAAGGGACGTTTGTGAAACGACTCAAGGTACCCGGGCTGCTGGCCCGCAGGAACCTCGGCCAAGGGCGAGTGAGCGCCCTCAGCGCCGGACGGATCAACGCCCTAGCCTGGCGGGGGAACGGAGCCTCGGGGGAAGGCCTGGAGCTCTTTTCCGCGCACGGCGATGGCACGATCCGAGCGTGGGTGTCGCGAGACGAGATCGACGACGAAGAAAACGAAGAAAACGAGGAAGAAGTCGATCGGAAACGTAAACGAGAGGTCCTGGAAGAATTGTACCGGATGAACAGTACATAGACCATACATAATGAGTATATCAGCAGTTGTCTTGTATACCCCATATAATAGATACACATTACAGTTTGGAATAGAGATCATCTAGATACTCTGAAAGATACATGCTAAACCCCCTGCTCCTTATCTGCAATCCTATCCGCTGCATCACGATCCTCACCAGCGAAGCGATCGAAAGCACTCCGATTCTTATTCCCATGCTTGACACTCCTCTGACTCCCCTTAGCGCCAGGATCCCCCATCACCTCCGCTGAAAGGTTCTTCTCCTCCACCGAGGCGGGCATCGTATCCCCGGTCATAGCGGACACGACCTCCCCCGAAGAACCCCTGTCGCGCGTACTCCGCGGTATATCGAGATCATTGTCCGTCGCGCGGACGAGAGAAGGTGCCCCGATACCCTCGAAGGAGTATCGCGAGGACTCGACGCGCTGGTCCTCGCGTGGCACCGAGGGGATCGTGGTTTGCACCCCTGCATCGTTGGGGAGGGAGGTTCCCTGTGCGGCCATGGAGGAGAGGGATTCGCCCGTGTGGGGGGAAGACATGTTTCTTTACCTTTCTTTGAAAGAAAACCTAGGAAGAGGTACGGTGAGAAGTTGTCTTGAATACTTGTGGGTAGGTAAGATGGGTAGTTATATGGTATATGGCTAGCTGATGTCACTGGTGATGGGAGTATGACATAGCCAAAGGTCAGTGGATATACTAGTATTAGGATTGTCCTGGGAAGAAGGAAAAGACTCGGAAAGGATGTGAGATGGCCTATAATAATCAATCTACGGGGACGAATCATTTGAATGACTTGAAAAAAGGTAATATGCTATTGATCTCTGCTGCGCCCCTGTAATGAGCGAATGTGAAGTGGTAAAGTGTTGTCGTTGGTTCTTCTTCCAGCTAAGAAATACAAAAAGTTGACAAGAATTGTCGGGGCGGCAGGATATAGAAGACATGGACAAGGGATCAAGGAATGAAGGGGCTGCTCCTGTTCACAGAGCAAGGAAAACAGCCGCCGCTGCAAGGACAATAGCAACACCGCTGGTGGAGAGACGGCCTGCGCCGCCGGCGTAGGTCGGGTAGGCGTCCTTGCTGTCGGTGGCACGGGTGGCCTCTTGGTGGGGGACGTCGGCCGGGGCACTCGGCGCAACCTGACTGCCGAAGGCCGGGGTGCTTGAGGCGCGGACGAAGGAGTATTGCATGTTAGGCGACGAGGCGCTCGGCGTCGCGACGGGTACGTGCACGGCAATGGCGGTCACAGTAGGCTCGTTGAAGGGGCCACTAGCACTGGAAGAAGGGGGAGCAAAGGGCTTGAAGTCATACACGGGCTCGCTGGCCTGGGCAGCGTGCGACGAGCATCCTGAGGACTCGGAGTCCGCGTGGGGCACAACGGGCTGCTCGAGGTGAGGTTGAGGCTTCGTCTGCGGCTCCTCAGGCTTGGTCCAGGAATAGGTCTCGGGTTGAGGCTGGGCCTTAGGTTCGGGCTCCTGCGGCTTGGGGGCCCAGGTCTGAGGCTGGGGTTCAGCCTGGGGCTGAGGTTGAGGCTGGGGGGCCGGAGCTTTTTCCAAGCCCCAGGTCTGCGGCTTCGGCTCCGGCTTGGGTTCCTCAGGCTTGGGTGCTGGCTGAGGAGCAGGCTGGGGGGCCGGTTGAGCCCATTGAGCAGGCTTGGGGGCGGGCTGAGGAGCAGGCTGAGCCCATTGAGCAGGCTTGGGAGCGGGCTGGGGCTCAGCCTTAGGTTCCTCGGGCTTGGGAGCTGGCTGAGGGGCCGGTTGGGGAGCAGGCTGAGGCGCGGGCTGAGGAGCAGGCTGAGCCCATTGAGCAGGCTTGGGAGCGGGCTGGGGCTCAGCCTTAGGTTCCTCGGGCTTGGGAGCTGGCTGAGGGGCCGGTTGGGGAGCAGGCTGAGGCGCGGGCTGAGGAGCAGGCTGAGCCCATTGAGCAGGCTTGGGAGCGGGCTGGGGCTCAGCCTTAGGTTCCTCGGGCTTGGGAGCTGGCTGAGGGGCCGGTTGGGGAGCAGGCTGAGGCGCGGGCTGAGGAGCAGGCTGGGGCATTTCCTCAGTCTTGGGAGGGTGGTCGACATGAACCGGCGGCGGAGCGTCGAAGTCGACATTGGTATTTTCCTCATAGACGTTGCTGGTGTACTCATTGTCCAGAGGAGCGGAAACCGAGTTCCCCTCGTCATCACCGGAAGGGCCAGCCATGACAGTGGTGGGGGGAGAGTGCGGCGCGTACGCTCTGGGCTCGAGTTCCTGGGGACCACCATAAGGGTGCGGGGGGATGTGGATGTGGTAATTCTTCTCCACGTCAACGACATTGGACGTGTAGCTGTCGGTAATGGGGACATCGACAGAGTTCCCACCATCGACACCGGAGGGACCGCCAATCACTGTGGCAGGACGATCCCAGTCTGCGTTCTTGTGCTCAGCACCCTTGTCGATACCACGGGGACCAAGAGCTCCGCCCTCGGGGCCGATGCGGCCATGGGGGCCCGGCCGCCTATGCTCGGGGCTGCCAACACCGACGTTCTTGGTCTTGTCGACAATCTCGGAAACGAAGTCGTTCTTGACCGGCTCGGACACGGAGTTACCGCCGTCAAAACCAGCAGGGCCTCCGATGACGCTCGACGGTCCCTCCCATCGACGCTCTGGACCAGGGTGAGGCTCGCCACCGGGGTTCACAAATTCCTCAATTTCCTCCTCTGTAACCGTGGAGGTGTAGTCGACAGTGATGGGCATGACGAAGGAGTTCCCTTCGTCGACACCCGAGGGTGCTCCGATCAGGGTGACATGGCCGTCAGCGTCGGGCATATCACCACGACGGGCCTTGGGCCCGTGAGGACGCCAGGGAGCCTCGACATGAACATCCTTGTTCACCTCCGTGTAGTCCGAAGTGAAGGAGGCCTCGATGGGCACATCGACGCTGTTGCCGCCATCGAAGCCCGACGGACCACCAATGACCTGGGTCTGGGCACTGACGGCTGCCACCAACAGGGCCAGCGGGACGCCGGCGACGAAGTGCTTCATCTTGCTTGGTTGTCCTAGGATATATGTATTACTGGATATTAGCGTTACGATTACCGAATTTGCGCGTGTAAATCAATGTGAAGCAAAAAGGAGCGACTTGACAACCAATGCCGGGCTGTCTTTTGAAGAAGGGGGAGGGGGGTTAGTAAAGATTAAAAGAAGGACTGCTGGAGAAGAACACTGTATTGTCGATTGGATTTTCGAAACATATCCCCAGGAGCATGATGGAGGCTTTTTATCACCTCCTCTCATGGCTTCTGTGGCTGGAATGTACAACTGACTCCCTGGATCTTCATTACTCAACGAGATGAAGACTGACGACTCCTAGAGCCTAGAATGTCGTCAAGAATGGACTTTGGAGGTCCTCATAGCAGGGGTTCGCCAGTAGTGAACCGCCTAGCACATTCTGGTTGTGTTGTTGTTGACAAGAGCTGTGACCGATCAGGAGGTACAGCATTCCCCATGGCCAAGTAGCCGGCATGGAGAGTACGAAATCGACATCATGGTCTCAACCCCCCTTGAAGGGAGAATCGTCTTGTTGGCCCAATGATGATGCCACATGGTATGTCACATAACCATTACTACCGACTGGTAGTATTCACAGCCGTTGGTTGAGACTGGAAATTTGCCAGTGCATTCATTCATCATAATATAAGGCAACTTGCGTCAACAGCATTAGCAACCGCCTCCAGCATTCATCATGTAGACTTAGCTGTTCTTTTCGACGACAACCACTACAGGAACATGGCGCTACACGCAGGCACTGCCGGAGAGAAGTCTCCAGACGCTCATTCAGAGGAGCCCAGTCCTCGTCTCATGCACTTCATGGCATCCACGTACGAAGCGAACACCTTTCTTCTCCGGATTTCCAATACAGCACTTGGCCAAGATATTACAAAATTATTTCCTACTGCGAAACAGCACCAAAGGCACAGCAGTAGTGGGATGTATCCCGTCATCGACATTCCCCCCCCATCGCCCTCACTGAAGAGGACCCAACGGGAGGGAAACTTCCTATCGAGGAATTTGCTCTCCAGAACCGAGGATCTTGTAGAAGATCTGGCAACACATCGCTGTGGAATTATAAAGCTGAACGATGGTCGTGGCTAGTTCTGTTTGCTTTTTTGATTGATGAAAGAAAAAGAAAAGGAAAGGGAAGGAAGAACGAATTTTGGGCGCTTTTGAAGCCGCCGCGTAGTGGGTCACGTGTACGGGCCGATGGTTTCTCCGCTCAAAACGAGATCAAGGCACCAAGGCAGAGATCAGGCATCCACCGGAACAGCCGGATAGGAAGCAGTAAGCAGTAAGCATCATGGTTCAAGATCCCTGAGCCAGCTGAAAACCTCTCCGTCGCAAACCTCCTGCTGCTGTAAGGAAATCTACATGCGCCTAGCCCTCCTGCGTGGCTTTCCCTGGTCTATACACAATATTCTGCTTTGATTCGGTGTGTAAATACACTCTATCATAACAACGAGAGAAGAATAGGTCCGTGGGAACAGCGAAATGCGCTGAGCCGAATCCCCCTCCAGGAAATCATAGGTTATTATGTACAATAACAAGACGCCTCGTCAAATATGACGGCCAACAACACTGTCCAAACATGCCTCGGTGTGCGTCGGCGTGGTTCGTCTGCCGCGTGACTGACAAGATGGATGTTCTCCATCCGTGGGGTTGTGATATATACCATCACTCGCGGTTGTTTTAACTGACTTGTAGGTCGCTTGAAAACCAGTTTGGTATCCGGAGCCATGGCCGTGTGATTCTCAATCACCCTCGCGGCCAAGCAGACGGCTTCCGAAAATATACCTTGTCGTGACGATGACAGGATTTTGAAACGAGACGGTGAGAATAAGAAGGAAACAAAAAAATGTACAAGCGTCCTGTAGATCAGAGCGTGTCAGCGATAATTTTTTTTTCTCTTTGTTATATTGTCTCCAGACAGACTCAAACTCACGTTTTCGCAGCAATTATCGACGCCCTCGATCCCTACCCCGACGATTTTCTACCTCAGAGTCCCCTGCTGATGATGAGACTTCCATACTCCTCCTCCGACGGCGGCTGTGATGCCCAACGCGATAGCGATCATGGTACCGACTGTGACAATGGCGATGACAATCTTGACGGTCAGTTTCTGCTTTTTGGACAACGACCGCAGCCAGCTTCGATTCCTCCGCTTGTCTTTCCACAGTCGGGCGCGGTCTGCGTTGGAGATATCGAAGGACTGGCTGCGGTTGGTGTTCTCGCCACTCTCGACCTGTGGCATATTATAGTCGCCGTTGGACAGCTTGGGTTGGACCGTCAGTCGCTCGACGGACTGCGTGGTGATGGTGGCATGGCGGTAGAAGGGGGAGCACGGCTTTGCCCCGACACACGGATCGAACTCGATCGCCGGGTTGTCTTCCGCCGACAGGTTGGAATGGGTTGATGGCAATGTACTGAGATTCGGGGTATCCTTTTCGTCTGCTTTGTTGACGGTCGCAGCGGTGACCTGAGCGCCGATGACAGTCAGTCCTGGCACACTCATGGTGTCGATGTGTCTCAACACGGGTCGACAACAAGCTGTTCAACCGATCCTAGGAATATATAATGGTGAAGAGTTCCTGGTCAACAGGAAGCTCTGCTGGTGCTGTGGTGGGCAGCCGAGATGTTCAAGGAGGAAGGGCAGGGCAGCCAAAACCCCCCAGGGATGGCAGCACGGACAAGGGTCGGTGGCGTAAATAATGCGACCGCGTGCGCTGACGAAGAGTCCAACAAGCTGGCAGGGGAAGAAGAGACAAATAGAAATACAAAGCAATTCATTCAAAACAACACCCAGTAGCAGATAGTAATTTAATTATGACTCTGGTTTAAGAAATATCCAGACCAGGGAAATGTTTGGGGTGGTTCTGCCCAAAAGGGGGTCTCGTTGACTGCGGCTTCCCCAGGCTCCTCAATTCAAAGACAACGCCATCGCACGAACGTTTTGGCCTCGCTCGCTCGTACCTGCTACCTCCTTCTACTTAGTGTGCACATTCAGTGGGACTTGCACTACCGTGGGCGTACTACATACTAGGTATGGAGAATAGGTAGGCAGCTGCTTTCAGAGCGAGCATTTTTGTTATTGTTGTTATTGTCATTATTGATTCACGCTGAAAAATGACAGGTCCAGCGGCATTCCAGCGGTTCCAGGCAACGAGCGAGCTCTTTTTGCTCAAACAATGAAGAATAAGAATACGGGGAAATCGACGGCGAATGACTATTAACTAACTATCGACTACTGTTCTACAAATAATACACTTTTCGAGCGATTCCTGCGATGCGAGTATTGACAATAATAAGCGAGTCGTGGCCCAGAACCTTTCATCCTCACGCCGCTCCTTTCCCCACGCTACTCCTACAAACTGTCCGTTCAGTACCGTGGATGGCTGGCTCCTTTTTAAACTTGCCAGGCTAGCCCCTGCACCGGCCGAAAGCCAAGTTGCTGCCCGCTGCCAGGGTCACCTCGCAAAGGCCAATCAATAATCGGTTCCAGATGCTCGCCGTTCTAATTTCGTGGTGCCAGATCCACCCAGGGTGCTCCTGCTTACTCAACCTTATCCGAGTTTCGGATTGAGTACAGAGCTCGCCTTGCAGCGACGTTATCTACGAGTACTCCGTACGGAGCACGGAGTAGTTACATGGAGGTATCTATCCAGTAACTATCCCAGCTGCTCAGTTATTCTTTGCCACCGGAGGTCATACTCCCTAGGGGAGTACTCCGTACCTTGCGAAATGTCGTGCACCGGCGTACGAGACCACACAAAATCAGACCGGCGAATGACAATCATCTAGATACATCATTCCAGGACCTATCTTCATCCGCAAGCAAACTGATAAGCATCCCCGTCCTCCTGCAACTAGTCAACAGCCAGATTGAGGTCCACGCAGGGTGGTCCCAAGAGATTGCGACCGAACACTTTACAGCATACCTACTCCGTACTCCATGCTTTATGTAGTAAGTGAAGTACGTGTGTGGAGCGACCTGTACGTATTCGTATTCTATAAATGCTCTTTGAGACAGGCCATGCAAGGGATATACCATGTGAACATCATCCCTGGTCGACGCAGTATGAATGCACGTGTAAGTCAACTTCAGGAGAGTGCATCTCAAGGACGAAGTATGAGGTGCAGAGTGTAGCACCGATTAAATGCTTAGATATGTAGGTATGGAAACTGTCAGTCGCATTAATAAACTCGAAATAATAAATTAAGAGACAATCGTTGGAAATTATTAGTCTTCCATGGGTTTCAGTATCAGACTATATATAGATGATATATATATTTACTACCGTAGGCCTAGACAATCATCCATCATTACAAACAAAAATAATAAATGGTAAGAATGACTCTTCAAATCGTACTATAAAAGTGAAAAAGAATCAAGGCTATTCCATAACCAGATATTACTAAAGTAAATAAAATATCCTTGTAGTTTCCTATAGTTCTACTCCTAATCACCAGCCCAACACAGTATATTTGGTTACAAGGGATGGATACCAGCTGTATGTAAACGCCGTCCGGATAAATCGAAACCAGGGACTTGAATGGAAAAAGGAGAAACCAGAATACCAAGTTTAAAATCATAAAAAAGTAATAATATGCTAGTCATTGGATTTCATCTTGGCAGTATGCAGAGAGAACTGGTCATCGTCATTCATCACTCATGATCTTACATGGAAGCATCGTATAAACATCGTCAGGGATCGTATCGCGTACAAAGGAGACATGAAAACATCGAAACAAAAAAAAAAAAAAGATCGCATAGAGGGAAAAACAATCGCAAAAAAATAGCAGAGGAAACCAGGAAAGAGAGAAAAGGGCGGAAAGAGGAAAAAAAAAAAATTAGGCCCCAGGGACAGGGACGTCTTCCAGAGACGCCACCAGCGAGGACAAGGCTGCGTTCGGCTCCTCCGCCACGCTCTCGATATACTTGAGCGTCTGCTCAATATCATCTGCCAACTTGCGGATCAGGTGGTACGTGTCCTGCAACGCACCGGAGCGGTGCAGCAGCTCCAGGATCTGCACCTTGCTGTCGGCGGGCAGCACGTCGTGGTTCTGGCGGAAGAGGCCGAAGATGATCGACTTGGCGGCGGGGTCGGTTTCGCAGCACCGGACAATCGGGTACGAGAGCTTACCCTGGTCAAGGACCTTGCATTCCGGAACCTGGAGACTCAGGTAGTCATCGCGAATGTGGTGCCACCGACCCATCAGGATGGTCAGCGAATCAAAGTCCAGCGTGGAGCCCTTCATGCCAGTGGACTGCATCAGGCGCGTCAGCACCTTGAAAGTGGAGCCGGCCTTGCGGTCTATCATGGCCATATACTCTGCCTCCGACGGGCAGTAGAGGGAGAACCGCCAGTTCAAGTCCCAGCTCTGGCCGATGAACTGGAGCTCCAGCTCCTCGAGGAGACCGTCCAGCATGCCGGGGCAGTTGAGGCTGTTCACCAGCTTGGAAACCTTGACAAACGTGTAGGCCGCGCTGTTCATGGATTGCGCGGGCCCAAAGACGAGATGTGCCGCCGACTTGCCTTGCTGCACACTCGACTGGTTGTCTTGAATGTTGTTGAGCATCAAAGACGCGGAGTGCAGGTCGTCGACGATTTGCTTGACCAAGCTCAACGGGCGCGATGGCACTTGCAGCCAGATGTTCAACACAGACATCAGGTTCGACTGCACCTCACTGGCCGAAACGAACTTGGTGTACCCGATCGGCGCCACCAAGGGCGAGCTATCTAGCTGCACGGGACTGATCTCGACGATCGGGGGTTGCAGGGCTGGGGGTGCTTCCTCTTCCTGCGCGCGAACTTCTTGCTCACCCTCACGAGCACCATCTTCCTCGTCATCCTCCTCCTCATCGTCGTCGTCGTCATCTTCGTCATCGTCGTCGTCATCACCCTCAGAGGATTCCTCTTCGTCGGAATTGTCGTCCTCTTCCGCCGAGCGAACTGTTTCCCCGTCAGGGACGGCGCCGTTAGGATGCGCAGCGCCGTTCACAAGGTCTTCTCCGTTGACGACGCCATTGGTTTCCTCCATGGAGACTTCCTCCTCGGGCTCCTCTTCTTCAACTGCCGGCAGAGGGGTGTTCGCACACCAGTAGTGAACGCCACCGATGGCCGCTCCCAAGACCTCCGCCCACTTCCGCAGTTGAGGTGCTAGGTCCGGGTGGCTCTTGTATAGTGCTTCGCGCCGCTTAACAAAATCGTACTCGCTCTGCAGGATCAGCTGTTTGGTCCGTTCCCGCGCCGCCTCCACCGAGAGGTCTTCGTGCTGCATGAGGAACAGAATCACATTGGCCTTGGAGTCCTTCCTCTTCTTGGCCCAGCTGTAGTAATCATTTGTAAAGATGATAGCTCGTTCAGCCGCACTGAGGACATCCGTCATGGTCGAGTAGTCCTCCTTCGTGAAGCGGGTGCCGTGGGAAAAGCCCATCAAAGTTCCATACAGACTATCGAATGAATAACAAACGTTAGATGTAAGGCTCGTAATAGCAAACACATCTGATGCAATGATCACTTACTTGATGCCAGCATTGGTGCGTCTGAAAGCCACGTATTCGTCAATGTTTGCAAAGGTATCGGCGGTGGGGGTCTCCTTCGAGGAGAGCCAGTTGTTTCGGTACGTATCGATGATCTCCAGCCCGACCAGCTGATTTCTGTCGGCAAGATCGGTCATTGCCTTGGTCAAAAGCTTCTTCAAAGAAGCGTCTCGAGGTGATTCGGTCGGCCCGTCATTCTCTTCAGCGACATTGTCAGCAGAGCTCTCTGATGTCTGTTGATCCGGGTGTTCTTCTGAAATCAGTTCATGGACGATCCACTCTAATGAAAAATACACATACCGAGGTGCAGATAGCCCAGCTCGGTCAGATACGCGACAACCTCCAACCTGTCCGGCAGACACTCGGGATAGATGACGCTCGCATAGTTGCCGACGGGTGAGGATAGGCAGCCGGTCTTGGGTGCCGTCTTATCGGTGACGATATAGTTCAGGTCCTGGACGAAGCGCTGACTGCCTTCCTCGGCGACATGGTCTTCTTTGTGGATCCGGATGGGCAATGTCGTGAAACAGCCATTCTGCGTTTTCTGCTCCTCGTCGTCGATGACTCGCGAGTAGGTCCACGTCACGACCGGTTCATTGACTGTTTCGGGCTCCGAGACTGCAGTCGACACGACTTGAAACACGCCTCCCTTGCTTTTTCTTCTTTTCGACAAAAGGCCGGAGTATGATCTGAACATGGCGAATCAATCAATCACAAGCGGCAACTATTGAAAACAATGAAAAAGGAATAAAGGAAACACAGCGTCTATATGCAGAGATTATATGCAGAATGCAGACAAACCCAACAGCCGACTCCGTCGAACTGTCAATGAAAGCCCAAACTTTTGTACTTCGGGTTGAACAAGATTTCCCAACGCACGCACCTGCGCTGGTGGGAGTCTCAGTTTTATAGACCGAAAAAAAAAATAATCGCTCCCATGCCACCTACGCATTCACCGCAAGTCCCCGACGTACAAATCATTCAAGTCTTCCTGACGACACCAAGGTAGCGCTTCTGCGAGATTTTGCCATCGCGTCGGCATGGACCCGAAGCTATTGGTGCTGGAGGGGACCTGCGAGCCACCTCGCTGGCCGCGATGTGGAACCAGGTGTTCGCATCGTATGCAGTCGAGGGAGCTTTGACCTGGCACGCCGATACCTTTCTCGGCTTGGGTTCTCATGCAAGCTGCATGCTCGTTGTGACCTTAATAGTGTTTAATGGTAGGCAAGCTGCCTCACCGCTATTCCGAGGTGCCGAATCGAGTAAACTGTTTTTCAATAGCTTCGAGTCTACTACATTGAAAGCGGGTTCGCACTCGCCGTCTATCGCAGTATCGCCCCTCGATGCCTGGTGCATATTGGTTGCTATTTGTTGTTGTTTTTGTAGTGGACTCCACCAAAAAGCGCGGTGTACTCCGTAGGAGGAGGGGCTTTCCTGCACTCCACTTGAACGCGAGGGAGCACAACAGAACAAAAACAAAACAAAACACTATCAGACTGCTAGCAAGTAGCATCAACAACCCCATCCAGCAGGGCAACTCGAGCGATGAAACATGCAACATGGCCGACGACACGTCTTTGTGATCCGACAGATCATCGGACAGCGCATATGTGGTTGTCGTTGTCGATAAGGCACCAATGCCACCCAAGCCGGCACCTAAGGTATCGTTTTCCTTCTGGCCCGCACGAATGAAATGTCTCGCTCGTCGGCCGTGCCATCGCTGTCGTTTCGAAGTGTTGTACGCTATATTAGTCTTAGCAGTGCTGGTCGATGGCCCTGCTTTAGCTTTAGAGCGCCGGTGCGCCTGCCGTCTGCACATCGCCAGTTGCAGCAATAATGTACCTCTCAACTCCACCAGCAATGATGTCAGGTGAACCGCGGCCTGCGAATATAGACTTTCATCGGAAGGGACAATCAATTAGTTGCAATAAGCAAATGATTTGTCAAGTAACTAGATTGCTGGAGGCGTAAATGCTGCATTAGTCGACGGGCTTTGGGAGGCATTTTCGTCTTTGCCGTAATCGCTGCTTGGGACTAGCAGCCTCTTGTCGACTCTCAAACTTGTCGGTTTTCCAATAGACTGAATCCTGCAGACAATAAGCCATCGAAAGTTAGTAATCAACAATCTTTCCCGAAGTTTCCCCCCTGGGATGACTTGCATTCGCGACAAACGGTTGAGAGGCAGTGAGAATGGGAGAGCTGTGGAGTCCCGAGTCCTCAAGTTTCCGAGACCTTCATCTCACACCATCTCGGTGGAGCTCTAGAAGATCCCTTGCACGATGTGTGCAGTCGCGTGATTCTGGCTGCGTGACTTGCAGTTGTCGAGACGACACCTCGAGGATGTTTTGCCTGTCGTTGAGGAGTTGAGCTTCTTCAAGGTAGAGCCGCATTTCCGAAAGAGGAATGGTTCAATGCATAGATTACTCATCATGATTATGCATCAACGCTTATACGCTATAAATAAATACCTGATGTCAGCCTGTCAGATTCTCTCTTGAGGCAATTGGCATTCAAGAATTAGCCCCCTTGTGGCTGTGCATCGTTTTTCAGCCTCCTCTTGTGCTGTATATTGTCAGAATGTGACGCATGCACCATTCCCATGCCTTTCTGATCTCAGTCTGGTCCATCCACCGCTGTCCTCTGGTATTCTGGTGACCAGTCATTTTCCATCAGGCTATTCGTGTTATGAGCGGCAGTCAACCTGATGGATTAGGTGCATATTGATAAATGAGGAGGGAGGCTTGTGATGATTATTAGGTGAGGTTAGGAGTGCAATTCGTCTACACGACTGTCTGCTAACCCTGGACCTGTCTAAGAAGTATGGCCGTCCAGTGAAACCCAGATGGGTCGGAGGTCAGACACGACTATAGCCGATATACATGCATATTCTGATCCTCTTTCGGTACTCTTGACCTTCGCCCTCTGATCCGGCGATTTCTCCCAGCAACCCAGAAAACGCTGGTCATGACCATCAAGCTGAAAACAAGGGAGAAGAAAGACTCGGGTCACTGAGGGGAGAAGCTGAGGCAGTGGCTAGCTATTCCCTTCGGGAAGACATAGTGACTCGTGTACGGCATGAGAGAAGATACATGGCCATCATCTCTTGATGAAGCATACTGCTTGTAAGTGTATCCGATATTGTAGAAATATTGTTTCGCCGTTTCAATTTGACAATATCTTCCCTAGTAGTATATTGTCCATAGCAACCAAAAGTCATATCTTATTCCTTGAACCGTTTCAAGATCAGCCATTCTAATTTCGAATAATTCATCAACCCGATAGAGAGAGGGCATAGAATGTTTAATTCTATTTATAAAGATAGCCACAATCAACACAGATGAGATACACCCAGATGAACCTTATCTATGATGGGTACTATGACCGCAGGACCCACTGAATATAGCATTCGTCATCGTTGCAATACGGAGTAACTAGGTAATTGCTAGGTACCCAACCCATGGAAGAGGTGGGTTTGGTGCATGGATGTTTTTCTAATCAGACCACATCGACGATCCGGCCGAGTCCGAGGGCAATAATATCATCCAACTTGGCTACTGCTGGCAACCTTTCCCGACCATGCGATTGATGTGGGATTGCTGTGTTTAGTCCATCAATTCAAGCCTCTCTCTAGCAGATTACTACCTCCCTTCAGCTCTAATGTAGTTAATATATAGAAAAGTAGATTACCTAAAGTATCCCGTGACCTCGACAGTGACTTTGTGGTCATTTGACTCTCTGTCATTAATCCAAACTTCTCAATTCGCGTTGCACGAGAGGTAACACCAGCAAGTATTCAGGACACACACTCTCACTCACACACGCACACATCCAAAGTCAAATCTCCTGCAGAACGGCGTCACCGAAGACAGTCATCTGAACACCCTTTCTGAGGGTGCAGAGGTCGTGGTCGAGGACATCATCATGCATACTCGCCTGTCACACAGACAAACCAGAAGATTCCAGCAAGTCTCCCGTCTCCCGTCTCCCGTATCCCTTGCCTTCTGGCAACTGTCATGAAGAATAAAGACTGACGATTGAATTTTAAACAGCACAGACAGTACAGACAGTACTGTCTCCATATCTCTTATCTCGGGTAACCCAATTTATCAGTCATTACGGAGTATCCAAGCCGCCCTCTATCAAATAACTATTGTTACTATTGATTATTGCCAATAGGGAGTACTGGGAAATACATAATCCACGGCTTCCAAGCAGATAAGAGCATACTGAATAAAATAAGGGCGGAAGAGCGGAGGCTTATCGTCTATGGCCTATCGGCCACTTGCCTAGCCACTAGTGATGCGATCGACTTGCACCGTGGCCAGCCGACCGAATCAGACGTGCCAGACGCGACGACCTTCCCAATTGCTCGATAGTTGAGGCCCACCGTCCGCCCAGCGTCGCACCAGTCAGCTCACGACTGCCAGCAGCGGCTTGGACCTACCCAACTGGTCGATGGAGGGCGTTCTTATTGGCAACGGGGGGCACTTGGAGCGTGAGGCTATACGCTTCGAACTACCGGGAACAGCTAGGTACTGGTACCTAGAACAGGTAGGGGCACCGCATGCACCTTGCCTTGCGTTGTGAGAGGCGGACCATTCCCGTTGTCCTCAGCTGAGACAAAAGAGAGGAGGAAAAAAAGAGGAGAGAGAGGAGAGAGGGGAGGGGAGCGGCAGAGAGAGAGAGAGGAGAGCGGATCGCCGGATACCCCCCCTCCCATATCGGAGGCCTCGGGAGGGTCGAGTATATGAAGCTATTCGCCTCCCGCGAACATGGCGTCTCCGTCTTCACCCACGGAGTACTCTTACGATTTGGAAACAAATACAACCGCAGTGAAAAACCTCAACCACCACCACCACCACCGCTTCGCCCTCTGCGTCTCGCGTCTCGCCAGCTCCTTTCTCACCTTCTCTGTCCCCCCCTATAATCCAGCTTCGATAGCTGCAGCAAGACCTCCTTTAGATGGCGGCTTACTCTCAATACCCATCTCGACTTCACTCGCACTCTTACACCATCGCCCTGGCGCAGCCCACCCGCAAACACAGTAGTAATAGTATATCGTTATCGAGTAGTAATTCTCGTTAAATTCGGAGGTACGGAGTATAGACATAGTTCAAAAAAAGAATAGGGCATTCTAAATGTACTAACTTCTGAAAATAGCAAATATGGCCATCGAGATCACCCCCTTGACCAAAGCCGACATCGCCGGTTCCATCGAATGCATCCAGAAGGCGTTTGCCGACGATCCGTACTTCCTCTGGCTGTTCGATCAAACCAAGGTAATCCAACCACTCCCCACCCCCACGGAGGGAAGAAATTAGTCTAATTATTCGGTGAAATAGTTCAATGTCAAACGCAACACCGTCTCGCTGACGGGCCACTATCTGCACGGTCTTCACACTGCAGCTCCTGTCTTTGTAGCGAGGGAGGTGCCCAGCGCCGCCGACTCCACCGAGAAGGCCGCCGTCGCCGTTGACGAGGTGGAGTGTGCGTCGTCTTCCTCGTCCTCGTCGTCTGCATCCGTCACTGCCGCGGCCACTTCTCCCGAATCGACCATTCTCGGAATCTCCTCCTGGTACGCTCCTCACCCGCCGGGCAATCCGGAACCCTGGTCCCACTGGGTGCAGGAATGGATCCTCTCGATCCGCCAGCTGGTGAACATCATCCGGTTCGGCGGCCGTGGCGGGTTGAATGTGAAGCGGTACAAGACGTGGAAGGCCCGCCAGGCCGAGGCGCAGGCAAAGGTCTGGACAGACCCGCGCGGGTACTACTTTTGCAACGTGGTCGCGGTCGACGACCGCGCACGCGGTAAAGGCGTGGGCCGCAAGCTCATCGAGGCGGTCACCCGCCGCGCCGACGAGGAGGGCATGCCGTGCTACCTGGAGAGCTCCAAGCTCGAGCCCAACGTCGCCATCTACCGCAAGATGGGCTTCGAGCTTGTCGACGAGATCACCTGTGAGGAGGGCGGCGAACAGTGTACTGTAAGTTCTCTTGCAAAAGTTATGCCATGCATAGAAGCCTTTTTCTCCCTCATCCTATCATCAATGCCTGACTGACTCTATGATAGTTGTACGCTATGATCCGCCAGCCGCAGACCAAGGCGTAACTTTGTAGTCGGCATTCAGTATCAGCTTAATATGATTTATCTAAGTAAATTATTATCACTACGGAGTACTTTAGAGAAGATCCTGATAGATAAGCATGTAGTAGACAAATACCGATTCAGGAAGTCCAGCCGAGAAACCAAGTATAAGTAGATCCATGCCTCAGGCCTCCATCTAGAAAGGTATATATCCCCAGGCCCGCCTAGCAACCACATATAAATACTTTATCCTCTATACTCCGCACAGCACTAAGTGAAATTGCGACCCCCAGAATGACAGACTTCAAATCCCGGGTTCTGTACAATCTCAAACAAGATCCCGGCCTACCAGTCTCCAACCCCTCGTCAGCCTTCTGGCAGAGCCCCCCGCACGCACTGGCCAACACTCAATCTGCCCATCTACCGGAGCGGGTCGACATCGCCATCATCGGCTCAGGAATAACAGGGTGCAGCATAGCAAGAAGTCTGTTGGGGAGCACCGACCAAAACACCACCGTCGCAGTCTTCGAAGCCCGGAGTCTCTGCAGCGGCGCCACGGGTCGGAATGGCGGCCATCTCGTGTCGGGGGCGGTGCACGATTTCGCAGGCTTGAAGGCTGCATTTGGCGAGGAGCAGGCTGCCAAAGCGGCGCGGTTTACTTTTCGAAATATCGAGCGCGTGTGGCAGGTTGTGCGGGAGGAATTGGATCCTCATACTCGAGAGGCGAGTGAGATCCGTGCCGTGACGAGTACCCTCAATTTCACGGATAAGCGGGCCTGGGAGGAATATAAGTGGTCGGTGGCCGAGTTTAATGCTGCTGTTCCCGAGTTGGCGGGCATGGTCAAGTTAATTGATGGGAGAGAGGCTGTCGAGGTATTTTACAATGACTACATAATGCCTTCTTTCCTCTTTACTTATTGTTTCGATAGACGCTCAAGTTTACGTCCTCTGTGGGCGCTGCCCAACAGCCCGCCGGGGCGATGTGGCCCTACCGACTTATCACGGGGATCTTCGTCGCTCTGGTCAAGAAATACTCGGCGCGGTTCACGATCGAAACCAACACGCCCGTCACGGGGGTGACGTATAACGCGGAGGAAGGGGAATACACACTCAGCACTCCGCGCGGGAGCGTCCGAGCCCGGCGGGTGGTTCACTGCACAAACGCATTCGCTTCACACCTGCTTCCCTCGCTGCGAGGCCGGCTGTTCCCCCTGCGCGGCACGATGACGGTGCAAGAACGGCCGCCCGCGTTCCCCAACGACGGAGCGACGCGCTCGTGGAGTTTCGCTTCCAACCCGACGTTCGACGCGCGATCAGGCCTGTTTTCATACGGACTGTACTATATGACGCAGAACGCTGCCACAGGCGACCTCTTCCTCGGCGGGGAGAGACAGCGGGTCGACCAGCTGCTCGTCGCGGACGATAGTGTTATTGGGGATCTCCCCGCCCAGAATCTGCGCAGTCTTCTCCCGCGCTTGTTCTCGAACGGAGGGGCTCATCGCAAGCAACCGCCGGCCACTCGACAGGCGTGGTCGGGCATTATGGGGTTCACGGCAGACTCGATGCCGGTGGTTGGACGGCTGGAGGAGGAATGGACAGGACGCGCAGGATCCGAGGAGTGGATCGCCGCCGGATTCAACGGGTTCGGAATGGATAAGTGCTGGCTGACGGGAGAGGCGGTTGCCGCGATGATGATCGGCGAGTCTGTTGACGAGTGGCTGCCTGACGTGTATCGCATTCGAAAGGCGAGGTTCCTAGACGGCTGTGAGGAGAGGGTGTGGGAGACGTTTGGCGGTGCATCTCAAGAAGCAGTGAAGAGTAGGATCTAAATATTAATCAGCATTTTTTTTATGGTTATCCTTAATGAATGTCAAAAGAATAGGAGCTTGAATAAACCAAAATAGACGCGGGATGAAGACGAGGATCAGTTTTTGTTTCTGCCTAGATTTGTGCTGTCGTCATAGCCATCTCTGCCTGAGGCACGACAACAAACCAAACATGAGACAAACAGAAAATAGAAAGTCTCGGATCTTCGACTTTCAACTTCGCTTCTTGACGGAGGATTGCCATTACTTCATAGCTTTTATTCTCCACACCAGCTCGGCGGAATCTGCCAATTTTGTGCATGGCTATATAGAATATGCCCATGTTCTCGCCAATTTATCCCATACTACATAAATCTCACCCATGGGCCTGACCCGGCACCGAGTGCGTGCCACAACCGGTTCAGGCACGCTCCACTCGCAGGCCTCGCAGTGTCTCAGAGTCAAGAACAGGCGCAGACTAATTATGATTCGGAGTCCGACTGGCACGGGTGGAACCAGACACGAATAGAAGTTTTCCATATCGATCCATCCTATCAGAACTGAGGAACCGCAGGCCGCTAACTCGTCGCTAAACCGCTAGGTATAGAGCTGATGATAATGACCAGGGACGAAATCACTAAATTAGAAGCCGGGAGCATCCGAGCGATTCGAGTGTGAGACAGTCCGTTGCAACCAAGGCAATGAACAAGCTTTTGCTCGTGGGCCGTGTGCCGAAGGCTGTCATCATTATTGAGTTGCCTAAACAACGTACCACGACGAATAACTACAACAGAACGAAGAAAGACGACGAAGCACAATTATGGAGGATTAGTTTTCCTGGGTGCAACATCAAAGTACTCTGCAGGGTACTCAACCTAAGTACCCCGAAGTCTTAAGCATACGAAGCGCAAGTATTAACTATTATTATTATTCTTGTTATTCTTCTTATTGATCGATCATCTTATTCTCAACTGACTAACTGTCCCAGTGTTGTCAGTGGCTCAGCGCCCCACCATCCCAGCCATCCATGGACGACTGATCCATCGCCAGTCGTGATCGGGTTTGCTGCTGTCGTAAGCTTCATCCACGTATAAGTGGCCGAAGGTCGCAGCTGTGGCGAGATTTGGGTTTTTCCTGTTTTCCCTGTGGTTTTCCCCCTCACACAACACAGTCTATATACTCTGTACCACCTATAGTTATCATTGAAATAACTATCCGACCACCCCAATAAGAGGACCTACCCTCTACCTTACCCTCTCCAGCTCTATTATTAGCCGAGCGTAACAGAGCTACGCTCTGCAGAATCCATCATGGCCGGCCTCTCCCAGTCTGCCATCATCGTCATCATCATCATCTGCTGCCTCGCTGCCGTCTGTATTGCTGCCGCCGTCTTCCGCAACTTCATGCCCGCCGACCATGCACCCAAATCCTTCGATCCCCCGCGCGAACAAGAACAGTACATGCGTACCGTTCGAATGCGAAACTACAGCCATCTTCATCGGGAGTCCGTGGGTCCGAGGGATCTAGAGTCGCAGTGTATGAGAATTCATTCCCCTCACTTCCCACCAATTCAAATTTACTAACTATATATCTATTATTAGTTAACTCTCACGTGGAGACCTCTCATGAAGGCTCGTCGGCGTATTAGTCGCTTTCTACCTACCTCAGTCTATACTGTACAAAAACTACACACTACTATTAACGAGATATGAATTGCGCCCGTCCCGGACGGCGGGCCCTTTTTTTTTTTTTTTTTTTGCGCTGGCGATTGGCGTTGGATTGAGATCTGGAGAGATCCGGAGGTCTGGAACTCTGGAATACTGTGATTCTGATAAGACGATGCCTGGAAATGGGACTAGGGAAAAGCGCTCGCCGATTTGTATATGATAGACGTGAGCATATGGAATGGACTTTATGATTAATAGTCTGTCCTTTTAAGTGAATTTGAAAAAAGAATTCTCATAACTTGTGGACCATATTATCAATTTAGATAAAGTAAGAACAGAAGAACAGTGGTATAAGGCTAATCTATACAAAACTAACAGGATACCACCCCCAAAAACAAAAACCAAAGGCGCAGAAACTTCAAAAAGAAAAAACAAATGGCACTTTTTTTTCTTGTCCCTCTTCATACTTCTCCCGCCTTGAGCTTCCGCGCATCCCATCTCACCCGTCGCAAATGCCGCGCCGGATCCTTGACCTCGTTGCGGGCATGCAGCCATCGCCCGTTGTCGAGCAAGATGACCGACCCGCGCGGCATCATCTGCGCCGTAAGATGCAGCGTGGCGCGCTCCGCCTCTGCGCCGGTCATCACGCTCTTGAGTTCCGCGAGGGCTGCCTCCGCGCTGCTCGTCAAAGGGGTGAAGATGTCGTCACGGAAGCGAAGGACGGGGGGGGAATCATTGCTACTGCTGCTGCTGCTGCTGTTGCCCGCGTTCTTGTCGTCATACAGACCCAACACGCTCCCCACAATAACCCGTTGATGTGACTCCTTGACAAACTCTTCCGGTACGGTGATTTCGAACTGGGCTTTGGCGAGTTCGCGCCGGGTTGAAGCCGACAGTAGGCCCAGCAGTTTCTCCACCTTCAAGACGGATAAGGTCCCCCCGCCGCAGCGGTCTGGCTGTAGGACCTGAAGAGCAAAGAAGCGCGGCGGTGCGCTCTCATAGCTGCAGTCTGTGTGCCAGGGAAATTCCTCCATCGTCTCCGAGCGGGCCTGAACGTTGTTGCTCTGGAACGAGTCCGGGCTCGGCCGCACATCCCAGAACCATCCGCGCTCTGCGCTGTGCGTGATGGGTAGGCCGTGTGAGTGGTGGCGGTGTAGGTTCATGATCAGTTGCTGCAGGTAGCTGCTTGTGTCGTCGGAGAAGGTGAGCCCGAGCTTCAGGATTCCATCTTTATGAAGGTGATGGTGGATGGTTTGCAGATGGGATTGGTCATGAGCTGTTTGTTGGCTGTGAACAGCTAGCTGGGGGACACTGGCTAATTCGGAGACATTGGCATAGTGACCTAAATAGGAAGTATCAGTAAATGGAGAGACGTCTTAAGAATGGATAGAACAGTCCAAAAAAGAGCAAATTCAATCGACTTACGACGGTAGTTGAGTCTTTTGCAGGCTGCCATGCCGGCAACGAGGCATCTGCGGTGGGAAAACATGGCCATTGTGATAGAAAGAGAGGAAAGAAAGAAGAGGATGAATCCAAAGTATGAGGATGATCCATCAGCCGGGAGACACATCGTGAACCCTTTATAGTCATGACTCAAGACTTGGAAGGCATCGTGAACAACAAGCCAAGAATCTTAACTCATCCTGTAGGACACAACGGAGGCTATAGGCGTCGACTGTCGCCCAACCAGCGTCCGCCTGGCCTCCTATCAAGGATTTGCTTGGCTATTCGCAAGAGGTCATCACCCGTGGCTATCCATAATCATGCAGATATCCATCCTCAACCTTCGCCTTCCAGGGACCCTTTTCAACATTGGCTTGCCTCACCGTCTTTATGGACCAGTGCCAATCAGTTCCCCCCCTTTACGTCTTTCGGACCGGTCCCCCTTCCAACGCGGCCCGAGAGTCCTTCCATCTCAGGCAAGGGGATTCCAGGCCTGAGGTCCACGGGATCGGGAGATCTCCCTGCAGGGATTGCGCGTTACACAGACAAGGTATATTCCGCCAGACAGGTCAGATTCTCTGGTCCAGAGTGGAGTCCCTGGTCACGGCTTGGCGAGAAGGGGACGACTCGTAACGGCCCAGCCGACGTAGGACGGCCAGGGAGGGGCGAATGAGGCATACCCAACACCCTGGTTAATCCTGCAGCAGAAAAGTCGGGAATGGGTCTCGTGAATCTTCGATAGTACGGAGTAAACTTTGGGCGGACGGCGGTGGAGCCAATAGCTCTGGCTGGGAAGGATTCCGTTTTCTCCGTTTCTGGGCACTGGGGTTTCGTTCATTAGTACCGCCCCGTAGGGATCTTGGTTGCCAAGAAGTACGGGGTGTAGATGATGAAGAAAGCCATCTGTAGTGAGTACGGAGTATCTCACCGCTCATATGTAACCCTGCAATCCGCACATTCCAGAATCATTTCACCATTTCACCATTTCATCATTTCATCATTTCATCCTTTGCCAAGGATCAGATGTTTCAGAAGATCAATCGGGGAAGGGGGAGCTTCTATGTTTGATCTGATAGAAATCAATAGTTTCGCTCATGTGATTCAATAATCCCCATTTTTTGATCATATGGTCTTTAAATAGTCGTCCCCATAGCGGACAATAGTAATCGTTTCTTGTGAGCTGTAGACTCGAGGCGAGTCTAGACCGACAAAGTTTTGAAGACGGTCCACGAGACTGCATGACGGACTAAGACATTGGTATAATAATAATAGTAATGTGTTTGTCGTTTGTAACTAGTCACCAGATTTTCGATCCGGACCGGGGGATAAAAAACCCCCAACATGGGCGTTTCTCAAGAGACACCCCCAAGTCAAAACGGAGCATAGAAGGGAAACCGTCTTTTCGGGTCGTATTTTTTCTTCAATGCCCTCAACCTCGCCAACCGCCATGGTTCGTATCCATACATGTTCTGAGGGCTTTCGGTTCCGCTCGCATAATTGACGTAAGCATGAAGCTCCATGCTCCCGCCAGCACGATGGATTATCTCGCGGAGCTCCTCGCCAAAGCGACTGGCTGTCTCGTCAAGGGTGGAGTCTGGCTGGTAGACCAGAACGGGGGCAACAATGATGGCATCCGCACGGTGTGGGAACGCCGTGGAATCCTCCGGAATAGCCTTGACTCCCTGGAGCGTGTACCCTTCGAACATGATGAACGAATAGGCGAATTGGGGCATCTCCGAAGTTGTCCGTGCAAAGGCGTCGAAGACAGCTCGCCGTGCAGGGAGGTCATATGACTGAATATTGACGGGGAACCGAACGTTGGCGAATCCCATCTTCTGACAGGGCAGGGCGTCAAGGTCTAGCCCGTTCCATTTGGGGAGATCCAGGTAGGTCCCTGTCTGCCCCGCAGTAATGGCAGGCCCAAGATCTCGGAAGGGAGCCGTGTAGTCTGGGGAAAGAACAGACTTTCCGGGCTTTATAAGGGATACCAGGATGATAGGCTGTTGCATAGGATTCTCAATGTCAGCATTGAGAAAAGAAGAAGAATTCTCTCATTTTGTAAGACAGAAGCCAACACACATTTTCAGTGTCGATTTCGGGATTGCGGAGGAAGACGGAATAGTTAATGACGTCGTCAAGTGCTGTTGGTGAATAGTGTATTGATGCGGTCGAATATAGCCTCGACCTTGTCGTGAGTAAAGATGTAGCTCTCATACGACCACACACCGTCATCTTCAATATCGTAGATCTTCGACGTGACCTCGGTGACAATCCCAAAATTGTGGCCCGCGCCCTGCATTGCCCACCAAAGGTCAGGGTGAGATGTTGCCGAAACAGTCTCGATGTGGCCGTCTGCTATTGCCAGTCGCATGGAGACAAATTGATCGGATATGAGGCCATATTTGCCTTGCAAGAACCCATGACCTCCACCCAGCCCTGGTCCGACCAAACTCGTGCATTCACAACCACCAACCACTAACAGACATATTAGTGACGAAAAATAATAATAAAAACAACCTCTCTTCAGAATGAACTCCTAACCTGTCTGCTTCCCTACCTCCCAGAGAGTGTGTGAGACCTTCTTTGAGAGCACTCCCCCGCCAAACGTCGCCGTGTTCCCGTCCGGAGAGACAGTGACCGAGTCCAGTTGATCCATCCATATTTCAATACCGTCTCTGATCTGCCCCAGGCTGGTGATGGAGCCGTGTCCACCGCTCTTCGCGAAAAAGGGAATACCATGTGTGTTGGCATATTTGATCTATTCCTGTGAGCTTTGTTTTTCACCTAGCATAGATATATATATATGGTGTTATTACCGTCTCCGCAACATCATTTTCCGTCACAACCTGCACCACAGCAGAGACACCGGGAGCACCGAATTTAGACCAGCGGCTAATGGAATCGGTAAACGCCGTGTCGTCTAGGAGAATAATGCGTGCATTCTGTGATAGCTTTGGCTGGAGGATAGAAGTGATGTCACCTCTGCCGCAGATTGTATTCATGATCGTCGAGTGTGAGACGGGCAGCGCAGGGCAGAACCACGAAATAGCCCATGCACCGATAACAGCTGCCACTTCCATTGCGACTCTGATGAAATAGTTGACTAGTATCTATGTCTGCCAGTCGAAAGTGAGTTGAGTTCTTGGTTCATCTCTACTTGAGTATTTGTAGCGGGTGGGGGCCTCAAACCTTACTCCGCTGCAGGGGGAACGCCTGATCTGGGCTCCGGAACAGCAGTCTTCGAGTATTGACATCATAAACAACGTGGGAACTGCGTGTTTTGGTGGTGGTGAGGAATCCAAGTCGTGGAATGATGCCTGATGATGCCTGATGATGCCTGGACTCTGACGTGACGTTACTGTCACATGACAAAGGGGTCTTGCCTGTTTCAGCTGTTTTACCCCATCCCCCCAACAAAGAATCATTTTCTCGATATGAGGCAGCAGTTGTTGCCAGCGACTTGTGGCTGCGATTGCCTTTTGTTTGTACGAGGAATGTCGATCTGACCTGATTCAGCTGGCAGCCCGTATTCTGTCCGACGTCTTATTATAAGCTATTGATTGTGCGTTAGTCCGGTAGGGACACATTCTTATCATTGGGTTACTTGTTTCGTTCCGGGGTCAGAACTAATGACAGCTTGCAGTATATTAGATTCAGTGATCCAGCAGAAAGAAGAGAAATACGAAGTATCTATCAGCTATCCTGTATGCTCCTAGATTCGACATTTGCAGTTATAGCCAACAAGCCATCTATCCTACCTCGTTACAATGATAGTTCGTTGCACCATGATGCCTGATTATGAAATGTGAAATGGGAAGGGAAAAAGAGGTTTCTTAGAAGAGCCATGGGATGAACCTTGCCGTTTGGAAATGGTAGTCCTCCCACTCCTTTCCAAAGTTCCGGCGCAGAAACGCTTCTTCTTTCACGACACGCATGGAAAAAGTCCTGAAAAGGAAGATCAAAATGAAAACCCAGTCCGCAGCAATGATAAGGGAGACAAGTGTTTGCACCGTGGGGCTCTGGTGGCTCCAGCACGCCGGGACCCCGTCTGGTCGCAGGACGAGGCCGCAAACGCTGAGGATCGACACTACCAACCCGGTATATGACGGGTGCTGCATGTAGGCGTACAGGCCGGAGCGAATCAGACCAGACGGCCGTGTGATGACGAAGGTGAAATTCTTGCCTAGCTGGGCAAAGGCCAGAAGCCGCATCCCACTCCCTACGATGACCGCGACGACGAGAGGAGCGGACTGCCCCGACCAGGTGAAGAGGGCGGGGTTCAGGGCCTCCGTAGCGGCTGGACAGGTTGCTTCACGGACAGCAGCAGGCAGACAGGGCAGGACGACGTGGAAGAATGCAAAAGCAAGATGGATGTAATGCATGGAATAGGCAATCTTCAGGCGCTGCAAGCGGTCAGACACCTGGTACTAACAGAGATGTAAGCGTACCTGAGCCAAAGTGTCTGATTCCCATCCTGTGGTTGGCTTCGCATTTGGGGCCATAGCACTCCGAGCGAGTAGATAGAAGCCGTATGCTGCGGTCAGAGAGAAGGAGATATCCATTAGTAGTAGTAGTAGTCGTAATAGTAGTAGTTCGTGGTTATAGTCTTCCAGCCCATCAAGCAATCCGTCTGATAATTTGCATTGCTTCGCTCTGCAACGCCTTATATATATATAAGACCTCATCGATCGATCAAAGTATGTAAATCATTATCTAAGTTACGTCTTGAGACTCAGGCCCCCTCTTACCCCCTACTTCCTAGGGGTTCTCCTTCATGCCTAGCAGTAAGCCACCATTCCAGACGATGAGTGAGCTTGATAATACTTATCTCTGATAGTTACATATCTACCAATAGATCTACTTGAGCAGAGGCATGACATCAGAAGTCATCAGTCTAATGAGACCATGAGATCTATGAAGAATAAGTAAGGGGTAAGCTTATGTAGTACAGGCTGAATAAAGTCTCTCTACAGACAAAAGCCCCCTTCTATCTCTTGATAACTACTATATAGCATGTGACAATGAGTTAGACTGGCGTCTGAAGAGCTTCACCCTGGTGATAAGATAGTTTTCATCAAAAAACGCGCATTGCTTGTATAAGTAAGCATGAATAGTGTGATTAATTTTGCTTCTGGTTATACTATAGCGAGAGTTTAAGATACTCAAAAGATTAATAGATGATAATAGATGACAGATTGAGAACTAAGCAGCCTTCTTCTTCACACTCTTCCTCTCCATCGCCAAACTACCGAGCAAGGTCAACCCCCCCAAAGCGACAGGCATGTACAGGGTCTGCATGACCGCCTTATCGTACCCGAGTAGAACGCTCTGCAGACGGTTCCCCCCAATGTACTCCCTGACATGGTCAAGGCCGCCATCGACAAACGCCGTGACGTTAGTTCCAGGCGCATACTGCGCAACCTCGGCCTGCAGACGGGTCTGGAAGAGCGTTGCCGAGGCGGAGATGAAGAGCGCAGAGCCCATCCCACCTGCTAAACCTGTGATGCTGATTCCTGTCGCGACGTCTTTCATGGGGAGAACGGTCTGCACGGCAACGACGGGGCTCTGCATGCCTAACCCGACGGCCACGCCCAGGAAGCCCAGGTAAGCGAGGATCTTGGCTAGGTTTTCCTCGACGGGGAGGGTGGTCAGTAGGCCGGAAGCGATGGGGGCGAGGATAGACGTGGCGAACATGAGTGCTAAAATCATGAATACCTAACTTGGTACAAAAAAAAAAAAAAGAAGGGAAGACTTACGATAGTAGTAACCGATAGTCGTGGTGAAGACACCCGATGCAAACGAGGCCGCCATCATGCCAACCATCAAGGGCACACCAAGGGCGCCCGATTTGGCAGCCGAGTAGCCCCGGATGCCCTGGAAGTAGATGGAAATGTAGTATTCCGTGACGGCGAGGATGCCGTTATAGCACGTGCCGAACCAGGCGCCCGCCAGAACGCTACGTTGGCGCAGGATGCGGGCGGGCAGGGTGGCGTGGTCGTTCTGTCGGTACTGGATGACGGCGAAGAGAGTCAGGAAGAGGGCGAAGATGACCAGCAGCGAGATCACCACCGGGCTGCCCCAGCCGTACTTGATGCCCCCCCACTGCATGGCGATGAGAAGACAGACGATGGAGGGGACGAAGAAGAGGGTGCCGAGCAGGTCGAGGCGCTTCAGCTTGTCGGCGATCGAGAGGGTGACGTCCGGGTTCACGACGGGATCATGGAAAGCGAAAAAGGTCAGGAGAAAGGTGACGACTCCCAGGGGGAGGTTGATAGCGAAGCAGAGGCGCCAGGACCAGGCGTCGATGAGCACGCCGCCGACCAGCGGGGCCAGCACCATGGCGAGGGTCTGGATGGCGAAGCAGATGCTGGTCCACATCGGTCGTTTGGCCTTGGGGAAGCTGTGGGTGAGGATGAGCAGGACGCCGACCTGCAGGGAACAGGAGCCCAGGCCTGCGATGGCGCGGCCCAGGATGAAGACGATGCTGAGCGGTGCAACGGTGCAGACGAGGGAGCCCAGCTCGAAGATGGCGGTGGAGATGAGGAACAGGCGTTTGACGGGGAAGACGGCGTAGAGACGGCTGCAGAAGAGAATGAAGCTGCTGGAGATGAGCATGTAGGCAGCCGAATACCAGCCCAGATCCTGCACGGTGTGAAACTCGTTGGTCAGGCTGGGCACGCAGACGGCGACAATGGTCAAGTCGAGGCCAACGAGCAGCATGCTGAACACGCACGAGACGAGCGACATCCAGAGCTGCAGGCCGGCGGGGTAGACGGTCGAGTCTGCATTTTCAGCGTCGAGATTGATGTTATTGTCGTTGGGGTCTTCGAGCTGGAGAGTGTCTGTTGGGTGGGTGGAAGAAGGAGAAGAAGAAGCCATGGGGGGAAATCTAGGGAGAGAGAAATATTGAATAGAAGCAGGAATGTCAGACAAGACAGTAAGACATTTATAACTTAACCTGGTTTAATTGCTGCCTTTTTCCAGGATACGACGTCAGTCTTATTTAGGCTGAATTATTATACCTTTGATGATATTTAATTAAATAAATTATTTATATTTATATTAGAATTACTAGAATTCTATAAGTAAGAGTTGATAGACTAGGATATACCTGATATCAGCAATATAAGAGTTAGTTTTAAAGTAGATTATATTATTCTAACAATAGTTGAATCACCATTAAGAATGTTTTCTTCATCTATCAAGAGTTTATTTTCTTTATTCATTATGAAGGAGTGTCATTGTCAAGAGGTCTCCAGTCTATATAGCTATACAGAGCTATTAGGCTTCTACCTGTAGTAACTATACTCCGTATAATCCCTATATAACTATTTTCTATTTTATTTAATTCTATTCTTATTAGAAATAATAATCCTAATACTCCACTATAAATACTCGGTCTACCCCCGGTCTTGATCGACATATCGCTACATCATTGCCGAAACCCCAAATCTCTCATGATATTCTGTTTATTGTGAAGAGTATTATATACTCGCTTGAGATGGTAGGTAAACAGTAGACAGTAGATATCATAGATTTATTCCATATTTAATGACTTCGAATCTATTATTTAATCCTTTTAATTGATTCTTTTCCGATCGCTCACTCAATCCTTAACCCCGCTCCTATTGTATTACCAGACAAGATGAGACGAGTCACAAAGCCTTTGACCCCGCGTTGGGCCTCATAAATAGTGAAATCGACCCTTTGTGTTCTTCTTTCCAATATATATTCTGCAGATCCATCTTTCTTGAATCAAGACATCATCATGGCTACCGTCGAAGTGCAGTCGATTCCTTACCGCCAGCTCCCCCTATCGAAAGACCGCATCGTGCCTGGCTCGACGAATGTGCCTATCGGTCGATTCCCCCAAACAACCTCTCTCTCCTCCATCGACGCCGCTGCAGTTGCGTCGCAGCTCATCTCCGACTTCAACACTGCCCTCAGCCGCACCGACTACGATGCCGTGGCCGCCCTCTTCCTGGAAACAGGCTACTGGCGCGACCATCTCTGCGTGACGTGGGAGCTCCGGACGCTCAAGGGACGAGAGAAGATCGCCCACGTCCTCAAGACACAGTGTAACGTCTCCCAGCTGGCCGTGGATGATTCGACTCCCTTCCGAGCACCCCATGTCGGACCAATCGATGCCTTTGGGGAGGTGATCGGCGTCGAATTCTTTGTCTCCGTGACCAGCAAGGCGGGAAACGGGCGTGGAGTCGTCAGACTGGCAGAGGAGAATGGCCAGTGGCGTTTTCTGAGTCTCTTCACCTCTTTACATGAGATTACTGGTCATGAAGAACGTACCTATCACCGTCGACCCCGTGGTGATGAGCGAGGTGGGCACCCTGCCTCTACAAACTGGCTGGACCGACGCAAGATGGATCGGGAATACAAGGATAAGAGTCCGGCAGTGTTGATCTTGGGTATGCATCTACATGACGAAGAAATAAACGGATTCTCTCTTAGTGTCGATTTTCTAACTCTTTAGGCGCCGGACAAGCTGGTTTGACCGCTGCTGCACGGTTGAAAGCGTTGAATATCGACACTCTGCTCGTCGACCAGGTCGACCGGGTCGGCGACTCGTGGCGGAAAAGATACCACACTCTCGTGCTGCATGATCCCATCTGGTACGACCACCTGCCCTACATTCCCTTCCCATCCACCTGGCCCGTCTTTGCGCCCAAAGACAAGATCGCCGACTTCTTCGAATCGTATGCCTCCCTGCTCGAGCTCAACGTGTGGACCCGCACCACCATCGTCTCATCCGCCTACGACGAGACCACCAAGCGCTGGACTGTCACTCTCGCCCGCCGACGTGAAGACGGCTCGAGCGAGACCAGAACTCTCCACCCACACCATATCATCCAAGCGACAGGCCACTCTGGCGAGAAGAACATGCCAACCTTCAAGGGACAGGATAGCTTTCGCGGAGACCGTCTCGTACACAGCTCCGAGTTCACGGGTGCTAGACATATCAGCCCAGAGAAAAAGAAGAAGGCAGTGGTGGTCGGATCATGCAATTCCGGGCACGACATTGCCCAGGACTTTTACGAACACGGCTACGACGTGACCATGGTACAACGCAGTTCGACCTGTGTCGTGACAGGCAAGTTCATCACAGAAATCGGCATGAAAGCTCTGTACGGCGAAGACGGCCCCCCCACCGAAGACGCAGACGTTTACCTCTGGGGGATTCCCACGGAACTGTACAAGGCGCAGCAGCTCAAGGTGTCAGGCGTGCAGGCCCAACACGACGCAGAGATCCTCCACCGGCTAGAGGAAGCAGGGTTCAAAGTCGACAGCGGGCCCGACGACGCAGGCCTGATGTTCAAGTACCTCCAGCGCGGGGGAGGGTATTACATCGATGTCGGGGCGAGTCAGTTGATCGCCGACGGCAAGATCAAAGTCAAACACGGCCAGGAAATCGAAGCTATCACGCCCACCGGGCTGTTGTTCGCCGACGGATCGACTCTTGAAGCCGACGAGATCGTCTGCGCTACGGGCTACCAGAACATGCGGACCCAGTCCCGCCTTATCTTTGGCGATGCAGTCGCTGACCGGGTCGGAGATGTTTGGGGGTTCGATGAAGAGGGTGAAATGAGATCTATCTGGCGGAAGAGCGGGCACCCGGGGTTCTGGTTCATGGGCGGCAATCTCGCCCTCTGTCGGTATTACTCGCGTATCCTGGCGCTGCAGATTGCTGCTGTAGAGGCCGGTCTTACTCCTGCTTAGTACATCTTATATATCTAGATTGTGTCTTCCGAATGCAATCATCTTGATTCATATAAGTTGCATTACCAAGAATTCATAACCAGCTTATGCCCACTCACAGCATTCTGATCCAGTAGATCGAGTGCATGCTGAGCCTTGGCCAACCCCCCATGCACCCACTGTGGCCGGGTGGGCACGATCAGGCCACTGGCCAGTCCCTGCGGCACGTACTCCTCATAGAACCAGCGAGCGAAGTCGAGGTTTGCCGGCTGCTCGAACGACCAGCTATACGGCGCGAACCTGCGCTGGACAGTGTCTGGAACGGGATTCTCGGGGCCAAACAGTGGCGTCATGGTGTTGTACGTGCCTCCCCCGAGTGAAGACAGGTATCCTACCAGCATGTTGGTGACGGGGGGTAAGCCGATGGTGTCGAGGATGGCATCGTATGGGCCATGCGCTCGGATCTGGTCTGCGATCTGGTCGGCTGGAAGAGTATGGTCGATCACGGCGACAGGGCCCAGCGATTCCACAAACCCCCGGTTTTGAGGAGACGAGGTGGTGATGACGGTGTATCCTGCTATCACGGCATAGTTGATGGCTAATCCGCCGGTGGGACTGGACCCGCCATAGACCAGCACTTTCTTGCCCTTGGCTTCGGCTGCAGGGTTGTCGCTGGATAGCGACGGCCGTGCCAGTCCCAGATGGATCGAGAGCGCAGACGCCACAGTGGCCAGGTTGAGGATAGATGCTGCCGCGGCCTCCAGCGGAGTCCCTGGGACTAGCTTGGAGCTTGAGGAGACGCAAGCCAACGCGTACTTCTGAAACCCGCCGAACCGGGAATCCCCTTGGACCTTGCCGGCGCGATTCACTGCGACCAGGTCTCCTGGCTGCAGTGCCGTGACATCCGGTCCGACTGCTTCCACGGTTCCGGCGAACGAACCACCTAGAACAAGTGGATAGGGGACAGGGTGTGTGGCATACCTGGAGGATTATTAGCTTCTCTTGCGTCGAATACGCACTCCATGAGATGGGGGCGTACCGTTGAATCTTTGATTCAATCGGGCTGAAGGCAATCACCTCCACCTTCACTAGTACTTCGCCATCACCGGGAACTGGCTTTTCAGCATTCTCGACCGTAAGTCGAGCATGTTTCTCCTTGATCCACGCTGATTCATTCATCCTGTTGCGACGTGATGAGGTAGATTGATTAGGGTATTGAAATCATTTTTAATTAATGCATGACCTGTGCCGTCCACCCATCTTATATCTCGTTTCCTTCTCATCAATTGATCCATATCACTCATCCAGTTCAGTGATATGTTTCGTGACTTCAGATAGATTTGTCATTCTCGGACACCGAGCCCCGAGAATCTATCATGCCACAAATTATATTCACTTGTCAACTTCAACCAGTTGCTGGTTATTATTGGACGCTACGCCCAGTCGGACTCCGATTGCGCGAGAGGCGAAATGCCGAGAAGAATGGATTGAGACGAGCCAATCGAGATACTCTTCAGTCTTGCAGAAATTTTGAATCATGATGCTAGAAACTGTACCTGTAGGAACGCAGAGAGTATAATGGTAATCTTATGGTCTTTTTATAATCACTTCTGTTGAAGTGGTATAATAGCATCCGTCAATCGTGGCCATTGCTGAGAATGTCTGTGTCGATATTACCGAGTCCAACATAGTGTAGACTTTTGTCTAGTATCTTCAATGCCTGCACCGTAATGCATCTCATCTATAGAACTGATTGAATTGCACTGTGGTCGTAAAACCGAGATCATGATTCTCAAATGACAGACTATTTCAATATCCATTCTAGATATATGTCAGCATGAACAACTCCCTGTAGATGAATGTTATTCGGGCGACACATACTTACACCAGCTAGAACAATACAAATATTCCAAGCCTGAGTGCAGGCTACAGCCGAAGCTGCTCTCAACCTTTGATTCAAGAGCTTTATGTAGACGGTGTCCCAGGAGATTGTATCAACATCCCCCCGAAGTGCCCATGACTTTTCAAGAAGACATGTCAATTGCATGAGTTGACAGATGGTTTTGATATCGACAAAATGGAAAGCATTGTACCATATCCTGTCGACTTCTGCAGCTTGTGCCTGGCTTGGATTGGAGTGCGTTAGAAGTTGTCATCAAGTTTATGTTTTAAGGTGAGAGAAGATTTGCCGGTCATATGAAGACTGCCTAAGAAGAAGGGAGCAGGTCACATGTTGTTGAGCTGCCGACTTCCTCTAACAAGAGAGTTTTAATCTTCAGCCAGTTCATCTCTTTCCACTAGAAGTCTTCAGGCTGCATTAATAGAATGATGCAGTGATCTAGTCATCACTTGAAACAATGGGTTATAAATAAATCTCTAAGGCATCAATGCTATAGTTACCGGCACCTGGGAAGCTAAGGTGATTAGGTTCTTTCTTTCATGCAAAGCCATTAATTGATTGACAGGTTCTCAGGAACTGAGACCTCATGAGCCTTCTATTTGGCTTTATTCTTTTCAACTGGAAGAGAATGGAGAGCCTGTGTTGCCTAGACAAGGAATGTAGACCATGAGGAGGTCTTGTTATTGCATATTCGGACAAAGGACCATTTCAATCTCTTCGGCAGAGGACAAGCTATTCACAGTTTGAATTATCCGGACAGTATTTAAAGATGCCCATTTGGCATCTCTGATGACTTGCAACTTACCACATCCCAGATTTCCGCTGAGCAGCAGCCTCTTTTTTCCTATCTCCATATACATCTTGAACGCTTGTTAAATCAACATTGAAGGGGATGTCAGAAGAAGGGGAGCGATTAGATGCGCTACGGCGGATCAGGGAAAAGAATTGTGGTGGCTATGAAGACAAGAAGCTTTTTGCCATTCTGTACGATCTGCTAGAGGACGATATCCTCTCGCCCGACCAAGCAGTGGAGAGGATTGTTGGGGGGTTTTCACCACCAGCTTGCCTGTGGAGCTCGTACGAAGGAATAGCGTATATGTCAGTGCTTTGTACTCTGTCGATCAGAATGATCGAACACTTTGATCCTCGTCATTTAGGCCAAGATTCATTGGCGTTAATGATTGAAGCTCTGAGCCAGACAACATGGAACGAGGATCATTACCATGGTGTATGCATACTAGCTTCCCAATTTGAGGTACCATAACTTGCTTACAGCCTGCAGAAAGAGTTTCCCTCTTGGAAGGGACTTCCATTGTTCGAGGAGTTCGTAACCTACCGCTGGACTGGTATGTTTTCTCGAAACCTTGAAAGCACACGGCCAGTTAATTCATACTATCAACAGAACGTCTAGTGAAGTACAAGAACCTCTTCAAGGCGCACCGGGAGCTCCAGAGTGGCAGATGCTATGGGTCCATCGAAAAATGGGTGAATTTCAATTCCTTTGCTGCTAGGCTTTTAGGAAAGAATCTTGTGAAATGCTGGAAATTTGCAGTCTGGGCATTGCAAGATGCTTTGGACAACAAAGCAAACGGTGAACATTTGCTAGAGGAGCGAGTTCTTGTTGCCTGTGAATGGATCTTACATGCGGGAAATGCCCTGTTCCACATGTTGAGCAAGGACAAGCATCCAGATGGCCTGGACCGCGAGACTTGGGCTTTCTGGAAGAGGCGATTCTATGAGACTTATGACTCAGACCGTACGGCCGAATTTGGCAGCAAGGCTCTTTCTGCAGCGAGGGGAATGGAACTGATTGAGGTGCGCGAAGAGAATCGCGGTAAAATGAGAAGAAGTAAGCAAAAGTCCGAGCCATAAAGCGGTTTTCTTGACTTGCTGATCGGCTAACTAAACGTCCCTACAATCATTAGAGAAGACCGACTGCTGACTAGAATCAATAACATGGTGAATATCTATGTAGTCAATTTTCAAATTGATTCGCTTGCATGAGATAAAACTGAACGCCGACAGTGATGTTGTAGGAGGTTTCAAGCACAGATAGAACAGTTTATCAAGGACAAAGCAATCCACTCTGCATCACTCCAAATATATTGTAACTTAGAGAAGACAGCAATAAAAGGAATAAGAATCGAAATGGAAGGAGAGCAGATGCTGTCATATCACGTGCCGACGCTAAACCGTTCTAGGAACACAGGATGCTTACCACGTGGAGAAGAACTTCCAGCCTCAATTCCATCCTTGCTGAAACTCCTCCTCCCTCTGTCCAGAGGACAGCTGTGAATGGCCACTTCTCACGCTCCTGGAGCCCTCAGAGATGGCGGGGGCACCGTGACACCGACTCTCAGCTGCGAGTCCTGCCGCCAGCGCAAGATCAAGTGCGACAAGCTGATGCCATGCTCGCACTGCCGCAAGGCGGGGATAATCTGTGAGTCTGTTCAGCGAAAACGATTACCTCGAGGTCGGTATGCACGGAACTCGAATCACCGGTTACGCGAAAAGATTGAGAAGTTGGAGACGCTGGTCAACGCGGCGCTGGCAAGTGCTGCGACGCCCACAAGTGGTACTAATCTGGTGGGTAGGAGGTAGTGACTCTGTGATAAATAGGGGCAGATTCCTTTCTTTGCTACTAATACTGACGATAGGAACAGGTCCAACAAGAACATCCGTCCATCGAGTCTGGCCAGAACAAGCCGCTCGCGCTTGACTTTTGCAACGACCTTCTGAAAGAGATTCAGGGACTGCACGGTCTAACTCACGTTTCCGAAGAGGATGAAAGTAATCCAAGTCCAGAGGTACCAGAGACGCTGAGTGAATCACTAGCTCCTCGGCCCTGGTCATTGCCATGGGGATATGCCGGAGCAGTGCCGTTTCAGCAGCACCAGCAGAGCCTTGCATTGCGTCCATCTGCCGCAGTGACGGCTCGTCTATGTGAGATCTATCTCAGCCACGTGGATCGGATCATCAAGGTTCTTCACCGGCCGTCTCTGCGCGAGCACCTGTTGGAGGATAGACCGTATCGCGGGTTTCAACGTGATGGCGTAGCAGAGGCCGCGCTGGACGCGGCTGTATTCTACGCTGCCGTGGCCAGCATGACGGACCGTCAATGCCAGGCTCTATTTCACTGTGCACAGAGCGCCGTGCTACCAGAGTATCAGATAGCTGCGGAGATGGCCCTGCAGAGAGCAGACTTGATGAGGACAGAGAGCTTACTTGTGCTTCAAGCGCTGGTGATCTACCTGGTGGCGACTCGTGTTCACGACCGGACACGCGCCGTCTGGACGATGGTTGCCACCGCGGTGCGCATCGCCCAAGCACTCAACCTGCACCTCGAGTCGAGTCATCCGCTGGATACATTCTTTCATGCACAGCTCCGTAAACGGCTTTGGTTCGTGATTTGTTTGCTGGACGCTCAAGTAGCCCTCGACCAGGGATCGAAACCCCTGATCACACACGACATGGCGCAGGGCGTATCACTCCCCGCCAATGTCAACGACGAGGACATCGACCCATCCTATCCCGCTGCAGATGTTGTTGCTCCTCCGCCTGCACTCACAGATATGACCTTGTCCCTGGTAATATACAATCTACAAACCGCTGGACGGTCCATTCATATTCCCGGACGAGACGTGGACAACGAGCACGTCCGCGAAGCGATGGCCCGGTTCGAGAGCACCCTCTCCTCACTCACGCAGCACTGCAATCCGGCCGAGAGCCCTTACTCCTGGCTAGTCTATTACAGTGCTCGGTCGCTCGTTTCTTCTATGCGATTGTCTGTTCTGCGTCCACTCGTGCACAGCCAGGAACAGAGTCATAACCAGAATCAACACCCGGCGCCACGCATGCCCGGAGACTCACAGGCATCTTCCCTGCTGGAGCTGTGCGAGGGGGCGATCGAGAATTCATACCGGATGGAAACCGACGCGCGCGGGGAAGGGTTCCGATGGTACGTCTCTGTGCAGTGGACGAGCCTGGCCATCACACTGCTGGAATGCTATACCTCGCCTGACATTGGGGGCGTGAAACGCCTGTGGCCGTTGGTCGAGTGTGTGTTTGAGCATTACTGTCGCCGCCACAGCACGAGCAGTATGAAAGCCGTTGTGCGAATTCTCGCCCGCTTCATGGAGAGTACCAGGGAGCGCGTCCAGATGCTTACCCAAGGAACAGACTCTCAACAACAGCAACAATCCGTGGTACAGGAAGCATATAGTGATACGGTTGACCCCTCGTGGAGCGCATGGGAAGAGTTTACCAACGAATTAGTATCGTCCGGTGATTTTGACGAGGCCGAATGGGCGGGCGATCTTTTCGTCCGACCAGACATGGTATTTCCTTCCTAAGTGATAGTTGAAACACTATATTGAACCGATCATAGCATTGCCCGTCCGTATTCCTTTAGACGCCGAGATACCTAGAGGGTACCAAATCAGTAACTGGGACTCTTAGACAGGAGCCAACATACCTCAGATACAGCATCGTAGTCGTGCGCCCATTTAAAGAAGGAAGGGCTATTGAACGGCGCGGAAGCATCGGGAACCACCTCCCGCATACTCTTCCATTGATCCTCTTCAGAAGACGGGGTCTTTCTATCCTTATTTCGCTGACTTCTCTGTCCGAGGTACATCCGTGTATTCCACGCCGCGTATGCTTTGATCCGTTCCACGCGCGGCTTGCGAATCTCTTCCCATAACCCTGTCAAAATTGGAAGAGGAAGGTTACTCGTTTTAAGCAGCAGGTGTAACACGCCTATATCCTCGATGATCTGCGAGAGGCCCTATCCGGTCAGTACAAGCCAAAGTAACAGAACCAGAAAAAAAGCTAGATGCAGTACTTGAGCTGCGTTTGGCTGCATGGCATGTGCCGCATCGCCGAGAAGCAAGACCGCGCCACTCTTGCTCCTCCAACTGGGCAAATCGGGCATCTCGGCGATTTTCCATCTATCGCAGCTTGTGGCTAGATGTAACGCGGCTTCAAGTTCGGGGCAGATCCCCGCGAAGGCCTTTCGGACGAGGTTGATATCGCCGTCCTAATCTATTAGACGGAGTGAAAGAAAAGAAATCAAAAGGAGAGCTAGACCTCATCCCATAAACGGCTGCTACTCCCGTCATCCTCAGCCTGGAGGCCGTATAGTCCCTGCCAAAAGGGAAACTTGGATGGTCGACGCGCAACAACAAATCGGTTTTTATCCGCCCACACGGTCGGCTCAGTCTGGGAGAGTAAACAGGAAGCCTCACGGTCGGCCTGCAAGAGCGACTCCGAAACATGGATGCCGTAAAAGACCGTGTGTGTGAGGATCGGGTCGACAGGCACATCTAGCACCCTCGAGCGCAGCCGTGAACGAATCCCGTCCGCGACGAGAACGAGATCCGCATGGACAATGGTATCACCTCTAGAACCTCGTAGACGGACGCTGGGCTTCACCGACGGCCATTCGCCATCAACGATATCTTCAACAAGAGCATCAAAGGAGACAATGCACCCGGCCTGTACGGCTTCTCGGTATAAAATATCCTGCAGGACGGGTCGAGGAATCCCCCAATCCGGTCCTTCGCTCGCAGGCCCAGGCACATTCCGCATCTTCATCGCTCCGGAGCGGAGATCTCTCACCACAAAGGGCGGCATTCTATCCGCCACGCTGTCGATAGATTCGTGTAGTCCCCATGACTGAAGGATGCGGGCGGCTCCAGGCCGGATGCCTAGCCCGCTGCCCTTGCGAGAGAGGGCGGGGCGTTGCTCGAAGATCTGGACGGTGTGTCCGTCACGGGCGAAGCAGAGGCCTGCAGCGAGGCCGCCTAGACCGGCCCCCACGATGATTATTCGCATTTTCGACAGATTTGATGTGACTGGCGATGGTGATGTTGGTGGTGAGTTGAGATGGTTTAGTAGGAGAAGTTGAAGTGTTGGCTTGACCTCGGTTACATGATTGGTCATCACATGGTACTTTTGTACTATATCAGAATGTATTATAGAAAGAACATCCTGAAAGAATAATTATCAGTCCTGCTATTCATTGAGATATGGGATTATTTAGTGATTGTCTTGGTAAGGCCAGATCTTGTCCATCCAATCTCTCTCCTCCGCATTCTCTGCCAACGACAGGAAGTGTGTCTTTTGCATTTCACTTGTCTTCTGCAACGTTTCGTAATCTTCAGGATCAACGATCCCGTCGACTGGCAAGATTCCTGCGTTCTGAAACTCTTCCATCAGTTGCTCGATGTAATCGCGGTTCTCCATCTCCTCACTGTGCAGTTTGATTTCTTCTTTTGTGAAAGAGATAGGGCAGTCAAGCGCAGATTGTATCCCAGACCAATGCTCGATCACTTCCATCAATGATGAGCGAAGCCCGAAGACTTCTCTTGACGACCAGGCCCCTCCTATTGATTTCATGGGTTGGACAACAGGCGACTTCCATGTATAATTATGGCGTATGGCGGCATAGTGCAGAGGGTTTCTCTTGGCCGTGAGAACTTCATAGTATCTGTGGCACAAGGCACTCTCATGGAGTTTGTCTGCCCTTTTCCTATCATCTTCAGATAAAGTCTCATAGCCCTCTGGTTTCTCCGGCATAACCCATCCCAGTGGAAGTGGGCTCGTATGTTGCACCATCCGTGGGAATTTAGCTTGTAAGATCAAGGGAGCAACTGTTGTGTTCTGCCAGTCAATAATGTCCGTGATGATCTCCGTGTCAAGATCGACGTATATGTTATTGAGATGGAGGTCGCAATGCCACAGTGTCGGCTGCAAAAGATCCATAGTCTCAGGATCATGTCTTGTGATGTGCGGAACAACCAGCAGGTATTTTTCAATAAGGTCAATATATTCATTAGGCCTCTCCAGATCCGTATTGCTTCGGTAATAGTTCATGCGCGGTTGAGCATTCAGTGTTGCCCAGGTTTTCTTGTTGTTCCCTATACCTGTCGCATAGTCGGAGATATCCATCCCTACAATAGGATCACCGATTAGAGAACGATATTGGAAAGAAAGAAGGAACTTACAAGGACCTCGAGATAGGTTCATAGTAGCTCGCTCATCAGACCAGAAAATCGCGTCTGTGACAGGGCCAATGCAGAACTTTGAATCTCCATTAAGCGAGAATTGATCCTTTGAATGTGGTCGTGGCAGATCTTCTTTGTAGTATATGCATCCATGTCTAGGCAGTGATATAGATGCTACTCTCTCCTCCAGTTCCACAAGCTGCTTTATAAATTTATGTTTCGATGGAGAAGGAAGCTGATACTAAACATCACCAAGAGCAGTCCCCTTTGCCTTTTCCATGACGATGTATTCACTTCCAACCGGATTGGAGGAATCACAGCTCCAACTGAGCACTCGAGGAATTGGCAGACCTATAACTTCCCGCACCTTGTATGATTAGCATTACTGTTGCTCCCTTGAATAACCTCAGAGCGTACAAAGTCCATCGTTGCAACTTCACTGGCAATAGTCAGGATTTCCGGCCCTGTATTAGGATTTGGCAGCTTTGCTACCACCTCGGATCCATTATTGAATGCTAAAAGAAAGGTTTTGTTGTATTGTCCTTCCTGATATTTCATCATGTGCGTGCCTCCAGAACTTATTAGAATAGTATGTGCCAATAGGTGGAAGGATATTACATCTATCTGCATCTGTACCGCTTGACTGGACAGCAACAGAAAGAAGCTCTGGGATATTGAATCTTCGATACCTCTTTGAGGCTTCCTGGGCGTCGTTTGATCTGCTATTAGTTAGAATCAGACATATTAATAGGTTCGGGGAAACAAACAGCCATCGATTGGTGGTATATCGGTAGAAATCTTCTTCTCTGGCCTCGGTCACTGTTAAAGCGAGGTCAGAGAGTCTTTTCTCTTTTTTCAACCTAAGGGAGACCATGTCCTCACCAGCCCCATCTTTCTTTTGTAACGAAAGCAAGGCGGAAGGGTCGCTAGAAAGATGGACTAGTCTGTACTGTTGTCGGTATACAGATCTAAGTGAATGTGGTCCAAAGACTGCAGGGTGAATAAGTAATGATTGAGTTCTCATATTATCTCTGAAGTTGACGAGAGCGGAGAGTGTTGGATGGACATTAGATATGCGACAGTAGGATAATAAATAGCACAGATCACATGACATTATATGCTAGGGGCTGTGATCTCTAGTATAGTATAGTAAAATCAGCTCTATTCTATGGACATTTACTATATGCCTCCTGAGCTATTTGATATAGAGTGCTATACTCAACTAGAATCCCGGCTCAGCCATTATTCAGATATTAATCCAGATAAACTGCCATTCATTGGCAAAATATCTCTCATCGAGTCCAACCTTGATGAGCAGATTAATTTGTCAAACAAAAACAATTCAAGCTCTTAACCAGGAAGATAATAGCATAGGTCGCTCATTCATGGTCATATATCATGCCTTTATACCCACTGCTGAACAAAGCTAAGGATGCCATCCTGCCCGAGTATACATGATCAGTCCGATCGGAACAACAATTGGATTGTAGGAGACAGGAGACGGTGTATACGGAGGAGGAGCGTCTGAAGACATGGCTTGGGTGTCTAACTGGGCCTGGGAGTATATTGGTATATTAGTTAGTATAGGCTGAGCTTTGATCGATGGTTGACAACTGACAATATCTGGACACGCGCAGAGGATCATTGCGTGTTGAGGCGTGTAGATATGATGATTTTTTGCGGAGGTATCAGCTTCTAGATGTGCCCAAACATCTCATCGTCAGCACAGACATGTATAGAAAAGCAGTGAGAGCAAGACATACGGGATGAGCTCGGGGTCGCCGGTATTTTCGGACCCGATTCAAATCTTATACCTGTTTAGTTTAGCAGAATTCCCGAAACGTTCCGAGTCCGTCATTCGCTGGTCAAAGGCTCACCTGCTTCTATGGTCACGTACTGCGCTTGGAAGACCGAACAGATGGCGCAGTTGACATTGCGACAAAGGTCCAAGGGGTATCCGGGATCTCCGATATAGCAGGCCCGATGAGCACCATGGAAGCAGAGTGGCAAATCTATTAGAAAGGAGAGCAGTTCGATATCACGACTAACAGCGAGGTTAGTCACTTCTTCCTTGCCTATCATCAAGAAAGCATGCATACCTAGCGGTTTTGAACGTACTTGGCGGTTGCCCGTCAGCGAGAGATGGAAAAGACTTGATATCGAAGAGGATTATCCTTTCAACGCAGGCGGTCTTGGTCTGATCAACCCATGATTCGTGAAAAAGGCGTTCAACTAGTGCGCATGATTTAGCAACCGGGGAAAAGGAATACTGCAGCTATCGGAAGATACCTTTTTTTGAAAAGGGAGTATGCCTGTCCAGCAGACTCAGATCCTACGAGCGGTAAGCATCTAGCAGAAGAGCATCCTGCATGCCCACATACCACGATTATCTCTCCTGAAGCTGGCGGAGGGAGATTCTGGGGAATCTCCTGGCGCGTTGTGTAGGTATCACTATTCGGCGCATCGCTGCGCTCGGCGTCGTAGCGAGGCACGTCTGCAGCTTCAGCAAGAGGTTCAGTGTCGGAGGTCATGGAACTGTCGTCTTGCATCAAGGCGTCATTTTCAAGAGGCGAAGGAGGCAACTCGTATTCTTCGGGCGGCTTCTCCCTACTATCAGTTCAGCCTTGTTAGCTCTGCTAGAATCAAAGAGACGATCCTACTCGCCCATCCATGTTGTCGATCGATGACGAAGACTGAAGACTCATAAACATAACGATGCCAGCTGATCTGAGATAGACGGGAGAGAAGAGAGAGAGAGAGAGAGAAAGACCAAGTGTTGATTGCGAGGCGTGCGAGGCTCTTGGACACCCGCTGGCATAAAAGCCACAATTGTCAGGCATTAGCGTGTGATGACCGGCATGAAAATACCAGGTATACTACATCATGATTCCAGTAATTCCCTAATGAAATTTACGGGCGATTGAAATCAAATAAGAACAATATACGATCTAGCTGTCTAGGCACTGTAACAGTGTGAAATCAACGTGGTGTCCATCCCTCTCGCGTATATACAACAAGCCCGATCGGTTTGATCCTTGCAGGATCATAGACAACAGTTTCCTGGTATTCAAGTGAGCCTCCATCAGCTTTCGTGAGTCCCTCGACCTGCGATAGAGTCAGCTAGCCAGTAATCAGAACTGTTACTCCCAACTAGCACGTACTGAGTCACACGGGCCTGGGAATCCCGCGGCTTTCATGTCGATAGAATTGCCAGGATCAACACCGCAGAGGATGATGACATGTCTGTTGCAATGAATATGATGGTTGTTGGCATAGACGTCGGCTTCTAGTATCGTGAGTTGAAGTCACAGGCAATGAGCAGAGAGAAGGAGAGCCTACTGGAGGACACGACACTGCTGTAGATCCCAGGCCCGAACATCCCTTTAGTATCTAGCGCTCGATGAGAATGATACCGTCTTGTAGCCGATATTATTCGATGACTCACTGGCCTGGGAGAGCGAAAAGCCATTATTGAGGATGCCACAGAGATAGCATTCGCTCTTGTCGCAGGGTTGTAGAGAGCCACTCCCGATCTTGCAGGCACGCTGTGTTCCGTGAAATCGAAGCTTGAGTCGAGAATCTTTCGCGTTTTTTCTAGGCAGTGAGCCGAGATTGGCAGCCAGAAGGCAGTACGTACATGACATAGATGGACACCAGTTTGGCCTTTTTGTTAGGATGCCTCCATTCGCAGTGGAACATATGCGAAACTACTACATTAGACGATATCCGGTTGACAGACTTGGGCATACCTTTTTGATAGAAACGGGTCTTTTTGTCTAGATATATCAATTCCTAGATAACGATGAGAGAAAGCTGGGAAGACTGCCGTGGTTCAGAGGACATGACATACCATGTTGTGGGCAGTTGAGGATAGCATCTGACAGCTCAAGATCCCAAGGACTTGTCCCCTAGTTTAACAATAAGCCAAGTTTCAGCAATAATACAGTTTGAAGGCTGACTGGGGGGTCTGTATTTTATCTGCAGCAGGCTCTCTTTCCTCCCTGGCATGCCCAAAGCTCGTTGATAAATGCACGTTTAGCGCCTTCAGTTCTTGTCAACTTCTCTCTGCCATCAACCACCAATACCAGCAGATAGTTATGCCTCAGTCCATGTGGTCCATGTTATGGGAATTGGTGGAGGAATACCGCCAACCTGTTTCAACTTCAAGACACGATGCAGGTCATAGCCATCGCCACGGAAATGCAAATGCTGCTCAGAATCGCCAAAGAGAAGCCCTCCGCCAAACCGCCCAGGAGACCCTGGATCTTCTCCCAGCGCTCTTGAGCCACCTCAGCTCCGGTCGCGAGGCCTACAGATCGCAGAAAGTCTCGTTTCGTTCCCTCGCCAGTTTGCGTCCCAACGACTGCCCTCGTCTGGCATCCCCCGCGACGATCAAAGTCATCAACGACGATACCCTCAACGTCGCCGTCAGGCTGGTTCAGGCAGCGCGAGCACAGCGCCACGACTCATCCCTGCTGAGCCCGCGCCCGATCATCGTCAACTTCGCCAGTCACCGAAAACCAGGCGGCGGTTGGTTGAACGGCGCGATGGCACAGGAGGAAGCCATCTGCTACCGCAGCTCGTTGGCGCTCAGCCTCAACAGCAAGGATTACCCGCTTGGCCTCGACGAGTCGATTTACAGCCCCTACATCCTGGTGATACGCAATGACCTGGCCTCCGGACACCTCCTAATGGCGCCTTCTACCCCGCCAGAGGAGCTTCCTGTCGTGAGTGGGATCACCATCGCCGCTCTCTATCGCCCTGCCCTTCGCACAATAGTGGTGGCAGAGCCTCAGAGACGCCGGCGTGTCCACAGCTCGCGTTCACGCTCCCATTCACATTCGAATTCACATTCACATTCGAATTCCCCGCTCTCTTCTCCCACCCCGTCCCCCTCCCCCTCTCGTCGGCGTACACAACAAGTGTATGCGCGAGACACGGACCGCAGCCTTACAAAATCGAAAATGAGGCTGGCTCTTCGTATCGCAGCAACCAATGGCCATGGCATGTTGGTTCTAGGCGCCCTGGGCTGCGGCGTGTTTGCCAACCCGCCTGCGGAGGTTGCGCAGTGCTGGCTCGAGGTCCTGAGAGAGCCCGAGTTTGCCGGGAATTGGTGGCGCGAGGTGTGCTTTGCTGTCTACGACCCCAAGAACGAAGGGAATTTTGCCATTTTCGAGCGTGTGCTCGCAGGGAAGAAGGTCTGAAGGTTGATTTATTGGTCTACTCTTATTGCTATTTTTTTCGTTCCGTGACTTACAGAAGATGTCTCGCTGTTCCGTAACTTGGAATGTATTCGTTCATTTACACCACAAGGCTGACAGAGTTGCCTGGTGATTGGCAGCCTCTTTTTCAATGTTCTGATATTTCTGGTGAAATGCATTAAATATATGCCCGCAAGGCTGAAAAATACAGATCTCACCGCAGCGTCACAATGGAAGCATCAGGGTCAAGACGAGGCTCTATAATGCGATGTGTGGATGTGAGAACCACCAAGGGGAGAGAAAAGCCCATTCGATTCATATTATTGATTCCGGGTTGAAGATGTCAATATGCCAGTCAATATGCCACACGGCAGAGATAAGGAATGGCTTCGAGCCCAGTTGCACGCCCTTGGAGAGCCCATCCCTAGAGAACAGCCCCTTCCATCGCTGGCATCAACATACTCGCCAGCATTGTCCCCAGCGGAAGACGGTCAGGCAGTCCTCCTCCTCATCCAGGCGTCAGAAGAGCGGCGAAATGGGGAGGTCAAAACAACGGCGAACCCAGCCAAGATAAAACACGATAAATGGACGTATGAAGATTACGAGAGCGTGTTGAAACAGCTTGTCTGTGGTCCCAGCTCAGTCCCCGTCGGCGTTCTCAAGAGTGCCTTGTATCATTTTCAGACCCATCAGCCGAAAAAGGCCCGGCAAGGGACCTTGAAAATGCGCAAGCGATTCACGGATGACGAGAATAATTCCCTGATGGCCCACTTGATATCGCAGGCCTTGACGGATAACCGACTCGATCAACTCCAAGCTCTAGCTCACTTCGCCGTTCCAGCTGTTGTCAGCCGAGCGATTCCAATGGCACTTTTGACAGACAACATCAAGGGCGTCCAGGTTCTCATGGAGGAGAAGGCTGACGCGAATACCTGCCCAAGCCTCTTCCTGGACTGTGTCGCAGCTGGGAGATTGGATTTTGTCCGTCTCTTACTCCAATCGCAAGTAGCTGTTTCGGGTTCTATCACGACACAGGCATTGCCCGCTGCAGTAAAGCTTGGAGACGTGGAAATGGTTCAGCTGCTCCTCGCGCATGGAGCCAATGCCGACTTTGATAACGGCGTGGCACTGAGAAGCTCAATTGATGCCAATTACTTGACCATCCTCATCTCGATCCTCCTATGCAACCCACATCCCGCCAGTGAGACGTTAGCATCGATGGTATCATACGTGTGGTCCGAGCCTCAGCTCTTTGCCGGACGCCAGATCCAACTGATTGAGTTTTTGTTGAATGGAGGCGCCTCCGGGTACAGCGTTGACGTGGTTTTGTCGGCTGCCGTCAAGCGGCACTGTGGAGGGTTGGTTAAGCTGCTCATGAGCAAGGGGACATCTATCGCCTGTTGTGACGGCCAAGCATATAGAGAAGCAGTGTACGCAATTGATTACGGCATGCTTGAGATTCTCAACCAAGGGAAGCTGGGAAAGGGGCTGGCAAGTGATATCTTTTACTCTATTGATACCACTCAACAAGGAGAAGACATATCGTCGCAAGACTGGTACAAGCTGGCCAAGTACCTTCTGGACCAAGGGGCTGAGGGAGATGTTGTTCACGAGGCCTTGATTAATCGAGTCCAGGCGAGGGATCTCAACAGCGTCGCGATGCTCCTCATCTTCAATGCATCGGTGGACTATAAAGCCGGACGTGCATTGTCCATGGCAGTGTCATCTGGAGACGTGAATTATATCGCACCGCTGCTTCATCGAAATCCTAGAGTCGAGTCAGTCAATGAGGCCTTGTCCCATGTTCCGAATCTTTCCCATAATGTACAGTTGGACATAACACTCAGGCTTCTTGAGGCTGGAGCAACTGGTCCCGCCGTGGATATGGCTCTAGATACAGCAGTGAGCCTCCCTATCGGTCAAAGAGACCATGTGTACATTCAAGCTCTGGTTGATGGTGGAGCAGATGCTGGTCAACAAGACGGGTTGTTGTTCCACAAGGTCGTCCTGGATGGAGATGCCGAAGTCCTCGAGATTCTACTTGGCGGGAACTTTCCAACTGCCATTCTTGTCCCATGTATCCCGCTTGCTATGAAGCTTGACGAGCAGCGGCGGTACGAGATGTTAGAGATCCTGCTCGATAATGGCCCCAAAGGCGGTCCTGTTATTGACCAGGCCTTAATTGACAGCATTGACGAAACGAACGACTCGGCGATCCGGGTGACTGAGCTGCTGTTGAAGACTGGGGCCGCTAGCACTGCCTTCAAAGACGGAGAGGCGTTTATAACAGCAATTCGGTGCAAGAACCTGGTATTTCTGAAGCTTTTGCTTCAATTCAACTCTCTCGACGAGCACCAACACTGTGCGTGCCTTTTGTCCGCCATAGGTCTTCCACGGGACCATGTGAGACTGGAGAAGATCCAGCTTCTCCTCACCAGCTGCATAGACATGTCCAGCGAGTCCTGGACCGCCTGCTTGAAATCCGAGATGCAGTGTATGCGACAGGATAAAGAAACATCAAGAGTGTTCAAGCTTCTCCTTGATTCAGCAAAGCGGCAAGGGACACTTGATGAGTTGCTTTTGAAGGCTGTAAGTTTTCAGCTGTGAGTCTTCAACAGGGTGGGAAGAGATAGTTGCTAACGTAGCCAGGTGCGAGAGCCGTTGTGTGACTATCTCCTTCTCAAATTCCTCCTCCAGGCCGATGCGTCAATACTATACCGAGACGGCGAATGTATCCTTCATGCAGTGATGAAGAATGACACTCGGTCCCTGCAACTATTCCAGCGATATTTCCGTGACCATCCAACCATCATTCCAGGAGTCTTCGAACGCGCGTGGACGATGGGAGCCAGAGCCGGATCCCATGAAGCCGCACTTTCCTTCCTTCTAAAACGACGAGCAGCAGGGAGCTGTCTGAATATTGCACTTGTCGATACGATCGAGGCAGGTGAATACTCAGAAAAGACCCTCACATTCATTGCCAACCTTCTGAATGCGGGCGCGGATGTCGACTATAATCACGGCGCCTGCCTTGTCAAGGCGGCCGCGAAGGGGAATATCGATGTGCTCAAGGCGATGTTTGCCCATTGCCCAGCCCGCGAGAGCATGACATTGGCATTCCCATATATCTTTGCCTCTGGCGTGGACAGTCAGACGATTTGCGCCCTTGTCATGGAGTTCTGCTCTCATCAGTCTCGGCCAAGCTTTACCGACAGCCCCCAACCCATCCTTTTTCTCCTACTGCAGAAATATCCCAAAGAAACGGGGCTTCTCAAATATCTGATAGATGCAGGCTGTCCAGTTGATCTTCCAGTGGTGACCCACCAGGGAAAGTATCTGTCTTTGCTACACTGGGTACTCATAGAAGATGAGCACGGGATCTCGGACAATGTTATTGAAGCTTTGCTGGATGGTGGAGGTACGTCTTGCATGAGGACTCACTCCGTAGCAATCAGCCTGCTAATAATACCAGCAAATCCGAACCGCAAGACTGCACACGGCCTCACACCTCTTGAACTGGCCATCTCAAGACCGCGTCGTCAAGTCGTTGCGAGCCTCCTACGCCACAAAGCCGACGCGACAGTGGCAACAGGAAGCACTGGATCCCGCTCCATGCTCTTTCTTGCTGTAACAACAGGAGACAGCGACATTGTACGCAGGGTCATGCTGGCTAGCCTGATGGAACACGATGGGGCACTCCATGAAGCGGCCAGGGAGGTGGACACCAAGATAATCGAGATTCTCGTCAAAGAGGGAAAGCAGCGAGACTATGCATACTCCGGCTGCAACGGCCGCACCGCATTGGCCGAGCTTTGTTTGAACGCCGACGGAAACAAACCAGTCCACCAGCTGAAGCGAGCCATGACACTCCTCAAGGATGGCCGCTGCTTCAGGAAGAAATCAAACGGGAAATCCGCCCTTCACTTGGCACTGGATAACCCGCGAGGTGCACCGTCCATGACCCGCGCCCTTCTCGACAGCTTCATGGCAGAGTTCATCAACGAGGAGTTTAATCTTTACAAAGAAGACGGACTGGTATACTCGCCTTTCGCCTACGTCAAGATGGGTCGCAACAAGGCATCGGGGATCCACGATGGACCTTTACTCCAGCTTCTCAGCCAGTTCGGATGCAGGAACCGGTTCTGGGCTCGAGATGGGCGTCCGCAGCCAGCCAACGTGGTGAATCCGCCAGAAGAGATTGCCAAAATTATAAGGGATCAGAAGAAACATGAACGGATGCTGGCGCAAATCCGTGCCCAGTCTGACGAGGCGCAATCCGACATCTCGAAACGACACGGGTTGATACTCGAGACTGAACAGAGTGCAGCTGACCAGAGGAGAATGCTAGAGGAAGAAGCAGAGAAGCGTCTCATGTCGACTGTCGCTCGGCGACATTTTGAAGAGCTCGCACATTTGAAAGAGCTCTCTCAGTTGTCTGGGACAAGCCATGAGATCTCTATCAGCTATGAGCTGAAAGATGCGTGGGCCCAGTATGGCGAGCTGTCCCGGAAGAGGCAACAGGACGAGATCAAACACCTGGAAGAGCAGCAAAGAATCATCACGGCGGGATTCAAAACGCGGGCGGAGATCGAGAAGAAGAATCGCGAGGCGAACGCGCTCGAGATGCGGCGTCTGCGAGAGCTGCAGTATGAGATTGACGCCTTCGACTTGATTGAGGGCATGTAAATAAATATAGATGAATAAGGCAGTTCCAGTACGTGAGATGAACAAGTATTACTCCGTCTACTCAGCCAGATACCCACTTCAGCCGCAATATACCGAAGAATACGAGATTGATAGAAATAATGAGGGGTAATTTCACTACTGTCGAGTCTCATCAGGGTAGGACTGGTAGATTAATAAAGTCTCAGGGTCCTTTGTATTGTACTCATCTTCACTATATCAAGCCTTTTTCCTTCTCCCACTCTTTATAAGTTCATTGCTTTTCAAAATGAAATCTAAATACTCCCTGGAAGACTTTCTCGTCGTGTTCGGCCCTCGAGACACTTACCTTGTGCGCACCCCCGGAGTCGACCTGCGCTGGACTCTCCCCGTCTCCTCGAAGCTGCAGGATATCCTCACCTCCGCCAAAGAAGTCAGCTTTGTCGCGTACCCGTCTCTTCTAGACGTGGAGGCCTCAGAGTTGCCGGACCCTGTCGTTGCATATGTGAAGAAGGGTCTGTTGGGAGACTCTAAATTCCATCTGCCTGAAGATAACGAGCCGGTTTTGAAAGAATGGCTACACAAACGGTGGAACAACACAGTAGTACCCATTCACTTCCTTCCAACAACCATAAACATACTTGATATACTGACAACCTAACTATGCTTAGGGCATTCAAGTAATCTCCTCGAATGGCGCATGGTGGGCTCAATCCAGCTCCGGCACGACAGCCTTCCAATCGCTCCCCGGCGACGTACGACAACTCGTCAAACCAAACCATCCGCACGGCAAAGTCGTCCATCTCGCGATGGGCGTTCAGGGGGCCTACATTGCTGTCTTTGACGACGGACACTGTATCTGGGATCTCAAGGGGGGGTACGGTAGACTCGACGCCCATCTGGACACCAGACTGTCTGGAGAACTGCTCTACGCAAGTCTGAGCCCCTTTGATGCTGGTGCTTTCTTTGCCGTGTTCCACAACGACACCGTTATCTATGACTGGCCCGAGGGGGAGGAAAAGCGTTGGTCAGAGATAGATGGCTGTTTCCTTGAATTCGACGGCCTTCGCGTTCTCACCCCGTCTGAGACGCTCAAGTTCTCGGTTGCAACGCCGAAACGCCCGGGGGCTTTGCGGCAGTGGACAGGGCAGGTGTTGAAGGATGTGGCTACACAGGATATTGAGAGTGTATTGGAGGGTTAGTATATATTAGTGAATAGTATTTTGAAGTGAATATAGGGTTTTGATTCAGTGAATATTGATGTGAACTTGGGCTGCTGGTATATAATCCTACTCTCCCCTCTATCTCCTCAATATCTCAACCTTCCATCCACCACATCTAAGCTTAGGTCTTATTTTGATGCTATAAATATATAACCATTTAAAGCACTTTAATTGTCCTGACATCCTAGTGGGCGAGAGTCCAGACCCCTCGACTTTACGATGCCCATTTCCACAGGGGATAACGAATGGCTTCACGCCGAAAGCTGCAACTCCTCTTCGGCTAAATGTCAGCTCCATGACTGTGTCAACGAGGAAGAAGTCAATGTAGCGGCACTCTCACTGCTCACTGCCATTTGTCTAGAGACATACAAACTCGGTGCGATGCACGAGACCGACTACCATCGCCGACAGATGGGCTGCAGCTTCTATGCAGGCTGGCTTAGCCACCAGTGCTGCTAAACGAAAGCCAAGTGAATCGCTTGCTGCCTATGCTATCTCTTGGAAAGAGAAATGCATACAAGAAAAGGAAGGGAGATGGAGATGTGATGGGTAGACTGTCTAGACATGAGGGGTATCGAATATAATCAGAACAGATGCCAGTCTTGAAGAATATAGAAGCATATAAGCCTTATTATTATTATTAATTTTGTATTAACTATCTTATAGTTTACACTATTAATGTCTCATACTTGATCGTGTATGCCTGATTATATAAGAGCTTTGACGCCTGTGACTCTCCCGACTTTCTTCCACCAACGTCGGGCTTCTCAGCTTCGACGCATCGACCATCGCGCAGCTGAATACAATAAACTGGGCATTTCCCTACATATCAGATGGCTTCCTGCACTGAAGCGGGTCGTGTTTCGATATCTGCCGATAGTCCCAGCCGCGAAGAACGGTTCAGTGATGATAAAAGTGGTGGAGGCTCTGATGAAGAAGAATATGATGAAGAGTGGTTCCCTGGCGATGGGATCTGCCCGTCTCCATCACAATTCACCGCATGCTGCAATAGCAGCTTTGATACTTGGAAGAAGGCAACGGCGACATCTCCCGACATTCTCCAGTCTCCTCCTGCCTTCTACATTCAGGCTTTCCTGAAGCTGCTGGCGAATGTCCCTTCTTTCTTTCATCATCCTCCGGAAAATATCAATATCGCCGGTGGACCCAGATCTCCCTTGGTTTTACGTTCGTCCTTCCGGCTTGAAATAGCAGATGAGAGCGACTGTGTTGATTGTTGGAAGACTTTTGACTACTTCCAATGCCTTGGCTTCGTGTCACCCGTGACTTATAAAGTTGCCAAAGAGGCCCAGTGTAATGGTCTCCCTTCTTTGAATCTCCATGCTGGTTACCTTTGCAGTATAATTCTGGCCTGGTCGTATATCATCTCCGCACGTTGGGTCGAGATTCTCCAGCGAGCTGGCTGGAACAGCTTGATGATTCATTCTCAAGACGCTGAGACGATTGACTCATTCTGGAATATGGTTCTACAACGACACTGGCTCGCCAGACTGAAGACTGATCGGGGTATATTCTACTCCCCTTGGATGATGTCTGATGGTGCTGTGAGACCGGCTGGCAGCAGCGACAACTTGGCTCAAAATCCCCTCAATTCAACACTAGCGTTTGATATACTCCTGAACTTTTGTATTTCTGAAAGTTTAGAATTCGAGTTTATCATAGGGCTTGCTTCTGTACTAATGTTCACATCACGGAATGCACCTCCACCAAAACTTGCTCCGCCGACGTTCATCTCTCAATGTCCTGACATCTCATCGAGGAAAAGCTGCGTCCTCCATGGAATCTTAGCAGTTCTGTTCTTGATAAATGCATATTCCTCAGCTCCACCCAAGATGCTCTCGATTCGCTACTGTGCAGTGCATTTTTCAATCCCTCTGTGCCATGCAACCTCCTTGGAGCCAATTCTCTTGGTATCAAGAGAGCTCTTTACCCATCAGGGATTGAATTTCACAAGCTCTTATCCGCAGTCACCAGCCAGACACCCCATCTGAGCCTCCTCTGGGTGTCTGTCATCTGCACAGGTCAGGCAGGATCAATAATCCGTCTTGCCCTTGATCGATTACCGCCGCTCTGTCTGGCCGCTGCATTCTGGACAAAGACAATCCAGTCATTCCTTCAGGTAGTGTATCAAGAAATTCCAGATGGATCAAGTGTCTCCCGTGCGAGAGAATTCCAGACCTCTTATCTTTGTCGAGCTGAGACGTCAATCCCATGGACGCCCTCTCCTCCCTTTGGTTCAACATCAATAGATAATCTCAGCCTTGAAGTCAGAGAACATATTGGGCACAATCATAGACCCAGGTCTTGGAGAATAGACTGGATATTGGAATCAGGGGAAAGAATACCGGCGAGCCCACAACATCAAATTAATCTTCCTTCCTGCGCAATCCATCCTGATGGTAGCGATGAAGGTTGCGAAGAGTGAGTGAACCCATTTCTTGCTGGATTTTCTTAATTTTTAGTCTATTTCTTCCATGTTAATCGCTATAGACCTCAAATTTTGGATAGGGAAGCTGCCGATGAACAGTCACGGAGTGCAACATCTCGACTGTTCAATTGGCACAGAACCTACGATGATGGGATTTGGCTTGAAGATGGAACTCAGAATATTGAGAAGACTCGACGGATCCATCTGCATCCATGGATAGTAGACCCATTTCATGATAGCGGATGGGAGGAGCCAGTCGAGACGAGTTCAGAAGTTGATCCTGAGGCTATACTGAAGTAGTGCTCTGAGATTGAATGCTCAAATACTATTCTATAATTATAAGAAGCCCTAAAAGCCATGCTGCGATATGCTGGGGTTGAACACTGCATGTTCCTGCCCATCACGAACATTGATTCTAAAAAGGTCGGCATAGTAGTCATGGTGTGCTCTGGGTGTAGTGTAGTTCTGTAATTCATTTGCAAGACCCTTAGTCTATTTGTGCTAGAATCCTTTCTTCTACCCAAGGCGCTACTGAACACGAGATGATTCCCTAGCGAGTATACATGAACAGAGTCGTTGGGTCACGCATTGGTTGAAAAATTCAGGGAGTATCAAGAGTGGTATCGACTGGCAAGATGCCCTATTGCCACAGTATCAAACAGGTCTCTCTGCCCGTAGTTCCTGCGGCCTACTCCATTCGATGACGCTTGATCTGGAATCAAGTCTCACAGGTCTTCCTCCTCTTTCGCTACAAGCAGCTTGTCTGGCATTTTCCAAACAAGAATTTCTTGCTGGAATTTCTTCATATTCCAGACATAAAGGCTCGGATCTTCCGTTGATTGTGTGAGAAGTCCCTGCGATGAGGCTTGCTGAATTCGTTGTAGGTCGCTTTTCGTATTTGAACTCATCGTCTGAATCAGCCGCCCCTATGGGTCAACAACTGCCACGGTCCCCGAATCAGTGAGAAAATAATCCATTGGTGGCATCTTACGAGAATATTCGAACAAGAAGGGTAAGAAGAAAGAGGAGAGATCCGACGCGAGGCGCGTCTGATATCCCTGTCCTGGGGTCCTAAAAGAGGAATGGCGTCGCACTCCCCGTATGCCTGAGGCGCTCACCCGAACGACCTCACCGTCGCCGTCACAACAACAGGGCTGTCAGCTTGCCCTGCGCAGCTCGAAAGGTAGCAATATTACCTGAAAGATAGCAAGTGCTAGCGAATCTCCCGCGAATAGCCTCCATTGCGCCATATGGGTACAGGGATGCTCCCTAGGATCCCAGAGGAAGCAGAGACTCGACTAGAAGTGATGCATTTTCCTTCATGTGTGTAAACGCATTTGACAGCATCTCTTTTGCTCGAGATTGGTGAACCAGGATAAGTCATGTCTTTGCCGTCTGCCTTTTGTGGAACCAGTTAGTATCAGTAATGAATACAGTCTTCAATACATTCTAACATACAATATGTGAGTTTTAGTTTGCTCGGTAAGGTAAGACCATGATCACCCTGTCCACTAGTAACAATCAGCAATCCTTGGTATGAATAGCAAAAAATAGAAAAAAACAACAATACTAACAAGGCTCAAAACGGCGCCGGTTCCAGTGAGCCAGACCCGTCGCATTCAAGGCTATGGCAGTAGCCAGGTTGTTATAATTCAGGGTCGTCGTGCCGAAAACTTGTTGTTTTGGTAAGAAGTGTTTCTTTGGAGACTGGTTTTCTTCCGCGTAACTGTCGGCAGTTGCAGGCGGCAGCACGCGCCGCGCGAGAAGAGGTGGGCGCAGGCGAGGGCTAGAAGAGTTAGTCAGGCTCGCAGACACCAGGATCCCCCTCGCGAGCCACTCACAGAACTGAACTCCATGGAGGAGGGGGGCGAGGACAACGTGGATGAGGAGCCAGAAGACTCCATTTTGCTACTATAGTTAGCCGCGAACACAACCCGCCAGAACACCACCTTGCGAATAGGAACCTACCAGGGCGGGGGGTGAGGGATACTGGAGATGAGAAGGAGAGATGAAGGCGAGAGCAAGGATCTTATATGCCAAGCCGAAACATACATAGATGGCAGCACACTGCATTTGGAGGAGATGAAGGCAGGGTTTCTAATGTAGTTCGAGTCCCGCATGTAGTTTATGGATGAGAGATATAGAACCAGTCGGTCTAATAAGTTAGACTGAGGACGGAGGTATTATATCGACGTCCTCAAGGAATTTAATATCGAGTCCTGCACTGAACAGTGTGCGATCGTCTTGTTCGACAAGAACGATAAGCATGAGCTTCACTCGTCTGTAGTCGTTGGCTTTCTCCACCTATATAAGGAAGCATCTAGTGGTCTGGATGGATTATGGGCAATGCTATATGATATAATGATGATATTAGGAGAGATGAATATGAAAAGTAGAGGAAGATAGTGGGAGATCTGCCGTCTTATATACGGCAGTCAGGTGGCTGCCTAGTCTTTTCAGCTTACGGTGAGACAGCATTCACCACCTCAGACAACAAGCTACAAAGAGACAATGGACAGTGAATGATTCTATTCCATTTTGAAATACCTATACTCATCAATTTCTCTAATGAAGGCTACTCATACTCATTCAATCAGTGTTTCATCGGCTTCTCCCTCTCCCGCCAGATCTCCACCTCACCTCCTCCCCGAACGACGCCGACGCGCATGGTGGACAGCAGATTGTGCGCTGCATTGGAGTGGGTGTACACGCCCCCGTTGAACAGGGCGGTCGCGTCCTTACCGATAGCGGAGGAGATCATGGCCTTGCCACCGGGATGTTCCTTGATGAAGTCGGTCACGTCGTGGATCACGCCCGCAATCACGGTCAGGGCCTTGCCGGTGGTCTGCGTTTCGGCGAGGAAATCGTCCCACGCCACGACGGGCAGCTGGTCCAAGGGTATTCCCCAGTCGAGCTGGGCGCGTTTCTGGTCGACTTTCTTCTGCAGCTGTTGCAGACGGCCCTTTTCGATCTCGTTGGCCCGGAACTGCTTCAGGTTATAGGCCAGACCGAGCTGTTTCCACACCCAGATGGACCATTTCGTCGGGTCGTACTGCCACCATTCGATTGCGTTACGGTAGTCGGAGGGAAACTATTGGCATTAGGTATTTTTGCTTATCTTACCCACCACTGGGAGGAAGGATCCAGATCTGACTTACCTCGTGGTGGAAATTGTGGTAGCCCTCGCCGAGGGTGACAAAGGCAGTGATGACATGGTCTCGAGGGGAGTTTCTATCATCAAAGGGCTGAAACCGTGTTAGTAGATGAAGAACGGATAAGATGAAAGAAGGGCCATACCTGCTCTCCCAACCAGTGAGCCAACGAGTTGACGCAAAAGGTAGCCTGCTGAACGAATCCGAAGCGCAAGATCCCCGCATATACCAGTCCACCCTTCCAGTCTCCCCATCCCAGCCCGGCAACCAGCATGGGAAAGATCATACCAAACATGAGGATGAACAGGCCGTAGTTGCGATGCTGCCAGACGACAACCGGGTCCTCGTCCAGATCCGAGACGTCCGTCCGCCCACGGTGCTTCGGGTTCTGCTTCAACACCATCCACATGAAATGCGAGTACCATAATCCCTTGCGCACGCTGTACGGGTCCTTGATAGTGTCCGTCCATCGATGATGCGCCCGGTGGCCGCGACTCCACCATCGGATCGAGCCTTGCACGGCACCGCCCCCGACACAAGCCAGGAAGATCCGCAGAGGAAGCGACCTGGAAATAGAGCAGTCAGAAAGGAACCAGAAATCAAGACGCCACCGCATGGTGTATGTTCTTTTCTCACGCTTCATAGCACCGATGAGCCCAGAGACGATGGTATCCCGCCGTGATCCCCAATCCCGTCCAGAAATAGTAGAGGACTGTCCAGGCAGCTGTGGCCAGTCGAAGAGGGGTATAGCATGCAGCGACGCAGCCCAGGAGAGGAATAATCAGGATCAACGTCGTGTTGATCCATTCGACATGTTTGTACCAGTTGTGTAGAGTAATCGGCTGCTCGCTGATATGCTTTGTTTCTGCCATGGCTACAGCATGAAGATAGACATCTATGAAAAGACACTGGAACAGAAATAGAATTCAACTTGCATAGTTAAAGTACTTCGATCTAGAGCTACTGACTGGGTAAATATGAACTGCCTGGTAAGAGTTGCAGAATTTGTTGGGCTGTTGGGAAGACCAGGTTGAGTGTATTGTCTGATCCATATGTCCGAGATAGGGGATTACCATCATATTCGCTATTTCCACTCCAAATTCCACAATCCAAGGAGACAATGAGAGATAACGAGATGATTTCAGAAATTTTATTATTGTACAATCTAAATCACTTGAATACCCATTCCTTATACATGGGTGTGTGGAATCAGAATGATGACATTTTTGCTGACTTCATTTCATCAATTTTCTTCAAGATGGGCCCATAATCAACAATTATATTTCCCAACATGCCGCTTCAAACACATCTATCAGGATCAGTCGACACGCCTCTCGAAACCCCGAAAATGACTCACTCGCATGTAGCCAACTTCCTGCTGAGATGAAATCCAATTGATGACTCTGTCTTACTGAAGGTTAAGGATTTCAGTCCTATATTTTCTCCCTTGATGAGATTGATGGCCTTTGTAATATGTAACCACCATCAGGCAGCAGATAATTAACAATCATCCATCTTATTCACTTTTATTCCCATCATTGGGACTGGGTGAAGCTGAGCTTTTGTAGGGTTTAGGGTTAGGGTTAGTATTGACCCTGGGCATGTCTACCAAGTATGAAATGCCCGTTTGTCCTTGTACTCAACCATACCATCGATATTCCGGCCAACAACGCTGTGTGCATAGATGATTATCCTTTGCTTTTGAATTAGAATACTGCATCATAAATGCTGACAAAATATTCGACACATCTTATGTCAAACCTGTGGTTAATGACATATGACCTTATGACCTATCGATAGACGTGCAGATGGAGAATGCAGCATGCAAGGGGACTCAACCCCAGCATACCGCAGGCGACTTTCTCACCCCAGAACATTGAACGATGTCATCGAAGCTCACTCATGGATTACCATCGCTAGACAGTATTATTCCCATCAACATGCCTGTCTCGTTTGAAGAAAGCCAGAGCAGCAACCCTGACTACACAGGGTTTGACCATCTTACCTGGTACGTCGGAAATGCCCTACAGTCTGCATCTTTCTTTATCACGCGGTACGGATTCGAGCCCGTGGCGTATCGTGGACCAGAGACAGGATCCCATCTGGTAGCATGCTATGTGGTTCGGAACGGACGGGCAGTGATGCAGTTCATGGCTCCAGTGGCAGACTCGAACATCATCGAGGTCGATGCGCGAGCTTCAGCAACGGACCGCCAGCTCGCTAGGGATATCCACGAGCACCTTTCTCGGCATGGCGATGGGGTTAAAGATATTGCCTTTCAGGTGACCCATGTAGCTGAGGTGTGGGCACATGCGGTGCGCAACGGCGCGCAACCAGTCCAGCTTCCCGTGCAAACGGCAGATGAAAAGGGAGAGGTCTGCTGGGCCACGATCGGCGCATACGGAGACACCACGCATACCCTGATCAACCGGTCCCAATATCGTGGGGATTTCCTGCCTGGTTACCTGGAAGTTGCCGGTTCAGACGGGATAAACAAAGTCCTACCTCCGATCGACCTAGTTGAGATCGATCACTGTGTCGGTATTCAACTATCTGAAGGCCTCGACGAGGTTGTCAAATAGTAGGTCAATCCATTCATCGCCTGCTGCCCTTTGCTTCTCTTAGGTCTTCCAGCTCAGATGAGAATAGCTATGAAACCGCCTTCAACTTCCGCCAGTACTGGCCAGTTGATGACACCCAGATGTGCTCTGCCTATTCGGCCATGCGGTCCGTTGTCATGGCGTCTCCAAATAAAGTCATCAAAATGCCTATGAACAAACCAGCTGTGGGCGTGGAGAGATCCCAGATCGAGGAGTAGGAATTCCCCCCCTCTTCCTGTCCTTCTTCCTACCGCTCTTCCCACGGCACATTCATACTTCCTGAACTAACGTCTTCGAGGTTCGTCGACTACTACAACGGTGCTGGTTGCCAGCACATTGCATTCCGAACAGGCGACATAATCCAAACCGTGGATCATTTATCAAAGCGGGGAGTGCTTTTCCTTGAAGTTCCTCGATCGTACTATAGCGATCTCAAAAAACGGCTTGGAGAGAAGCACGAGAGTGTCTCAGCCAGGATTGAACTCCTACAACGGTATAATATCTTCGTCGATTTTGATGAAAGCGGGTATCTGCTTCAGATTTTTGCAAAGCATATCACGGACCGACCAACAGTATTTATCGAGATCATCCAACGCGAGAACTTTGATGGATTCGGGGCAGGCGATTTCAAGAGCCTGTTCGAAGCGTCTGAGAGGGAGCAGGCCGGTCGAAAGAATTTGTGATTTGCTCGGGATAGGATATCGAAATGAACCGTAACTTTCTTTTTTGACTTTGTCAAACCGTGTGAGGACTCAGTGAGGAGTCCATGAATCATTCTCGGATTGTTGTCGTGTCGCCAGCTGAAAAGGAGAAGGAGCAGAGAGAGCATTGCAACCACGTGCCTGCATCACGTGGGGTATCACATATTTATTATCATTTATAGAATTACCATCTTTTGCTCTCTATTCCACCACAGAATACTCATATACGAAACGGCCATCCTAAAATGCCACTGGTACACAGCTGACTCTCTTGGATCTGGCCTGCCTTGGCCTTCAGCTCGCTGACGTCCCAGTTAGCCATACAGAATTTCCCATTGAGAAAGCGGCCTTCTTCGCTGGCTGCCCAGACGAGAAAATGCGCACTCAGTTTGACTGGGTGGTCAGCGAGGAAATTGTATTCATTGCAAGCCAACGACGGAATCGGAACAGACTTACTATCATCCATGGCCGGCTTGGCCTTTTTCAGGAGACCCGATTTGTCCGACAGTTCTGTGTGGACGATACCCGGATGGACCGAGATGGCGACCCCGTCCCCAATCTCAGCGGAGATGAACTCCGTCAGCTTGACCTGTGCCATCTTCGAGACGATATAGGCCGAGACACCGGCGGTGGGGTTGGTAGGCGTGACGGGCATGGAGACGACTTGGGCGGCGACATTGATGACGACAGCACGCGGATGGCAGGTAGGTAGGAAATGGTGAGCGAAGAGAAGCATGCCCTTGACGTTTGTCTATTGAATCAGTACAGTATCCTTTCAATGGTATTCATTTTGCATTTACCTCCATCACTTTCCACCAAGCATCGATATCCGCTTCAACAATTGGTGACGGGTCCACCGCCGATGCGGCATTGAGAATGAGCACATCCCAACCACCGATCGCACTGGAGGCTTTACGAACCGCCTCGTTGTCGGTGACATCGGTGACATAGACGGTTGCGCTGGTGGCTGGGTAGTGTTCAAGAATCAGGGCTTGTGTCTCTGTGAGAGTCTCGATCTGAAGGCCTAGCAGGGAGATGCGAGAAGCACCTGCAGCTGCAAAGGCAAGACATGTCTCTCTGCCGATCCCACTGCCGGCGCCGGTGACGACGATGGTCTTGCCCTGCGCTGATAGGGAGGGCTGCGATGGGTCGATAGAGGGATAAGTGGTGTTGTGCCAGGTGGCAGTATAAGAGGGGATTTCATATTTCATTTTAATCACAGTATATGAAAGTGCTGGGGATCTTCAGATCAGAAACTAAAAGTAATAGAGCTGGTATAGTAGTAGTCACGGCTGCTTCTCCTCTTCAGGCTGATAATAATCTATTAAGCTGTCAATAAGGAAGCAATGTACCATTGATCCATGCCACGTGTTCCCCTTGAGGAATACCCCGCCATTAGTTTAGATGCTCTTATAGTGATCAATGCTTTTCCTTGTTTGTTGGTTGGATATGAGCCTTGTGATTAGGGATTTTCTCTCGTATACCTCACACTAATGCAGTCAAACGAGGCTGCCACGTCAGACTCCAGGGCAGGGTTCTATACAGCTGCGAGCGGGCAGATTACGAGTTGACAAGGGATATCTATTTTTCTATTAGAGATAAAGTCTTTCTTTATAAAGAAGACTTTGCATTCAGCTTTGACGAATCTATAAATAAACTACTCAGTATCTAGACATTCCCACCTCTTTCAGAGCATCTACCTGGCTAAGCCTTCAAAGCAGGAGACGCTCTAACATATTCCCTCCAAGTAGTCAACGGCTCATCGACGATGGCGATGCTGGCCCCGAGCGAGTCGCCACCATAATACCCAAACTCAGCCATGAGACGCATATTCTGCAACAGCTCCTCCTGGACCGGCTCAGGCATCCCCAGCGACCCAAGAGCACCCTTGAACACATCATGCGGCAGTTGGGAGTAGACAACGTCTTGGCCAGCTCCAGAAGACTCCTCCCTGAGGACCTGCACAATCTCGATCGGGGTGGTGTACGCGGTAGCCCCGTAGATGCGTTTCCCCAGCGTCTCCTCTCTCTTAAGGAAGATCGCCTTGACGAACTTGCCCGTATCGTTCTCCGACGCGAACAGCGGGATCGGCGCAGTCTCCAAGATGGGCAGGGCGAGGATGCGTGTCCCACTTCCGTCGGGCGCCTGGCGAAGATTCATACCCGCAATGTTCGACATGTAGAATCCCGGGAGGAAGAAGGTGGCCTTTATATCGAGCGTGCGGATATACTCTTCCACCTCGGCTTTACTATCAAAGTGGTAAACGTGGGATAAAACGCCATTGGTAACTATAGAATCGACATATATTAGAATCGTCGTAGATTAGAATGGTGATCAAAGAAAAAGAAACTCACGCTTGGTGACGTTCAACAAACTACTCCAGACCAAATGCTGAACACCCTCTTCGACGCAGATATCGGCAATCCTCTTCCCCTGCTCGATCTCCTTCTGGCCATCCAGATGCTCCCAGAAGTTCGTCACGGCGTATACCCCATACGCGCCGCGAATAGCTGTACGGAGTGACTCGCTATCATTCAAGTCGGCCTTTTCGTAGTCCTTTAGCGAAAGAGTACATATAAATTAGGAACCTAGAAGATATTTTACAAACCTGAACCACTTCCACACCCTTCGAAGACAAGGCTTGTGCGTTCTTCGAGGCCGGATTGCGCGTGATGGCTTTGACGTGGAATGTAGTCTGTAGCAGGCTTTCAACGACGGAACCGCCTTGTTTGCCTGTTGCGCCGAATACAACGATAGTACCAGACATGATGACAGTAGTAGTAGTGGTTGTGGTGGTGGTGGTGGTGGTGATTGTAGTAGTAGTAGTGGTTGTAACTAGTTGCTTAGGTTGATGCACTCAAAAACCATCTGAACACCTTGACTACTTATAGCATCTGAATCCATGTTTGTAATACTATCAAAGTCATCAGACGAAGTAACAATTGTAACCCCGACATATCGCGACTTTGTCATCGTCGTGCAGCGAGGCCGAGATGACAAATCGTAATTGCCGAATGTCGATCTTTTGAATACGATACGAGTTAACTGTATCTGGTTAGTGTCATGTCTCTATCTTTGGACTAGGCCCGTGCTCTACTATATATACTCTACTTGATTAGTAGGTCACTTATAAACTAAGGTAGTTATTTAGTCAAGTATGATGCTAATTTCGTAAAGTCATTATAATTATAGTCTCTATGTACAGTCTCCCAATATACAATACTTGTAATACTAGTACTAATAGTGATAATGCAAGATGTGCAAAGCATAGCTCTGCAAATCACTCGCTCATCCAGTTCAACCCATCAATCCACTTGATAAAGTCTGTCCCGTCATTCAACCACTCATCATTCAGCCAGTCAGCTGGAATGAGATTGTTGTCCGGCACCGCCGAGGCCAACGAGGTTGGATCCGGCCGCGGGGCGAGCACGAGGTCGAGAATGTGCGAGATGACCTTCCGCCCCTGTTGACAGATCTCGTAGTTCCCCTTTTGCGGCAGGACGAGGTATTGCATGTGTGAGGCGAGGATGCTCAGGTTTCGAATCACTTCGGAGCGTGGGAAGGGTGTTTCGCCCGGGCGTGGCCGGGGGTTCTGTGTTTGGCGTAGTAGTTCGATGGCGAGAATACCAGCCGAAGGGAGGCCAAAGTAGGGGATCTAAAGTAAGCACATAAGATAAGTACAATCACAATGACAGCAGGAATGATTTTTGATATACATACTGACCATCCTAGATCACACAGAGGATTACCACATCGCTGGCTGACGGCAATCAAAACGAGAATGGCTTTGAGCATCTCGTGCGCGAGGTTGACCAGATTTTCGGACCCTGTTTCTAGACGTTTGACTAGAACGCGCTGTAGTAGAAACTGACTGTAGAGTAGGTCGAGATGAATGTAGACGGGGATGGTGCTGGTCAATCGGAGGGCAGCGTCGGTTCCCTCATTCCATTGCAGGTGCACCGGGATTTCACTGCGCACCTTCTGCGTAAGAGTGGAGATTTCACTATTGGAGATTAGAGACAGAGAATAAGAGAAAAGTGTTTTAAATACCGGTAGCTGGTACATACTGCGCCTTTTGAGAGAGATCTTGTACTCGAGAATCGAGGGAGAGCTCCAGCACGAGCTCGCGAATGTAGCCTAGTTTCATGGACATGCGGATCCAAGACGTGCGTTTGATGGTCCCCTTTGTGTTCCATCCATCGTGGGTCAGGTTCCGAATAGCGGCCTCCCGCACAGCGGGTTCGGCCAACAGGTCATCCACATCAAGATCCAAGGGCGATTGGAGGCGACAGAAGCGCCAGGCTATCAGCGGCGGACAGCCCAGAAAGGTGGCCAGCTCTTTATCGCAGATATACACGGATGCCATGAGCTTCTTCCGCCCTTCGGATAGGAAGAAGGGGATCTCCTCGTTGGTATCAGGCTGGTGATAACCCAGGGCAAATAGCAATGTTGACAATTCTCCTAGACGTTTCCTTGGCCGATAGTCTGTGTGACAGTTAGAATAGAAGGCTAGGAACTGAACATATATACTACTCACCATAATCACCGCAGACGAGGGTCAGTAGATGTACATGCCTCAGCAGCAGCCAGCCGAGCGGGTCACTCATGACGCCGGCATTGTCGCAGAACTGCAGACACCGATCACTGGCGGCGGTAGCTAAAATGCCCAGATGCTTGTGGTCTGTGGCGGAGAAGCCAAGGCCCTGAAAGATAGGGTCCTCGACGGTGGTGTGCGAGGCACAGATGCCCGACATGGTGAAGATGAAGCCAATGGCCTCCCACCGCCCGGCGATGGCCGTGAGATACTCGTCCAGCGTGAGAGTCGGATGGACGACAATCTTCCGCGAGGTGCCCTCGAACAAGCGTCGCGAGAGGGCCAGCATCCGCAACTGGGGGTCCGGATGGCGCGTGGCCTCGTTGTTGTACATGCCCTCGACACGATCAATGATGGTTGCAATGGTCGGCAGACTCATCATGCACTCGCCGCTGTACTCCTCGGCCGCGACCGCCGTCTTGCGGTGGACGGCAAAGTCGTCGAAGAGCAGCGATAGCAGCTCGGCGCCCAGCTGGGCCTCGCGGTCGTCGACCGAAAACACCACATTCTGCGCCTGCGGGGTGATCGACTCGTGCTGCCTGAGGCTCGCCTCGCTGTACACGGCGGAATAGCTGGTGAGTCCCAAGAAGCTCGGGGTGGAGTTCAAGGCCAGTCGGGGACTCCAATCAGCAATATAGCGGTCGCGTAGGGCGAAAATCGGATCCGCCCGCGGTCGGGGTCCAGATGCGGTCTGGACAGGTGGAGTGGGGGTTTGCACAGGCAGAAGCGGTGATGCTAAGGCTGCTGCTGCTGATGATGATGACGATGATGCTGGTGGAAACGACTGGAGAGACGCGGGAGTGAAAGGAGTGGGAGTGGGAGTTGGAGCTGCTGCTGCTGCCTGGATCCGGGTTGGGTTTGGCTTATACACACAAGTTGCTGCCTTGCCTTTCCTCAGGCAGCGACCGCACGTGGGCACGGCGTGGTCGCACCGCAGTTTGGAGCGGCGACAAGGCTCGCACGAGGATGGCAGGCCGTTATGCCTACGCATGACGACGCCGGCGAGGGTCCGGAAGGTGAGTCAACGGGAATACGAAGCTGGCTACAGTGGCAGAAAGGGAAAACCAAGCAAAAACAGACAACTATGAGGCCCTGGATGGAGTATTCTGTCTCCCATGGCTGAAGAAATGCTCCCGGAGTGGTTCAGATGAGAAAATCGGAGTCGGTCGTCGGGGTGGGGCGGGGTTAGTCTGACTGTTGATGACTCTTTTTTCTGGGTTTAAATCACGCCCTTCGGGGTGGGGCCAGCTGTTTGTCCGGTTTTGTATGTTTGTCTGTTTTGCAGGGCATACTGACTACCTGGTATATAAAGTCAACCCAGGAACTCTTCCTACAGCAATGGAAAAATAAGGCTTATCAAGGTTCAATCCAGCTTGATCTTGTTCAATCATCAACTGTCGATCTATTCTCAATCTTCAACCTGTTCAATTCAGATCTGTTGATCTCTCTACAATGCATACCCTTTCAGTAATGCCAGTCCGCTCCGTCCCTGACGACGGGGCCGACTTCCTCAAACGAGCCGAAGAACGTCGCAGGAAGGCAGAAGCAAAGGAAGCCAAGCGACTCGCCAAGGCACAGCAGCAGGAATACACCCGAGACGACCAGTCCGTCATGTCGGATGCGACGCTCGTGGCCAAAAAGTCGTTTACCAAGTCTGTCCGTGATGGTGAGTCCTACCCCCTTGCCTTGGTTAGTACTCTGTTCTTCCTTGCTAACGTTCTCTTGATAGCTCTCTCGATACGTGTGACTCGGAAAAAACAACTCGACGGAACCGAAAAGCCAGACCTCGTCTGATCGATTCATGGGATATTTCAAGTTGGTATGGGAGTTATTTGGATCTTGCAGCGGATACCACGGCACGAAAGTAATGACGAATCAATAATAATGGAATGAAAAATAATTAATATTACGTTACAACCTGGCTGATAGTGCTCTACTGGTCATTAAATACATAGATTGTATTCACCTCGATGGTTGGGAGAAAGCAGCAGCAAAGAAGGAAGTGATGCTAGACGACCGGAGCACCATGCAGTAAAACAGCGTCAATCCAGTCACCACAATCTCATCCCGCACCGCGTCACTCATCGCATGCGGGCCCATGAAATCGATCAGACCCAGTTTCTTCAATCCCCAGACGTTCGCCGAGAACCGCGCCACGGGCATCTGCTGCTCGTCCATGCAGACAAAGTCCCACGTCTTGAACCCGCTGCTGCTCGTCCAGGTCATCGTCACGGCCTGGTCCGTGTCGGAAAATGCGTACGACGGGTACGTGTACACGGTTTTGAACCGTTTCTGTGCCGTGAGCGTGCCACTCCGTCCGCGCACCTCGTAGTCTGCATTGATCGAGAAGTTGTGAAAAGTGCCCGAGCCCATGTATGCTGCATCTTCGTCGTCGTCGTCATCGGTAGTAGTAACAGCAGCAGCAGGTGCAGCAGCAGTAGTGGGAGATTTGAACCTCATTTGTGGTCTTTTGAACGCATGCCAGCTGACAATGTAGAGCGGTTTGGCCTCTGGGTCGTTGACCTCGCTGATCAGGCCTTTGAACTTTCTCCAGGTGAAATCAAATTGTAGCGTGCGGCTCTCGGCCGTGTCGGGAGGTACCACTGGCTTGGAGACATTTTCTGGTGGTGACTCCATTGTGATGAACAGCCCCTTTGCTCAGTATTCAAGAGGTGATGGTCATGCATCTTATATGAATGGAACCAAGCCCCTTGAAAACAGCCAATTACTTATTCTGGCAGGTATCGGCAGGGTTATCCTGTAGGGTCTCGTCGAGGCTTATCTTATTGGTCGTGCCCGACGTGGCAGTGTCCCAATTGGCTCAGCCCTGCTATGACCATTGACATCATTCATGCCAAGATCTTCCCGCCCAATGGTGGAGTCCATTGATGAATAGATCAAAGCAGCTTTGAGGTACTCCGTATGATTGCATGTGAATAACTGATCTAGTAGGACAACCCGTGGCCAAAACGAAACGTGGGGTGGGCAGTGTCATAAGGCACATCTGACCGGGATTTCTCGACAGCCTTCATCGACGAGGGAAGGTCGAATGGAAGCCTACCCTCCGGACGCGCCTTGCCAAAGACAATGTCGAGAAAAGCGTCGGCACTGGCGCCGTAATCTGCCATGAGCGCTTTGGCAGCAGACGCGATCTCGGGGATCACCGCTGCACGGTCGAGGTAGATGTCCACGACGGTGGGCACCGCTTGGAAAATACCTGCTAATCGGGACTTTTCCTCTACAGAAAACTCAAGGGAGCCGCTGTGAAATCTGTTTTCGAACCCACCGGGCCGTGCCTGGTGAGGGGCTTTGAGTCGTAAGAGGGCGATGTCTGCATCCAAGGGCTTATCCGTGACTTCGAGTCCGCGTGCGGTAATAATGGCAGGATCGATTCCTTCAATATAAACCTTGCAAAGAGTCGCTGGATCGAGAGGTAAAATGTCGTTCTGGTTGGTCAAGAGGGTGAAAGCTCGTCGCTGGGTTGAATCTCCCAGTTCCCGGAACGACTGCTTCCCCACAACGGCCGCAGCTTTGTCCGGATCGACAAAAGGCTGCTCGAAGAGTCCGAGAGCGAACTTTTCATGAAGGAGACGACGCACAGAGACATCGAGACGGTCCTCGGAAACCAATCCTTGCTCGACGAGCTGAACCACCAGTTCCGGGCGAGATTCGCCGCCGAGCTGATCGCAGCCAGCATCGAGAATTTTCTTCACCCGTTCAAGCTCGCTGAGATGTTCCACCCCCCAAGCCCGGGCTGGCATGTCCTGCCCGGCAATCACCGAGTCTGTGACAAGGCCCCAGTCTGTACAGACGATGCCGCTGAATCCCAACTTCTCGCGGAGGAGCCCAGTAATGATCCCTCTGTTGAAACCAAACCCGACCTCCTCGTATTCTGTCCCCAGGGTTAGCGAGTAGTATGGCATCATCTGCGCCGCGCCAGCCGCAATGGCAGCTTTGAATGGGATGAGGTGGTACTCCATCTTGCCACCGGGGTACACCTGCTCCTTGCCGTATGTGAAATGGGAGTCTTCGCCGTCCTTTTGCGGGCCCCCACCGGGAAAGTGTTTCGTCATGGTCGACACCGACTCCGACCCCAACCCAGGCCCTTTACCCTGAAACCCGCGAATGTACGCCGCGACAAGCTCGGCCGACAGGGTTGCATCTTCGCCAAACGTTGCCCCGGAGCGCGCCCACCGCGGCTCTGTCGCCAGGTCGACCTGGGGATGTAGCGCCAGCCGGATCCCCAAGGCAAGGTATTCCTGCCGGGCAATGTCTGCAAACTGTTCCACCAGCTCGGCGGACTGCAGGGCGGCAAACCCCAGGCTTTCAGGCCACTGCGAAAGCACGCCCGCTCTGGCCGAGGTCCCCACGTTATCCGTGAAATGGTGGCGCGGGTCAGTCGATATCGTGACCGGGATAGCGAGTCGAGTCGACAGAGCCAGTTCCTGCACGCGATTGTGCCATTCCGCCGTCTCTCGTGCGTCTGCAATCGATCCCCGGATGTTGAAATGCGACATCAGTTTGTCCTTGACCAACGCCCGAGTCGGCTCGATATGGAACCGCTCATCTCGTTCGGTCTGCAGCTTGCCTCCAGGTCCGACGCTGACCATATTCTGGAACAGCAGTCCCGCCTTCTCCTCGACGGTCATCAGGCCTAGCAGATCCTCCACCCGCTCTTCAATAGGCAGACTGGCATCCTTGTACCGCTTGTAGCTGTCCTGTGAGGTCATGATCGTAAAGATTAGCTCTCTCTGAAGGGTTGCTATGTTGATTCATGAACAATGACAACCCCTGGATTGAAGCGGGGTAATTGTTATCGTCGAAAAAAGATCACAGAAGGAGTCACCTGATCTCAGGGAGCTTTCCTAGTCGTAAGGCAAACAAACTGTTTACAAACTAGCAGGTGAGACAGTCTTTATAGAGGCCAATTAACATGAGATAATATTTTTGCTGATGATCTTGATCATGCAGTTCATACTTCTATTCAAGTCTCATATTAGGCGTTTTACATTCCATACGTAAAAAGCGAAAGTAATTTTATATATACAGTAGCTATCAAATAAGATCAAGAAAGCAAAGAAAAAGGAAATCAGAAAAACCAACTCCGATGTTTACGCCAGTCCTGCATCGTGCCCTCGCGCAGATCATCCGTGTTGATCAGGTCGACCTGCTCCCTGACCAGAACGTGCCAGACGTGGTTGCGCAAGCCGCGCGGCCAAGTCGGGGTGCCCCAGTACCGAACTCTGAGACCACGGGCGTGGGCGGCGTCGACCTGGGCACGGACGAGATCCAGCTGGCCCTGGGAGAAGCGGTTGGAGGCGAGGTGGCCGATGGTCTTGCGGAAATCGACCGAGGCGTAGTCGCTATTCGTGTAGTTGTAGACGTCTCCCTCTGCTTCGAGGAGCTGGTCGAGCGGGGCGTCGAAGAAGATGTCGCGGTGGGTGGTGTTTGTGGCGAGGAGGACGTGGTCAAAGGGGGCGTCGCCCGTGACGACGACGGTGATGGGCCTGTTGACGACCTCGACGCCATTGAAAAAAGTGAGAAAGCCGGCTTCGCGGAGGGGCTCGAGTTGTTTGACCAGATGCGGCCAGGTGGTTTCCCCGGCGGTCTTGAAGTCGATCAGCAGGGCGAGGGTCTGGTAGGGATTGTTGGCGAAGACGCCCGCCGGGGCAGAGTCTTCTTCTCCTTTGCCGCCGTGTTGGGTGCCGTCTGCGTCGAGGGTCTCGGGTTGCAGACGGCTCGAACGGGTGTTGTGTGTCTGCAGCAGTTCGAGCAAGGGGTTGAGGTAGAGGCTGCGCAGGGTGACCGCGTCGTGGAGGGTGAAGCGGTTATGGCCGACCAGTAGCTCGTCGTCGGACAGCCAGATATCGGCCTCGACGCCGATGCAGCCGGCCTCGATGGCTGAGTATAGGGGGACAGGCCGCCAGTAGTCGTTGTGCGAGTGGCATTGGACGGGGACGACGCCGTGGGTGGTCCAGTGGGAGAAGATCGACGGTCGGCCGCCGGGGAACACCCACGAGTCGAGGTTCGAGTCGAGATCGTCGAGGAAGAGGAGCACCACGCTGGACCAGGCGATCGACAGGAACTTGACGATTCCACTAGAAAGTCAGCATGATGGTAGAATTATTTTATAAACAAATAGTCTCGTACAGAATCATGATGATCCTCCAGAACAGTCCCTTCATCCCACGACAGACGCGCATCCGTCGAGACGGTGGTGTAGCCTGGCCGCGGGCGTTTGACGAGAACCATCGCCGCTTCCTGGCCGTGTGTTTATCCCACCGCGGCAGTTCCAGTTCCAGTTCCAGTTCCGACTCTGAGAGCTCTTCTTCAGGGATCATCGCCAGCAAGGGAGTGCGTTTTGAGGAACTCGCTGGCTCACGTGCAGGCTTCGCAGCCCCGAAACCAAGCGAAAAACCGAACATGTTGTATTGAATATTCCGTTGTTGTTTGTAACGTCTCTCGTAAACGTTTCGTGTCTGTCGTGTCGTGGCTGTGGCACACTGAGATGCACCCAGCTCACGACAATAATATCCTGGTCAAGCAGTATTGCGTATTGCAGCGGGATAAAAGCACTTTCGGACCTGGGGAAGTCCTCTTTAACTGGAGGCCTGGACTTGGCTCAAAAAGGACAAGCTTTCGGGGCCGAACAGCCGCAGCCAATCATGTTGCGAGATTTGCGGCGAACCCTGGGCCAGAGTGGCGAACGTGTGACATGTTAACTGCTGCTGATTGGCTGGGAGGGGTCAAATCTGGCTGCCTGGACTTAAAAGGTCGGTCCGGCCGGGCCGGTCTTGGCATTTAGCATTTAGTATAGCATCTATAAGTGTTAGTGTAGCATTTTATCTAGTATGTAGTTGAGTAGAGAGTTCAATATTTACTATAGCTGAAAGCCTTAATATATAAGATATACTAGGTACTTAACCAACACTACTATCTAACAATTAATCAGTGGTCTAGCCATTTGTAATACTATACTCTTCATACTACTATATAATTATCCTAAGCAGCTACAATGCAAGAACCGCCTCCTTGAGTTTCTCGAAATTCGGCGTCCCCCAGCCCGTCGCCGGATCCCAGCCCACCGTCGCATTCCACGACGCCCAGGGAATGACGCCCGCCCCCGCGACGTCCCCCTCACACCCCACCGAGCCGCCGGTAGTAATGTCGTTGAGCGCCTTGTAGCCAGAGCTGTACAGCCAGGGGTTCAAGAAACCAAGCTGCGTCTTGCCGGCGCGCAGGCGGGCGTCGTTCAGCAGGGCGACCACTCCGGCGAACACGGGCGAGGCGCCAGACGTGCCGCCGACGAGGTACAATTCGCCGTCGATGTATGTCAAGTAACTGCACACATTAGATACTATCTATTAACTGACCCTAGGGTAGGGTTAAGGGTTGGGGAGGCCTACTAAGGACTTCCAGCAAAAGCAGAGACATCCGGATACGCCCGGCCATCAAAGTTGGTGAAAGGCGCGTAATACTCCTTCACAGCTGATGAGATGTATTTGCTCAGATACGTTTCCACGGCGTCAACCTGGTACGACGCGCGGGCAAAGTAGTTGCTGAACCCGCCGGAACTATCCACCCAGGCCTGTTCGGGGATATCTTGGGTGCCGCCCACTGCGGTGATATAGGGGCACGTCCCGGGGAAGGTGGGGGTGAAATCAGTCGTGTTTGTGCCATCATTGGTAATGCATGCTCCGCCGACGCCTGTAGGTAAGGTAGTAGTTATTAGTAGTTGCCCTTCCTCTAGTATCTATAGTTTTTGCTTAGAGTTGCCTACCGCTGTCGCCAGACGACTCAAGAATGGAGATGCCTCGGGCGCCCATCAGGCCGATCAAGTTGCAGACATGAGTTGCGTAAGCCAGGGGGACGGTCTAGTGACAGTTGGTAGATGTTAATAAGATCAGGGTTGGATAGGAAATACCTGCTCATCATCACCATAAGAGTTGCTGATGACCAGCGGCAGCTCCGAGTTGCTCTTGGACAGCAGGTATTCGTAATATGGCAGATACGGCTCGTTCTCGTCGGTTGTTGTCTCGACGTCGGGGATGTACGGACTGAAGGTGAGTAAAGGGTTAGGGTTTAGGGTTTAGGGTTTAGGGTTGGTACTTACGGACTCCCTCCAGTGATAAACTCCGTCACCGGCAACGGATGCGAAATGGCCACAATATTCTCGACGTCCAAGTCGGCTTCGCCCTCTGGATCGACGGTCTGGTTGTTCACCCCGCCATTGATCGTCTCCACGGTGAAACTCTGCTGCGCAATGCCGAAATACTCGGTGAACAGATCCAGGTCCGAGTACAGCGCGGACTCGTTCAAGAAACTGCCGAATCCCACTCGACTGCCGGAGTCTGCCAATGGCGTGTAGTCGATGGAATACTGTTCGTACAGACAGTCGGGCGTCACATAGTCGCAAACATCGGTTCCTTCGCTCGTGTTGGTCTTCTGGCTGCTGCTCACCAGTCCGATAATCTTTGCATTGCGGTCGCCATTTGCTCGCCCGAAGAACACCGTCGGGGCAATCAACTCAATATCCGCCGTCAGATCGTCCGGGATGGAATACTGCGTGGTGCGCGTCTTGCGCGTCGCGCCGCTCGCGTACACGCCAAATGTGGTGTTGAGCAAAGCATTTGCCGTCTCCACCGTGGTTGCAAAATTGACGAGACCTCCCTGGCGAGAAATATTTGTAACTCCCGCGTCTTCCAGCCAGGAGACCACCCCCGAGTCGTTGGCGAGCGGGAACTGCGCCTCGACATCGTCACGGTCCAGGAACTGGCCGTAGGTGGCACTCCCGGGCGTCGACACGGCCAGCAGGGTGGATTCCAGCTGCTCGATATTCTTCCGCGTCAAAGCTACAGACAGAGTGATGCTGGCGCTTGAGTCGGCGGCATTTACCAGCGTCCACTCGGCGGGGACTGAGGCGATCTGTTCCAGCACAACGCCCAGGGCGGGCGTTGCCAGGAGGGCAGTCAGTATGGCGAGCATGATGGTGGTGAGGGAGAGAGAATGTGTATGTGAGTGGGTGAGACACTCAATATATACCCGGATTTTAATCAAGTTGATCCCTCTACATGTGATTGTACTAATGCAGGCAAGATGCTGGTCCGACGGACCCCGGTGATAAGTATAATATAGGATATGATTAATAGAGTATATAGAAGAGTACGCATAACAGTACATTAGTTATTGACCCCTATACTATTTACTTATACCTGTAATATTACATTAAAATCATGAAGATACATCTTCACTAAATACCAAGTAGAAGATACTCTATAGTAATAACACTATACTATGTATTCTATAATAGATAGCACAGTGCATTGTCACTCCATGATAGTTTTAGTATATACTAGTTACATTTATTACATGAGTACATTAGTATGCATTAGTGTGCATTAGTAAATGCCTCGTCTCCAGAATTCATCTCATCAGGCCAGGAACAAGGCCCATTTGGTTGGTCTGAAGAATGTCATGATTAATGCCTTCATCATGCTATCGGTCTCCGTCGGAAGCCGTATGTATTCGTCATATTCGCATTCAATCGCACCCTCTGAGGTCAAGGAACAGAATCCTTACAGCCAACGGCTATATTTATTCCCTATTCAACAGTGTAGAGTATCTCTGAATAATCGGCTAGGGTGATCTTACATGATGTTTATTTATCACTAGCATAAAAATTGATTGGAAAAATCATAGATTACTAGGTATCTGCACTATATATGTAGAATAGAGAGAGACTTTTATTATCTGCTAATTATTATAATTTATTGTTCCCCAGTCTTGTCTCTTTAATATAAAAGTATATGTTGTACCTGGGGTGCAACCAGGGATATCAATAATGAGCTATCCAACTCAGAATATGTCTAAATACACACTGTATTTTCGAAAGATGTCTAGAGGCCTCTCTGACAACTCGGGCTCAGTTTACCCTCTATACACCACTCCTGAGCCAACGATTTTCCTCGCAGAGCTGGGTCCGCACCAGTTGACCAGGATGATCCCGGCGCAGTGAAGACAGACAGACAATATGGACTCCCAGTGGGAGAGAAGCCACCAGGCTTTTCAGGGAGCACCACAGAGTTTGTAGGAGAATGAACTACAAAGCATCTAAGACATAGAAGCTCAATAGACACTGTGGCTGCCAGGTTCTCTCCCCAACGGCAACCAAAACAGCACAATTCCAGGACACTTCTGCGGAATTGTACTATAGCCATCTGTTAGCGAAGTCAGATATAGAGGGAAGACGTACTTACCATAGAGCCGCCAAACGGAACGGCTGTGCTTGCCGTAGGTGTAGATTGCTCTCAGGGAGGAGAAACGGTCTGTCGCAACATAAGTTGCATACCGATGAGCTGCCGAAGCAGCACAGCGTCCATGGAAGAAGTATTGAATCTGCCGCGAGCGTATGACAGTTCACAGTAGCAGCAGCAGAATAAGGTGACCTCTCTTCCTCATTCATGAGACACCCTACAGCTCTCAGTCGAATACAAACGAAATCCTCTTGAAAACAACCATTGGAGCAGTCAAGGATATCCATCCAGACAGCAGGATCCACAGACTATCTTTGACAGGTCATCGTGCTGAATCGAAACCTCCTGTTTCCACCGATCGCCTGGCGCTTCTCTCGTCTCTCTCTCCGTGTTGTCTTGATGGTACTGGTCTTCGTTCTTGACGATACTGGTAAGAGAAGAGAAAAAGATCAGCGGAGCCGTCGTTACTGTCTTGTTCCCAAGCTGCTGCTTCATGATCTTCCAAGGCGGCACCCTCTCGCAGTCGCCGTAGTTGAAGTCTTTGATGACGCTGTTTTGCATCGACGACTGGTCTGCTCTGAAGGATAGAGGGGGTCGAATGGTGCCAGCCGGGGACATATGGTTCGAGCACCCCGTCAAGGTTCAACAGCATATCATATTTGTTGCAAAACAACGATCTGGCTTGGCATCTTGCTCAGGTTACTCAGTATACCTAGCATAATATCCTGTCTGAAACGTACTGTTCTTGGATTCTATCCATTGGTATCATGTTCTGATGTTGTATTTTGATATACCAAAGACCACTAAACCAGATTGTAATCCCAACCTTGGTGGTATCTTTACTAGTATCATGTCAACATAGTAAACTGGCCCAGTAGTAATAAAGTGAGGTGGTTAAAGATGTAAGATTAAGAGGGAGAGGAAGGGTGCAGGTGTCGATATTTATAGGCTGCTAACCTAAGGGTTCATTCACGGATAGACGCTAAAAAGTTCATTCACGAGGACCTACTTTAGTAGTGACTATAGAGAAGAGCACTCATCGTTACTATCTATATAGAGTAGTGAATATTATTTCTTTTATAGCTCTTTCACTTCCAGTAACTAACCCCTCTGTGATAAGATATAGTTAACTCTTACACCTTCACTACATCTCCTAAGGAAAATATAATTTTCATGTATTATTACATGACCTTGTCTAAGTATAGTTGAGTCTAATATAGCCAGTCCACGGATAATGCATCAACAATCCTCCAATTCTCTGTATGGAACCCATACTTGGACTCCCCTGATCCGCCTGTTCGTTCATCTTCCTGACCATTGAAGCTTAGCATACACTAAGCACCTAGTGCTATAGACGAATTATCTATATAAGTGGCTCTGTCCGTCTGCCTTAGTTGTTTTCTTCTCTGTCTAAATAGCTCCAATTTCAATCTCATCATGTTGAACTCCCGAAACGCCCTCTATACCCTCCCATCGTGTTTCTGGGTTCGTGACTGCGATCGGGTACATTGCTACCATACTATCAAGGTATAGCCAGGTCAACTTCAACCAGCCATTATGCTGAAGCAAGAAGATGGAAGCACATATATCAATGTGAACCTCACGGCTCATCTTTATAACCACGGTGGACGACTTGGTCAAAGTGGGTTTTGCTTTCATATCATGAGCTGATGAAGGTCCACAAAGCATACATAAATCAATGGGGCCAAAAGATCCACCCAGTAGCGATGAATTGAACGAACAAACCAATCAGGACCATGGACCTTGATGATGTCAGATGTCGTGGATCTCCAAAGTCAAGGTAAGCCTCGCGCCAAACCCTGGAACCTGCCTCGGTTAACCAATGTTAAACAGCTTCTTACTCCTCAAATATCACTGGAGTATACGTCGGATCTCCTGTGTTGGAAGCAAAGAATTCCGCTACACGATGCAAAGCAACAAACCGAATATCACTAGTTCTCGCAAATCCCGCCAGAAGCGGTGGGCGCCCAAGACCAGGGCGGGCTGTCTCACTTGCAGGTACGGCCTTGAAGCCAATATTTGAGGAGCGAGCGAACTAATTCTGGCGGTGTGCAGGATTAGGAAAATCAAATGTGACGAGGCCAAGCCCAGGTGAGGACAGCTCTGGTTGACACTTGAGTAGGGATCTAATTCTTGGTCGAAAAGCTGCCAGAAATGCCTTTCGACGGGTCGAAAATGTGATGGCTATCAAGAAGCGGTTCAGGTGAAGCCGGCGGATCCCTCGCCACATCTGGCACTTTCGGCCTGGGATCTGCTTTCTCAGAATCCCGACGAGAAGAAGAATTTCGCGTTCTTCTGCTCCGTCACCACCGGTCACCTGGCTGGATCATTTGACCTGGATTTCTGGTCTCGTCAGCTACTACAAATCTCTCATCAGTACCCAACACTCTGGCATGGGGTAATAGCCCTCGCATGTATTCACCGAGAGTTCATCACGGAGAGTGCTCCTCCAACTCTACCGAGGGTTGGGGAAAGCCTGAAACTTAGCTTCGCACTTCAGCAATTCAATAAATCCATCCAATCCCTGACGCAGATCATTTCCCAAAAGTGGTTGAGCAATTTCGACAAACAGGTGGTATTGATCACGTCGATTTTATACACTTGTTTATGTATCCTGCAAGGTCGACAGCTGCAAGCGTTCATGCACTTGAGAAATGGGCTCCGGCTTTTCCACCAGTGGAAGGCAGGGGTCAAGTTTCTGGATTCCTCAGATGACAGTAGCTCCACTGACAATATGTTTCTTCTAATATTCACCAGGCTCGATACGCAACTGCGCCCATATCTGGCCTCACAACCCGCTGTTCTGCCCTGGACGGAGCATAACCAAGTCATACCTGCTTCGACGACGGACGCCCCATTTGCATCCATCTTTGACGCCTATGCGTTATTGGAGCAGCTCTTCAACAGCGTGATTCAAGTCGTTCTGAATCAGAATCTATTATCTTCCGCCATATCCCACCAGAAGCAAAGATACTCGCTGCTGTTCCAAAAATGGGACGCACGGCTTTCAAGGCTGTTCTCCAGGAATCCAGAATACAGACAAGACAAAGCTCTGGATCTCATTCGCTCCCGGCGCCTTTTTGCCCATATTTTTCTCAGTCTAGATATAAGTCAAGGCGAACTAGCGCACGACGTTCTGCTGGATGACTATTCTGAGCTCGTCGAAACGGCTAGTCGTATACTGGAAAACTCTCCTGCGACCTCAGTGCCGTCACACCACCCAACATTCAGTCTCGAAACTGCCGTTGTCGAGGCTCTGTATTGGACAGGGGTCCACTGTCGAGAACCGAATATTCGACGCCGCGCGTTACGGCTGCTGCACCAGTACCCGCGCCGCGAAGGAATTTGCGAGGGGATGTTAGCCGCGAAAATGGTCGAGAATGCCATGAGACTTGAGGAGACGGCCTGCTCTGAACCTTCCCCGGCGAGCCCCTGTACTCATGGACAATGGGTCTGCGAGAAGCACCGCGTCAGTGCCTGGGAATATATATTGATTACGGACCGGCAGATACGCATTGTGATGAGAACCGTCGAAGATGTAGCATTGGCAAGACCAGGAACGGATTTTGTGGCCTTGTGGTGGTAGATGGTAGAGAAGACGAGGTTCATGGAGGTTTCAAGGTTCCTACTCAGTCTGGAAGACACTGTCAGGTGACCACCGACTCACATAAATATCGCACAACCTCGTGCTTTTAGACAAGACAATCCTCCCAAACAGTATCTTCAACATAACCATAATGTCCCCCTTGAATTACAGTATTCCTATTCATGTGAGTGATAGACGCCAAGCCACTGGCTATTAGGGTACTTTCTAACAAGCTCTGGGAGTTGCCTCTTTACCAGATGAACGGATGAACGACATAGTTAATAGGAACATTCCTGCATTATATAATACTCGTGAAGCTAAGGATACATATACAGTCGTCTATGGGGTTACCATATAAGAGATAACACCAGGTCTCGTTGTTCATCGTCGACATTGCAGGCTTAATAAACGGCCGGACCCGATCGGTTGAGAGCAGCGATGGCCTCATCGACGGTGATGACTTCGATGTCAAGAGTGGGCAGGAGCTCATTGCAAATGACATCGGTAAGTGCGTCTCCATACGGGGGGAGATCGATAGTGTTGTTTGAGATGACGATTCTAACGACGTTAGTATAGGGGGGGGGGGGGGGGGGGGGGGACCTCGATATCAGGGTTATGAAGAAACTGACACTCTGTAATCAAGATCGAAGAGACGGTACGCCGTGCTCAGAACAACACCCGCGCCACTGATTCCAGACTGTCAGGGTTAGCAAAAGAGTATACAAATATATCGATATGCTAGCAAAGAGGTATACCAGAATGACGGTGTCGATCTTCTGGGCGCGAAGGATTTCCTCCAGAGAGTTGCCGGCACCAGCATAGTACCGGGCCTTCTCGAGCACAACATCCCAATTCGGCAGCGGCACGAAGGCAGGGTATATTTCACTGATGGCAGAGGTTGCGGTTGCATTTCCCAGAACCGCCGCGGCGGTAGCATACGGAGTGTCGGCTCCAAGCTCTGGACGCTTGGTGTTGGCATAATAGATGCGGGTGAAGATGCTAAGCGGCGGCGGCGATTGCTGGTGGACACTATCCTTTCCGTCAGCGAGGCTGTCCATCAACCTTCAGCAGAAAAGAAGAGTCTTACGTGTTGATCCATGTCGCAGTGTTATTGATCCATTTCTCTCCGCTGGTCGTGGTATTCACGTATGCGACCGCGCCGCTGATCAAGTCGAGGTTCAAGACGGCATAGTTTTCGCCAAAGGTGAGATTGGATGAACTCGCCGCCGAGATCTGCGAGAGACACAGCGCAGCAAATGCGTAGATGGAAGAACTGGAGAACTTCATGATTCGGCAATTTTCGGTATGTATGTATATGTTTTGTTTTTTTTTTCAAGTTTATAAAAGGAACAGGCACCCTACAAGGTCGTCGAGGCCTTTATACGTCTCTATTTACAGCTCAGCTGAGAACCGTCCATTTCCCGATGACACTTCCGCGAGGAGGATAAATCGGGTTTGTCTTACCGACGGGACGAATCGTGTTCTGGTCTTACCAACTAGTTGAAGCTAGCCATTTGGCGATCGATAGTATCTCGTCTTCGGTGGACCGGACACCGAGCTATGAGCCTGACGATTTGCTCAAAACAATGATGACGTTAGATTGCTAGGGTCTTGATTATTTCAAGTAAGTGATCATCTCTGACTCCAGCTTTGATTTTCAATTCGAAGTAAGCGTATAAGATATCATTTGAGCTTACTGACAGACAATCAGTACCAGGAAATGACGCACAACTTCAACTTACCGACATTCCCAACGCAACATTGACATCGCTGAGCTACGTGGCCCTGGGTGGGTACTTCTAGACTGAGGCTGGCTGAAATAGCCGTCACGAACGCCTCGGCTTTCAACTTTGTCCAGCTCAACAAAGAACCGGCCCATCTTCTTGGGACTGATTGGTCCATACGAAGATATAGTATGTTGTGGCTGAGTCTGGAGTACTGAGTACTACCTACTGACATGGCCGGCCGAGACTACAGAGTAGTTGACAGAGTATTACTACAGTATAGTACTCTGTAAGTCCTAGTCTAAACCGCGGAGCTCCAGAATTAGTAGTATTCGTTAATACATGACATTGCTATATAAATATAGAGAGCATTACTGCCTCCTAGTCAACTATTGGTTAATTGGAGAAAACAACCCCGCGTTCTAATCCGATCCAACTGCTCATGAGGTCAGAAAGCTAGAAATGTCGTACAGCGCATAGTATCTTCCAGTCTGCCCGTCCAGAATAAAAGAGCAATGGGATTAGATGTTCGCGGTACGTGGTGAAGTAGTAGGCTGAGTGCATCCTACTTCTGCTTCGGCCAGGGAGTTCCCGCAGGATAATAATGACTCTCGCGCGGGCACATCTAGATCGAGAGAGGAGGAGAAGAGATACCGGTGTTGGTACATCTTCTTGTGCAGGCCTAGACTGAGGATGATCGTGGTGAGGCCCGTGGCGAGGACCAAGGAGACAAAGAGAATCGAGATGACGAGGGTGGAAGGGGACGGTTTCCTAGGCCATCGAGGAGGGGGGGGAGGCAGAGGCAGGAGAGCTTCGTCTTGTTCGGATGGGAGAGGTTTGTATTTCGACATCCGAGATGTTTTCCTTTGGGTAAATCTGCTGGTTTCTATTCTGCGGGTGTTACTATATAAATGAGCTCAAGAACCAGCGATTCCTAATCGGTCCATCAATAGAATCTGAAATCGATCGAGCCTATTATTCATTACTTCAAAGAGCTACCAGTCCACTGGAGAACTACAGCCTAGTTATAAACAGCACTGGCTGAAAAGAAAATATTGAATAAGAATTTCAACTCTATATCTAATACTATAACTCTATTACCTATTACCCAATTTTATCCGTTAATCATAAATCATAATGACAGACCAGTAAGGAGCAGTGCTACTCCTCCAAACACGTCCACTGATTTCCCTTTCTCCAGATAAGAGCTGCCGCCGGGATCTGCGCAGCAGCCAAACCCACCATGACGCGCAGTTGGGTATTGTAGCTCCGGGCGAAGACGTGGCGGACCACCTCCTGGGTCTGGGAGCTCAGCGTGGCAATGACCTCGGTGTCTTTTAGTAGCACACGGAGCTGTTCAGCAGTTAGGATGCCACTCAGATCAGACTTTAGCATCCCGTTCAGCACATTTGTAGCGATACCGAGTCCGATCGCGCCGCCGAGGAAGCGGAACTGGATGATTGCACCGGTAGCAACGGCTGAAAAGTCAGCAATAGTTTCAATAGAACCAAAAAAAAAAAAAAAGAAAAAGAAAAACGTACATAAGTCTCTTTCGTCTACTACGTATGGGGTCGCGAGGACGAGAATGCCATATGTGACACCAACACCTGCACCGGCCAACATCTCGTAAAAGTATCCCACTCCCGGGAAGTGAGAAGAGGTCGGTAGTGTAGACAGACAGGCGACACCTGTGGTGTGCAGGGCGGCTCCGACGAACAGGGTGTAGACAAAGGGGATGCGGAGTTTCTTCGAGAGGATACTCGCCACGCCGGCTGCAACGGCCGAGGTGGCCGAGTAAGCCAGGAGTCGGACTCCTGCGTCGAGGGACGACTCGCCGTTGACGATCTGGAAGCGCTCGGGCAGGTTGACCACCACGACAGTGGAGGGGAAGCCGACAAGGAAGGTGGTCAGGAGCATGCCCATCCAGTTGCGCTGGCGGAAGAACCGGGTCGGGAAGACGGGCTCCTGTCGGGTGGTCTTGCTGTTGGTGGTGAGGTATTCCCAGAAGACAAGGGCTGCCCAGGAGATAGCAGAGAAGACAAGGAGCACGATGATCGTCGCCGAGGACCAGGAATAGTCGACGTTGGCTTCATTCAAGGCGGTCACCAGCAGCAGCGAGCCGGACAGGAGAAGCACGGCGCCGACAAGATCGATCCGACGGAGGTCTGATAGGACGAAACCATTGTTATTTTTGCTTCGGCCAAATTCCAGAGGCAGGGAGATGGCGAGGAGGACGATCGCAACACCTCCGGCAGGAAGACTGTGATCGTCAGTATATATTATATTATCGAGATATGGAAGCAAGTTTCTACTCACTTGAGGTAGAAGATCCATCGCCAGGTCCCGAACTCATTCAACAATCCTCCAAAGGTCGGACCGGTGGAGAGACCCAATGCGGTGACACCGGCAATGAAGGCTCCGTACAGGGGCATCTTGGACTTGGGGATCATCTCATAGAAGACGAGAAAGGAAAGGGAATAAGCGCCCGCAGATCCGATACCTTGGAATGCACGACACACGATCCTGTTCATTAGAAGATGGATCTTTCTATTGGAGGTATTTCCGCTCACGTACAAAGTTTCCATTGTATGGGCGAGGCCGCAACCGAGGGAAAAGGCGATGAAGACGGCAAGGGTGGTGAGCAGGGCGATCTTCCGGCCGATGATGTCACTCAACTTGCTCCAGATAATGATGAAGCCTGACCATTAGCTTATACACACAGGCTTGTAGTTGAAAGAATAATCCTCCGTACCAGTGTAGGTGATGAGATAGCCGGTGACGATCCACGTTGTCCGGTTGAAGGCCTGCATTTCGTCGGCGATGGTAACGAGCGAGGTGCTGACGATGGTAGTCTCGAGGTTGACGAGGTAGAGGTTGATAAGAAGGCTAACAATGAGTTTTAACAAGAGACAGACAGATAGAGAGAGAGAGAGAGAGAGAGATAGAGACTCACGCAAGAGTTGTGATGTGCAGCCTCCATCCGGTGAGGAATCGGGAAGTCACGAGGGTTTCGACACACGATTCATCGTCCATCGCTTTATATTCGGAAGTGACAGTCATGATGAAGGTACCTCTTAGTATTACTATAGAAAGGGATTATGTATGTGTCAGTCAGGCAACTTCAGTTTGACAGCCCGCTGAGCAGTTGACCTATTTATCTACTCTCAGGTTCCTCTCCTCCGTGGTTCAGAAGAATAATAAATTATTTCTATTTCTAGTTACAGGGGCGCTCTGACATGAGCTGGCGGTCCACACTGCAGCAGGATTGGGGTAGAATAACCCGACGCCGACCAGGGTCTGGAGGCTGTGGGAATTCTGGCGGTTAAGGAGGCTCCATCGGCTGTCATGGCTGATAGCAGTGGTTTTGGGCATGTATACGGGAAGAGCGAGTGGTTGACGTGTCTCGACGAGGTCCGTGGATCTATCACCATCGATCTATACGGAGGATTTAGTGATTCACTAGTATGGAAATAGTTAGATTTTCGCTATTTAGAATTCCTCATTCCTGAATTTTCTCCCTACGATACCAGCTGAACTGCAGCCAAGCGAGTCATGGCTCTGGAGTTTGGGTAGATATAGCCGATCGAACCCTTTTTTCCCTGGTCAAGCATATCCAGAGTTCACGGCGAGCTCCGTATAGAGTTTGAGAGATTTTTCTGAACCAAGAAGAAGAAGAAGAAGAAAAAGAAGAAGAGGTAAAAAAATATCCACATTCCAGGACGAAAAGAGAAGAAGAGAAAATCTTAAAACACAGGCCAAAAAAGTAAATAAATCTGGACAGTGTTTTTAGCCGATCTATATAGCTGCGATCTGATTGGTCGCCTCGCCTCCAACGGCGCCTGCTGAATCCATGCCAACCACGCTATGCCCAAAGAAGAAGAACCGTCGCCCAAGAAGGATGAACTGGAATACAATAAAGGGTTAGTAGGGAGTTACGGAGTACTTGAACGGAGTAGTTCGGAATGCCCGATGCCTGCAGTATCTTAGGTATCTACTACGTATTACATAATCATGGCTGCAGTCTCCGATTAACTTACCACTTTCTAGTGGCTGCTTCAGCTTTGATAAATAACGTCATGATGGGCAAACAACCGGATGCGGCTGAAATGATGTCTGACTGTCTGGACTAATTCTACTGTCTGATACATGAGGGCTAAGCTTTTCTATGGAATTATCTTGAAGAGTACTAAATACTATAGTATAGTTCTTATACTATCTCATAGTAACATCAGTATAAGTATAAGTATATCGTATAAGTAATTAAATAATCTACCTAATGGTTACCTAGATATATCCAAGTAATACCACTGCTAACCGGTGAGTAGTTCTTATATACCATGTAGTAAGCTGCATCTGTCCCCGCCTCAGCAACACTTCTTATCTTCTCACCCTATCCTATGTAATATCTCCCCCACCCATCCACACCATGTCGACCTCAGTATATTCCGAGGAAGGAAGAGTCAACGCCATCTGTGCTATAGCATCATACAACCCCTCTTCTCCGACTACGCCGCATCTTATCACCGCTCTACACGCACCTTTCTCCTTTTCCCTCATCGGAAACCGGCACCTTGCTCTCGTCGGTGACGCAGTCTTACGACTAGTGCTTACACTGGGGGGATTCCATCGGACGGTCAACGGAGGTACTCATTACTTGTATTGATTTTGTTTTATTAAAAACTGTTTTGTTTGACTTGGTCGTCGGCTAAATTGTTAGATACTCCCAATGACGTCTTATCAACAGTCCTGTCCAATGCACACCTCGCCCAAAGAGGCTTCGAGCTAGGCATCGATCAATTTATCTACATCAATCCGACGCAAGCGGCTCCGGTCTCTGAAAACGTCGTGGCCTCCACCGTCAAAGCTATCCTGGGGGCTGTTTTCCTGGATAGCGGGAAGAACATTGCTGCCGTGGAACGTTCAGCGGCAGCGATGGGTATTGTTTGGCTGGAATAATTAAGAAATACCAGAGAACGGTATGGGATGAAACAATGCTATATAGTATTCTTTCTGTGAGTGGCTAACTGGATTCATCGTTGGGCTTATTCGTTCTATGGATACCCTAGATTTCTCCCGTGCTGTACTGGTAAGCAGTGAAATAAAGCTTTGAAGATGGAACTCAATACTGATCTCTAAACTCAATCTCCGATCTTCATCTACGAGTCATGTCTGGTTCAAATCCCGTCAAAGTTTCGGGACCATCCATAGAGTTATCTACCCCGGGTTTATTTTCCAACCAGCCAATATCTCAATGACTGGATCCAGGAATGTCTCCCATAACGTCAGCTTAGAAAGACAGGAGTCATGCTGTTTGTAATATAGATTGCAGTGAAAGTTCACTTCCTCGAGACTGAAATTGCAGTAGTATATCTCAATCGCACCTAGAGTCATTATCAAGTGAGGATTAGAGTTGAAAAGCTAGAATCCGATTAGCTTTCTTCTGATGTTCTGGAAGAATTTGTCTTCTTCGATCTATCGAGATCGAGTCAGTTCATCTCTTGAGTAAAGTCTAACTTAAAACCTGTCCTCACCCTATACTGCAAACAGAGCAGTGGTTCGGGGATGATGAAATCTCTGTGTCAATCATATTAGCTATCTTTCCATGGTTCGATCTGAAGACGGGTAGGAGAACGGAAGGAGTGATTTTGAATCTATAGATCTTGTAGCCCGCTGTTTGTGCTTCAATTAAGTCACTATTTCTATGTTTCTGCTTAACTGGAGCGGTTGATATTAGAAGACATTCCTTATAGATACCAAAGTCTAGCTAAACTACAAATATATATACTCCTATAGACATTCTATAGACTTATTCAATGAGTATTCCCTTAATTTGACAATACCATCTTGCAGGCCTATGGATAATCTTGCTACTCGAAGAAATAAAATAGCATTGTCAAGTGTTTGTTTTTGCTAGAGCTAACGTCTGGAATAATCATTAATAGCTTCAGTATATACCTTCAAGTGCTGTCACTTTCTAATAGGCAAGCACTGCAAATCTCAGCCAAGTCGGCTAATAAGACTCAGCCAAGAAAGCTTCCTTGAGAGGAATGAGAGCAGCTTTTGACAGTGTGGTATTGAACAATAAGCATCTGCGCTTTGGTGGGCGTATCTCGGCTGATGACATTCACAACAGTGAGCCATTCAATGAAACAAAACCGTGTTTTGTAAGGTCATTTTTCAGACAGGCGTCAACTTCTGAAGAGAAGCAGTCTAGTAGTCCATAGGGAATCTCTAATTCTAGAATTAGAGATTTCCACATCCTCTCAGATATCTTGAACCAGGTTTTGTATGTGGGTGAGAACCAAGGAGCCCGAATCTCCAGGCTCTGGAAAATCCCAGTAATGCTGTACTTCAAAGTGACCTTTTTTCCTCCTTGCAATTCGTCTCTGGAGGAGGTGTTCGTATTTACCCCGGGCGTGTTTTTTCGTTCTTCCAGCCTTATAGAGCTTATGCCTAGCGAAATTCCTTATTGCCGACTCGTACATTCGATTCGAAAAAAGTCTGAAAGACCCGTGTGCCTTGAGTATCAATCTGTCCATCCATGGGTCTTTGAGAAGAGAATGTGGCGTAGATGAGTCTCGAGAGCTTTACAGGCTAGACCATTCAGCCATAAACTGTCAAGACATTCAATGGTTCTTATAAGGCCATTCATCCTGCGACATATTGTAGTCGTACTGATTTCCAGCCACGAGGTCTGAATACCTGGTATCCTGACCCAGCTAATACCCCGTCGAGATGATTATTGTCGAATAATGGAATGCCTCAGCCCTATTTACTCCTCCTCGAGTTTCTGGAGACTCAATTTTCTGGTCTTGTGTGCTTTTGCTCCTCTTCAAGGCATTCTCTGTTGCCGTGTAGTCATCGCCGGGTGTGATGTCTGCGATTTGGTTCTCAGATATAGAACCTGAGCCTGCACGTCTGCAAGGCTCGGCTGACAGACACGCATAAGTCTTGAGAAATAAGGATCGTCTGGGAGAACTGGGCGGTCTTATCACTTGTTGATGCCTAGTGAAAAATATTCTCATTAGTAAATGCAACAGGCGAGAAACGATCTGTACTCATACCAACTTTATCTTATAGAAATAGGTCATCCGTTCTGGTCTAGATTATGAAGCCACTGAAGTTCAATAAACCCCATCGGCGGCAGTCTCCACGGAACCCTCATGGAGATCCCGGCTCGCTGTCGTCCGCCAACGTCTCAGTGATCGTTCGCTATCAACAATTAGCCTCTGTGCCCCCAACTCAGAGTCAGTCCAACTTAGTCCTGCCTGTGCTTCGAGTTGGTAGGTAGACTCAGGGAGGACTTCTTCGGTTAAAACTTGATTATTGTTCAACCGGTAGTAGCCTATCTGCGAGTCTATAGGTCTCTAAGCTCAAGCCTTGATATGAATAAGTCTTGGCTAGGAGATTTTACCTGAAAGGATACCATAATAAGTTAAGGAAGCCAACAGATTTTTCATAGAAACCTCGGCATCTAACTTGTAGAGATAAGGATGGGGGGGAAGTTGATTCTAGAACCAGGAAATCCAGATTATAAGATGCGTGTGTGATTCAAAAAAAGGTAGGAGAAGGAAAGATAGTTAGTGGTGATGTTTATAGTGCTGCACATGATTCACTCAACTCTTTAACTCTTTTACCTTAAATTCCTGTCACTGCAGCTGATTCACTGGATTCATTGAATCTGCCCTACTCTGTGCCTTCATGGTGTTGAAATTCTGGTTATGACTAGTCAATAATGTCCCCTCAAATATAGATGGTTATTTTGTCAGGAGGTATAAGGAGTGCTAGATATACTCTATAACTACTAACCCTACAGTGAGCTGTTGTAAAGGAGATGGCTTGGAATATAAATTACAGATAAAGTAAATCTGATAGTTATTATCTTTTAGAGACCCCTCTCAGATAGCATCCCATATCAATCTGTAGATGAAGGCATCCCCTATTGTAGAAGTAGTGTAATGAGTTTCTGGTTTCCCTTTTTCCTCGCAAAATCCAATGCTGTCTTACCCTGGTTATCTCTAGCAGTTATGTCTGCCCCTGCCACAATAAAGCGCTCAACAAGATCAAAATATGGATTATTTAATGAAATCCACTGTGATGCAGTCAAAACTGCAGTCAAAAAGGGGGTCCTCCCTTCAACATCACATGCCTCAAGATTCACATCTTTTTGATTGAATAAAATATCTTGTATGGGCCATGAGGAATATTTTACAGCCTCATGAAGTGATGTCCACCCTAGAATATCAGCTGCATTTACATCAGCCCCTTTTTGAAGCAGTAACTGAACAGATTCAGTAGTTCTTCGCTGTACTGCTGTCCATAAAGGTGTCTCGCCATATTTGTTGCGCACATCGAGATCTGTAGGATCCCAATGATCCAGGGTAAGTTTGAGAGACTCATATCCATCATGAGACGCAGCATGGTGTAGTAAGGTATTTCCCGAGTCATCTCTTTTCTTGATATCGGCTCCACGCATAATCAGAGTTTTGACCAGTTGATTAGCGTTGTGATAGGCAGCGTATAATAATGGCGTACAGCCGTAGCGTCCTTGACACTCAAGATCAACACCGCCGTCGATCAAAATAGTCGTTTCTTCATACATTTTCTTCTCAATGCAATGGAAGAGTATTCTCTCCCAATTTCCATCCTTGGGATTGACCAGAGCCCCCTTTTTGATCGGGGCCACGAAGATCGATATGGCGTCTCCTGTGACATACCACAGAGCCTTTTTGCCTTCTTTAGAGAGAAATTCCACGTCGGCTCCCGCATCGATCAGGTCTTGAACCATCTCCTTTTTCCCAAGCTTTGCTGCAAGTTGAAGTGGAGACAGTCCATGCTTTTTACCCGTGATCTCAAGATCGATGGATCCCAGACTGAGGAATGGCTTCAAGATCGACGGCTCAACTCGGGCTATAAGGTCAAATATGATGGACTCTTTTTTGGAGTCAGGTTGAAGAAATATTTCTATTTGTTGCATTGGCAGAATTTCGAGGACTCCTTTACTGCCCCTGAGAAATGCCACCCGAATGGGAGAACCATAACGTCCCCCAGAAGAATTGAGATTGGTGTATAGGCCTCGTTGCATTCCAGCTTTCATCAGGTTTGCCAAGTCGTTCTCAGCAAGAATATATACGAGCCTGGCCGAATCTTTGTATCGTCGTACTTGGTGCTTTTCAAAAATATTGTGCAGATAAATCCAGCTTTTCAGTGGAAAACCGTCAACCCAGGAGTCTTGTTGAATTCCTTCGCCCTCCGCATCATCAGCATGCTTGATTAGAAACTCCACTACATACGGAAGTAATGGAAATTTCTCAGAGATCTCCTTCCGAAGAACAGCTGCTTCATGACTTTTTGCGTCTGGGAGATTAGGCCATCCCGCGGGATGACTTTGTACAACCATCGCCATATAATTGTCGCAACAGTGTCTCAGCAGATCGTGGCTCGAATGCGCAAGTCCGACCTGCAGATCAACAAGTAAACTCTGCATCCCACCGTCTCTCAGAAGGTAGTCCCGTACGGACTCATGGATGAATTGAGCATTTGGCCTTCGAGACTTCGATAGCTCGGCCAGTCCTTTGGATGAGCTCAAAATGAATCTTCTCACTGACTCTGTATCTTCTGGTGGCTCCGCACTAGACAGCTCTCTCACGTCTCGAGATTGAATAGCAAAGAATAACTCGAAGGGCGTCAAAGGTCGTTTTGAATACAGAATCCATTGCAGACAAACAAACAAATCTTCCAGATTGTCCCGGTCTCGTGTCAAAATATCTTTGAACAAATCATTAAGTCCACTCGGAATCTCCCGGAGCTTCTGGCGAAGAGCAGCCATTCGGCCATGATCATAAGCCTTTCTCAGAATAGGGACAACAAGGACAACCCAAAGAAAGATCCCCGATGACTTTCCAAGTACTTCTGCTTTCACCTCCTCAATTTTTTTGCCCTTGATGCTTGAGAGTTTGCTATTCAAGTATTTCGCAAGATCTTCACTGTGGCCGTCTTCATCATCCAGAATGATCTCCAACCCTGTTTCAAGACTGATGTGTGGATAATGTCGACTAGAAAAGCATATGTAAAGACGTGAAACGCGGTGATCTGACATGTCACCAAAACTTGAGAGGAAGTCAACCATGTTCCGGATTTCATCCTCGTCGCATTCATCGAGAGCATCAATGAAGCACATCACTGACTGATCGGTGAGCTGCTTTATTGCTTGTAGAAACAGATTTTGCAGGATTTCGATACTCCAGTCAGACCCGTGGGTCCCTTTGGCGATAGAATTAGAATTGAGGGTGACCTGGAGATCAGGCACGGCTAGAAGCAACTGGAATAACAATGAACGATACATCCCGATTGTTGAATTTTCGAGATATTCTCCTCGGGCGTTGAAGAAGAATGAAATGATCACCTTTTCTTTATTTTTCATGGCTTTGCGCGCATTTTCCAAGGTATACTTCATTATTGTCGATTTTCCAGCACCAGGCTTTCCCTTGATCCAGAGGAAGCCATGGTGCTCAGAATATTTGTTGAAATTCAGCCAGTTCTGATATTTCAGATTATCAAAGAGCCATTTGCACGTTTGAGTGTGGGCAGTCTTTATCGAAGCATGACGTGAATATATCTCATCAAATTCCAAGGACTCCAGAAGCTCCTTCCTTGAGGTTGGTGTTTTCTCAGACCAGATTCGCGGACTGTCGACCTCCTTGGCTTGGTAACGATGGGGTATGACACTGAGAAGCTCTTTGGCGTATGCAGCTGCTGACACAGCTGCGTATTCCTGCCATTGCTTGCTCTTATGCGAATCTGCGTAATCACAAATACCACGAATCGCAATGCTAGGGAAGTTGTCCATCAATCCGGCAGCTTCCATTTCGAAACAAAGAATCCCTAGTTCCCGGGAAAACTTGTCCCTTGTCTTCGCGTCCTTGATTACCTGGTTCCCAGATGCGATAGTTCCATAATGGACAATAGGATTAGTCGAAGGACGGGTAGCCCTGGGTTTGACCTGCGTCTTGTCGCAATTTCTGCACGTAAGTCCAGGGTCAAAGTGGTCATATGATGGGTGGAACAATATATCATGCTCCACTCCAGGATGGCTGTATTTGGCTTTCATGTCGGGGTATTGACGCAGCATTTCTGCGATGAAAGTAGGAATTTGGCCGTCCTTGCGCACCCGGTATTCCGCCTCAAGTTTTGCAGAGGCCGTCAGGAGGAGCGGCGGAGGCTTATTCAATGTTCCTGTTTGTTCAAATCGACCTCCAGACATTAGTTTCCCGTAGTCATATTGTATAACGGCTCCCCGTCCAGGCGAGGGCCTACTGACTACAACATCGCCTAGTCGTATGTCGTTTCTATCTGTAGGTGCACCTCCGCCAATCCCCACCATCAGCCAGAACTGTATGGATGGGAAGCTGAATCGCATTGAGTTTGCAACTGCCGTAGTGGAGGTTGTTCCATATACTCCGCCAGGGAGACAAGCAATCACACAATTATGTCCCATAATTGTCCCCAATGTGTATGTGTTGGTATCGCCATGACTGGTTCTCCCGCAATCCTCGTGAATCTCATCCATCATGGCACGTGCTGCTGCCATTTCGAGTGGCAGGGCTGATATCCATCCGATGGTATATTCGTGTCGAGGAAGACGCCTTCTAGGTGTCCAAAGAGTGGAAATTTGCTCTGAACCGCGTGCTTGTCCATCGCCATCATCGTCTAGTAGCTTTCTTCTTTTAGAGCCATGATCTGATAATTCGAGGCCTCGCCGCCCATTGTCTTCGCTGGGTAATCTTGACATGGTAGTTATTGAAGCCCTCGAACGTTAGTAGACAGCCTATCGCGCAAGAGGCTGTGTACTAGGTATTGAATCGCAAAACGTTGGATATCTGCAACCGCATCCTATTAGTAATTTTCACCTTTTCCTAATGACCGGATGTCTCGATAAAAGGCTGGAACTCACAAGAGGCTTTCTGCTCAAAGAATAAAAGTGACAAGCTTTCTCTTTCATCAGAGTACAGGCAGTTGATTTCTCTGTGTTTCGCTCTTGGAGGGGTTTTAATTACAAGGAACAAGGGCTGGGAAAAGACATGCATAGAGGAGGAATACCAGCAAGAAGAGGATGAACAGGTTACTGGTCTCCAAAACAGCCTTGCGCGCTCATTTTCCCGCCAGGGAGCCTCGCGGGGGCTCAGCCAATGTAATCCTTGTCAAGGCAGCTGCGACCCAACACACTCCTGGTTTAGACATGATGATCGGAGAAACATATTTTCTTTGGCGGCTAGAGGAGCTTAAGTGTATGGTTCTCGAGCTCTGGCAGAGGATTGCCCCCTGAAATGTCAAGACGCTCAATGTATCATCGTAAAAAAGCCTTACTCGATCTCAGCCTCGAACTATTGTGATGGGTGGGGTTTGGCATCGTCGTTGGGACTTAGCATCCCAAATAAGGCGTGTGAATGTCAACTTCTTAGCTTCAGCCACATATTCTGAATTAAAATCTCATAATCTTGATGTTTTATATCTCCGTCATGAAGGAAAACGTTGGGTTGGGATGAGATATTCAAGTCGAGGGTCTTGTGAGAAAATCAATATTACCTGATTAGGAATAGTTCTGACTAGTACTGATACGGTCTAGTGTATCTCAGTGTCACGTATCTCCACGTGACCTCCACCCAACGCGTCGCGTCTGTTTCTACCCGCGCCTCAACGCCTCGACGAATTCTATCGAGCACGACGACGATATCATCAGAAATGATTGAACCAGTTACTATTTCAGCACAGGAGATCCCTAGCAAGCAGCTAGAGGTATCTACCCCACAAAATCATGAAGAACACCAGTATCTCGACCTAGTAAGGGAGATTCTCGACGAAGGGGAGCACCGGCCTGATCGGTAAGATATTTCGTTCTGGATTAATACCAGTATGATCTCGGTACTAAACATATCTTCAGCACCGGAACAGGCACATTCTCGATCTTTGCACCCCGGCCATTGAAATTCTCCCTCAATAAGGATGGAACCCCCGTTCTCCCGCTGCTTACAACCAAACGCGTGTTTACCCGAGCCGTCATCGCAGAGCTGCTGTGGTTCATCGAGGGAAACACATCGTCACTTGCGTTAAGTGAAGCCGGCGTCAAGATCTGGGATGGTAATGGGTCTCGTGAATTTCTCGATAGCGTCGGCTTATCGCACCGTGCCGTGGGTGACTTGGGCCCCGTGTACGGCTTCCAGTGGCGACACTTTGGCGCGGAGTACGTCGATGCGAAGACCGATTATACCGGGCAGGGCGTCGACCAGCTGGCGGAAGTGATCCACAAATTGCGGACAAACCCGTACGATCGACGGATCATTCTCAGTGCCTGGAACCCTCGGGACATACGGAGCATGGCGCTACCACCCTGCCACATGTTCGCACAGTTTTACGTCTCCTACTCGAGGAAGAAGGGTGAGAACCAGGATGGCGAGAAGCCACAGGGTCATCTACACTGCCAGCTATACCAACGATCTTGTGACATGGGCCTGGGTGTCCCTTTCAATATCGCCAGCTACTCTCTGCTGACGCACATGATCGCCCACGTGTGTGATCTCGTCCCGGGTAGCCTCACGCACGTCATGGGTGACGCCCACGTGTACGCCGACCATGTGGACGCCCTGAAGGTGCAGCTCGAGCGCGAGCCACGAGAGTTCCCTGAGCTTGAGATTAGTCGGGAAAAGGGCGGCAGTATCGATGGGTGGAAGATCGAGGACTTTGTCATCAAGGGATATAATCCTCACAAGACGATTGCCATGAAGATGTCTGTATAATATGTATTTCGATAGAAGTATATTTACGAATAGATGAATTACACTGGACCAATGTCCTGGAAGAAGAGTGTCTCACGATTGCAAAAATCACTCTTTGCGAGTCAACTCCTTGGAGTCAACAAGTTCCCACCCCTGATCACCGGATCCAAAAATAACAGCCTTCCCTTGGCTTACGTCCAACCATCCCTTAGCTCGTAGTCCCTCGGCCCCATCTTCCGCAAAAGCAAGATATAAATCCTGCCACGCACGGGACAGCTTGTACTCTTGTTCTGTTGATTCCCCGCGGAACAGGTCATGCGTTCCGAAAATCAGAGGCAATTCTGAGGAGTGATAGGCTCTCATCCACGGTCGGGGAGATATATTCGGGAACGATGATTCCGATGGCGCAGCCGGGTCTTGGTAGAGGTATCTGAAGATTGGGGTGTGTTTGGAGCGGAGCCTATAGAATTGTGAGATAAGAAGAGAAAGAAGAAGAGGGAAAAGGTTCATCCGTACGAGATGGTTTTGTCTGCCGGGTCATCGAAGATCATCTTGGTCAATTTCCGTGAGGCCTCCACATCGCATGACTCGGGGTTATATGGGACGAGGGAGTTCCCTTCATCAGCTGTAGTGCCAATGATGACTGGCTGTAGACATTAAATTAATCAACAAAAATACGAATCGTTTCGAAGAATGGAAAACTCCACAAGGACCCCTCACCACTTTGCTAAATCTCCCATCTCGCAGCCGAGCTTCGTAGTCCTCGCACTCGAGCTCAGTCCGTCCATCAACAATGGGTTGGAACCGTAGTATTGGCTCCGCACCGGTTTTAGTATGTTCCTCGCGGAATTTGGTGAGCCTTTCCGCCGGCTGCTGGCGCATAAAATCCAGTTCAGCTGCTGCGTCACCGCCGGGAAACCCGAGAGATTTGGCAACGAAGCTGAAATGGGAATGCGTCGGATCATTGACGTTCAGCGGGAGCAAGGCCGCGCCCGAGTTGAGAATGACCCCTCGGACAAGGGAGTTGTCGGCATAACTGAATCCATGGCAGTCGACCGATCGGGCACCAGCAGATTGACCCCAGTATGTAAGACGGTCCGGATCTCCCCCAAAGGCACCGATATGTTTATGCACCCATTCCAGACCAAGACGCTGGTCGAGGGTCCCGAGGTTTTGCTCTGTCAGCGGCAACCCTGCTGCATTCGGAAAACCGAAGATGTTCAAACGATAGCTAAAGAATCAGAAATCAATATCAAAAAAGAGAAAAAAAATTATCGCTAAGATCAATCAACATACTTGATGGAGACTACAATGTGTCGCTGGCTGGATTCCACCCATGGCGCTGGGTTCTGATAAGGCACCGTGTTCCCGCCGCCGAGATACGCACCCCCAGTCACCCACACAATAACTGGCAGCGCCGAGGCTGTTCCCTGGGCCTTGTTGACTGCCGCAACCGGGGTCCAGATACAGAGAGACAGGCAGTCCTCAGAGGTAGCATCGTTGATCACGAATTCCCGCACATCCGTGTTGTACGTTGTCTTGAAAACATCCACCACCTGGGGACAAGAGGGTCCGAACTCGGTCGCATCAATAGACGCTACAGGGGCCTTGGGCACAGGAGGCAGCCATCGCCGAGGCCCAGTAGGGGGTTCAGCAAAGGGGACCCCGAGGAACTGGGCGACACGGGGGTATTTGCTGTCAATGAAGCCAGTCGTGGCTCCGATCGAGCAATCGACCGTGATCAGCTCTTTCCCCGACATATTGCTAGTAATTCGTAGGTTTGTGGCTCGTGCAGCTGGTCCAGTCCAGGGGTTGAAGAGGGGTCATCCCAGGCGAGAGTCGTACGGAGTAAAAGCGATCGTCCAAAACCCCCGCCGCCTGCTCGAGGCTAAAGCGGCACTACGCAGAGCGACGGGGCCGAGAGACCCTCCTTCCACGTGCCATGATATTCAAATTATTGTTGCGAACGCCGTATCCTCGATGGAATTGTCGCTCGCTCAGACTGTCGTCGAGACTGAGTTGAAAGAGCGCCACTGTCTCATCACTACCTATCGCTACTGATTCCTACTTGTTATTAACTTGCCCCGGAATCCGGTTAACGGAGGCTGAATGCGGGGAAAGACGCCCAGGGTGATCAGAGACAAGTCTGACAACTGCAGCCTTTTCAAGACAAGACTAATTTATTTCCTGGCGAAGGAGAATGCCGTTCGATAGCCCTTGTGACAGTTGTGCTCTTCGCAGAGTGAAATGCGACAGACAGTTTCCCTGCCACCCGTGTCTGTCACGGTCCCAGGATTGCACGTACCTGCGGATCCGCAAGAGACCGGGTCCGAAAGGTCCACGGCTGGGAACAAGTCTGCGGATCAAGGAGATGCAGAGGAAATACTTGCATGAGCGTATGCCGGCGGCGATATTGGGGATATCAGCGACTGTTTCGAGCAGTGACGCCGGTCAACAGTATCGGATCCCATTATCCGCGTACCTCGCTCAGCTCGATGTCTTTCAAACCCGGCTGTACAACACTTGGCCGATAGTGTCGATCGACGACTTGAAAGTCAGGCTGGTACAAGGAAGCACGGATATGACGGTCAATGCTCTCGCGGCTGCGGTATGTGCGGCAGCCATGGCCCAGTTGAGGATCTTCCATGCTGTGTCGCCAGGCGAGGCCTCCGCGGTGTCCGTTCAAGACTTTGCGAGGGAATGTCTGCATTTCCGGGAACAGTCTGACTATCTTCGGAAACCATCACTTGACGCTTTACTCACATCACTGTTTTTGCACATGTTTTATGCCAATACGGGTCAGATTGTGGCTGCCACTCTCGCGCTGCGAGAGGCCATTGCATATACGCATCTCCTGAATCTCGGGGCTCTTGCGACACTGGATCTGTGTGGTCCAGAGGACAGGAAACTGAGACTGCGAGTGTATTGGATTTTATTTATAACAGAAAGGTCAGTTTGTTGAATGATTCCTTCACCATAACACAGGCTGACCCCCTTTCTTCAAGGACATTCTGCATTCAACACAGTCTTCCTATGACTCTCCAACGAGCAGAAGATACCCCCGAAATCCTGATGGAAGACAGTCAGTTCCCTGGCCAGAAAGGCTTCTCAGCTCTCATTCAGCTATTTTCCCACATTCACAACAGCCTCCTTCCCTCACACTGCTTGACGATGCCAGACATGTCGCCCACTACATACTCACGAACACATATTCTTGACATCCACCGCCAGATTCGCCAGAGCGTGCCGCCCTTCCGCTCCATGCCTGAAGCGCAATCCGTAGATATTGTGGCCACTTCTGCCTGGATCCGGTCTCTCCTTTGGCAGTACTCTGCCTTCCACTTTATGCTTTCCTCCTCTTCTACAGTTGAAACGTTGGCCATTGATTACCCATTCACCATCACCAAGGACTTCTTAGAGTCCCTTTCAGGGATATCAGAGGACTCTATCCGTGCGCACGGTTATGGGATGGTAATACATCAAACCTTTACAGAACCCCTTTTTCCCGGGGGAAACCACAATAAGCAGACAGCTGACACTTTTCTTAATCCAACAGGAAATCAAACTCCTACAAATCTCGAACGCCGTACTAGACATCTTCTCCTGTGCTCCTCACCTTATTAAATTTGAAGCCTTTAGATGCGGTCCACAAGACGCCATTCTATCCCTAGAGAAACTCCTACTGTCTGTTGGAGGAACGGGGTCCGAACAGCTTAAACTGCTACGTACGCGTATGTCCCAGACGGGACTCTGGTCTCAGTCTCTTCGAAGTTTGCATTTTCCGGATGCAATCATTGGGGTGCAGGGAGATGAGTCTCATCACCACCCCCTCTCGAATATAGAAGAGCTAGATGCGGAGTGTCTAGTGATAGGGGAGAACATGGGCTCTGTCTCCTAAAGTCATCTAATCATTATCAGTGTATAGGAAACCGTAGGATTAGGCCTGGTGACACTCAACCACAAGTCCCCAACGCCCTATACTACATATAGTATCTCTCTAGGAGTGTAAGGGAGCAGATCTTTGAACATCTGGGTCATGCTTTACCTAAGGATCCATTCTTGTAAGCCACCAGTCCTGTATGATAACAATGTTCTTAGCGCCTCTATACTAAGATCTCTTCATTTCGTCTTTCAGGCCCATAGGAGATGGTTTAGTAGGCTTCGTTGTAGAAGGCTTTTTCAATCTCCTCGAATATGTCCCCAAAACACGCGTCACAGGATCCCATTCTTCCTCGTATGAATTCCAGAGCGCGATATATTTTCTGGAGTCGAGCAATCTGAAAGATGTCGTCACTCTTGTGTGTGCTGTATTTTTGCTGTATCATTTGAACAATTCTAAGAATCATTCTTAGAAAACCTTCTTGAGGAGTGTTTCTGTTATCATCAGTCCGGCTGCAGTGTGCATCGTACTGCAGCTTAAGTTCATCACACTGCTGTTTCGCCTGTTGGAGAGCTCGCTCATTTCTGTAGACTACCCTAGTTGATGGCAGCGTAAGACTATTCAAGGTTTGCAGGATAGACTCTTTGCAATTGATGATTGGATATTTCCATATATTTCTCTCAGGTCGATAGCCATGCTGCCCATCCTTCTTCCTGCCGGGGAGTGTATGAGATTCCGGAGAAGCATGGTCTTGTGTTGAAAGCATGGTAGAATTTTGGTTGCAGCATGCCTTATCACATAGAGCAACCACAATCTCTGGGCTGATTGGCATGAAGAGATGTGCGCGCAGCTTTCTGTCATCCTGTGTAGTCTCTAGCCTTCCTTCAGGTCGAACAAGAGGATCACCAAGCAAGAACTCCATCCCTAAAGGTGCTTTCCATATTTCTAATTGCATTGGTGCAACCAAGGTGCATAATTGAATGGCGTTGTTCAACGTTGCATTTGTTTTTGTGCCCGAGGAAGTAGCTTCATCATCATCACAAATAGGCTGTGATGACAAAATTTGCTCAAAAGGATGTTGAAGGAGATACTGTAGCATCTCCAACCATTCTCCACGTCTAGCTTCCACTGCGTTTGCATTTTTCCCCAATATATCAGGAGTGGGATTTTGGTGTATGATGTGGTTTCGAGACACCTTTGTCCGAAGAGAAGAGACAACAAAGAACTTTTTGATGCTTTCGACATCACTGTCGGAGAGCATCACAGTACTTTCAGATTTCTTCATTCCGGAAAACGCTCGACCTGTATCCGCCTCCAACTTCATAAGGAGTTTCTCTATGTCGTCTTGGCCGGCACTCGTCCTATATAGGTTGAGCTCTCCAAATTCGACATCTAGGGAGGTTGTTTTCGACGTGTCGGTTGGAAAGCTGTAAACGTTTCTCTCGAAGTCAGTAAAGAACGAGGCATCATTGAGAACAATACCACAAACATATTTTTCCCTTCAGCAAAGGGCTTCAGGATGAACCGGGGAAGGTAGTGCTGATATTGGGCCTCCGCCATCTTAGTATCTGTGGCTCTCTTTATGAATGAAGGGGCCTTTTGGACACAATGCTCCTGTCATTACCTTTGTTTCATAAAGAAAAACAATGCCCTTTTATAGGCGAAAAGAACCCCTATTTCACAAAGGTTGACTCATTGGGAGCCCTCGTTTTGGCGAGAGGATCGGCGCCATCTCCAGGGGTATAGCAAATATTTCGTTCTAATTGGTCTTTTGCGTGATTCTTAGATATCAACAACTCGCTAGTGACTCAGTCAGTTTGAATAATATGACCTGTCTGTCATTTTCATCCGATTTAATTTCATTCTTGAGGGAGAAAAAGGAGCGGTGAGAGAATTACAGGGTTCAGAACACTCACAGGCCTACGCGTCCTCCGAAATGGGTAAATCCTGAGGTCAAAGATACGACCCATTTTCTGGCGCAACCCTGATCTGCTGTGTTGTACTTAACTAAAGACTAGCCCTGAGCGCAGCAATCGGGGATAGTGAGAAGAAACCAGGTTGAAAGTCTGATACTGTAGTTAGAAAACCGCGAACTCGCCCTCCTAAATTGTTGGCGTGTGTTTTTGCGCAGGGTTTGACAAGGCTGAACCATATCACGTGCCCAGGGATAGACCCAAACAGGCAGTCGCACGGACTCACCCCAACACCAGCGTTTGCAATTGCAAAATATTTCTTCTCAGGCCGAACACGGCTCCTTGACGGGCTTCACTGGCTGGTCATGGCAGCTGTTCTACCTTTTCTACCCTGTTCACATCCTGGCCACTTTGAAAATGTCCCTGTTCGACAGGACGCCCAAATTCTAGCGAGAATTGCTGCGAGAGTTCAGGCGACCACTCACAGCCACAAATAACGAAAAACCGCACCAATAGACAAAAGATTAGGATATGCTGTGCTATTTGGAGGACTTGACCTTCAAACCATGGGGAAAGCGATGGGAGGACGGACATATAAGGACGTCTCTACCCCCCTCGGTTGTTGTTTGAAGGTAAACTCATCCTCTAACTACACACGATCTTCCTGACTCATCTTTGAAGTATGGATAGCAAGTCGACCAGCTATGTCAATGATAAACTCGCCGTGCCCGCGCCATCGCTGGGTGCCGACACAGTGGGGATCGACGACGAACTGCTCCTGAGAATGATGGAGCATATCCCCGACTTTCGCGCAACCGTGCAAAAGGCTCAGCATGCAACGCAGTTCGAACACAACCTTACCAACTGGGAGGCTATCAAGCTGTATCCCAAGGCTGTCTGCTTCTCCTTTATCCTCTCGCTTGCGCTCGTCATGGAGGGGTACGATACCTCCTTGTTAGGGTCGTTTTACGCATACCCAGCCTTTGCAGAGCGTTTCGGCGTACTGGCGTCCGACGGCACCTATCAAGTGACCTCTAAGTGGCAGTCAGGCTTGCAAAATGGTACGCAAGTTGGCCAAATTCTGGGATTGATGGTGGCAGGAATGATAGCCGACCGGGTGGGCTACAAGAAGACAATGCTGGGGGCATTGATCCTGTTGGTTGGCTGCATCTTTGTGCTGTTTTTTGCCCAGAACATTGGCATGTTGTTTGCTGGGGAGGTGCTCTGTGGTCTGCCGTGGGGGGCTTTCCAGACGCTGACAACCACATACGCTGCGGAGGTCAGTCCAGTGGTGCTACGGCCCTACCTGACAACCTATGTCAATCTATGCTGGGTCACTGGCCAGATGATTGCAACAGGTGTTTTACGTGGTCTGCTCAGTGTCTCTGGTGAGTGGGCATGGCGGATTCCTTACGCCATTCAATGGGTTTGGCCTGTCCCAATCATAATCGGGGTTCTTTTCGCACCGGAGTCTCCCTGGTGGCTTGTCAGAGAAGGACGACACGATGAGGCTCGCAAGTCGCTCAAACGCCTCACTACCGCTCATTATCCCGACTTTGACCTTGAGGACACCGTTGCGATGATGGTTGTCACGGACGTACAAGAACGGCTCTCACGGCAAGGTGTCTCGTACTGGGACTGTTTTCGGGGAGTCAACCGTCGTCGAACCGAGATCGTCTGCTGCGTGTGGATGATCCAAGTTTTCTGCGGTGTCTGGTACGGCGGAAACATTGTTTATTTCCTGCAACAAACCGGGTTCACCTCTGTCCAGTCCTTTGACTTTGGCCTCGGTACAAATGCCATCGGCTGGATGGGCACCGTTTGCTCCTGGTTCGTGATGCAATATTTTGGTCGCCGGACCCTCTACATCACCGGCCTGGCAGTCATGTTCTCCGCTTTGATGATCATCGGCTTCATGGGCATTCCGTCCTCGAGCTCTGCAGGCATCAGCTATGCCTCTGCTGCGATGATGATAATTTTTGTCTTCACGTACGACATCACGGTCGGACCTGTCTGTTACTGCCTTATTTCCGAGATTCCATCAACCCGGCTGCGCATCAAAAGCGCTATCCTCGCCCGGAACTGCTACAACATCGCCACCATCATCGCTAACTTCCTCAACCCACCGATTCTGAACCCGACCGCATGGAATCTCAAGGGCAAGGGCGGGTTCATCTGGGCGCCTTTCTGTTTGGCTTGTTTGATCTGGTGCATCTTTCGACTTCCTGAACCCAAGGGCCGCACTCCCCCGGAACTTGATGTCCTCTTTGAACAAAGCGTGAGTGCAAGGAAGTTCTCAAAGATGCACGTCGATCCATTCCGCTCAAACAATTTCATCATCGCCTCGGGTTCCGCGGAGGAGCGTTAGTCTAGCATTGGTTCCTGTTTGCATAGCAACGGGAGAGCAGCAACAGCTAGTAGTAGTTATCATATTGTATGGAGATGATTCCCAATTTATATGGCTCACTTCTTCATAAGACCCCTAGTGTCGCGTGCCTGGACTCGAGCATGGGTCATAATTTAAGCTGTCGTGGATACGCACCAAATTAGCGCCAAGAGCGATCTACAGAATGGTTTGAGTTTAGGACAAAGATGAGACATGATTGGCCCTGCTAAAAATATGGCCTCTCCAGCCACAAGAAATGTTTGGTTGGTTTGTCATTTTAACGAGGCGCAGTGCGTGGCATGTGAAACGACGCGTAGGCCTTGACGCCGCATTGGCAGATATAATAACTCATCCCTCTCCCAAACATTACACAGATACAGATACAACCAGATACAGATTCTCGCTACATTGAACAAGTTATGGCTCCGGTCTACGAGACCTCTTTTTCCAACGCAGGACTCGCTGCTCGCGATGTACTCGTGCGGCGAGGGCTTTCAGTCGACCACACACAAGCAGTCACGCTGGGGATCATCGGCGCTTACGTTGTGGTGATTGCGCTTCTATGGAATCTCCCGTATGTGAGATGGTCATTGTGGCCGTTCAAGGTATGCCTTTTGATGAGAATTTGCTTTTGGTGGGAGTGGCGAGACTGGCGAGTGCTAACCGCTTAGATGCTGGTGATTGCCTTCCACGAATTCGGACACGCCAGTACAGCCATGTGCACGGGCGGGCACGTCCATGAGATCAAGCTCGACCCGCGCGAAGGGGGGGTGACGCATCTGTCGGGGGGGATCAGCGCGATCACCCTCCCTGCTGGATACCTGGGGTCATCGCTGTTCGGGGCGTTGTTGATATTCTGTGGGTTCGATATTGTGGCGAGTAAAGTCGCGAGTTTCGTGCTCGGGGTTTGCTTCCTGTTTACCCTGTGGTGGGCGCGGAGGGACTGGTTGACTATCATGACTGTCTTGCTGGCGGTGGGGTTGCTGGTTGCTTGCTGGTTTATTGACCATGCAGAGCCTTTGCGATTTGTTGTGGTGAGTCATGCACCTACAGTTGGTTTGGATTATGCTAATAGACAGCTCTTCATTGGTGTCATGTCTTCTCTCTACAGTGTGTGGGATATTGTATGTATTCTTTATTCCTTTTCTCTCTGTGATTTTCGACTCTTCTAACAACCTAGTGTGACGATCTCATTCTCGACAAGGTCAACAAGTCCGACGCCAGTCAGTTCGCCAAGCGGTACGGAGGATCGTCACGCTGCTGGGGTATTGTGTGGTTCTTCATCTCGCTGATCTTCATGGTCATCGGCATCATTGCAGGCATTGCTGCCTTTCCTGAATCCTTCAGCCAGCAGGAGAAGGATTCGTCGCATTTCATTCCCACGCGGTGACGTTACGACTTATGACAAAACATTCGATTGATTATAGCTGTTATCTGATAATGAAGTAACTAAGCTAGTGGATCCTCTATCCTACTTACCTCGGTAGTTATAGTATTCAGTCGCTACCTACCTGCTAGCCAATGACATCCTACAGTCACTGCTTGTTCTAGATCGTGAATCTATCGGATAGATACCGGCCATCGGACTAGGAGATGATCTCTAACTAACTAATTAGGTTGATTACAAGCTGGAGTCGATTCGCACGTGGCTTCCCGAGGACTATTAATGAGCTATATTACGTTTAAATTAAATCTCAAGCCATACTCCATCCCTGGTTTCACATTTCCCACTATTGAACGTGGCAAATTGACAATAGGTTATACTTCGGACCAGACCTCGCCTAGAATAAAGTCTTGGCTAGGTACCTAGTAATATTGACTAGGCTATTACCTAGTGGTAACGACTAGGCTATTACCTAGGTACCTAATTAACAATTCCTCCGTAGCTAGCGTTGGAATGGCTGAGTTCGGGCCGGGCTTTGAAGTCTACGCTGAGCCCTGAAGAAGGAGGAGCCTGGAGGCTTGAAAGTTGACCCTCCCCCTAACACGTGGCTTAGTGACACATCAACAGAAGAAAAGATCAGCGGTGGATATCAATTTAGCAAGCAGCCTCCACATACGTACGGAGTACAGTATACACTGTCTACTGTCTAGTCTCGGTACTCCTCCGTATACTCGAACACATCATGTTCGCAACCAAGCCGTCGGGACCCTCCATAGATCTAACATGATCAATTCCTCCATCTTGGTGCATGTGGGCCGAAGTTCATGCATAAGTACTCCGTATACTAAGCTACTAACTAGTTATGGAGTACCCATAGTGACTGTTAGTTAGCTAGTAGTTAATCACTACGAGAGTATAGTGATTAGAAGCTGGGTACCTAGGTACCTACCTAGTAGTACCTACAGGTAAGTTACCTACTACGTACCTACCTAGGTAATAGAAAGAATACCAGTATCGCAGGTACCTTACCTACCTAAGGTACCTTAGTACTGTAGTACCTACCTACCTAGCTGTAGAGGTAGTAATACCAAAGTACAGCAATACATTAGGTACCTTAGTAAGTACCTAGTACAAAACAGATAACCTACAGCCAATCAGCGTCGAGAACCCGCCCAGGGCCAAAACGTGGCCGAACGCGCCGCTGGAAATGGCCGGTGGGTCGTGCACGGCCGCAGCCACTGAGTGTTGCGCATTGCAGCACGTTCTCGCAGGCCTCCAGGGTCTGGCAGTCGCTATAAAATGATGACGGGACAAGCGGGGGGGGGAAAGGGCAGGTGGTGAAGGAGGGAAAAACCGGCATGGAAGGCTCCCTACCTGGGCGGTTATAAACCTATTCGTTTAAGAAAGGAGCTGAGCGGGCGATGATCTTCGCGCAAAGCACCCTTGCCAGAATAAGACTATGAGTTAAAAAAGCACACAGACGATGCGATGAGCCTTCGCTACGACCCCGACGACTGGCCGCTCCCCTCGCCCTCCCGCCGCGCCTCCAACCGCACCAGCAGCGTCTCCTCCTCCACCGTGGACTCGGAGACCATCAGCCTGCTGTCGCTGTCCAACTTCCCCCCTCCGCCCGTCACGCCGGCGACGTCGCCGGGTATCGCCCCGCGCAAGGCCTCGTGCCTGTCGTTGCTCGATGAGACGGTGCGTCTCGAGCTCAATCCGTCGGTGACGATGTACGTTCTCTTACTGTGCTCTCTTTACATTATTCTATGCGTTTTTTTTTTTTTTTTCTAACTCTTATTCTATTCATAGCTCCTTCGTTCGCAACAGCAAACTGTTCAAGTTGCGGTATACCTTCATCGACGTCGTCAAAGATTCCACCGGCACGCTACGATGTCTCGAGCTCGGAGGGGGGATGGGGCAGTCCAGTGCCTTTCTACACAGCTGTACGACTACTGGAATCGATAGATGGTTTATTTGCTTCGATTGTTTACTGACGACTTAGTCCAAAATACGAAGCTACCAGTCCCACACGTCGAACACCCAAAGCTCCCGAATGAACCTTCTCTCCGCGTCTCCTTTCTGGACGAACAGACCGTCCAGTCAGGCACCACCGTCTTCACCACCCAACTCGCCTACACCTTTGATACATGGATGGGTGAGTCTCCCAAGTTTGCAAGTTTGCACTTTTTCCTTGGACTCACTTTGTAGACTGTGTCCGATTCCAAGAAGCGCTGCTCGCTTCCAAGCTCGTCTTCATTGCCGGTATCGCCGAGGCTCGCTCCAAGGGCCGCGGCGAGGAATGCATCAGCCAGAACATCCGGGTGCTGTGCGGCCGCAACGACAAGCTTGTCCTCCTCTTCTTCGCCAACTCCCAGCGAAAAGAGCTCAAACGATATATCTCTATACCAAGTAGGCAGTCACGCACCTACATGAAAATAGAAACTAATTGTTTCAGTCAACTGCATTGAGAGCTTCCACCCCGGAAAACGGGCGGGTAAACCCGTTGTCTTGACGCTCCAACCCAACTTTGACCTCCTCACGCATATGAAGACTTTGCAGATCGAGTTTCTCGAAGACAGCGGTATGTACCTCGGAGATCCCCCTTTCGGCGTTCAGTCCCCGATAGTCAACTGATTAGTGCTCGGCAGATCGACTCCGATTCTGCGACTTTCTGAACCACCAACTACGCTAGTGGTCTTGCATGGTACATAGAGAGCATGGCTGGCGTTTGTTTCTTTTCTTCTTTTTCCTTGGCATGACATACCCACCACTTTTTATTTCGCTTAGCTAGATTTGTAACGAGCACGTGGGAAGAGTGTACCTTTACCTTCTTACTCTACCTATATAATATAAACTATAATCAACCATAGACACCAGTTCTTGTCCACCACTACTTACTTAATTTATCTCTACTACCAAACAGGTACCTACTATTAAGAGAAGCTGGCATGTGTAAGAGGACCCAGGACCATGATGGTAGGTACCTACTATGGAAAGAGGTACTAGTAGTACCTGGTAGCAGGCATTGTACTACTAATGAAAGTCCTCCCTGATTGGCCCCTCGCACCCATCCATTTCTGGCATGCAGTAGCGCCCAGGGTCCGTGCAGCATGGACTAGGTACGGTCTAGTACAGATGTGGTAAGTGTCGGATCCACCCCGACGTCTGGCAGCCGGCGATTCTCGCACGTGCAGCCAGGGGGGGTCACCGGGGCTGGACAAGGCCGAGGCGCATGCTGCAATGCTCGTCTGCTGCTGGACAGTCACTTAGTACTAGGGACCTTATTAGGTACACCAAGGTTTCTAGTTTTATTTTATTCTATAAACTCCGTACTGTACTCCGTAGTAGTAGTAGTAGTGTTATCACCTGATGCCGGCGAGTCGGCTGCAGTAAAATCACATCATGTCAAACCACTTGCCTTGAACTGCTCCTAACCTGTTGGTCATTGCTTTTGGCCACCTCCTGGCCTCTCTCTCTTTACGGTGTATCCCCGCCTGCTAGTCAGGCCCCCCCAGTTCTGTACCTGGTACCTCCCACTACCACTACCCTACGCCTACCCTACGCCAACGCCAACGCCTCCTCCTCCTCCTCCTCCTCCTCCTCCTCCTCTTCCTCCTCTTCTTCCTCTTCACTTCTCCCACTCTGTCACTCTTTTGTCATGCATCGATATAGTCATCAATAACTCACATCATGGGCAAGTTTCGCAGCCGGTTATACAAGACCGACCGGGCGCGGGACTTTGATCACGAACAGGTAGGTAGTGGGATTAGAATTACCACTTCACCAGAGATTTGGTGATGAGAACCTACTGACACTCTATACTACATAGGACCGCCATGTTCGTATGCGTCAGATCTACGAAACCATCGACCGACAAGGGTTTCAATGGGTTGTCGTTCTCGTAGCCGGTGTCGGCTTCTTCCTCGACGGATACACAGTGCGTTACCTACTCTAGTCTATACTTTTGTACGAAGCCGTCTTTTTTTTTTTTTTTTTCAGAGGCTCATTTTTCAGCTCTTCGCTAGTAATATCGCCCTTCCTATGATCCAGTATGTCTACTGGCAGGATGATACCTCGTCACGGCGCACCACGCTTATCAACATCGCCACCCTGGCGGGCACGCTACTCGGCCAGGTCGCATTTGGCTTCCTCGCAGACAAGAACGGCCGCAAGAAGATGTACGGCGTCGAACTGGTCATGCTCATCACCGCCACCCTGGGCGTTGTCATGGCCTCCAACGGTACCCACAACAGCATGAGCATCTACGCCTGGCTGCTATGGTGGCGGGTGGTTGTCGGGATCGGTGTGGGCGCTGACTATCCGCTCAGTGCGGTCATTACATCTGAGTAAGTCTACTTTGCTGCTTTTTTGAGTTTTTTTCTGACTTTCAGATTTGCTCCTACCAAACACCGCGGCCGGATGATGGCTACCGTCTTCTTCATGCAGCCCCTCGGGCAGATCGCTGGGAACCTGGTCTCGCTGGTCGTGATCGCCTGCTCGCGGAGTCAAGGGGAAGATGACCTGGTGCGGACGGTCGACATGATGTGGCGGTGGGTGATTGGCATCGGGGTTGTGCCTGGCGTGATCGCGACGTTTTTCCGCTTCATCATCCCGGAGTCCCCGCGCTACCTGCTCGACATCGAGGACGACCCGATCAAGGCCGAGTTCGATGCGACGACCCTGTTCAACGACCCCGTCACCCCGTCCGCCTCCGACATGATGGACGGGTGGAACAATATCCCGCTGCCCGCCCTGTCGCTGTCCGGCGTGCGCTCGCTCGACGAGGACACGGTCACCTGCTCGCCCGTCGACTACGCTACGCAGCCCGCGACGCTTAATTCGCACTGGCCGCTGCTCAAGGCCGATCTCATCCGCTACTTCTGGACCGAGGGCAACTGGCGCATCCTGGCCGCCACCTCCTTCTGCTGGCTGCTGCTCGACTTTGGCTACTACGGCATCTCCTTCTCCAGCCCGCAATTTCTAGCCAAGACCTGGGGGTCACTGCATCTGTCCGGCCCGGCCCCCTCCTGGGAGACGGACGACCGCGCCAACGCCAACGTCTACCTCATGTTCATGAACACCTCCATCCACGCCCTGGTCATCCTCAACGCGGGGAGTTTCGTCGGCGGCATGCTCTTCATCATGCTCGCCCACAAGGTCGACCGCGTCTCGCTGCAAAAGTACGGCTTTCTCATGCTGGCCGCCCTCTTCATCGCCATGGGCGTCATGTTCATCACCGTCCACACCGAGGGCGCCCCCGCCGTCGTCCTCTACATCCTCGGCGAGCTGCTCTTCAACCTCGGCCCAAACGCAACCACCTACATCATCCCCGCCGAGATCTTTCCCACCCGCTACCGCGCCACCTGCCACGGCCTGTCCGCCGCCTCGGGCAAACTGGGCTCCATCCTCGTCCAGCTCTTCAGCACCTACTACAAATTCTCCGGCGAAGGCAACGCCCAGACCATCCGCTACGGTTGGGTCATGATCGTCTTTGCCGCTTGCATGATCCTCGGCGCTGCCGTCACCCACGTCTGGATCCCCCCCGTCCAGCGTCGACAGTCGGGCATCGCCCGCTTCTGGGGCGGCAAACCTGAAACCCTCGAGACCCTGGCTCTCGGCCGTCTCGGTGCTGGCAGCCGCTACGCTGTCCGTAACCAGGCTTCCTCTAGGGGTGTCAGGACGTGGGTTACCGTCGGAGAGTAATCTTCTTTCTTTACCACTTCTTCTTTTATCACATCTTTTATCACTTCTTCTTCTTTCTCTATATATCCATTTTCTTATATCCATTTTCTTATCACTTCTTCTTTTCTCTATCCATTTCATGTATAATGTTTCTTATGATAGATCAGGATACTCTCAGGACACTACAGGAATAAATAGAATATAACATAAGCCATGAAAGTAACAGCCTGTTAGTATGTATAGATGGGGTAGAGAAGTAGGTATTATTACTTACTAGTAGGCACTACTTACTAGTCTACAGGAACAGCCATACCATCTCCCCTCCCATCACTCCCAGCACTATGTACGTCTCCCTGCCGACGAATGATCTGCCCCCGTCCAAAGATATCACGATCCCACCCGGTCAGAACAGTGATATTATGCCCCCTTTGTACCAAGCCGTCGATTGTCTCCTGAGCGATTCCTTCCTCGATATATACCTGGGTGGCTTCTGAAGAAGAAGAACCCACACCTACACAGATCCGAGGTGCATCAAGTGCAACCTGGGGATTCATACCGAAGACGAGCTGGTTGAGTAGCACCTGCACGTGGCCCTGTGGTTGCATGAAGGCGCCCATGACCCCGAACACGGAATGGAGGGATCCGTCTTGTGCGTGTGTCGTCATGGCGGGGATGATAGTGTGGTATGGTCGCTTTCGCGGGGCGAGGACGTTCGGATGCCCGCGTGTCAGGGAGAAATTGGCCCCGCGGCTTTGGATGGTGAACCCGCAGTTTGGAGGGATGATGGCGCTGCCGAACCCGTGGTAGGTACTGTTGATAAAGGAGATGGCGTTGCCCGCCGCATCAGTGACGGCAAAGTATACTGTGTCGCAGGAGTTGAGGGCTGGGCTACGGTTGCCGTGGTGGATGATCGGGGAGGCATGGAAAGGGTCAAATAGGTTGGCCCGCGAGGCAAGGTACGACGACGACAGGAGGTCCGGGGTTGGCGAGTGGTCTGGGTCGGCAATCCACCACGTTCCATCTGCAAAGGCGATCCGGAGACTCTCGATGAGGAGGTGCAGGTACTCTGCTGAGTTGTGTGGGAAGGTGGTCTCGGTCAACGGTGGGATCTGGCCTGATTCCTGCAGTTGTTGGATGATGCCTAGCGTCATCAGGGCGATGATCCCCTGGCCGTTTGGGGCATGTTCCCATACATCGACGCTGTGGCTGGCGGTGGTGAATCGCAGGGATATCGGGCTTCCCTCCTGGCTGCCCTTTGCGGCGTGGTATTGCAGATCCTCCAGGGTGAGATAGCCCCCGAGCTCGTGCATGATCTGGGCAGTTGCCTCGGCCACGGGGCCATCGTAGAATCCTTTCTTTCCATGGCTGGCCAGGCGGCGGAACGTGTTGGCGAGAGTTGGGATCCTCATGATCTCCCCTGGCAGCGGGGCTCTGACGCCCTCCTCTGCCGCAACGTCTTCTTTGAGCATTTCTCGGAAATTCGGCGATGCTTTACGCAGGAAGCCTTCGTTGGCTCGCCACTATCCCCATTAGTTCTGATAATGAGACGATTGACTCATAAGATAGTTGATTAACTCACGTAGTGTGAAGATATTTCCGAGGCTGGAAACCCCTTCTCAGCTAGCACAATAGCAGGATCCAAGATCTGTCTCAAAGAAAGCTTCCCACTGCCAAATTTCTCGACTGTATCTACCCACCCGGCCGCTGCCCCGGGAGTGGTGACGGCAAACACGCTCGTCAACGGGATACTCCCCTCCTCGGTCTCGGACAGGTTCAACTTCCGTCGTACTTCTTCCAGGGTGATGCTTGCAGGGGCGCGTCCGGATCCATTCAGCGCCTGGATCTTCTTCGTCTTGCCGTTATAAAACAGACAGAACATGTCTCCTCCAATCCCGGTGGACCATGGCTCCGTGACATTAAGGCAGGCGGCTATCTTGTCAGGAAGTCTTGCAGTAAGTAGTTGAATATGAACCCTACTAACCAACGGCTACTGCGGCGTCCTGCAAGGCATAATCAGTATTTCTTTTTTTAGAAAATACCTTAGGAAACTCTTACTGCAGCGTTCCCTCCTTGTCTGAGGATATTCTGTCCAGCAACAGCCGCGAGAGGTTGAGTACAAGCAACGATACCATTGAGACTATGCACAACGCTTCGTCGGCTGGCAAAAGGTGTGAATACGCGATCCATTGAGACTCAAAGAAGAGAATAGCCACCAAAGTCTCATCACCACTACACCTGTCCTGAGCCATCTTGTACTCCCATCTTATACTCGGTTTACAGCAAATGCGGGGTCTCCAGATGAGTCAGCATTCACAGGCTTCTATTGACTATAGAGTAGTTAGTTAATTGAGAATGATTGGATGACACGGGGAGACAAGAACAAACTCCGGATGGCTCGTATTAGTTATGAGATAAAGACCTTATATAAACAGCTTGGTCGTCGGTGTTCCTCATTAGACATCTCTATTACAGCAATTAAAAGTCAGCTACATGTACTTTACTATTTAGTAGACAGAGTCATACCATAAGAAGCCATAAGTAAGAACCTCTCGAACACTTGTACCTGGTAATTGAAAGATATCGAGGTTTCAGTCCTGGTTGAGGTGTCACGTGCTCACTTGCCTGGAGCTGCGGAGCAGTATAATGCTCTTTGTACGGCCACTCCGATGCACCAAAGATAGCGAGTAAGAGAGTCTGGAGTACGGGGTACTCTGTGCTTTGTAACTACTCCATACAGATTGCTCTGTACAGACTGCAGAGTATTCCATACCCTGTAAAAGACCTATCTGGTCTCACCTAGGTGGAGACATCTCCTCACGGCTGAATGTGCCTGCACCAGGCTGTGGCTGTGTTGACTGGTGCGCCAATTAGACGCATCTATCCAAAACCATTGCTTTTAAACAGTCCATCGTCACTCTGACACGTCATTTAGACGCGTCCAGCGAATAGATCCGTCCTCAGGGGCTGATTGTTGGATGTTGGAGGTTGGAGGTTGGAAGTTGGACGTCGGAATCTCGGAGAATCTTCAGTTCCCTGTCTAGGCCCAAACAGGCAAGGCTCATAACACCTTTTTTGGAAGGCGCGATACAGCTCCATTTCTTTCCTCACTTTCCTCTCTTTCGTCTCCTCGTCTCTCATCTTCCATCAACGTCCGTCTCGTTCTTCCTCTGGCTTCTTTCCTTGTCAATATCGGACTCTCATTGTGGCAAACCGTTTCAGACGTGTTCAGCTGCAGAGGGAGGGAGCGCCTTGGCGCTTGTACTTCTGTTGAGCGGTTGCAACTCGGTTGGACAAGCAATCCGCCTTGTGCTGCGCCTTGAGCGACGACAAGGATAAAAAGAGATAAAGCGCCTTCTACAGGAAATATTTAATAAATTATCGGCTTTGAGACCCCTCCGCAGCCAACTTTTATTTCTCAACCTTATTACACTTTTGTCTTCTTTTAAAAAAAAAAAAAAAAAAAACAAAAAAAAAGATTTGACTGTGTTCATCATGATTCAAGCCCCGGCCTTTCAGGAACGATTCCAGCAGCTGAAGATTTTCGATAATAGTAAAAATGAATTCATCCAGGTCGGTACTCGCAAGGGAATCGGGGGCGCCAATCTTGACGTGGAATCAATAGGAGCTTATTATGCGCCATCAAGACTTGGAGAATCGATACAGGGAAGCCCAGCTGCAGTTGGAGCGCGAGCAGCGACTGTCACGGTCATTCCAGCAAGATCTCAAAGATAGAGAAGCCGATATCCGAGTGAATAATAACAACATTGTAGGCATTCCGCTCACCAGAATGAAAGTGCTGATCTGACAGCGATCGACAGGCAAAGATGAATTTTGTTTCGGTCTTGATCGATGGCGATGGCGTGCCGGTAGGAATCAGAAGCCACTTGGTTATCAATCGTCGCTAGTTTCTAACCCAAGGTCCTGTCCTCTTCCCAGTTTATTGATGATCTTGTCTCAATGGGCGCCGAAGGTGGTCAGGAAGCGGCTCGCCAGCTGTTAGCATCCGTCTCCCAATATATGGAGGAACTTGAACCCAGCATCAGTAACATCCATGTTTCTGTCCATATATATGCGAATATTCAAGGTCTCGGACGCGCTTATCGTGATGCGGGTATTCTAGACGCTCCGGCCATGCTGGAGAATTTCGTCCGCGGTTTCAATATGGGCAATGCTTCCTGCGACTTTGTCGACGCTGGCAATGGAAGTCAGTGTGCCGATGAGAAACTGAGAGCTAACTTCGAGCGAGCTATGGTGGATCTCCACTGCCGGCATATAATCTTCGGTGGCTCGACTGATAATGGTTATGCGAGGATTCTTGTACCATGCAGCGACCACGATGCTGATAAAGTCACCCTTCTCGAGGGTCCACCTTTTGCTCGAGAGCTGAAAGAATTGGCCTCCAGGTTTCGCCATAAGTCTTTTCCTACTTTATTCCGTTCGGCGAAGATCCCCAACAGAGGTTCGCTCTCCCCGTCAAAGGGCCCCCAGCCACAACTCTCCCCACCTCGGATTCCTTCCACGAAGAGTCCCCCTTTGAGTGTTGCCTCCCCGCCGAAGGTGGCTGTCCAGCCGATCAATTATGCCGGAGTGGCAGCCACCTCACAGGCTTCACACATTCAGGTTATCTATGATCTCAAAACGCCAGCTAGCACTGCTGCCAAATCTCGTGTAGCTCGCAACGCAAAGGGCCAGCGCGTGGACCGGCCTTTGACTTTCAACCAAACTGATTACAATAACATAAAGCCTCAACGATACTGCAATCTTTATCATATTAATCGAAGCTGTCCTGATGAGAGCACCTGCGGACACAAACATGGCCCCAGATTACAGGGACGGCAGTTGGAGGCGCTGAAGCACCTTGCGCGAACGGCACCCTGCCGATCTGGTGGACTCTACTGCAGTGATGAAGAATGCGTCTATGGACACCGATGTGTGTTGACAAGATGCGAACGCGCAAAATGCCGATTCTCAGACGAGATGCATGATGTGGATAGTGTTATCGTGGGATAATCACAGGTACTTCACGAAGTAAACTCAACATATTGGTCATGTTTACAGACTCTATCAAATCTAGGGTTGCAGATTCATTTACTTTTGAAGACCTTTCTTTTTTATTCTATATCGTTCATATATTACCTTGACTCTTCAGCCGATACCTTTCTACCATGACACCTCGATTCATTGAGTCACGGACCTGCTGCCTGACCTCAGGCTACTTCTGGGTCTTTCTACTCAATGACCAAGAGAAGTGGCAGCTTACATGGGCTGATGCCTAGAAAGGTTTAAAAGAGTCTCTCACCCTTGGGGCCCCTGGTTTGATGTTGATTTCTATAACATATCTATCATCTTCAATTTAGAGTACCAGGGAATGATTTTTTATATATAATGTGCACTACCTAGGTTAGCCAGGCAAGGTTTGCCATTGCTTTAGAGGGTATATATACTCTTCAGAAAGATGAGGCTCTATCTAGAAGAGTCCTCCTAAACATCTGTTTTGCTAACCACTTAATATGAACTGACTCTTTACAATGTGCAATTCATATCTATATCATATTACTGATTTGATAGTCTATAGAGATTGGCTATAACCTCTATCAGTCATATACTTCTGAAGACTGGTTGTTTCCATCTTCAAAAACAGTCTACCAAACTTTGATGCCAGGCAGCCAACAGAGTGATGAGTTGCACCCATGGACAGCGACAATGTCTGCCTGGATCAAGTATATATAAAATAAGAAGATTGACCAATAAATCTTCATCTCTTCCTTCTTTCTTACATACTTGCACATTCACTATTGATCCTTTAGATAACATCATCTCTAGATTGTCTTCACTACATACAAATCTTTCTCAGCCACTATTTATATTCACCACCATGACGAACTGCTTTTCGGGTGATATTTCCCTCAATAGCGAGCCCGTTGATCTGCTGGGGAAATCCATGCCACCCCCAACTCTTGATGTGAATCCTCGAACCACCCTCATGAACCACATCGACCCCATCGAGAGAACCACCAAGTCGCCATTAGCCAGGCCAACCTTGACTATTGACATTTCTCCCATCTATGAACATGGCCACTGGGCCACTGTTCATCATCAGGGTGGTGATACCCAGGAGAGCCAGCAGTCGAGCTGGCATGTCAGTGACGAGTCAGACGTCATCACCCACGGCTTGGACGACGTGCTCGGCAACAAGATCAGTATTCGCGTGAACTTTTACGCGCCCAACCCCGTCGATCCCGGGCAATTGTGTTGTCTCTACGACAAGACAAACCGACTGGTCAACTTGCTCGAGGAGATGCCCCCCCTCCACCGACTCGATGTCCACTTGGAGGCATCCGACGAGTGGGACTGGCACGAACGAGGCATAGTCCACGAGAGCGTCAATCTCTCGTCCTGGTTCCGGCCTGACTACGAGATCATATTGACGCCCTTCTGCCGACTGCAGAGTGTCCAGTCTGTCGACGTCCACGCGCATTCCTACGAGCTGGAGCGCCTGATCACCCTGGAAACCTTGGCGGACATGCAGGTCATCACACGAGAAGTGACGAGGCATGGCACCGTAGTGCAGCATATCCACTATCAGCGCCGCCGCCGCGAGCTGCGGGAGATCAGCAACCGCATCCTGGAACTAACGTACCTGCTCGACCTGCATCTCGATGACCTCCGAGGCCGCACTGCCAACATGCTCCGGCTCAACCGGTTCAGCCGGTGGTTTGTCGACGGCCGCAGCGGCCATTCCACCTACGAATACGAGATGATCCAGGCCTTTCATTACATCCCGCAGATCATCTTGAAGCATGAGCCGGGTCTCGAGCGTCTCAAAAGACGACACCGCATCATGCTGGCCCTCAACGCCATCCGGGAAGTGTCGATTCATGTCTCACCTAAACGACAACAAGAAGGTCATCTGTCGGACCTTCTTCCCTTATCTGTCCGACGGGAGGCGTTCCTCGGTCAATACGCTTCGACAAACTACCTGATGCCCTGGGATCAAGAGGACTGGTTCGATCAGTTCCCTAAGGGTCTCCCTTCATTCAAAAATGCCCTGTTTCAGAGGCGGTTTGGCGAGTGGGTGAGTTCTGTCCAGGGCATGGAGGTGCGAACCGACATGGACACGTTTTATTGGCGGTTTCACTGCGTTCTGCAGATGATGCAGACGCTTGAGGGTACAGATAGCGAGACCTCTTCAGATGAGTCTGAGGATTGGTTCGAGGATCCGCCGGAGGAATACCAGGAGTATTTAGAAAGCAGTTCGGATCTTTCAGGTTTTTGGGAGAGTTCTGAGAGTTCTGAAAGCTCTGAAAGCTCTGAAAGCTCGGATAATTCAGATAGTTCGGAGGATGATTCTGACCATGAGGATTGGGGTAGTTTAGCAGAAATATACATGGTGGGAATCTAAATCACCGGTGTATTGATGGTATCGATCAATATTATTGAACGTCTGTCGATATATATATTATCATCAAATAAGGAATTTCTATCATAATGGTATTAAACACTCTCTATATGATTACTTAGAAAGCTAAATGTGCTCAATTTAAACCCATTAGATCTTTTTATATACTTCTATAATAGAGAATATCTAGTTGAAAGCAGATTAAATTCCCAGTCATCATCATCTATTGCCAAGGTCCTGATTATTCTACACATTCTTCCACCATATTTGAGAATTCCCAAGTTATAAGGTTAACTTGACTTCGATCATTGGTATGCCACGGCTTCCGATCTCTTATCTCCGAGGCGACATCATAGTTTTTGGGGGACGACCTACACAACGGGCTTTCGGCATTAGCCCTGGTAAAAGTATATAAAGATTGTTGAGGGTGCTGGGACCTATTCGTCTAGCATGGTAAACCGTCTGGCTTTTTTAAAAGAAAAAAAAGAGAAAAAAAGCCATCGCTATGAGTAAGCTCCTCGTCGTGTTTGGAGCCACAGGCAACCAGGGCGGATCCGTGGTCTCCTTCGTCCTCAACGACCCCGAGCTTTCCTCGCAGTACAGGCTGCGAGCTGTGACTCGCGATCCATCCGGGCCTGCCGCGCAGGCTCTGACGAAACAAGGTGTAGAAGTCGTCCAGGCGGACTTCGACGACCAGGCGTCGATTCAGGCCGCCCTGCGCGACGCCCACACCGTCTTCCTCGTCACGGTGAGCATCTACGGGCCTGACGGAAAGGAAAAGCAGTCCCAGCAGGGCAGGTTTGTCGCCGACACCGCCGTCGCACAGGGGGCGCAGTATCTCATCTTCAGCACGGCCCCGAGCGTGACCAAGACGTCTGGCGACAAGTACCGCAACGTGGACATCTTCGATGTGAAAGCCGAGCTGGAGGAATACATCCGCGGGCTGCCTGTGCGGAGCGCCTTCTTCAGCGTCGGCTCCTTTATGCAGAACTACCACACCGGGCTGCGGCCCCGCCCCGTCGGTGACGGCACGTACTCCATCAGCTCCCCTGTGTCGCCGCAGACGCGGACCGCCCTCATCGACATCTCTGGCGACTCCGGCAAGTTTGTGGGCGCCATCCTGGCGGACCCGGAGCGGTTTGCAGGCTCGTCGCTCTTCGCCGCCACGGCGACGTATACCTTTGAAGAGATCGCCGGGGCCCTCAGCGCCGCCACAGGCAAGACGGTGAAATACACTCAGCTGCCCGAAGGCTTGTATCGCTCCTTTTTCCCCAAGGAGGCGGCTGCGACCCGGTACGTCGAGATGTTCGCGTACATCCAGGACTTTGGCTATTTCGGACCGCAGACAGAGGAGCTGGTCCGCTCGTCGGCTGCCAGTGCGCGGGGGAAGGTGACGACGTTCGAGGAGTTCCTGCGTCGGGAGCCATTGGTTTTGGAGTAGATATGAGACAGGTCTTCAGCGTTGTGTGTACAGAACAGAAAAGACTTTGACGTCGTTGGAAAAGAATAAACACATGACTCGACTTCACATGACTTCACATGACTTCTCACATGACAATTTTCTTTCCGTCTCAGAAACTCCAAACTTCGTTTCTTCGACTTCAGCTCGTCTTCAGCCCCTCTTCAGCTCGCCACGAACCAGCACCAACCACCGCCGATCTCGATGCGAATCGTGCAGATCCTTGAGCCAATCCCTGCAAGACCCTCCGCAAACTCTCTGCACAGCTTGATTAGCCAGTCACAGCACCGGCAAACGCAATCGACACGGTCGCACGACTTGTCTATTTGCTCGAGCATGCCTGACCGCCAGACACTCGCCTGGGCTGCTTGGCGATTCGACAGCTCACGTCGTACCGCAGGTGGTGACCTGCTGGCAAGACGACAGCTGTGGTGGGGAGGGATAAAGGACATGGCGGCCGCCTCTGGTCTGATGGATCTGCTTCTGCGAGTAGACAGTAATCTATTTACGATCAGTATTAGGTACAGAGTACTCCGTACCAGTACCTAGGTAAAACCCTCAGTCTGCCAATATGTCAATGCAGATTCCGCAACCACCAGGCGTGCCTCTGCTGGGCAATATTTTTGACGTGAATCCGAATAACACCTGGGACTCGCTCAACAAGCTGGCAGCCAAATGGGGTGAGTGTTCTGCCTGTCTACCCCTTTTTTTTTTCCCCTTTGCAGAGGACTAACAGAACAGCTCCCATCTTCAAGATCAAGGCGCTCGGCACCCAGATCGTTTTCATCGGCAATGTGACTCTGTTGGAGGAAGTGTGCGATGAGCGGCGGTTCCGCAAGTGCGTGACAGGCCCGATTGTCGAGATCCGGTACGCGGTGCACGACAGCCTCTTCACAGCGTACGACAACGAGGCCAGCTGGGGCATTGCGCACCGTATCATGGCGCCGTTACTCACCGAACAGGCCAACGAGATGGTCTTCGACAGTCTGATTGACACCATGTCGGAGCTTGTGCGGAAATGGACCTCAGGCGCCGACAAGCGTGTCTCCGTGACCAACGACCTCGATCGACTCAACGTCGAGTCGTGCCTGGCCTGTTTCTTCGACCAGCGGAGGCACTCGCTCGAGGGACCCAACCCGCCCATGATCCCCGCCATGGAGGGAGCCACGACAGAGGCTATGAAGCGGCCCAATCGCCCGCGCATCCTCAACTGGCTACTCCAGCGGCGGTTCGTCTCGGACACCAAAACGATGCGTGATTTCGCCGCAGAGATTGTTGCGTACCGCGTCGGGAACCCGACGGAGAAGAAGGACATGCTGCACGCTCTGCTGCACGGGACAGATCCTCAGACGGGCGCGTCTCTGACGGAGTCGCAGGTGATCGACGAGATCATCAGCATCTTCATTGGGAGCGCGACGGCGCCCAACCTGATCTCTTACGCGCTGTACTACCTGCTCAAGAATCCCGAGGAGTTCGCCAAGGGCCGCGCCGAGATTGACAGGGTTGTGGCCCCCGGCGAGCGATTGACGTACGCCCATCTCTCCCAGCTTCCCTACTGCGAAGCGATCGTGCGCGAGACGCTGCGTCTGTCCTCCACCGCCCCAGGGTTCAACCTGGAACCCATCCCGTCGGAGTCAAAGGCCCCCGTCTTGCTCGCGGGGGGCACGTACGAGATCCCGCACGACCAGGTGATGGTCGTCGTCCTGTCCGCCGTCAATCGCGACCCAGAGTACTTCCCGGAGCCGGAGGCCTTCCGCCCAGAACGAATGGTGGGTGAGAACTATGAGCGACTGCCTTCGGCGTGCAGGAAGGGGTTTGGGAACGGGAAACGCGAGTGTATCGGTAAAAGATACGCGTGGCAGTGGTCACTGGTGACGCTGGTGACCATCCTACGCTGCGTGGACATTGAGCTGGCCGACTCGGCGTACCAACTGCACATCAACGGGGCGTTTAGCATCAAGCCACTGGATTTTTATGCTCTAGTCAATCCTAGAAAGTGAGACCATGCATCTCTTTTTTTTACAATGCTAGGAAAGAAAAAGAAAAAAGCAAGTATCATGCTGATCCTTGATCTTCTAGTCTATAGGTATACTCCGTACTTCCATCTCCCGTTATATCCCGTTATATCCGACCGGCCCTATCGGACAGTAAAAAGAGCAGTATATATGTCGAATGAATTATGTCTCCCTTTCAAGTCTTTCTATTTCCATTTCAACTCCATTTTCATTTTCATTTCTCTTCATCTCTAGAATGAAGATTCTCGTGATCGGCGCCAGCTTCGCAGGCCTGCACGTCTCGCACGCCCTGCTTAAAACCCTGCCCTCCATCAAACTCACGCTGGTGAACCCCTCGCCCACCTTCTTCTTCACTTGTTCAGCGCCAAGGATCCTGGGCCAGGGTCTCTTTCGAGAAGAGGAATACCTGATTCCCATCCAGGATGCGTTCCGGTCGTACGGGGCCCGGTTCGAGTTTGTGCAGGGGACGGCGCTGAAGATCGACGGTGGGAAGCAAACAGTTTCAATCAAGGAGATGGATAGTCAACAAGTCCAAGAGGTTCCGTATGATTATCTTATTATCACGAGTGGGAGCACGACCCCCTCCCTGTCGAACTACGTGCCTATCCCCTTCAAACAGTCGGGCGAGGATAACATGTCCACCCTGATCAACGATGCACGGGAGAAGATCCAGACAGCGTCTGAGATCGTGATTGGGGGTGCGGGCCCCCTCGGCGTCGAGATCGCCGGCGAGATTGCAGAGCGGGCAGAGAAGGACGGCCGCGCCGTCACCATCTCGCTGATCAGTGCGACGGAGCGGGTGCTCCCCATGCTCTACGAGAAGGGGAGCAGGGTAGCCGAGGATCTCCTGACGCGCAAAAAGGTGAAGATCATTCGAAACAAACGCGTGGAGGAAGTCACAGTCTCCGATGGTCGATATACCCTGACTTTATCGGATGGGACTTCCCTCTCGACAGCTCTGTACATCCCTACGGGCGGCGTGCAGCCCAACAACGCCTTCATCCCTGCAGAGTTTCTTGATGAGAACGGCTGGGTGGTGGTCGACGGGACGATGCGCGTGCAGAGCAGAGAGAACCAGAGCCAGAACCAGAACCAGAACCTGCCCATCTTCGCCGCGGGGGATATCACCAACAACTCGCCGCGGCTGGTCTTGAAGGCCAAGCAGCAGGCGGGCGTGCTGGCTGCGAACCTCGCTGCTGAGATTAACGGATCCCCGCTCAAACCAAAGACGTACCACCAGGGGGATACCTTCATCATGGCCGTCCCCATCGGTACGGCGGGGGGTGCCGGGCAGGCGTTTGGGTGGACGGCGTGGAGCTGGCTGGTCTGGTTGATCAAGGGGAGGGATTTCTTTATTTCAAGGGCCAAGGGGTTTGTAGTTAATTAGGTTGAACTGGTAGAATTTTCAAAATGTTCTATGTAAGCTAAATATGTACTCTGTATGCTAGTTACGTATACGATGTATGCTATGTATGTACTGGGAGCGTAAAATCCTCCCTTGTAATTCCGCTCCGCTCACACATCGCCCGGAAGATGCCCCCAGCCTCGAACAATCGCACGGGGGCGTCCATCTCGGCGATCTGGCCCTGGTCCATCACGCAGATCCGGTCGTAGTGGATGATGGTGCGCAGACGGTGCGCAATGCAGAGCAGGGTTTTGCCGCGGAAGCCCGCCGCCATGGTCGCCTGGATCTTCTGGTCGGTCTCAAAGTCGACGGAGGAGGTTGCTTCGTCGCAGACGATGATGCGTGCGTCGCGGACCAAAGCCCGTGCCAGGGCCATCAGTTGGCGCTGGCCGAGCGAGAAGTTCAGTCCCTCTTCGTCAACGGAGGAGTCGAGCGTCAGCTTCGGCTGGCGGGACTTTTCCTCCGAGAGGTCCGGGGAGTCTGGGGAGGAGGTCTCGTCGCCGATCAGATTGGCCTGGCGCAGGGCAGACCATAGTTCCAGATCGTTATGCTCGTGGAACGGGTCCAGGTTCGACCGGACGGTCCCCTTGAACAGCGCCGGGTCCTGCGGGATGATGGCCAGCCGGGAGCGCAGGTCAGCCAGGCCGACGCGGCCAATGTCGATGCCGTCGATCTCGACGCTGCCCTCGGACAGCTCCGTCAGCCGGAACAGGGCAGACATGATGCTCGATTTGCCCGCGCCGGTGCGGCCGACGATCCCGATCCGCTCCCCTCCCCGGATATCCATGCTGAGACCCTTGAGCACAAGGGGCAGGCCGGCGCGGTACCGCATCTTCACGTCCGAGAAGGTGATGCGGCCGGCCTCGGGCCAGGCCGCAGCGACCTCGATGGTGTGCAGGGGCGCCTCTTGATCGAGCTCGGTACCGTAGTAGTGGATCCGTTCTGTGGAGTTCATGTTGTTCTCGACCTCGGCCAGCTGGCGGATGGTGAACTGCAGCATCTGCACGATGGCCAGGATGTACGAGAGCACAAGCCCCGAGATACTGGGCGAGACGTCAAACCGCGAGGTCACGACCAAGATCCCTGTCACCAGGACCATCGTGTTGCCCACGGCGTCCAGTCGCACGCTCAGCCACCGCTGGTTCGAGAAGGTCAGGAAATACGCCCCGTTCATCGTGTCGATCGCCGCTCGGATGGTGCGCCGGAACTCGCTCTCCACCCCATAGGCCCGGATGCAGGCCGTCCCTGTAATGGCCTCGCTGAACCGCGCAAACACGTGCGATCGCAGCACCGATTCGTGCCGCTTCATGTCGCGCGCCGATGCCCGGTAGTAGTTGGCTGCCAGCAGGAACAGAATAAACAGGGGGCCGAGGGCAATTGCAAACTATGTGTGTTAGCAGCGTAGCTAGACTAGAAGGAAGTTTCGCTAGAACTCACATAGTGGAAGAAGACAATAATTAGTACGATGACAGAGACGATCATGGTGATGGTGAAGAGGTAAATGCGCAGTGCGTCCGACAAGTCACTGTCCATGACCTGAACATCCTTGGAGAAGCGGTTGGTGATGCGGCCGAGCGGGGTGGTGTCGAAGAAGGCCATGGGAGCCCGCAGAACACGGTACATGGCGCGGTGAAACATGGTCTTGCTGGCATTTGTGCCGCAGATGGTGATGACGGTCGAGAAGACGAAGAGCAGCAGCACCTGGGTGGCCCCCAGACCAGCGTAGATGCCAATGTACTGGCCCGTCGACAGATAGGTATACTTGTCCGAAGTCCAGTACGAGAGCCACAGGCTGGTCATGACGTTGGCGCCGTTGACCGCCGCCAAGGAGCAAACGACGAGCACCAGGTTGAACAGCGACCCGGACGCCTGGATGTAGGCCTTCCAGATGGTCCAGCCTGCCGAACCCGTCGACCGTTCCTCCTGCTGCATCAAGGCAGCACCGGGCTTGGCTGGTATCTTTGCCGAGGAGTCCTTGGGCTTGATGGCCGCCTCCTCCTTCTTCTCTGTCTTCTCCTCTACTGCCTCTTCAATCGCTTCCTCCTCGATTTCTTCTTCTTCCTCCTTGTGCTGCTCCTGCGAGGTGGTGGCCATCAGGCGCTGGAAAAGCTCGTTGTCGCGCATCAGGTTCTCATAGGTGTCAATGGCATCGATGCGGCCCTCATCCATGACGATGATGCGGTCGCACCGGTTCAGGACGTGGAGCTGGTGGGTGGCAAGGATACGGCAGCGGTCGCGGAGCAGACCGCAGATGGCCTGGTCCATGATGTGCCGGCCGACATGGGCATCAACGGCCGATAGAGGGTCGTCCATGAGAATGATCTCGGCGTTGAAGTAGATCGCGCGCGCAATGTTCAGCCGCTGCTTCTGCCCGCCGGAGACGGTGATTCCACGCTCCCCGATCTCTGTCGAGTCGCCGTTGGGGAACATGTCCAGATCGGGTCGCAGCGCACACGCATCGACCACCGTGTTGTACCAGTCCTCATCATAGTCCTTGCCGAACAGAATGTTCTTCTGCACGCTGGCATTCTGGATCCAAGCATATTGCGGACAGAACGCCCGCGAGGCTCCCATCTCGACTTGACCGCCGGTTATGCGCATATCGCCCGCCAGCGCCGCGAGCAGCGAACTCTTGCCACAGCCGACGGTTCCGATAACCGCCAACAGTTCATGGCGACCGACCTCAAAGGAGATATCGGTGAGTTTAAAGGGCTCCATTGAGTCTTGTTGTTGTTCCTCGTCTTCGCCGGCATTGTTCGCGCCTTGGATCAATAGTGGGGATGCTTTCTCTTTGGTCTTATCAGTCGTCGTCGTCGTCGTCGTCGTCGCCGTCGCCGCCGCCGCCGCCGCCTTGGACGAGTCCGTGGGCGACTGCTCCCAGGTGAAGGAAGCACGCTCAAGCTTAAAGGCCGGGGACATGTCTTGGTTCCATTGGATGGTCTCATCCTGTTCTTCGGCGAGGAAAAAGGTCTGGATACGGTTCATGGCGGTCCAGGCGTCGGTGACCTGGCCGATGACAAGGGGCAGCAGGTTCAGGGGCATACGGAGGCAGTTAAACAGGCCGAGGGAGGAGAAGATCGGGGCGGCTTCGAGAGCATGGTTGGAGAGGGAGTATGTGATGAAGGCGAGCATGGAGGCAAAAACAGGCAAGGAGCTGGAGGCACACAAGTTGGCGTTCCGGATGGAGAGCAGAGTCTGAATGGAACGGATCTCGCGGTGGCGGATCTGTTTGAGGCGGTCGAGAAAACTGCTCTCCCACCCGAAGAACTTGACGAAGCGGACGGCCTGCAGGATCTCCTGGGTGAGCGAGACGCGCTGGTCGGTCATTTTGTTGATGTTGCGGCGGCGCTTGACCAGCGAGCGCACGGCGAGGGTGAGCAGCGGCATGCCGATGACCAGCAGCGCGTATCCGGACAACGCGCTGTAGCCGATGTTGACGAGCAACAGGATCAGCGTCAGGATCAGGGTGATTGGCGAGGTCCACAGGAGATGAAACAGGCCGCAGGCAAGGTTGATGCGGTCCACATCGACACTCATCAGAGTGACGATCCGGCCGTTGTTCCACCCATCCGCTTCAACTACTTTGCCTGCCTTTTCTTTCTTCTCTTTCTTCTCTTTCTTTTCTTTCCCTTCCCCCTCTTCTCCCTTCAGGAGACCCTCCTTGGCCGCCTTCAAAGCTTGTATCTCCTCCTTCGAGCGCTGCCCACCGGCCTTGGCGCGGTTAGAGAGCTTCATGGCCTTGGTGAAGATCTTAGAGACGAGCACGGCGCGAATCTGAGCGCCGACCATCTGCCCGCGGTAAATAAACTGGTTGGTACACAGACTCTGGCCGATCTGCATGAGGGTGATTCCGATGGCGAAGCCCATGCCCTTGGCGATGTGAGGGGCAGGCTGGCCGCTGTGCTGGGCGTCCCAGGCCTCCTCGGCGTAGGCGATCAGATAGCGCGTCATGTAGGGAGCAAAGACCTGCATACAAGCGGCGAAGAGCTGGCAGATGCCACCGAGCAGGAATTCGAAGCGGAAGGTATCGAACAGAGCCCAGAAGAGCGGGTATTTGCCCTCTCGCGCCAGACGGCGTTCGAAAGCGTTGTCAAGCCGTTCAGACAGGATGTCCACCGCGCGGTCGGGGTTGACAGTCCAGATATCTTGTAGCTCGAGGGGACGAAGATATCCAACCTAGACAGTCAATATACATGAACACATTAATGAAAATGAAGGATTACGTACACTCATCAACGGCGCCATCCACTGGAAAGTAATCAGACTGAAGATATTGGCACCATACTCCCTTGACGGCGTCCTCTCCTCTGGCAACGGGGGGATCTTCCTCCACCGCAAGGGATTCAACCGACGATACCATTTCTTCTTCGGGGGTATAGAGAGGTCGGTGATCTCGTTCGAAGCACTCGACTCGTCCTTCTCGATGCTGTTCTTCTGTTTCTTGTCGCTGCTGGCCGAGCTGGCGGAGGAGGGCCGCTTATCTGGGCTGTCGATCACCACCACAGTCGTGGGCGAGGAGGGGATGCGACTTTCTTCATCGGGGGGTGGAGAGCGGTCCATCGAGATGTGAAATGAAGAATATCCACCGTAACGATGTTGTTGTTGTCGTCGTCGTCGTCGTCGTCGTCACAGTGATCGCTCTCAGTAGGAACCGTAGGACGACATTCCAGAGGTGACCAGGTACCAGGAGACAGAAGAGGTAGATAGAAGGGAAGAGAATTATCGGACTATCAGAGACTAGCGAAAAAAAGGATCAAAGGATCAGGAGGAAATGGCCTCTTATCAGTAGAAGAAAAGAAAGAAGAAGAAGGAATCGAGTTCCTGCCCCGAGAGAGGATGAGACAACCGAATCCATCCTTGCTTTGGTGTTAAACCCCGAATGGCCGACTGACAATCGGGCGGGGAAGCTTGTTTTGGCTAGAGGAGGATGTCCATACAGGGTAATACCGTATTAGAAGAAGGATATATGGTAAAGACGCTGTAATCTTGTAATCCCTGGACATCGGCGAGGTTAGCGCCGTCCGCCGACCTGGAGAATTTTGGTCGTTTTCGTATCGGAGTTTTGGTAAAGTCCGCCGCTAGGCCGGGTTTGGTTGTTCGAGAGAAGCATTACTAATCAGGGATAGATAGCTACGTAGATAACTGTAAGTATATAGTATGGATAGTAGTATATTGAGAAGATCTGAAATCATGTTGCCATTAATGATCATGGAGTACGGAGTACTCTAGAAGTACTCTGGCACTCTGGTACTCTGGTACTCTGGTACTCTGGTACTCACCAAGTACCTAATAACTAACTACTACTCCAATACATAAGAGTGCGTTCATATCATTCTCGTCTGACAATTTCCATATCCTCAGACTAACCACGAGTCTCTTTTGTTAAGCCGCTACCAGTGTTCAACGCTGGTGTCATGTACGGCTGGTACTGACCGGGCTGGCTCGACACTTGACTCGACGACCAGACTCAGACTGACTCAGTCAGCCGTAGTCGACGACTGGCAATCAGTGATCCCCGGCCTTCTTCTCGAGGGTCGGCAGCTCCTGAACTGCCTCGGCAATAATGCCCAGCGCCGTCTGGATCTCTTCATCGGTGATGACTAGCGGGGGGGCGAGTCGGATGATGTTTTGGTGGGTGGGTTTGGCCTGAAGATTAGTCTGAATTCTTTTCTCTTTTTTTTTTTTTTCTTTTTTCTCAAGGCAGGCTTACCAGCAACCCCTTCTCCTTCATGAGCATGCACAGATCCCAGGCAGAGTGACCGTTTGTCTTGGATTCATCGATAACAATAGCATTGAGCAAGCCCTTGCCGCGCACCAGCTGAATGACGGGGCTCTGGATGGCTTCCAGGCCGGCACGGAAGACATGACCCAGGCGCTCTGCGCGGTCGACCATGTGCTCGTCACGGACAACCTCCAGGGCGCGAATGGCCACGGCGCAGCCGAGCGGGTTTCCGCCGTAGGTGGAGCCGTGGGTGCCCGGTTCGACGGTGAGCATGACGTCGCGGCGACCCAGCACACAGGAGACCGGGTACATGCCGCCGGAGATGGCCTTGCCCAGCAGCACCATGTCCGGCTTGATGCCGCTCCACTCGTGGCAGAGCAGCTTGCCCGTGCGGGCGATACCCGTCTGGATCTCGTCGCAGATCAGCAGCACGTTGTAGCGATCGCACAGGGCGCGAGCTTCCTGCAGATACGACTCGTCGGGAACGACGATGCCCGCCTCGCCCTGGATCGGCTCCACCAGGAAGGCGGCCAGGTTGGGGCCGGCCTTCTCGAACGCCTCGCGCAGACTCGCCACGTCGTTGTACCGGATGGGACGGTCAGAGCCTGGGATCAAGCAGCCGATGCCCGGCAGGTACGGCCCATAGTTTTCCCGGCTCTCGGGGTCCGACGACAGCGAAATCGCCCCAAACTGTCGGTCAGCACTAAGCAATAAGAGAGAGAGAGAGAGAGAGAGAGAGAGAGAAAGAAACGTACTGTGCGGCCGTGGAAGTTGTTTTCGACACTCAGAATCACCGCCTGGTTCTCCGGAATGCCCTTGACCTTGTACCCCCACTTCCGGGCGATCTTGAGGCCCGTCTCGACGGCCTCGGCGCCCGTGTTCATGGGCATCACCATGTCGAAGCCAAAGTAGGCGGTGACGAACTTGGCAAACTGCGGGAAGACGTCATTGTAGAACGCACGCGAGCTGAGCGTCAGGCGTGAGGCCTGCTCGACCAGGGCGGCCACCAGCGCCGGGTGGCAGTGGCCCTGGTTGACGGCGGAGTAGGCAGACAGGAAGTCCAGGTAGTGGCGGCCTTCAGGATCCCAGACAGAGGTGCCCTGGGCCCGAGCAAACACCACGGGCAGGGGGTGGTAGTTATGGGCGGCGAACTGATTCTCGGCCGCAATGGCCGCGTCGGTGGTGGCAGCGTGAGACATGATGGTCGGCGAGGCAGAAATGGAAAGAAAACAGGGAGGGACAGGAGGAGGAGGGGAGGAAAGTGGAAGGAAATAAAAGCGGTCGCCTCTGATTTCAACGATACCGTTTCTAACCGTACGTTACACAGCACCAATACCTGCCTCCCGATTGGCCAGGAAACACATGACTTCCGCTAAGCGCAAGTCTAGCCGTTGCGGAGTCTTGTCCCGCAGTCCCTCTGGGCGCCCGGCCCGGGCAGCTCGTTTCGGCTTGCTTTTAGGGATCGTCTCTCTGTCCTTTCTCTCCTCTTCTTCCTTCCCACTTGTTTTTTCCCTTTTTCCTTGGGTTTTTTTTTACTGAAAATGAAGCCCGCCGATGACGGACCCGGCTTGTCGTCCCGGTCGCCTCCCGCCGATGTCGCTCGCGCGCGTCGCGATCGACACGCTCTCGCGGGGGCCAAAGTGCTGTTGATGCTGGTTGCCTTGCGTCTGGTCAACGCCGTGAGTGTGCGGACGTTTTTCCAGCCTGATGAGTTCTTCCAGTCGCTGGAGCCGGCCTGGCAGCTGGTTTTTGGGGGGGGGAGTGGTGCCTGGCTGACGTGGGTATGAGGTACTCTCTTTGTCTAAGCGAACCGACTGACTGACTGACTGGGTAGGAATGGAAACACCAGCTTCGTTCGTCGCTGCATCCTCTGCTCTTCGCAGCCGTCTACTACCTCGCAGACGCTCTGGCGGCGCTGCTGCGTTGTGCACCGGCGGCGCGCGCGGAGCTGCTCGTCGTGGCCCCCAAGACCGCGCAGGCCGTGGTCGCCGCGCTGGGCGACTATTATACCTGGCAGCTGGCCCGGCGGGTGTACGGCGAGGGCCCCGAAGCATGGGCCGCGCTGGCGGTGACTGTTGTCAGCCCCTGGCAGTGGTTCTGTGCGACCAGGACCTTCTCCAACTGCTTGGAAACGACCCTGACGATCGCCGCGCTGACGTTTTGGCCGGAGTCGCTTGAACCCGGTTCTCTACAGACGGGCCGTCTGCGCAGCTGCTTCGTCCTGGCCGCCGTGGCCTGCGTGCTGCGCCCGACAAACGCCCTCGTCTGGCTTGCTCTCGCCGGATTTGCCCTCTATCGCAGCCGCTGGTCGGCACGTAGGGCGCTGCTGCGGGAAGCGCTGGTCTGCGGCGGGCCCGTCCTGGCCGTCTCCGCCGTGGCAGACCGTCTGTTCTACGCTCGCTGGACGTTTCCCCCCCTACGCTTCCTCTACTTCAACCTCGCCCAGTCGTTGGCTGTCTTCTACGGCCGCAACGACTGGCACTACTACCTCTCCCAGGGTCTGCCACTGCTGCTCACCACCGCCCTCCCATTCACCCTGGTTGGTCTCTACCAGGCTTTACCAACCTCCTCCTCCTCCTCCTCCTCCTCCTCCTCCTCCCACCAGCGGCAATCTCCCCTCCGCACCGACCTAGCCTCAACCTGTCTGTTCATGCCGGCCGTGCTGTCTCTCATCTCGCACAAAGAAGTCCGTTTCATCTATCCGCTCCTCCCGGTATTCCACGTCTTCTCTGCACCCCCGTTGGTCTCCTTCTTCGCACCGGCCCTCACCCGCTCCACCAGCGTCTACATGGCTCGCCGGCTCCTCCTCCTCCTCTTCTTATTACTAATCAACCTCGTGATCGCCCTGTACACCACCCTCTTCCACGCCTCAGGCGTGATCGGCGTGCTCGATTACCTGCGTAACCAGCACTCCCTACACTCTAGTACTCCTACCTTTGCTCTCGGCAAGACTACCACTACTCCTCCCGGAATAACAGCCGGCTTCCTCATGCCATGCCATAGCACCCCCTGGCGATCACACATGGTCTACCCACACCTCCACGCCTGGGCATTATCCTGCGAACCACCCATCGACATGACCCAAGCCGAAAAGGCAGCGTATCAAGATGAAGCAGACCGCTTCTACGCTTCCCCCGCTCACTTCCTCAACACGGAAATGAACCTCCCTCTTCGCCATATCCCCCGTAGACCATCCTACATCCAACCCGCGCTCAAAAGTCCAGATGCGAATCCCAATGCTCACATTTGGCCCGATTATCTTGTTTTCTTTGCCCAGCTCGAACCAACCATGCAGAGTGTGCTCCGTCGGTCGGCTTATGGCGAGTGCTACCGTACTTTCAACTCGCATTGGCATGATGATTCGCGCCGGACCGGTGACGTCGTCGTTTGGTGTCTGGATTCTACCGAGCAGGGGAGGTGGGCCATTGAAAAGGGCCGGATCAAGAAGAAGAAGAAGAAGACTTCTCGTTCCTGGTGGTCACAGTCGAAGAAATCCTGGTCTTACTGAGTCTGATGGTTGTTCCTGATATCTAATCTACCTGTATGTAATTGAATGTAGTTGTATTGTAAACTCTTATTATCTACATATAGTACAAGGAAATATATACCAAAAGAAAGACTATGCGTAGCGCGCGCTGAGACTCGCAAAAGCATCAGGACTATGTCGTCCATTCTGGAACCCGCTGACATCCATGCTCGGCTGGCTCATATGCGTTCGTGGGAAGGGGTTTGTCGGAGGAGCTGGTCCGCCAACACCACCACCACCACCACCACCACCACCACCAGGGCCAATTCCCAGTCCGGACGGCAGAGGTCCACTCTGCAGAGCACTGGAGGTGAAGAACGGGTTCCGCGCGGGGGTGTTTAGGAAGGATACCGAGGATGGCGTCGCAATCGAGGACCCTGTCTGAGGCGTCGAGTTGAGCGACGTGCTTAATGTCGGCACCGGGCTGATTCCTAAAGGCTGCAGCTGCTGTGGTTGTGTTGGAAACTGCTGCTGGCCTTGTTGACTTGGCAGTTGTTGCTGCAGTTGTTGACTTGGCAATTGTTGTTGCTGCTGCGGCTGCGGCTGCCCGTACAGAGCGAGAATCCCACCCTTGTCCAATCCCGTTGGTTGAGGAGCCAAATGCGGTTGAGCGAAATTCTGCTGAGACAAAGACGCGGGAGCCAAGCCGGATTGGAACGGGTTGTACGCCTGGTGCTGCTGCTGCTGCTGCTGCTGCTGCTGCTGTTGCTGAAAAAGGGACGGGCCAAACGGTGAAGCACCAGCGCCAGCGCTAAGCGTAGGCATGGTATTCGAATGCTGAAGCTGTTGCAGAGGCTGTTGCTGTGGCGGCTGCGATTGGAATGGAGACGATGCAAAGGGTGAAGTACCGAGCGAAGGCAAGGTACTGGAATGCTGAAGTTGAGGCGGCTGCTGCGGCTGCGGCTGGGAGAATGGAGACGAGGCGAAAGGCGAAGAGCCAAGCGGCGGCATAGTATTGGCATGTTGGGGTTGAGGCGGCTGTTGTAGCTGAAAGAATGGATTGCTCTGTGTCTGAACAAATGCGGGCTGTTGAGGCTGTGGCTGTTGGAAGAAAGGGTTGTAGCCCTCCATGGCCTGCGGGGAGGAGACAAAGGGGCCCTGAGACAAGGTCGAGGTGGCCGGGGGAGTGATCGAGTGCTGCTGCTGCTGCTGCAAGATGGGCTGGACCATCGGCTGGGTGGATGATGGATACCCCCCCGTGAAGTGCGGGAAGAGAGGCTGGGAGACTTGGAGATGCTGCATGGATGTCTCGAGGGTGGCGACCGCTGGTGTTGTCGTGGTCGGCGCGTCGAACGGGTTATATGACTTGCTGCCGCCGTTGTTGGCCGGTGGCTTGGAGTCCAGTAAATCAAAGGGGTTCGTGTCATCCTTTGCCGGAGTCGGAGGTACAGGGGTCCTCGACCGGGAGGCGGGATGACTGCCCTCGCCCAGCCGGACCAGCGACTCGACGGTCTTCTCGAGGTTCCCATTCAGACTCCGCAGCACGGAGGCGTTGCGCCGCTCATCGGGAAAGCCCATATCCTTGAGAGCTGTGAGCTTGGCCTCGAATGAGGAGTCCATCTCATTGAACGAGGCGCCGGCGCCGGAGGACCGCTTGTAGACGGGTACGGGGGGCGGCGACGGTGAGCGCTCGGAGCGGGGGGAGAAGGGCCGCGAGCGCGCGGAGCGGCGCAGGTTGGAGGTGGACGAGGCGGAGCGCAAGCCAAAGCCAAAGAATTTGCCCGTCTTTGGGGGTAAGGGTGGCGGCGAACCTTCGGGGGACTTTGTGTAGCCGGAATCATGGCGACTGGGAGGTTTGGGCTTGCCGTCCTCGAGCGAGCGATACTGGTATTTCTGGCGGATGAAGCGCTCCATACACGAGTCGGACTCATCGATATCCGTAGGGATCGGGGGCTGGGCGTTCTTGGGATTGTAGATCTTGTTCATGAGGATGTTTCCGTGGGATTTCATATTCTTCGTCGTCAGCACGCCGACACAACACGAGAAGAAATCACACAAAAGTTGACATACATCCAACTGTTCCGCCGACCAGCTGTCCATAGTCAACGACTTGACCTTGGAGATATGTGTGCCCAGTTTGCGGTGCAGGGCAGCACAACGCATGCAAAGGAAGATCCCCAACTATTCAGTGTCAACCGTTGTTTAATCGTTCGTTTATCGGGATCATCACATACATTCCAACTCGCCCATCCTGGAGACAGCAACGTTAGCAAGACGGCAAGACATTTACTTTAATATAGATCTATATATATATACCTGGATTCAAAGTATCGCAGTCCGCACATCGGTCATTGCCCGGGACGGAGCGGACGAGATCCTGCAAGGCTCGCTCATTGCGCAGCTGCTGGCGTTTACTGACGCCCACCATTATGCAGTATAAATGATAAAGATATTTGTAAAAAAAGAAAAAAGAAAGAAAAGAAAAGAAAGGAAAGGAAAGGAAGAAAAGAAAATACAGAGACAGAGATGAAAAGAGAGAGCAGAGCGCGTAGAAGCGGACGTGGACGGGGACGTATCTCGTGCGGTCGGAGGGGAGTGAAGCAGGCCGGTATCAGACGGATCAAACAGAAGCCATGCTAAAAGAGAAAAAAAAAAAAAAGGAATGGAATGGATAACTTTTATCAAATGATGAATAGAAAAAGGAATGGAATAACGGCAGAGATGGTGAAGATGGAGAGAGCTGATGGAGGTACGGAGTAACTCTAGGTGGTGGTGGAAATGACATGAGACGTGCGTGGTAATTATCATGAAAACTGTGGCCTTTTCACCATGTCATAGGCTTATACTGACCATACCTTTTTAGTCTTAGCTTAAATTTCCAATAGTGTATTTATATTGTATAGGCTGAGCTAGGCGCGTATATTATGAGTAGATATAAATTAGTGGCTATTTACTAGCTCTAAGACTTCTTCCTTATTTATGATCTGCTTAAGCTTATCCTCACTTCCCTCTTATTAGCACCATGGCTAGAAAACGCGTTGTAAAGCCTAAATTAAAGGTTAATTAAAATACTTTAGTTTAAGAATCTAATCCTAACATTAAATGCAATTAAGACCAAAGTACTAGAAACTCTGTAAATCAAATATAAGGCTTATTTAAGAAGTGAGTTATAGTTATATAGTATACCTTCTTCCATCGTCTATTGCTTATGGTGTATAGGTTTACTAAGAAACTTAAGCTATTAGATGCTAGTTATTAGCTTCAGAACATTATATTAAGAGTGATTAAGATATTCTTAAGGTAATATATTAAAAGCCATAATATTAGGCTTTAATCAGGATTTCTCGTTTGTGTACAGTATTAAAGAATATACTAGTATAAATAGAGAAATAAGGTATTCCTATATAACCTTAGATAAAGACTAATAAATATATATATATATATCTAAAGTAGAGTAGTCCTTATGCTTACTTTATTAGTTAGTGTGCCTAATACTTACTAATAAATATAGGCTTAACCATAGGGGAAAATTACAGCCACCAGTTAATATTACTAATCTTCTTTATAGCACCTACTATCTAATAAGTATCACTAATATATCTTTTCTAACTATATAATATTAATATTAACTTAATACTCTTTAGAAAATAATAACTGCTACCTCTGCGCGCCCAGGAACTATTATTTTATTATTTAGGTATATAAGCCACCTAGATGCTTTAAAGTAGGGGGATATTAAACTATTTATAGTGATGCATCTAGAGGACTAGACAACTTAAACTCTTATTATGCGGGCTAGACACTAATTAAATAAGGGAAAAAGAAATAAAGGTGTTATATAAGTAAGTATACCTAGTTGATCCTAGGCATTCTCTAACCTATTATTTAGGCCAGTTTTTACTTATATAGAGTAAAATAATAACCTTAGCCTCTATATTATTTAAGATATTCTTAAGTATACTTTTCTAGATAATGCCTTTGCGAGCAAATATATTAAGACATTATAAGATATCTAGGAATTAACTAATGTTCCAGACCATTGGTTAAGCACTCTAATTTATATTAGAAAGAAGATAAAGGAGATTCTAATCTTTTAGTGCCCAGTAAAAGGTTATAATAAAGTTTAGATAATAAATCCTACCCTACCTATAACCTATAAGTAACTACTTAGATATAAAAAAGTTACTAATTAATCTGCTGGATATAAGGATGCTAGAAGTCTATATAGATACTATAAAGGAGCCATAGAGAAGTTATATAAGTACCTATATATTTTTATAACTAATTATTCTATGACTAACTAGATATATAAAGGATATCTTAATGAATATTCACGTAATTAAATTATAGGTTAAAGACATGGCAGCGCCTTTACGTACTATATATAAGTCTAAGATAACACCTAATCTGCTTTTATAGAGACGCCTCTAAGGCTCTTATTAATATAGTTAGCCTATTATATAAGCTTAACTTAAGACCTATCTGCACCTCAAAAGCTTACTAAAGACCAAAAATATAAGACTAAGATAAATAAGGAACTTCTTAATCTAAAAACTAAGTGCAAGAAACTATAGAGAGACTTAATTATACTATATAGTTAAATTAAAAATATAGAAGGCATATTACTACATAGGAACTATTATAACCTTTAGAGATTAATTAAGAATAAATAAAAGCAGTTACAGAATTAAGCTCTAGAAGACTATTATATAAACTTCTTTAAAATAATTAGAGATATAATTATTAAACTAAATTAATAGAGAAAACTGCTAACTTATGAGCCAAACCTATTATATATCTTACTAGAGAGAAGGCTGCTTATAGAGATTAAGTTTAGAAATAAAGATATAAATAATATTAAATTTATAGACCTACTTAAAGATTAAATTTAATCTTTAGAGCTATAATTAGCTCTATATTAAATTAAAATACCTAAGGCATTAAGTAAATGAATTTAATTTAATAATATACTGGATGCACTAAATAAATGCTTTTAAATCTTAATAGAGGAACTATTTATAGTCTCTAAGAAGAGTAAAACTGGTCTAGAATATCCTATATATCTAGGTAAACCAGGACATCTAAAAGCCTATAAATATTTATATATACATAAAGATAGCTTATAGAAATATTTTATAATATATAGATTATTAGAGTACTTTCTTAAGGGCTAAGAATATGACTATCCTAGCTATAAGACTTTTTTTAACTTGCTTACTCAGTACAAACATCACTAGTAGAAGATATATAGAATAAGTCTCTAATATTAATTAAAATATAAATATTTTATTAATTTATATATAAAGTAGTAGATACTTAAGCTCTAAACCTAGTATTACTAAAGCGCATTTAGTTTTTAAGTAGAGTACTTCTAAATATTAAATTAATAGTATCTATCCTACCTTAGTAGCATATGACCTTAGTCTCCTAGACTCTAGAGTCTAGAGACTTATAATGCCTAGATAGGCTAATATAAGTAGAGACCACTTTATTTAGTATAAGTCTATTATTCTTCTTTATAGCCTATAGTCTTAATATCCTATTTTTCTATTTTTCTATTCTTTTAGCTACTTAACTTTTTAAAAGATTAAGGGCCTTTTTTTCTTCTACTTCATCTATTCCTCCGCCGGCCTTTAGCTATTACCTAATCTAATAATAAAGCGCTCTCAGCCCTGACTATCTAGAAATCCTAGAAAAAAAAGTATAGTGAGGACTAACTCTAATGGGCTCAGTAATAATAGTACTTATAAGATAGATCTAATTAAGTTAGATAATGCCTAAGCCCATAAAAATGTCTATATTTATACTCTACCTTAAGCTAGGACTCTCTAACACTAAATGCTAATTATCTGCTATATAATAGTAGTGTTAGTCTCTTTAAGATTCCTGACGACTTTAATAAAGGACTAGTAAGTATAATTAAATAATATAAGTAGGTGGTTTAATGTCTAAGTTGACAATAACTACTAGGCTTGTTAGATTTAGGAAGATTCGCAGGTGAAAATCACTATTTATTAATAAATATAATAAATACTTTTATAAATGTTATAAGTTTATTTAACCCTAGTTAGTCAGTGGCTAATATATTCTATAGAATTAATAAGTAAGGTATAGTATATATTTAATATAAAGCCGCTAGACCCTAAGACTTTCTTAACTACTCTTATCCTCTATAGTCTATAGCCTTAACCTAGATATAGAGCTGACATGAGCTGTTACGCAATAGAGTCATTAATAAGATATATAATAGTACCTATACTATTTAACTTACTTGCTGAAGGGCGAGTAAAATAGGCATAATATAGGTATTATAGCTATACTATAGCCTAATATTAATTAGTGTCTAATCACCTCCTATAGCTAACTCTATTATTATTAGCTCTTAGGTATATAAAGGGCCTCCCTCCCTATTACTAATTATATGGTATTCTCTTATTATATTCTTTCTAGAACACCCTCATCTTAATCTTTCTTCCCTATATGTGACGACCAGGATCAAGATGACAAATCATTTTAACCTAATTTATATACTAGATAATGAGGTAATGCTAAATCTTAAGTTAACTAGCTTATAACCTTAAAGAGCCCCTCGCCCTGACTATAGTTATTAGGAATTTAAGAGAGTAATTAAGTTACTTAATAATAAGCTAAATATAGGGCCATTATATAAATATAAAAAAACTAAAATAAAAGAGCCGTCTTCTTTAGTACTACTTCCTAAAATAATCTTATCCTTCCTTTACTAATAGTAGACTAGGATGCCATATTTAATAAGGTTTAAAAGAAAGTTAGTTATAAAGTTTAAAAGCTTAAAGAGAAAAATAAAACTCTTTAAGATAAGCTTTAATAGGAGAGGGAGAAGTACTAGAAGATAAAGGAGAAACTTTCTTAATAAGAGGAGCTTTCTTACTAAAGAGAAGAGAGTCTTCTAAACTATAAGATCTACTATATATACCCAGATCACTGAGTGATAATACTTTATAAATATATAGTCTATAAATTATGCTTAAAAAATCTTTTAACACCAAAGAAGTGTCTAATCTATTAAGCACTATTTACAGGATATATTAGGTGCTATCCTTTTATAGGATAAATTATATATCTAGTATTATAAATCTAGCTATATAGTTAATTTAGCTAAGGCAGATATTATGACATTTAGTTTAAATCTCTACTCTTACTAGTATTATTAACCCTAGGATCCCTATATATCACTGACCAGCTCAAATAAGATCAGAGACCTAATCTTTTAGTTACTACTTAACTAGATATACTTCACCTAGGTGGGAGCAGCCGCGTGCTAATCCTCTTAGTACTAAATAAGGTTAGTTAAGTGAAAGAGAAGCAAGGTCCTTATTCCTACATATTAGAATAAGTTAGTAAGTCTATTTAAATTAACTACTACTTAAGTAATTATTATTTAGTATAAGAATTATAAAGAACTAAATATACTTAGAAATAAGCATCCTTATATAGTTCTCTTATTATAGCACTTATTATAATATCTACATAGCTCCTACTATA